TGCTAGCCCGTTATAGTTTGGCACCACCAACAATGGTATACCATTGTTCGGGTCCTTTTGGATAGGGCTTAAGAAATTACTCGAGTAAGGGTAGAGAGATATTTAGTAGAGATATTGTAACTACTAAAAGATCTTCGAAAGGCTTAATAGATAAAATCGAAATATATAATAAAGAATAAATAGGCTATTAGTGAGATAGTGTCCATTAGTAAGATAGTATTCGTTGGTAAGGTAGTATTCGTTAGTAAGATAGTATAACTTAACTAGCGAGTCGCTACTATAGTTATACCTATTATATAGTATATTCTTAGTAACTCTAAGACTAATCTCGTAATATCTATTAATCTAGATATTAATAATAGATAAGATAATTCTAGTCTATCGAGACCTTAGACCTTTATTATAAATTACGAATAAAAAGCTTTAAGTTTATATTCTTTCTAGTATACTACTAATTACTAATTAGTGATTATTCTATTTAACTTAGTATATTTACTAGACTAAGGACTAGTATAGTAATATATATTATATAGATTAGTTTCGTCTCTCGTACTATAGTATAGGAGATTAATCTAAGAGATCTTATATTATAAAGAGTCTTAGCGAGTAGAGAGACCCTTAGGCTAAAGCCTTACGAACTACGAAAGTTTGATTCGTCGTACTACGACTCGATAAATGCTATCCTAATACTAAATTCGTCTAACTCTATCTTATTATATTAATTTTAGAACTTCACTACTATAGTACCTATAACTTTATAAATAGTCGTATTCGTATAGCCTCGATAAGCTCGTTCGAACGATACAATAATCTAGAAGATTGTATCTCGTGAAGTCTCTACCTAAGAAAACAATCCTATATTACAATCCTATACCACTTTAGCTATCTTTAGTTAGTTCCCGTCCCGTGCTAGCCCGTTATAGTTTGGCACTACTAACAATAGTATACTATTGTTCGGGTCCTTTTGGATAGGGCCTATAGAGGGTGTGCCCTCTACTAATTACTTATCGCAACTATCTTACTAAGTCGAAGTCTTAAGGTGGCTAATAGTAGCTCCCGAAGAGTATCTATTAGCCTCCTAACGACTCTACTACCTTTACCTAGGTTCTAATTCGAAAAGCTAGTCGATAAGAGTATAGTATAGCGATTAGTCTCGTAACTCTAGTAAGGCCCCTTAATTCTATACTACCTAAAGGTCGAACAAAGTTATAGCTAGTAGTATAGGTCGCCCCTCGTTAGTTAGGAAGAAGGAGTAATTGTTGACCAAATTTGGGTGACTTAAATATATATACCTCACCAAGGTCGCTAGTTTAATTTCTAGTATAGTTAGACTTTTTTAGGTACGACGCCTAAGCTATCACGCTAGTTAAGACTATAGTTAGGAAAATTGTAGAATTACTAGGGGATATCTAGATAAGGCTAAGGTAACGAGACTAAGTTAATAAGGTTCGCCGTACTACGATATAGTAAACGCTACCCTAACGTAAAGCTCGCGCAACCCTACCTTACTATATTACTTTTAGAACTCTACCACCATAGCACCTATAGCTTTATAAATAGTCGTATTCGCATAGCCTTAACAAGCTCATTCGAACGATATAATAATCATAAAGATTGCACCCCGCGAAGTCTCTACTTGAGAAAACAATCCTATACCACAATCCTATACCACTTTAGCCATCTTCAGTTAGTTCCCGTCCCGTGCTAACTCGCTGTAGTTTGGCACCACCAACAATGGTATACCATTGTTCGGGTCCTTTTGGCTAGGGATTTCATGGACTCAAGAATACTAACAGTATACTTCTATCCAGCTCCAAGCTAGGATAATTATGCTTTGGAGATACACAGAATAATTACACCCTCACAGAACAACGTCCAGAGGTATTTTAAGTTTACAAAATGGCAATGCCACATTTTTTGGTGCTTGCACGAGTCGTGGGCTCTGATGGTGCTTTCTCAGAGGTTTGCTTGCATGTGGAGAGGATTATATCGAAGAACATGGACTGACCCGTTATACAGTGGCAAAAGAGACTTGTTCCTCTATGTGAAGTTTCACGGAGTGAACCATACTCAACTTCTTATTATTGGGGACAAGATGTGGATGGTGAGCCCGACACGCTTTGGGGAATCGAAGGCTACGCTCACCCTATCGGGTTTTTTATTGGACATCCCAGCTCTGAGGTTTTCAAGCGAGAGATGAAGCTTGTCGATGAACATAAATTGCTTCGAAATGTGCAGGGTTTAGGAAGCCCTGATTATGATCTGCATTACTATGACATGGACGCTGGATTCTTGACCAGGTTGGACGACAGGGACAAAGACTGTACAGATTCTTTCGTGACCGTTGTACACTTTTGGTTGTCCGATGGAAAGCGTAAGCATCTGCTCAGTAGTTTGGCTGGCTTCGCAGACCGTGTTCGAGCAGAAGATACTGGTTCTGGCATCAAGGTACAAAGCTTCGCGGTACTAAAAGAGTGCCTTGATGTGAGTATGGCAAGTCTTTATATTAGGTAAGCGGTCTACCCTGCAATTCCATCGTCTTGTTAGACGGCGATAAAGTTCTAACTAGTTCTAAGAACGAGAACAATTGCGGACTGGGAAGAACTACGCAACTCGCACTTATTTGAAGAATTATTGATTGATGTTGGTGGTGTCATTACCAAGCATGAATTCCATAGATCCCAGGCGTTCAATGGGCATATCGACCAGAAACCGACACAATCGGCAGAGACATGAGGAGCAGTGATTGACATCTGGATGCTGGAAGGAGCTTGCGATGAGACTTGTCTCACTTATCATTGCCCAAGTATTGGATACTTCTGCAAACTAGCCCACTGGAAAGCTCTTGCACCGATACGCGGTCGCTTTTTGATTGAAATTTCACTTTCTCCTTGTTGAAGTCTTGCGACCAAGTTTTCTGGATCGAAATCGACACCGATAGGATTCTCATCGAATTCCACACTTGCGAAGAATGCTGTAGCCTCTTCTCTGCTGTCAAAATTGTCCACTTGTATTTCGATCTCATTGCCATCCGGATCATAGTAGTATAAGCTAGTTGTCGGTCCATGATTAACGCATCAGAATGGCTCTATGCCCCATACCTTGCGCTGGCGGTATGACATTGCAAGTTCTTGTAGAGAGTTATAGGTAAAGGCGACATGAGCTAAGCCTGACGGTTTCCCCACCCTCTTGATTGTCTCAGGAAAGATTCCGATAGCAACACGATGATGCTCTTCGTCGTAGCTAAGGAAAGACAGCACCTCATTTTGATACGTCACTTCCGCATCAAGGAAGTTCACCCAGAAGTCCACCATCGCAAGAAAGCTTGTATTGTCAGCTGTGCGTAGAACAATATGTGCAAGGAAGGCGGGGCGAATTACTTTCGAACCGGGCCTGTCGTAGTCCAGAGTCGTCTCCATTTCAAAAGTTCTGTGAAGAGAGTATTGCTTATAAACTCTTATTGAGTCTTTGGCTTCTTTCGTGAGTGCCAGTTATCGTTAAACAGGATAGAAACAAGAGAGGAGGAAAATGACAGCGTCAATTCCACGGAAGGTCTGCTGGTATTGAGAATTAGATCCCGGTTGTGCTCACTTCAGTGCCCGTGTGATGTAAAATCCGTCTTCGGGATCACTGTCGCTTGAATAGAACTCGGCATGGTTGAACGGTCTATCTTCGGCGGCAGGATACGCGCTTCGGCCTGACGGAGGTTATGCGTATACATCTGCGAAATCTTTCTCATGCAGAAGTCCGTTTGGCCGGAATCCCCACACCTTTTCAATGAATATTAGGACAATCAAAACGGTAGTTGATTGGCGTTGAGAAATCACTGCAGCAGGACACGATCGCCCAAAAGAGGGATCGAAGAAACCGTGATTTCATTTCATACTGCCTATAAAGTGGATGATTTGCTTTGCCAGCCCGCGAAGAGCACACTGCATCGTTTCCGCCCGGAGCCGCTTGCTTCTTGACCATTCTATTATCTCGATTTATTGCAGCTCGTCCCATTGCAACCATGATTCAAAAGCAGAAGACAATGCGAGCTTTCCGCTTGTTGGAGTATGGAAAACCTGGGCAATATTGTGATGTTCCTGTACCGGCTCCGGCAAAGGGAGAGGTGCTGATTCGCATGAAAGCTGCGGGCCTTTGTCGCTCAGACCTCGACATGCTGGACTCTCTTCCCGGGTCAGATCCGTACGCATCGGCAGTGGATGCACCATACACTCTCGGCCATGAGAATGCCGGTGTTGTTGAGGGCCTAGGAGAAGATGTCGACGACTTGAAAGTTGGTGAAGGCGTCGCTGTGCGGCATATGCCTCATTGCAGCCATTGCGAATATTGCATCCGTGGTATTACACAACATTGTATTACTCATCGGCGCGGTGCAATTGAAATCAACAGAGGTACAGGTTGGGATGGCGGGTTAGCCGAGTTTATGATCTGTCCTCGCGATCAGCTTGTTTCAATTGGAGATGAGGACCCGGTCAAATATGCACCTCTGACCGATGCCGGCGTAACTGCATATGGCGCATTTGGCACAGTGAAAGATCGCCTACGTCCTGGAACTTCTGCTGCTGTCATTGGAGCTGGTGGGCTTGGTGTTTACGCCATCCAGTACCTTAAAATGCTGGCAGGTGTCAAGGTCTTCGCGGTGGACAAGAATCCAAGCCGTGCCAGGATTGCCACCGAGCTTGGTGTTGACAAGGTCTTTGAAGCCGGCTCTAGGGCTCCCCAACAAATTATGGAAACAACGAGCGGGAGAGGCGTGGATGCAATTCTTGACTTCGTCGGGTCTAATGAGTCACTAAAGTTGGCGTGCGCCATCTCACGCCCAGGGGGGCGAATCGTGTTGGTTGGCATGGAAATGGGGACTGTTGAACTGGGCTGGAACAAGATTGCCACAAGCTGCGAGTTTGCAATATCCCTTGGGTCAACTCGACAAGATCTGGAGGAGGTGTGCTTGCTTGCGCGTGAAGGAAAGCTAAGAATTGATATGGATAAGTTCTCATTTGATGAAGTACCGAAGGCATACGATGCGCTTCGCAATGGCACGCTTACTGGGCGGGCTGTGGTTGTATTCGACTAGCTTTCCTACTCCGAATGGCTAATCTGAATAAGTCTGAGCATTTCTATTGCCGGCTCGCCTCTTGCTCTGATCCATCCCAAGCACTTTGACCTACTAGCTTGTGTTTGATTACCTGAGTAACACAAGGACGTATTTGCCACAATTCTGTACCGGTGAAATGGAAAGTCCTAGCAGTTGAGATGAAAAAGATCCCCTGCGCTTGATTCTTATCCGTGGTCTGCTCATAGTGGGAGAGATAGACCGAAGCAACTAGGACTATTACTGCGGTGCATCCTCGGTCATAGCTTTCTGCCTCTAATTTCCACACCAAAGGGTATCTCATGGATGGAAACGATAGAAAATTACCCACAGTGTTACCTTCCAAACACGAAAAGGTCGACTATACGAAAAACCACGACGAAGGAACTTTGCAAGACACTACCGAGGACGGAAATAAGCAGAATAATGTCCAGTTCGGTTCTCCAGCTTATCGTCGTGCCGCACCGGCCTGTACACACTCAGGATGAAATCAACAAGGATCTTGCTCCAGCATTTAAGATACTCCAAAGGTATGTATTGTTCTCTTCAGAACTCCTCGCTGACGAAATTTAGCGTCGATGGACTCCGTGCTCTTTGGAGAGGCAAGAAGCACGAAGAAAGGCATACTCAGGTAGCGATCGTCCTTTGGCAAGACTTGGCTTCGAGCCACGCGTTTTTCACCGGCGAGCAGTATCATGAGTTCAATAATCTTATTCAACCTGCCATGAATGGACGAAAGGTCGACTGGCAGAATCATACAGTCCTTGACACGACCGGTCTCGATGACATTAAACACCTGACCAACACTCTGAACAGTCCTTCTATCGAAGTAGCTTTGACGAAGGTTGTAGAAGGGGGGGTCAGTGGGTACTATGATCGATTCAGAAAGATCGTTGTTGATATCCTCAACGATGATCCGGGCTGCGACGGCCACTATATAAGCCCAATGGTGGAAAATCCTCAAGATCAATTGCTCTTAATTAACTGGAAATCGGTTGATGTCAGTTTGGCTAGCTTACAGCTATATCAGATTACGACTAACATCATTCCAGGCTCATCACGAAGACTTTGAAAAGAAGCCAACATTCAAAGCCTGCATAGACGGACTGAAAGATTACTACGCAGTTTTTGTGGTACCATGGCATGTAGTTGATCTAAAACTGGTGACTGGAAGTCTATAGCAAAAATCCTGCAACCTTGTTCATATTGAAATGCAAATTGACCCTCTCTATTGACTTCACTCTTTAGTGCTTTAAAAGAGTGACATCAGTAGACACAACATTCAGTCACCAACTGAGTAGCATCTATTTTGTATTCAAATGCATGATTATCTAACCAGCAGTGTAGAAGCCACAGGCAGAATAACCCCCATCGACAGTCCAGTGAGCTAAAGCTGTTAGTCAACAATTTTCCGTTCAGGGAATACATACCTCCAGTCACAAATGAAGCATCAGCACTAAGCAGGAACACTACAACCTTGGCGACTTCTTCAGCCTGGCCCATTCTACCCATTAGTGTACCCCCAGAGACGATATCAGAGTTGAATATGCCCTTGGCTTCGCCATCCCGGAAAATCTTTGTGTCGATAGGTCCACTGAAGCAGGTCAGGGTAGATCAGTCTGAGAGGGGACGGAAGCTCACGGTAATACAGCGTTGATCCTTATGCCTTTTCGGCCATATTCAGCAGCTGCGGATTCTGTCAAACCGATCACGCCGAATTTGCTCGACGCGTAGGCACCGTTGTAGGGAAGCCCACGCAGACCCGACGTGCTGGAAATGTTGACGATAGCACCACCAGGTTTGCATATGTTTCGAAGCTGGGCGCGCATGGCGTTCATTACGCCTGTTAAGTTCACACCTATCATCTTGTCCCACTCCCTCTGATGCTGTACAAAGTAAGACAGGGTATACCTCAAAGATATGATCTACCGACCGTCCTCTCAGTTGGTTGCCCGTCTCCAAGGGCAATCCCAGCAATGTTTGCAGCCCCATCGAGTCTCCCAAATCTTTCGACAGTTTCCGCAATCCAGCTGTCAACTTGTTCCACATTGCTAACATCTGTACGGTGAGTTACAACCTCGCATGTTCCTTTAATGCCTTGGTTTCGTCAACTACGGTTCTCATTTACGTGCAATCAGCTAGAGAAATACTTACATAGCTGTCTCGTCTCCTCAAGCCCTTCAGTGTCAATATCACTGATGGACAGTCCGCTCGCTCCCAGCTCTGCCAATCTCATGGCAGTAGCGCGACCAATTCCTGATGCAGCGCCACTCACCACAAATATTTTCCTTTCTATGCCGGTTGAAATCATAGCCGATCGTTTATCGTTCAAACTTCGAGTTTAGGTCTTGAGCAAGCTGTTATAGGAGACCAATACGGACTGAAACCGGGTGGTTATCGCTTAATGTGGTGAAACTGGATACACAAACTCTGGCGTCTACTCGTTGTCACATGCTGCCATGTTACGCCACCCGCACTTTATCAGGTCATCCATTCAAGCTCGGTACACATTCACCACTTCGGGCGGACTGACTTCAGCGGGTCTAGTCGGTGTGCACAGCCGGCCCATACAGCATTGAAGTAGTATCCATACCGGTTTATCTCAGATCCCGGAACATTAGTTGCAGATTCCTGACTACATAAACGTGACGCATGTACGCTGAAAGTGTATTGCAAGGGTTTGCACCGTTAGAGCTGAAACTTGAAAATACTCACTGTTAATTCACAACTTCACTCTCGAATCATCATGGCGGATCAGGCAAATTACATTGCGCAACTCGAGAAGAGATTGAGGATTCTAGAGGACAAAGATCAATTGGTGTCATTGCTTAATCGCTACTGCTATGTCGCGGACGCAAAAGATTGGAAAGGTTATTCGCAGACATTTACCGAAGATGGCTCAATGCTCTATGAGAGCTGGCCTGCAGTGCGTGGACGCGAGGCCATCGCGAAAGCAGCAAGTGCAGAACAACCCTTCGAAGGTCTCCAGCACAGCATGACGAACTTTCAGTTTGAAGTGGATGGCTCAGATAAGGCAACTGGGCGCTCTTATTTATGGTTTGCGGCAACCCCAAAAACATCAACTCCTGGAGACAATTACTCCTTTGGCGGTCCTTATCGATTCGATTTTGTGCGCACGCCAGAAGGTTGGCTGATTTCCAGAATGCGTTTGCAAAAGATTTGGTCACATGGCCAGGATTCTTTGAAGGTATTCGGCTAGGGGAGCATGCAAGCGACTTAAGAATAACTGAGTATTCTGGCAGCATTTCACACCTTTTACATAATTCCGAGTAGGAGAGGCTGTTTTGAATAGGATACGCAGATTCTTGCTGGTGTGTGAGCAAGCGCTTTACCTCGATATTTTGGCAGTTTGTTCAATAATCACCTCTGTGAAGGTGGCGAGATCTTCCCAACGGGCCTCCAAAGTGACCACCTCCAGCAACAACGTAAGTCCTACATTCTTGGAAAGTAGCGTATAGCATGGTGTTGAAGATTGGGAAAGGTCATAAGATCAATGCATACGGGAATACTTCAGCAATAGGGGAGGACTATGGCCGGAGGCTATGCTGCACGTGCAGCCAATACCACGGAACAACACCCGGAGTTCCACCGAGGTGGCTAAGTCATTTGTTCAATCCGAGGTCGGTCCGCACAAGACGGTGCGAGAAATTCCCCCTACATATGAATAGTATATTTTCTGGCCCTCACGACTGATCTACAAAAGCCTTATTTCCTCAGCCAGCAAGTGTACACGTGGCACTTAAATAGTAAGCCAGAAGCACCATGGTGGTAATGAATGAATCTGGTTCGGGCTCTCAACGAGAAATGGATCAGAAGGTCGGAATAGTCACTGGAGCGGGTACCCCTCATGGTATTGGTCGGGAACTGGTGAAGAAGTTGGCAGAGGCGGGAGCCCTGGCTGTTTATGCGTGCGACCTGAATCTGAGTGCCATCCCTTCACTTCAGGAAGAATTGAAAATGGCTGGCTACGATACACTTGTGGAGGGACGTCAATTGGACGTCTCTGACGCAGATCAAACTCAAGAAGTTGTCACAACTATCACTAAAACCCACAATCGCTTCGACTTTTTCTTTGCAAACGCTGGTTTCGCCAATTATAGGTAAGCGTTCTAGGGGACCATCGACTGGGCCAAAAACTAAGTAAGATGCACTAGGGATCTCAATGACACTGAAGTCCGGCACTATGAGCGGCAAATGGATGTGATGACCAAAGGCCCATTTCTGGCAGTCAAGTACGGTAGTCAGGCAATGATGGTGACTTCATCAAGTAAACCTAAACCTGGAGGCAGTATTGTCGTTACTGGATCTTGCGCATCCTACTTAGGCTCATATTCGGACCTTCCATATGGTATGCCAATATCAATCCCGGGTTTTATATCGGACTAACAAGCACAAAGCTACTGCAAAGACCGCGTTGCATGGACTGGTTGCAGCAGCTTCAGTGCAACTCTCCGCCAGCAACATTCGAGTAAATGGGGTAGCACCGGGATTTACCGAAAGCAGCATTCTCACAGTCTCAAAAAATGCGGAAGGAGGGGAATATTCAAACAACATGGATCAAGCAACCATCAAAGGAAACCATAAATGGTTCTTTGAAAGGGCTGGCCTGCTCGCGGCTCAAAAGTACTACTACAACCGAGTACAGGACCCATCGGAGATTGCGGGAGTGCAGTTCTTCCTCGCCTCCGGTTCTGCGGCGTGCATTAATGGGCAAATGATTCTCTGCGACAGCGGGAAGACGGCAGCTGCTATGGGGGAGGGATGTACCGGCTCAGTGCGCCCTATCGTTTCACTAGATTTAGACTTCAAGTAGAACATAATTGTAAGATTTGACTCGTAATCTCTCTTTAGTTCCATGCCCAAAGCTAAGGGAGCAATTAGGCGCTTCGAGACTCTTCATGGCACGCGCTCAAACTTCCCGGAGAACGCACATGTATGACTTCACGTATGGTTACTACAAACCATAAATTTCTTACAATGTACAGTTTTCCCCTGGCATCCGTTGCGCCATCTTATTCGCGGACTGGTTGATTGAAAGTCCGTGGACTGCCGCATGCCGCGGCGGGGATTCCTACAAGGAAAATGAGAGTTCGACCGAAGAGATGCCTTAGTTTCTTCCACCAATTATTTAACAGACACTGATGATATAGCTGTACAAATATCGACAGTCTAGCTTTCATCGCCTGGATAGAGGAATACATTTGATGCTACAGACAAGATGTACATGTTTGCACTAATAGTAGCGGGTAGTGTATTGGCCCTAATCTCGCTTTTGCGAATAGGACGCCGGGACCCTCGCCTGCCCCCAGGACCACCAACGATCCCTATCCTCGGCAATGCACATCAGATCCCGCTTACTGGACTTGGGAAAATGTGTGTTCACTTTGATCAAAGATGAATCAGTACTGACAGATTAGGTTTCACCAATGGATGGTACAGTATGGCTCAATTTACTCGCTAAAGGTCTTCAACGATACAATGATTGTGATTGCCGACCGAAAAGCTTGTTATGAGCTATTAGACAAAAAGGGGAGCATCTTCTCTGAGCGCCCTCATTTGGCGGTCCCGTCTTTCATGAGCCGAAACTGCCATATGACCTTCGAACAAGCAACACCTGCTTGGCGAGAAAAACGATCAGTCTTAACGAGGAATCTCAATCCTAAGAATCTTGATGAGAAACACTTCAAAGTTCAGGAGGCCGAGTACGATTGAGCCGACTCTGTTGCGAAAAGACCCCGTTAACGAGAACAGATCTGTGGTTTTCCTGAATCGCGTGCTTGAGCACCCTGACCAGATTTATGACTATGCTCGCCTATACGCATCATCTGTGGCTGCGATACTAGCATGGGGTTTCAGGGCTAAGGATTTCGAGTCATTCTTCTACAAAGATTTCTATGACTTTGTCGATCAGGTGAGTTTTGTGAACCTATATTTTGATTCTGAGCTTTCAAACCACTGATTGTCAAAGTGGCTGGAGGCAATAGAGCCGGGTGCGAACCCTCCAGTGGATCAAGCACCATGGATGTGGTATTTTCCTGGCAAATGGAAGAAGCGAGCTTATCACGTTCGTGGTCTTATGGATAGGACATGGTCCACCGCTCGAGCGATGGTTAAGACGAGGAGAGCCGATGGAGATATTCGTGATTCAATCATCGACATGAAACTTGCAGAATATGAGAAAAATGGTTGGCCAATGACGCAGTACTCTTTCAACAACCTTTTCGGTGAATTTCTCGAAGCTGGAGCTGACAGTAAGTCCTTGATCACTGCAATCCGGTGGAGCTAACACGTCAGCTACCGCCAATATGCTCCTAACTATAATTCTCGCCATTACGAAATATCCGGAGGTGCAGGAGAAAGCACGGAAGGAACTTGACGCAGTCTGCGGAAAAGATAGAACCCCGTTGTTCTCAGACTTCGGAAGTCTTCCATACATCAACTGTATAATTAAGGAGGCTTTGAGATGGCGGCCAACGTGAGTAACTTGAACTCGAGGTCCCTAGCTATGGCGTGCTGACATTGTTAGATCTGACCTTGGAATCCCACATAGAGTGTCGAAAGGTTATATCATGTCTCTTTATGCTGTCATGTGCCTAACAGCTGATAGATGATTGGTATGACGGCATGTTCTTCCCCAAAGACAGCACGATCTGGCTCGCTGCATATGCCATTCATCAGAACGAGGAATTATATCCCAATCCAAATTACTTCAATCCTGACCGGTACTTGAATCACCCAAAATTAGCAAATGACTATGCAGTGAGCCCGGACTGGGAAAATCGAGATAAGTTACACTATTCGATGCACTTGCAGTACAGAAACTAATGTTCCATACATCATTACGGTTATGGTGCCGGGCGGAGAATGTGCCCTGGAATTCACCTTGCAGAGCGGAGTATGTGGAGAGTCACTGCGAAATTGCTGTGGGCTTTTGAATTCCGAGAGCTTGAAGGAAATCCCCTGGATATTAATGCCTTCACATCCTCAAACCTGATGCGACCTCTACCATACCAGGTCAAGGTACAGGTCAGAAGCGAGAGACACCACGAAGTCCTCCGCCAAGAGCTAAACGGATCTCTGGACTTCCTTGCCCAGTATGATTAGCTGAGACTAGGTGTGGCAAATCACAGTGTTTAGGAGTGTTCTCAAGCTTGTCCTTAGGGTACTAAGTTTCAGATGTAGCCTCAAGAAGAATCAGTGTAAGCTCTCCCAATTCTTGGGGAGAAGTCTATTCACATCTTCTCTATCTCGCTAAGCTTTGCATTTGAATCCCATTTCAACCCTTTTCGCCTCAGCCTTGGGTTCTTTTCCGTCAGGTACAGAGATAGTAAATTCGTGAAATACAATTAATCTCCACCTATTGATTGGAAACGCTACATACTGAGGCTTTCAGACTGAAACACTCAGGAATGCCACCCGCCTTGAGAAGTAGCTTAGGTCATTGGTGTGCTCACATGTGCATTTTAAGTCACACTCAGCATTTCACCGCAGGTCATTGCCGAGCTAGCATATTTCAGTCGGCTTGATCTCGGGAAATGGTTTCATGGTCCACGGCAAGAGATTGGCTGATGTACTTTTTAAGTGGGTATTTTATTCAGAACGTTCTGTTCGCCGACTACCCTTCTTGTTCGTCGAACAAGGGTTTCAAGTTTGACTGTCAATGGTCGATAAGATGTATGGTAAAATTGTGCATAGAATCTCACCAGTCTGCCCTGATTGCTGCCTGCAAACGGGCTGCATATTATTTTTCGTCTGTGGCATCCTGTCAACTGCTAGTTCAGATCTCGGACGACAAATGGATGCTGTTCGGAAGCAAATTGTGATTCTGAGTGGTGTAGAGAATTCGAGCACAGTCAGAAGAGGCTTCGCCTGGACAGAATGGTTCTCTTGGCACATCAGCTGCTTCATCAGACGTCGAGCGAGAAGAATGCGCTCTCTGGTGTGTGGCGGAATATGTAGGTGGCCTTGTTGCTGTGGGCGATAGAATTTTCGAACCCATAACATAATGGAGGAATGCTACACGCTGTCCTCGTCGCGTGTATAGGCGAGTCCGTGACCATCAAAAAGAAATGTTGTGACCATTAACGAAGGAGGGGCCATGATCATCGACGCAGGAGGAGCACGATACATCAAGGCCAAGGATGAAGACAGGCGGAACTCCTCAAGAACGAGCCAAGAGCCTTCAATCAGTCAGAACGGTCCTGGAAAGTGGTAAAGCACCGACGAGAGCCTTTCAAGCCAAGGATCTGGCCAGGGAAGAGAGCCACGAAGTGAGTAACCACCGGAGAATCAGCTCGGTCACCACACAGATACATAATAACGACATCAGCTTGCACGCCTACAGCAACTAATGCGCCTAAGTCCAAGCGACATGCCTCCTATTTGAGGATCGAAACTGAGGCGAGGACGACAGAGATGTGCCTGTCTCATGTATACTCCTTTGTTATCAAGAGGTGAGTAAACGCCAGCAGATGCTCTTCGCTAAAATGTCTAACTTCGTCTCGGCGAACCCACTTTCGATATATGACACAGCGTTCCACGATCTCAATACTACCTATCAAAGTACACCAGTCTGTCAAGCACATAATCTATAACTCTCATAGACATAAAACCCTACCCTAGGGAAAAAGGATCGGTAGCCATTTATTTGGCTGCATGCTCGGGTCCATGTGAAAGTGCACTCCATTCTAACGCCACGTTGAGGCCGCGATCCTCGAAGTCAGGTTGTTGCGCCCCCTTGTGCAAGAGACGTCGAAAAAGCACGGTATGAGCGACCCTGAAGACTAGTGTATTATAGGGTGACCTCAATCTCGAAAAAATGAAGCTTTATTACGCACGCATCCTTGTTGACTACTTTCACTGGTTTAGGGTTACTCTACCAGTGTCTGGGTTTGGGAGTGGCAAGTACTGCCATTAGCCACGGTGAAGTTGTCAGTAGTCAGCTCGTCGACAAGGACATGATATGAGAGCATAGGCTCAGGTTGCGCGACGGACAATGTGCCCACAGGAATCCCCGACGGTGTTGGTAATCTGTCGAATGTAGAATTATCCGGTATATGAACTGTGGTCTTTGTTAATGAAGTAGTATTTGAAGTCAGTAGGGCTCCGGCTAGACCAGGATTATCGTTCATCAGAATCGCGAAGTTGGCCAAATGCGGGTATTGAGGTATTGCCTCCAGGAATGTCTGAGCCGAAGCTACCGATTGCAAGGAGAATACAGTGAGGATATAGTACAAGGGACCACGTGTGAGCTCCATCTTCGTTTGCTTCGTCTCACTGAGGATAAGAACTAGGAAGTAATAGATATAAAATTTGTCGCACCAATAGGTCCAAGCCATATAAGCCTCCGAAAACCGCTAGTGTAGGAGCCGTGGGGTTGTAAAGAAGTTATAGTAAGCGATGTTTCCCGGTCTACTAATTTTAGACTATCTAATGAATGCGATTCCTGGAAGCAAGTCTGCTGGGACGGGGAAATAGCTATACGACATGCCACGAAGACTGCGGCATTTCTCCGTGGTGGACTCTCTCTCCTCTCTTCAGCTGTGTTAAATAGAATTTTAGAGGAAGGCCAGTAGCTCAGGAGGCTTCTCAAACTTATGTCGCACTAACTAGGTTCCTAGAGCCTAAGTGGTTTAAGAACTTAATTGAAGATCTCTACTCCGATAGCAAAAAAGATATTAGAGCTGTGAGAGTTTGCCATCGTGGAGGTATCCCGGGACGCAGTAACCGCTTTATTCCCGCTCCGGGTAAGATGGCACACACTAGCTCAACGCTTATTCGACGTATTATCGATTCCTATCTAGTTGGTAGACTACAAGAAAAGCTTTAAGATAAAGTTCTGTATCCTGAGATGTTGGTCGACTTTATTCACGCTTCTAGAACATAAAAAGACCCGTGTTAATCTAAAATAAATCGGCTCTTAGTGCTACTAACCCAAGAGTATTAACCCTCAGTCCACCTAGACTTATCTAGAGCACATCTACATGATCTCCTCAAGCTGGTGTACTTTGCTCTTTCTAGTCAGCATACGCAAGCGCTTACCCCAGAAGTAGATAGGGATCGTCAGCAAAAATGCTAATAAGCAAAATGCATACCACACCAGCACAGGAACGTGAAAGCCCTGAGTCAGTCCCAGTGTTGGCACCCAGTACGAAAATGAGAAGCCAGCAACATTCTTTATAAATGTTCCAACAACCATAATCTCGCCACTGACAGGTCGATAGCAATCCACAGCGTACGCAATAGCAATAGTGGGAAGGCTGCTGAGCATCATACCAGCAGTGCCAAAGCCGAACACGACAATGATTGCCCAATGCCATTCCCTTTGTAAACCAACAGCAGCTATTATGGTACCGACTGTGATGATGACAGCGTATGGTAATATAGCAGGAAGACGCATCTCGGCTTCCCAGATACCACTATTGCGTTTTGTAAGCTTCTGAGCGACCCAATCAGACAGTGGTCCTGCGGTCAATGTGCCGATTATGAGTCCAATAGCCATACCAAAATTAAGGTAGCCGACCTGCTCGGGATTCATGTTGTAAGGTGGCGCGCTGAATGCGAATGACTGTATCAGATTCCAGGCCAGTGTTATTGCCGCGCCAGTGGTCAGGCATAGACCAGTCCAGAGGACAATTGGGAACCAGCAAATTTGTATAGGTATGATAGTGTCTCGCAGGAGGAACATCTTCCAACGCGGATCGCGGCTTTGAATAAGCCTGAAGTTGGCCTTGCCAGGTCTTCCTTTTCCTAGAACTGTTGGTGCGTGTGTCTCTTCGGCCGTCATACCAAAACGACGGCGGTACTTTGTCTCAGGAAACGTAAAGATCAAACATATGTAGGAGAATGAAAATGTTCCAAGACACATCCAGAAAAAGCTGGGCCATCCGTAACTAATGGAAATTATCAGCACATGTTCTAAGAAGTGGTGTGAATATCACCCACCGTTCCCCCATCGTCCCAGCAATAACAGGTCCGATAAATGTTCCAAGGAATGTAGATAATCTTGAAACTCATTAGTATCAATAATTATAGCTTACTGCCTCGACTCACATAGCAATCCCCACCCAGATACCCCTTTCGTGTAAGAAAAACATATCCGCTGCTACCTGGACTCCAATAGCCTCACAAGGTGCCGACACAAGACCAACGAAAGCCCTAGCTGCCAGGAAATTTTCGTAGGATTTGGCTAACGCTTGCCATACGCTCGTGATGATAAAAAGCCCTCCAAAAATGATGAAACAAGCGCGTCTTCCGAAGATGTTGGCCGTAGAGACTGCTAGGAAAGTCCCAATCATAAGAAGCAGGATCGGGATCCCGACCGTTAAACTGACTTGAGAGGCTGATAGCCCCCATTGCTCCATGTATAGAGGGAACAGTGGTGCAAGCGATAGAGTCGACACGGCGAACCAGAAATTGCATATTGAGGCGTTATAGATAGCGAGGCCTTTCCATAATTTCGACCAGTTTAAAGGATCAAGGGGATCAGCGGTAGGCCGGGGAAAAAGGCTTCAAATCGTTAATTTCCATCCTGGATAATTGAGGAGTGTTATACTCGTGGCCTGCACTATCATGTGTAGCGTCATCCGCTTTCTCTTTCTCGTGTATATATTCAGTCCCAGGAATAGCATCAACTATGGGACTCGGCCCCTGTTCTGCGACAATAGTATCCTTTGTATCCATAGTTGGAGAATTCGCCATAATATATTAAGAGACCTGCATCCGATAGTTACATATGTATTTCTCGATAGGTTAGCTAGGAGTTTACTTATATAATACCGACAAGTAGATCGCGGACGACGGGGATATGCCGGGTCGCGGAGCAGGGCCGAGATAGGAACCATGGGGTCTTGGAGCTACGAAATATAGATAAGGGCTCCAGAAAGCCTGATATATCTGGAGTACTATGTACAGACCATCTCATCCCCACAGATAAGCACATAGGTGGAAATCCCCAGAGTACCACGCGCAGAAAGCAGTATACCTGCCGATACGAGGGCTACCTTACAATCGGATCGCCTTCCCTGCTTGCATACTCTCCACCAAACCAGGACTAGTGCAGCTGGTGTAGATAACCTTTCGTACGCTTCGACGGGAGGATATTACGAAGGTGCGGGCCATAATTTTCGTTAGTTCGCGCTAAGTATTCTCGTTTAGCTTTCCTATCTCTGGACTACGAGTACGAAGTAGGCCTCACCCTTTACCTGGTTCTTAAAAAGAACTGAGCTGTTTTTCAGCTATTTCACTCGGATACTGTGCTCCACTGGGGAGGCTTCGTCACTAAGTTACTCGTAAAGCTTTACAATCTCTTACAGCTCGCCTATTGTCAAATGGGGTAAAATTTGGCCGTAGTACTCGTAGGGATAAAACGCCACGGCCTACTTGGCGCGTATCAACGAAAGATCTAGCCTCGTCCTCGCAGTTGATAACTGATAGACGAGTGCAAGGGCTCAGACTCTAGCTTATCTAGTAAGCGAGATTATCCATACCCTATTCGAGCGGGTAGTAGGCCGTTGAACGTTCCAGTAGGGGAAGTACCTAATCCTAAACTTCGGCTTCTTGTCCCCGAACTTACCGCGGGGCCTCTCCGCTAGTGCTTAAGAGTCAACGTCAAGAAGGCGCTGGAGTGGGGTAAGGGAGTTAGTAGACAGGGTACTAGCATTATGTAACCCCTTGTACCGGGCCTCTAGCTAGGTTAATCGATCTTCGCCTACACTGCAGCTATTGAGTTATGGATCAAAATGATCAACATGATTGAAACGATCAAAACGATAAGAATATTTCGCACTAGGAACAAAATGACTCACCTGCCTTTCTGATATGTCTTGAAGTCTTAGATAGTAGTAACAAGGCTTGCCCGACCGATAAAAACGCTCCAATACACGAGAGCTTGAAATACCTGGGAGAAGTTGGTATAGGCAACCAAGCTTTACTTAGTGATGCTGAAGAGGCTGGTGAGTTTCGTACCTAGGCCGATAAATCCCACTTCTATGAGCAATCAATTCCTGGGTCGTATTGCCCTAGATCGAGGCACTAGCCTTTCAAGTGTCCCAGGGCAAAAAGGTTCCACAGACGACGCAGCTAGGCAGAAGCCCTCAGAGTCTTTGTCAAATATCTCGTGCCCTAAGTGTCCTCCGAGTGACGTTCCAACCAAGATGTGTGTTATCTACCTTCTAAATCACTATTCACCGACGCTACTTCGCTGGCCAGCAAGCTCGATACGTCCAATGAGAGGGACATCAGTAACCTCTGCGAATCTTCCCATGGGGAAACAACTTTCTTCACACTTGACGAACCTTGTCCAAGCCTCATTCCCTTGAGCAAAATTGTTCAGTAGAGTAGGATCCATAATTCTTTATTATATCAGTGAGCTCAGCGTTGCCCTCGGGGTGTTTCCTGCTTCGGCTTGCTACTAACCGCGGGAGAAGGAATTGACTCTAGTTATTGGCTACTTGCGAGCCAAATTTTTGAGGAGCCTGTAACCATATGCCCACTGGCGGAGTACACGGCCTTAGGTACTCAAAACGTCATGAGACCAACCTATCCCCATACAGTGATAATACAGCCTTGACCAAATTGCTTCTCGACCGCGGTAAAGATTCCCTAACCTACAACGTGTTCGAGATTATGTTGCTGAATGATCCGATGAATCGCTTCCGTGCGAAGCGTCTGATTTATCTCTAGGATCTGATGGTGACTTTTATGTAATGCAAGCTTGGGCTAGAACGCTGAGATGCCGGTGTATCTAGCCAACCCATGAAGATCCCCTGCGATTCTCCCGATGAAGGGTTTGTAGACTCGTAGATTGGCGATATTACCGCTGCCTGTGCACCAATATTACTCATTTTCCCAAATATATTTTGTATAATAGGAAAGAGTGGGTTAACATGCTAGCCACCATGGCAATTATTCGCCTAGAACTATGGTGCTTCAATTCTCCACCGCCCCAAAGAAGTCTCGAGAGAGCACGGCTGTTTTTCTTCGACCTTTAATTTGCCTACAAGGCAAGTCCAATGGCTTACATGTACATCCTAACGTCCACCAGTGTATATCTGTACCTTTTGTAAGACAATACTGCATGGCATGATGGTATACTGAACGGGACTTGGCGCCAACGGTTACTCACTAGAGGCTAGCCAAGGTCGGGACATCTTCGTCTTGACTCGCAGTCGGCTTTTGAGCTTCCGAATGCCGTCATGAAACAAAACTTCGACGAGGGGGGCTGGCATATAACACAAGATTTTCCCCAATTAGAATCTACCTGTTTTCATCACGTATCAATCCCACCGGTATGTCTCAGCGCGCCCCTACTTGTAGCCACTGGCTCTCCTACATATCTCTCAAACAATAACAGGAATCAGTGAAGAAACGGAGCCTGATTGATTGTGTAACCTGCAGATAAGGCCAATTTATCATTTCGTTCAAGCCTTCCAATTTTCGCGCTGCCCAATCAGGTCTATGACTTAAATCAAGACGCCGGAAGATCAAGTGTGGTGAATCTCGACCTTTTAGTCGCAAGTGCGACATTACTCGCGCTTCCCCTGGCTATGTATCTCGCCGAAGCTATCCACTAATTACATACCTGGTCGAGATATTGGTACGGGTCTGCAACTGCATTCATCAGGTCTCATGCCCTGCTCTTGTGAACTGCAGCAGTTGATACTTCTGGAATCTCCTTGTGAAAAAGGCCAATCATGTGGAAGAAAACGCCCACCGGCTCGTTGTTGCCATCGTTGCCTTGCAATAGTCTCGGTGAATGGTTGGCCTAGAGCCGGAACAAGACATATACGTCCCTTCGCATTATAACAAATGTCTCGAGCTTCTTCATCGTCCAAACGTGGATGTCGAAGCATTGTCTATAACCATTCTGATTATCAGGCTCTGCGAGAGGTTGAGCAATTACTGTTTTGCAGCTATGCAACACATTTCGGAGAGACGCAAGATCATAACCTCGTAAGAAATTAGGAGTTTGAGCAGGTGCAATGATATCATTGAGAAGATAGTCCTATACTTTCTGGTCTCAGGCTTTACACAGGGCAGTACCGTCCAAGCTCTATAGGCCGTACAACTTTGCGACTAATGACTGCCACCCCAGTACTTCGTGTCTGACCCGCAAACTCGTCCTTGAACAGAATTAACCATCTTTCAGGCAGTAGAAGCCGGCTTGCTGATCCTGCAGGGCTTGGAATCACAGTGCTTACAGCCTTACCTAGCGCATCTGTCTTTCGTAGCAAAGACCCAGTTAGACTGCAGCTTTCCCAGTCTCATAAACCACTGAGTGTTCATGAGAGCCTGAAGCCTTTTCCCCTTCATCAGCAATGCTGCTCTCCTCTGACGTGATCAACCCCAGCTCGGTGTAGATCTTCATGAGTCTGTTTCGGTCTTCAATAGCATTCCCAGCCTCGTCACCAAAGACCTCGTCCATTTCTTCCAGAGTGAGGTTTTTAGTCTCGGGGACAAGAAAGTAGACAAAGGCGGCACCAATCACACACATGAGACCAAAGAAGACGAAAGTTCCATAGCCCATGGCTGCAACCATATCAGGGGTGGCTTGTCCGATCTAGATATAATTAGTGACTGTTGATCCGTGTCAAATCAAAGCCTTACCGCAAAGTTGTTCAGCCAATTGGAAGAACCTCCAATGGAGATTCCCTTAGCTCGTGACCCCAAGGGGAATACTTCCGAGACAAGAACCCAAGCACCCGGCTGTTCAGAAAGAGTCTCAGCTTTGTCTTCATCCAAGAAATAGAAATAGCACTTACACCCCATGAGTATCCGAAATTGATCTCATATATCCACACAAACACAACAGCAACCCAACCAGCGGCTCGATGAGATGGCCAGTCCTTACTATAAGATCCCATAAGGCCAGCGACGATGAAATGTGAGATTCCCATCCCGAGAGCTCCGGTAATAAGAACTGGCTTCCGTCCAAATCGATCAATGTAGAGTACGGCAGGAATCGTCGCGAGGAAGAGTAGAATACCCCCTACGCCACCTGCAAGTAGAGATGTAGTGTTTCCTGTAAGACCGAGGTCCTTGAATATGAACGAGGCGTAGTATAGGATAGCATTGATTCCGGACCCTGCGCAAAAAGACATTAGACGATCTTGACGGGGAATGGTCTTCACTTACATTGTTGGAACACCATAATGAAAACAGCAACACACACACGTTTGAAGAGTGATTTGTTGGTTAGCAAGCTGAGATATTCGTGATAGCCTAGCTTGATGTTGCTCATCACAGTTCCGTCTTGGTGTTGAGGAAACTTGGCGATCGAAGTTTCCCTCTCGAACTGGTGTTGGGCCTTAACTTCAAGGTACTCGAGTCGTACTCCAGGATCCGAGTCAGGCTTCCGACGTAGGTTAGCTAGTACGGATAAACATTCGTCGTCACGGCCCTTGGTCATGAGCCAGCGTGGGCTATACGAGTTAGATCAGCCAAAAGCGAATAGTCAGGCTATACTACCCACCTTTCTGGCATGTAAAGAATACCGACACCAAGTATAAGGGCTGGGAGAATTTGGATGCACACTGGAATGAGCCATGCTGCATCCGATTGACTTTCTCCAGTGCCACCAATATAATTCGTACCATAGCCTGGAGAATTATTAGTGAAGTCTCGGAGACTAGGAGAGTAGACGTACCGATCCAGTACGAGACCATGATTCCAAAACAGATAGCAAGCTGTTGGAGTGACACGAGGGCTCCACGTAGCTCGGGAGGTGAAAGTTCAGCGTTGTACCTATCTCCTGATTAAAACGGGGCCATGATAATAAGGTTGTAGCACAAACAGAGGGACAATCATGGATAGGGTTCCAACTCCCAGACCGGTCACAAATCTTCCACCGAAGATATAATCCGCATTTTTGGCGCAGGCTTGGACGACAACACCAACAAGAAACACAAAAACACCACCAACTGTTGCCCATTTCCGTCCGAAAACATCTGCTGTGATACCATTGATGAGGACACCAAGCCAGGCTCCTAGTTCGAGGATCCTAAATTTCTACTGATGAGCAAGCATGCTTGATGATTGTCGAAGGGCGAGGGTGCAGGGACGTACGCAGTTAAAAAGCCTCTGATTGTTGGGTTTTTGATCGAATCAGGATGTACAGTATTTGCAAACGAGGGCATTGCAAGAATCTGTCCGAACATTCCTTGATTGTCTAGGCACGCGGTCAACAGATTTCTAATGCCAATATTCAAAAGAAAGACTCACAGCCATATACGAATCCTCCAAGAGAGGCAAACACGGCAATCAGGAAAACATAGGAGCTGGCGAGAAGTCCTTTCACTCCACCTGGACCTGCAAATTGGGCACGCTTTTGTGAGAGAGCTGCTGGGCTAGACCCATCGCCAGCAGCAACCATATTGGCGGATTGACACTCAGTAAGAATAGAATATCTGTTACGTATAGTACGGTTTTGCAAACCTGAGATTGAGGAAGTTATGTAGAATGTAGGCAGATCCAAGGATGATATAAAATCCCAGTAGGGGTCCAACGTGGGCGTGCGTGTTTCCATCCTTCTAGACTAGATTTTGGGCATTTATCCAGGATGCAGCTCTTGCTTGTTCATTGGCTTAATGCTGGAAGGGAAGGCGGAACATTCGTTCCAAGACATTCAGGCTGAGGCTAAAAGGACAATATGGGGCAGGAAACAAGCGAAGGAACATGGTTTAGTTATCAGCCAAACTGGACATATGCCGGGGTCTGGTGGTAATGACCACTTCAAACACGGGGCAGAATTAAGTCTCCGCAGCTTTAAGCTTGGTGGAGGCTTACTCCGTACTGATGGCAAGCAGTCAGCTAGTATCTCAGAACCTTAAGATCTAGGTAGATTAACCTGGACCACCGACCTTCTCCTGAGGCTTTGGACCATAACATACATCCACTTACAGCAATACAGTAGAGAAGAACATAAGTTAATGGGAACTCGATGAATCGAGGTGCGCACGGTCAAGTTAGTTACCCCGCTTGTCTCTTATCCGTATTCAGAATGGCACAGAGATGCTTGGTTCCCTAAGCTTCGATGATCTGATTCAAGCCGCACTAGAATCATTCTAGCTGATCTCCTCATGGAGTTGCCTTGAGAAGCCCGGTACTGATGTAGTCCTTTTTAGCCTAAATATTACCTAAATCAAAAAGGGTTCGCGTCGGGTAAATGGGGCCTGCCAACCTGAGTAGTACCCTCTAATTGGGAGGGGTAACATTGAAGTGGCTAAATTCATCTTACATCAATACCTCTCAGGGATTATTGTGACCACCGGGATAGTTCCTGAAACCTTCTCCAGACATCTCAACCTACAAGGGCGTGCACGATTAGTCCTGACGCCGCCAACTGACCACCTCGGTAGCTTAATCTACTTAGCAATAGGTATTTTGTGCTTAATCACCGCGAGCCGACGGGAATTTACTTCGTCATACCTCGCAGGTCTACTCTTATTCCTCGCAATTGAGTGCGGGCGCTATGCTACCCAAGGATAATAGTTACAATTGGCCCAGCATGTTAAGTGGTCGGAAAGTCTAGGGTTGAACCTTCGGCTCATCTATTGTTGATAGCTGCACCGATGACTCTTGATGCAATAATAGTACACCGCAGATTCCCCAACCTTGAAAGCTCCTTGCAAAACTTGGAGAAGCACTTTCATCTACCAAGAGACTATAGAACAGTTTTTCTTCCGATTCATCTCTGCATTTTCAATAATGGTAGTACGCTTCGTACATTGTAAGACAATCGCTGTCAAGAGGGACGTCACTACCACACGAGGAGGAGAAAACGTTATGGATAACAATGAAGCGACGGCCCTGCGTATGTGCTCGTTTCCAGCACATGGAACAAAGTCGTTCAAGTAGTACTTGAACCAAACGGTATTCGCCACAAACAAATTGCCGAATAAACTCAACCACCTCCTTCATGCTATTACGCATGTTGCAGCTAATATTATTGACCAAGAGCTGACACCAGCAAGGTATTCAACTTTTTTAGAAGGAAACACGGAGCGTCTATCAGTGATGCGGTTGTCTATTCGAGCCTTTCAAAGCATAGATCCGAGAAATGGTTTACAATCCGTTCTGGTAACCTGAGAACTCTCGTTCGAGTCTATTCAGGAGCAAAATCCGCCTTCGGTGACTTAGCTTTCGTACTTTGATTGGTCTTATCTGCAAATAATACCTCAGGATCTGATTGTTCACCTTCTGGAGTTTCAACATCTCAATGCCTCCGAATTCTATCAAGTAGTCAAGCGGCTAGGATGGATCTAGTACCACGATTAATGCGACATCCTTAACAGTGCTAATGGTATTTTGGACAATTGGAGATGGCCAGGTAACGGTTCCTTAACCGATTTCAAAGGCCTACCACAACACCGCGCAAGCTGGAATCCTGATATCGACCTGACGGCAAGAATTTAGTTTAATTGGAGATAACTTGGTAACCACTGCCTCTGAAAGGTGCCTGGGATCATCATGTTGACTACTCCTCTTCAGATCCTTGGGTATCCAGATATTACCCACTATCCAGCCCAAGATGAAGAACCTAGTGGTTTTCACCGCAGGAACAAGTTGGATTCTAGCTGCTCAAGGTCTAGATCAATATAAATACGGTGATTTAAAAGCAACACTTCAAGAAGAATCCGGATAAACTTCTGGATTTCTGCAAGATAACGAGACGAATGAATTGCCTTTTGGGACTTTTATCAAGGGTCCGGATACCCGAATCAAAGTTAATGGCGATCTGACATCTCAGATACCGGAGAAACTTCACAGCCCGGACCTGGTGTCGAATTTCATCCCTATATGGAGCCCAGGGTTGCCACCATTTGACTCTGCGCATCAACTATCTCAGAAGTTTGAGCCAGGAGAATGTGGAAGTTGTCATTGGTGAGACTGAATGGTTCACCAGGAGGCTTTGCGTGGACAATGATGGGATCGAACACAACTTGGACGTTCTAATTTGTGCGACTGGTTTTGATGTCTCATTTAACCCTCATTTTCCCATTCGGAGCCCAAGCATAAATTTTTAGGATGAATGGACCGAAATTTCTAGAAGCTACCTATTTATCGGTGCGGTGAATATATACGAAACTATAGGCTCCTCCTGGGGCGGAATTATCCTATTGGTATTGGTCCAGTACTGCAAGTTATCGGTATGTCCTGAATTCTAGCTCACCTTCTGTCATTAATCCAAATTTCAATATTTATATAGTAGTTTAAGGTACGAGCATATACATGCTCCACTAGGTTGATCGATAGTAAACAGAAAACATCCGCAGGTTGTCACCCAAGCAGGACGCTATTAGGGGTTTGTCGAGCATTTGACAAGTACATGCAGTGTACTGTATGGACAGAAGACTGCAGGTCATAGTACGGGAATGGTACGAAAGACCGCCAAGTCAGGGCACCGTGGCCTGGGAATTCGTTGCATTTCAAGGAAATGATGGAATAGCCTTGACCTGATGACTTCGATGTGCGATATAATGATAATAGCTTTTAAGAAATGGGCAGTGGCTACAGTTTGACATATATCCGTCGAGTAAGTGGGCTTATTACTGGGAATTCTGATAGGAGCGCCTATCTTGAAACTTCTGACTCACACACATCTAGTAGGAAATTCTTGTCCTAGACCTGCGAAGAGAGTTGTAGAGAACAACAAGTTGCCTTTAATTAAGGCCATAGAGATTCACCCCGGCAGTCTTTCTGTCTAAGTATCCTCAGATAGAGAGTCAATGATGTTGCAGAAGCATTCATTAAGCTACGATCCGGACTACTTCTATGGGCCGATGTCTTTCCATGTCGAGGAGGAAGAATTTTCTTTCACCAGAAACTATTTAGTATACCCAGTGCCCACACTTAACTTAACATGTCGACGAAACGGACTGTAAATAGTTCGGTCAGATTACGAGATAGTAACCCCTTTAACTGACCTGTGGAAGATCAATGCTGCGGCCAGGTCGCGCTTACCTGAGAGCATATCTGAGAGTCTACCATTAAAAATGAGTATATGATAGTTTCAACTATTTCCAGTCCTACCAATCTCGTTTCCTCAGATACAGTTTACTGACCAACTATGCCATCCTCAACTTTGCGTTCAACATGCCACTAACGGGCATTAGTCCTCATGTATCATCATAGGTAGAGAAAGTAGAACTTACCATTTGAAACGGTGCATTCCACGCATATAGTATACTAACGGCCTCAGTGTAATAGTCATTCCTGAGGGATTGCTCAAAGTCCTCGAAACTATCCCAACCTCTAACGACAATTAAAGATCTGGTCTTCTCACCCTCAACTTCTGGATACTCAACTTCTTCTGAAGTCCAGCCCATGGCCCAGCCTTGCTGGCCCTGTGGGTTACCCTTTTGATAGATTCCGTCAAACCTGATAAAATCCTGTTCGATCTTTTGCTTGAATTGTGGGGTTAGGCGAGATACGGCAAAGATATTTCTCACGTATTCGACTACCTCCGCCGTTGCAGGACCCTTCACCCCAAGGGTAGGGTGACTGAACTGGACATGAAACCTGTCACCCAGCGTCCCAAGGAAGCCTGAGAGACTCTCCACGAGAGAAGTAGTGTCCGATTCCAGCCCAATATTTGCGCAGCCGATATCATCCCCTTCAATCGTGACTTGGATGGTACTGTTGTCTTGCACTTCTGTCCCAAGAACGTAGTGCTGGAGTGGTATGACGCCATTTACAATGTCAGCAGCCTTCTGCCAAACATTGTTATCCACTTGGACTGGTAGGTTATGCCCGAAGCGTAGAATATCTGTCGAAACCATTGTCGATGGCGAGGGCGCAGGCGAAGTGTAGAACGAAGCCACAGTTACAATACTAGTTAGAAAGCTGATCCAGACTGTGCTTGGCCTCATTTTTGTTGCAAAGTCCAGGAGATTCTTTCAATTTGAATGACAGGGAAGCTGTGGTGCTAAATATTCTACAACTCGGATCACCACTAGCCAGAGGCCCTCCACCAGATAAGCCAATCGGAGCCAAGTCCGACCGGGTCATAAATATATCATCCCTTGTCTGCCCCAAAGTCAGGGAGAACAAGTACCCACGGACATGTTCCGTGTCTGCTACAAATTATGTTTGATATTCTTCGTTCCGCTCCGTATCCCGATATCCTGTAACCGGCCAATCAATTACCTACGTAGTGACATTGCTCAATAGGCCTTAGTCCCTACGCCACTCACTGTCGTCATCATTCTTTTCCTTTGAATAGTGGATGATATCATCTGGAGTCTCAAGCTTCGGAAAGTGGCTATTTCTTACTGTAATAGGAATTTAATGTTTTATCAGATACTTACCAGCTATACCTGCCTAGTAACACGATACAGCAACAAGGCAGTAAAGAACCAATAGCCATCGATTAACCTACTCTTGTATAACCCTCGGGCCAAATCGAAATGAAGATAAACGCTGAAAAAAATTAGCAACCCTTGCACACAGCATTGCAAGCTTCCAGTTACACTTCACAGGAAAACTTCTTCGGCTACACGAATGTCGAAGCTTAAAATCCTCATCGTGGGCGCATCCATAGCCGGGCCCACGGCAGCATACTTTTTCGCTAAGGCTGGAGCAACAGTCACAATTATCGAACGCTTCCCTCATCTGCGCATAAATGGCCAGAATGTTGATATTCGTACCTCAGGCGTTACTGTGATGAGAAAAATTCCTGGTATGGAGGCCGCTGTTCGAGCAAATACCTTTGACTTAGACGGCCTTTGCCTTGTTCGCGAGAATGGGAAGCCCTATGGTACGATTAAAACTAGCGGAAGCCCTGACCAACAGTCACTGCTATCCGAGTATGAGATCTTTCGAGGACGATTGGCAGCAATTCTCTACGATTTCACAAAAAACAATGAGAATATCAGATATCACTTCGAAGAGCAAGTAGCCTCAATTCAGCAGGAGGACGGCATTCGAGCAGTGAAAGTCACGTTTCTGAATGGTTTGCAGCCTGCCGAATATGACCTTGTAGTAGCTTGCGACGGCGCAACGTCCCGAACCAGAGCCATCGGATTTCACTGTGGGGTTCGCGACCACATATTTCCTACCAACTGCTGGTCAGCATACTTCTCGACCAAGCAGGATCTCATTCATGGGAGCAGACTGGGCCATGGCTTTAGTTCGATCCCAGGCCGTTTCATGTCTGTCGAATATAACTCTTCCGGTGGCAACATAGTTAACATGACGATGCTACATCCCCAGAGTGCGCATAATGCCACAGCTGCACTTCGTGAGGCAATCGCACAAGGCGATGATTCGCTCAAACAGTACCTCGTCAGCCGCTTCTATAATCATGGTTGGAAGACTAAGGAGGTCCTCGACGAATTACTGAAGACTGACGATCTTTACGCTAGTGAAGTTGTTCAGGTTAAAGTGCCCAGCCTTTTCAATGGACGATTCGCACTGGTAGGAGATGCTGGCTATGCACCAGGCTTTACAGGAACTGGCACAACGCTTGCCCTAACTGGTGCATATATATTGGCGGGCGAGATCTGCAGGCACAAGGGAGATGTCAAAGCCGGCCTTGCTAGTTACGAGAACACTATGAGACCAATCATTAACGAAATGTCGAAAGTGCCACCATTCGTCCCCAGCATACTAGCACCGCAAACCGCTTTGGCTCTTTGGTTACGGAACAATTTATTCGCCCTATTGGCTTGGTCAAAGCTTCTAGAGTATGTTCAGCGCTTCTTCGGCTCATCTGGTGGCAAGACAAGTGAATACCCTTTGCCGGATTATCATTGGGAGAACGACTGAGCCACACGGACAGAAGATCTGATAGATATACTTTGAGATTTGGAGTGTTATTTCCGGTGTAAGATGACTTTAGAACCAACGGCTATGCAACCACAAGGACCCTTCTATAGATCGTCTGCAGGAGTAGTTCCATGGTATAAGCATCACAGAGGTACAACAATCCCGGTAGGAAAGTAGTTACTTAGTGGAGATTATCACGGCCATGTCTCCCTATTCGTCTCTCATATGACGGCAAGGGACTTCATCTGCAAATCAGTTCTTCCTTCACTTAGATAGGATGTCCCGCATTTATACTGCACAGGTAACTCTTCGACCACATTATATTGCAGACAGTTGAAGAAAGTTGTCTTCTTGGTGGAATTCGACAAAAGGAAACGTGAGGTGTACTACTTACGCCTTAGATTCTAGCCCAGGATTCTGCATTGGCTTTAACCTCCGCAGACTGTCCGCCAATACCTCAATTGCTGACAAAGTTTGCCTTGCAGATACTGCCGTACCGTTGATGAGTCAGCCTCGTTCAACGAATTGGCCAACCAATTGTGGGTATTGCTGCACTGTTTCATCTGATGGCGAATTAGTTTGTGCTGGAAAACTTGGCGAAGGCTTGAACGCCAGATTTCTTCAATAAGTTGCATCGTTAACAACAGAAAGGACGACTACATCAGAACTCATCACGATGGTCACATTATTGGAGTGATTACAACTAGCGGTATCTGACTCAAATGGGAAGTACTTAAAGTACTGATAATTGGCTAAATTATCAGGATGTGTTCAGCATGCACATTCCAAAACTTCTCAGGTAGCTTCGCAGAAATCATTCATAGTCTACCAGTGCTCCGGGCTGTCCTCCCCACGCTAGCAATTTCACCCTCATCGGTGCTGAGCCTGACTAAGTGAGATGAAAACTGTTTTGCAGGCCTCTGAGTTGAGATAGGTAAGGACAATTGCCCACGCACCGGTGCAGATTTCATCTTACCAAGGGGATCTATCATATGGCCCGCATTCTTTTTGAAATTTATATAAATAGTACTGCCAAAAACAGAAACCAATGGACGCGGATTCTATATGGCTTTGCAAGGATCAAAATTTGCTTTTTCTCCAACACAGCCAGGGACATACCTCGCACGGAATTGCGATAAGCCATGCAACACGTTGGCAGAAAAAGCAGAAGCAGAGAACCCGAACCAAATCAGCGCAGTCCCAGGCAGTCTACGCACGAAGCTTGGTGGGTTGGTATTGCCCAGTTTCTACCTCAATTGAAAAGTCAAGTACTCTAAAAGAGAAACTTGGTGCAACCGATATTCACATAGCCAGCCAAATTGACAAGAACCAAGAAATCAGCATCAAAAACAAGCGTGTGAGGCGAGCAGAAGATAGTAACAACCAACTAAATATGAGGAAGTATCAATTCCAATGGCGATTAGGGGCAAATGGCCTCCCACACAAGATAGATGCACCCGATGAAACACGTCGAATCGACAGTATCCTCCGACAAGCACTTGTTTGGACAGAGGCCAGCTTCTGTGCTCTATGGAAGCCCCAATTGCAGGAGTTCCCATACATCTTTGACCACGACAGACGAGCCGAGGTGCTGAGAGACGCTTTTCTTCTTGTGTCAGACCTTCTCGAAGTTGGAAAAACGAGATTGGCCTTCAGCTCACTGAACGAGATCTTGGATACAATCCCGCGATACTTTATCAACTCGCATCCTGGACTTTTCCTGTGCATTTTAGAAGCTGCTTTGGGTCTCAACATGCCTAAGGCACCAAAGAGTCTACACAAAAAGGTCAAAGAGCACTTGGCCGAGATCTCATGGGTACTGCATGGCCCTAGCCATCCTCTCACAGTCTTGTTATCGCAGCGATCGGAAGACTGTGGAAATGTCTTTTATATCATGGAGGTCTTGCTCAGCTGTATGAGGGATAGTCTAGCCAAAGTTTTCGGCCATTCTGGCTACCAAACTCGCTTTTACGAATTTACTATGGCTCAGAACTATGCGCGTATGGGTAAGATCGAAGAGGCACAATTGACCTTAATTCGATTGATCAGAGTATGCTCCGACCAGTTTGGGAGCGATAGCGGATTTGTTGGCCTCTCGGAGTTCGAGTTGAACAGAATACGACTAGATTGGCCAGCCAGCCAGTCTTCAGCCAACCAGGGGGAGACGCCAGATAATAACCACATGCTATTTAAGGTCGAGAAGGCTTTTCAATATTACAACCAACTCCTTGCCACACAAATTAAGCAAGAATCACCGACGGCAACACTGGAAATCCCATGCTGGCGGATAGAGTTGGCACGTTATCTATTTCATAAGAGACGTTATACTATTGCGATGCACCTTTACTGCAGCGGGAGCTTCGAGGAGCTGTCGATTTGTAATCCCCAAGTAAAGAAATCTCCAGACACTTGGCTTGCGGATCGCATCGCGAATGCGGCGAAAAAGGCATTTCAAATCGAGTCGACGTGGGCTCAGGAAACTTGTCCAGTCCTAGGCCCACTAGGTTAATGAAACCAAACCCATGATTATTGCTCGCTTTATCGAAGTACTCGATAGCTTCATCATATCCCGGTCAAGTAATGAACCAGTTCGTCAGCATCGAGTTACAGCGTCGCCTCCACAAGTTGGTCAGTGTCCTCCATGCATGATTGCCGCCCACTCGCCATCTTTGTGGAAGAGTATCGGATACTTGTCCATCGACTGCACTAGCATGTCCACGCGATATGATGGTGGGCGAGGAGACCCACTCGTACAGAGCAGTGTGCTGGCGTCGATGTATTCAAGCAAGCCATGGATCTGATCGGCAAACGGAAACCCAAGTATATTAAACAAAGAGACATCGAGTCTCGAATATGTGCTTCACGGAATTCGCACTTAAGGAAATGTCGAGCTTTGATGATTGTTCTGAAAAAAGTTGTGAAGCACCGTAAGATGGGGGCCAAGGCTCAGGCACCTTGAGGTCTCGGAATCGAAATTGGATATTGCTTCTGGATACAGCGACAAAGGTGAAACTGAAGAAGCGAACAAATTTATTGTCTAGCAACACCTGGGCGTGCTAGGTAGGTGAAGAATTTTGCTGGATCGTCGATTTTTCTTGGCGAAAGTAATATCCATGGCAGAGTCTCCAAGATACCGTCCGTGATATTTTGTCATGAGATTAAAACCGTCTGCGCTGAGGTCATCCAGAGATCTTTGAATTTCATCGACACTCTCATCGATGTGATAGGCATCAGTCAGGTCAGCTAACTAGGCACAATTGCCGCCCTGCACCGGCGGATCATTGGGGACGGGACGGCATCTGATCCGACGCCCAGCATTCAGCGACAGACAGTGGTCGATGATCAGTCATGTGATCTTTGGGTATACGAGCCCAACCAGTCGTCAAGCGAAATCCATTTGTGATCTTCCCGCCTTTTAGGATTCAAGCAGCAACATACTCGTAGCTGGCGATCGTACCTCGCAACTCGGAAGGATCATGACATTGAATATTAGTGTGAAACTCCTCGCTTCGCATGCCTCAGATAGGTCAATGAACGGTTCAGAAACATCAGGCGTTGAATCATGGAGCGTGACCCGACTTGCGCGTGGCACAAGGGGTTGCCACAGGCATGCGACTCGGCTCCAAGTCTACTCCGCAGGTCCAGACGTTCCTATCATGGCTGAAACTAGCCGATCTTCTCACTTCCAAGCAGACTGGACAATCCAACAAACTGCAAATGCTAAGCGACTAAGCAGTCTGGTGAAACGTAAGGGCGCGACTTTACTGGCTTAGATTGAGCCTCTTGTTTAGCACCGCGGGGAAATGGCTCCCAGTCCGCGTTCCCAAGTTTTCCACGCCTAGTTTGTCAGTCACAGACAGGCGAAACCTTATTTCAATAAGCGAACCCCGACCAAACTCCTTGGTTCCTCGAACAATCTCAATCTCCACATCAAACGGGCTGGCTGATTCTGGACGAACTATTCCGCCCAAGGCTGGTAGCGCATTCCAGGAAATTTGACCTAAGAAAAACCGAGTTCAAGGCTCTTTCCAACACGGTGTACTTCGTGTCGAGGAATGCAGCTGGGAAAAGTTTGTCATGCTTGATAAGCTATGTAGAAAAAGACTCTGCGTGCCTTGTTGTAGATAATCGTCTTTCCGATTGACGAAGAGATCCTCCGCATACCGGCAATGATGTTACACAGGGTTGTGGTGCATAGTTGTCAAAGGCGAAGAACCTTCCAAGTTTGGGGCTCGCTTCGTGCTCCGAGACTCCAACATCAGCCCTGGCCCTTCCGTGATGGGGAGAAGTGGACCTCAGAGGGAGTTTTCTCCATCTCCTATCCGTATAATCGTCAATTCTCTCTTGCCAACTTCCTACGTTGATGGAACTATGGAGTCAGCCCTCGATGATTTTAGTATTACCGGACCCCTTATCCTCCAAACAAATTGTCGGTACAGATATTAAGGTTTGACTCGTAAGGAAAATCACACTGATACAGCAGCTGTAGCCCCCTCTGCACCACGTGTCGGAGCCCTGTCAAGAACAGACCTCGATCTGCACGGCACTGGGGTAGCACTAACTAGTAGTACACTGTCCGAGTACTTGATCCTCGTACCAAGCACGGCTTTATATCTTAGCCTGAGGCTACGAGATCACTTCAATCCCTACGGAGGAATTGGTCCGTTCCCCGCATGCAGGAGTCTGTCGGGTTTTACGTGAAGGGTATCTGGTGTTAGGATAACCAAATCTAGTGTCCTGAATAACCCAGCAGAGCTAAGGGTCTGCTCCTCAGAATACTACGACATGTGCAATACAAAAGATGTCAATTTCCTCTCAAGATCTGCCTCTTTTGAATTCGAGTTCAAGGACCTTGCAGACTTCCGTCAAACCTTCTTGAGGGGATGGCTTCGGTAGCCCCACCAGCGTATTTCGAACTCAGTTGGTCGATTCTCAGCACCATTGGTATTGCCAATACCCTCTTCGGTGTTCTGGTTGGTGGCATAACATCATTCTCGCCAGTCTGCGCCGTACCAATTTTTACATCAATTGCTGGCGCCGTGGCCAATGGCCTCTGCTTCTATGCGTTTTATAACGAGTCGAACCCACTCTTGGGAAGAGCGGTAGCATCGGTTTTTGCTGATATGTGTTGGATGGTTAGAGCCTTATCCATTCAAGAGACTTCAACACAGAATGCTAACCTCGAGAAGGTTCAAGAAGCAGGCTACTCCTTTTACAGCTATATTATTCTGACCCGAATCCTGCGGAACCGATCCCGACGTGTATTCCTATCTCTGTTCTGGTTGTCGATGCTGGGTATTGCGGTGCTTCGCGTCACAATTGCGGTTTTGAGGTTCCGCATTATCAAGGATCAGGATGACTTTCGTCAGGAGATGGTGAACCATCTTCATATCGCTTACTTTGTCTCGATCGCCCTTATTGAATGTGTCAGCGCATACTTTCTTTTGAGAACCTTCGCAACGGGTCACAAAATGTCTATCAAGGCATTGACAAGGATAACACCATTCCGCTATTTGATGCGAAGCACTGAGCTACGACTTACCTTGCTTGCATTTCTGGGTACCACGAGAGCAGTCACATATTCATTCCAAGTATCCGCTCAGAGCGCCACTAGCGTTGCGAGCCAGGTGGATCGTTTCGCTTATACTATGGAATGCATGTTTCCTTCTGTTTTGATGTAAGCAAGTTGACCACTTTGGACAGTTCAGACGCTGACCAGCACTAGAATCGATATTCTGGCATCTAAGCTTGTCTACCACAGCCATAGCTACGGGCAGTCTTCACAAAAACAAGACACTTCACAAAGACAAGCTCAAGATCGCACTGCCCCCCGAGCAGGGGGGGCATTCGAATCGCAGAAGGGCACCTATGGCGTCCACGTTCAAGGTGCCGGCAATTTTGGCCGGGCGACAAGTTCAGAAGAATGCATTATACCAAATTACACGGAAAGAACCACCCCAGAAGCGCATGAACTGAATGACATGACCCAGAAAAGTACAGGCATCACGAAAACAGTTGAGATTGAGCTCTACCCTGAGACCGAAGGTCGAAGCCAGGCAAAATCCAGAACCTCATAGTCACTCCATGGCTGCGACCAGTAATTTTGATGATCTCGGATTGTCGATCTATAGTGGCATGCTCATGGCTTAGTATCGAGATTTTACTGCAAAATTGCTCTTCCGTGCCCAGGCTCCTGCACAAAAGTAAGCGCGGGGGGTGATTCGATGTGTTGACATGTACATGAGACTCACGATTCGTTCAAGACACTCAGGGCTCGGCGCGGTAAATAGGATTGCCATTCAAGCATATTCTTCTTGGTACTGGGATGGCGTGACGTTACTCCACGTCTAGAGAAATCCCCAGCATTAGGACGGCGGAGCTGCCAGTGCATCGTGCCAATAACGATCGAGATCACGGTAGCATTAACACATTTTACCCCTAGACCTACTCGGTCCTGAATTCGACGTATAGCGCGGCGCTTTGCGGTAAGGATGATTTGACTGTAATATGGTAGCGAAGGTTTGGGTCTAAAATACTTGCAGAGGTTGGTACAACATGCTGGCGCGTATCCTTGACCTCGTAATCTTCCCCTTCAATCAAAACAGTCAGTGAGAGAATCAGACACAGGTTCGTCGTACAGAATAAAAGTCCCAATTTTTCGAGCTATGGGACTGTAGCTCCAAGCCTGATCAGCATTCTTTTCGTGATCTCAAATGTCGCATGCTCGAGGTTCATGAGCTTTACTGCCGTAGCGATGCCTGATGGCCCAGCTCCCGCTATCATTATATGTAGTTATCGTCTTCGTGGATATCTTTCATAACCTAACTCCGGGTGTGGTGATTTCTGAAATGTTGCTTCCTTCGGGTCTTTTCTTTCCAGTTCTCGACTGCAATGTCTTTTTATAAAGGGTCCAATGGAAAGTCGGTGCCGAACCACTGTTTATCCATCAGTGGCATTTTGTAACATTTGTGGTAGTGATCGGCGATCCGACGCTCTTCTTTAGGGTGTTTTCGTTGCCTTCTCATCTATAAGCACCTCTACATCGAATTCTAGCTTCCTTTGAGCGACTAGAGCAAGACGCTTTGCTGAACATGACATGAAGTGACTTGTACTTTGTTCCGCATAGCCTGGCCAGGGAGTGTTAAGGGGTCGAGTGGGTACCAAGATCTCGCAGGAGGTTGGAGTGACCTTTCTCCATCGAGATTTCCAGGAGAGTCGATCTTATGTTCGCCAGTCCGCTAAGTCTAGCTAATTAGTGGATATGAGATGTGCAAATCATACGCAGGCCGACATGCTACCTGTACGCGCTCGAGCCATGTCATTGTTAATAAGTACCACATCAACATCCGCCAATGAATGGTGATTTCCGTGCTACTATTACTTGAGGTGAAGCCAACTAATAATGTTCGTGTTCTTCAACGACAAAATGAATTTAATCAATTCGAAGAGGCGGACTTCAGCACGACGGTCGAGGATAGCTTGTCCAGTCTGCAGATCCACAAAGTCCGTTGCTACATCGTGGGTCGAGGTGGGCAAGCGGTGGACGTACTGCATCTCTGGTCCACATCAATGTGTTTTACTATTGACCAGTAAACCGAGCAAACACCAAACTGAACAGAATCATCCCTTTGTAAGTATGAAACAGTTTCTAGCTTAAACTATACTTTCGTTACTCTAAAGGACTTTTAGATATCGTGGAGTTAAAGTGAAACTTTCCAGGTCAACATCAGTCTCAATTTACCATCGCCCCTCACCGGATTCGAGGTCAGACGGCCAGGAGACATTGGAGCCATAACAGTGTCTCAAGAAGCCTTGCTCAACGTACTTCTCAACTATCTCATTTACTTTGTGCACTCATAGGTTCATCGCTCGGTAATCAACAACTTTACGACCAAGTTTTGCAGATGGTACCGGCTAGAACTTTCAGTCTATATGTTTCGCAAGCGTTGCTTCCAACCACGGTTTCACGTGCTAGTCCGAAAATGTTGCGGTCACTAAGATTTGAAAACACACCGGACGCTTCTAGCTGTTACCAAGCGAAGGCACACGTAAGAGTTACTTTAATCCCAACACCCAAGGTTGTATCGAGACTATACCCGGTGTATAGGGTCTCTAAGGCATTGAACCCAGACGGGAGAAGCAAGACTTGGTCAAAGGCTTATATTACTGAGAATATGTTCCTATAATGCAGCTAACAGGATCGCTGAGCATGTTGACTTTGTTTCACAAGCTATCTCATTGGCCCCGGAAGCAAGTTACCACCAGTTGGAGTTCGCTGGGAATGAAGACGATAGGATTGCAGAAAGGTCAACTCATCGACCCTGGTGGTCTTATTATACTCAAGATCTCTTGTCCAACCTTCTTACTGGGCGCAAACCTTGCATTTCGGACGATTAGACAGCTGGTCTTGCGACGGAATTGATTTATGAGGATAAACCAAGTACGCCACACGACGTGACATTTGGGATTGCCTGCCTTGCAACGGAAGAAAAGGAAGACCATGTTCAGGGTCATTGCCTGTGATCCTACTATAAGTTACGTCTAGCTCTACTGTGGCACGATAACACTGCGGCGAACTAAACTAATGATACTACGGGGCGTGCTATACTCTGCAGTCTTTTCAGGGAACCTAGACTTTGAAGCTGCACCTATCACGCACAGACAGCCGCCTGGTTGCATTAAGCATCTTGTGTTTTGGGCGACGCTAGCGCGCCGTGGAAGATAGACGAATGGTTATTGTTATTAGTACCCTCTTCTGCTAGCTAAGTTGTATCTCCATCTATTTATAGAAAACTGGCTTGTAGGTTTTTGAAAGACATTCTGGTTTCAATCATTTTTAGTTCCAACAGCGTCGCAGCTCAACTGCCATAGCCGTTCTTCTGCGTGGCCATCATAAGCATGGGGCACATAAGCTGGCGCAGCTGCAGCATCCTGTGGCCCCCATGGAACTGCTTCACCAATATCTGCGAGGTATACTCCACCCTTGTCATTATAGCGTTTGGTAAGTATGCCCCAGACGCTCGTGGCCGCACCCTGCTCCGAGCTCTTAAAGGTTGGGAGTAACGCCATCATCCTTGGATCGGTCTTGAAGACCGAAGCATCCATGTGGCGCCCAATACCGGTCTCAAGGATACCTCCAGGATGCGCAGACAACCCATGCAATCCCTTTGAGCCGTAGTGTCGTTCAATGCTAGACGCCATATAAATATTGGCGGTCTTGCTCTGGCCATACGCCTCCATGGTGTTATACTCTGTTTGCTCCCAATTAATATCGTCGAAGCGGATGCCCGAGTATCGGTGACCAGCACTCGACACGACCAAAACGCGACTTTGGAAGTCTGGAGTTGACGACGCAACTAGAGCCTCTTTTAGCAGCTGAAAGAGGTAGAAGTGTCCGAAATGGTTCGTGCCAATCTGCGTCTCAAAGCCATCCATAGTCTTGCCTTTGGGAGTGTACATGACTCCGGCATTCAATATCAGTCCACTCAGAACTTTGCTCTTGCTGAGGAACTCCTCCGCGCCAGATTTGATGCTGGCCAGGCTCCCGAGGTCGAGCGAGATCACCTCAACCCTGCCCTGCCCTAAATCGGTGCTCAAGATCTCCTTAGCGATCGTTTCTCCGTGCTCTCTTTTCTCCGGACGGACGGTGAAGAAGACATCAGCTCCCGTAGCATGTAGAGCCTTGGCAGTTTCCTTGCCAATACCACCACCGCCACCCGTGATGAAATATACCTTTCCCTTGAGCTTGCCGACAAGACCCTCATCCCGGACAATTTGCAGTGCCGTTGGGCGTGCGTCTCCTGCTCCCCCGAGTTCCTCGTGGGCTTTGGCGTAAGGTCGGAATGGCTCGTTTGGTGGTCCAACTATTGTGGAGGCGAAATATGCAGACAATGGTGGGTTAGTGCTAGTAGCAGCCATGACTGTATCTTCTGCTAGACCCAAGTGTTGAGTGATTACGCGAAGATTGCGAGATCGACAGAACATTAAAAGTTCATACGAGCGCTTTAGTGCGATTTTATATGGCGAGAGGTTAATCAATTCCTACTAACCTGAGGTAATTATTGATAGTAGTCGTACCGGCTTCGAGCATCTTAACCACCACTTGTCAGCTAGTGACATTAACGCCGAGGATGAAATTTTTTAAACCCGTTGGCAAGCGACATTGACGCCTATCACGTGTGTCAGATCTCGTTCATGGAGATAGTTATTAGTTTTTGTGGGCAATATTCCCAGCCGTTATTAAGTCCGTATAATCTTCCTTTCGAACCACTCCATACAAGTATAGAATGCTACCTACGCAGGACAGACGATTTAGAAGGTTAAGAAGATAAGCAAGTACGAAGGTTTAAGCGAGGGAAAGAGAGAGGCGGAGTGGCAAGATAATGGTTAAAAGCGGTACGGCTGGTTGCTTTCTAAGACCCTGGCAAGCGTAACCTTAAAGCTACGAGAAAAGAGGTAGTGAATTTATAGCGGCATGTTTTGATGCTGTTGCCAAATGTCCAAAATGCTACCTAGTTTGACTTTTCGCAATAGCCCCTGAGTAAGCATGACAAAAGAAACGCGAAGCTTGCAGTAGATCGTGTATTGAAATCTGCCGAAGAGAACGAGAGAAGAAGAACGTAGAATCGAATATCTTCACGTGTGTTTTACCTCTTATACTATAATTTCTCTAGCTCAGTATATTCGTACTACCTTTTGTTCGGACAACTGCCGTTACCCTTTCCCCCTTGGACCTATAATACTTAAATCGAGATAAGGTTTACTGCGCTTCGACTAATAGTGACCGCTCGCTGGTAATCAACATTCTCGCTTTATAACCTTATGTAATGTCAGCTTGTACTCGAACGCTGAGACGCCGGCGTACTTAGGCTCCAAACCATCAAGATCGGCCAGGAAGTATTAGGTTGGAAAATTGGAGGTGTTGTTGAGCGAACTTGCAAATTTGAGGCGTGTCAACACAAACAATATCCAAAAGTACACACATGCGGGCGCCAGGGGTAAATACCGACTAGAAATTCATGACTAGAAATTCAGAATCTAATCATCTCACGGAGGTGTTACACTTCGATTTCTCTACCGCAAACTGCACTACCTTTGACTTGGCCACTGGCCTGACTGGCGTGCTTGTTGATATTCTTATATTATATATCGTACATACATACATTCATAACACAGATAAATTCTTCGGAATTCATCGCTCGGGACAATTTGAAAAGCCCGCTCCAGCCGCAGTCGAGTGTAAAGGAGATAGACAAGCGACCAAGACCCACCCGATATAGTGCCGCATCACAGGCAAAAGAAGGCAAGCAGGTGACAAAAAGGAGAAGAAAGGAAATAGGTATCATATTCGCGGCGTACATCTCAAATTCAGGAACACACAAGGCCAACGCCAAAGCCAAAGTCAGAACAGAAAAATATTGGACATGGCCATCTCCTCAGACGTTCAACTATCATGTCAGCCATTCTGACTGTCCGTCACAATTCATCTTTCACATAGCTAGTGACGCTACTGACTGAGCTGCTGATCACGCTGGCCACCTCTTCAATCTTACTTTCAAGTGCCTCAGCGGCGTCGGAACCAGTGTCTCCAACACTGCTCGCCATCGCGGCAATGGCTTGCCGCGCGCTTTCCACTGCTTCAGCAATCTTTGATTGTGCACTTTCCAATGCACTTTGCTCGGGACCGTAGACCGCCTCGCTGACTTTAGCCTTCACAGTGTCAGCAAGGCTGGCCGCGTTACCAGTGATATCATTGACGGCAGATCCTGCAGCAGCTATATTATCCGCAACCACTGATGATATTGAAGCATATCCATCGGCGGCGGCACTGGTAACAGATTCCACGGTTCCTGTTGATGTACCATAGATAGCCATCGAGATGGCCGCCTGAGCACTCTGGGCGACGTCTGCGAAGGAAGTTTGTGCGGCTTGTGCATAGCCCACCTGTGTACCGTAGATGCCCTCGCTGAGGGCAGAACTTGCTGAGGAGTAGGACTCAGCAACAGCCGAGGAAGCTTGTTCAATCTTGGCCTTGGAAGTGCCATAAAATTGTACACTCGCAGCATCCACAGCAGCGTTCAGTTGCTCAGTTACCGAATCGAGAATTGATGATACTTCGGGTGGTGGGGTGAAGTAAGTGGATGCGACTGAAGAAACCGAAGAACCCAGCGAGGAAGCAGATTCATATGCCTCGCTTGCGTAGCTTGATGCCGACGATGCTAGTTCGCGATGGTAGCCGGTATAATAAGCAGAGCTTAGTCGGCTCAGGGCTGATTCCGTAAAGTCAGGCTCCCTTCCTACAATCAACTCCGATACAAACGATTGTATGACAATGTATTGATCCTGGGCGAAATCTGTGACCTGGGCAGAGTATTCTCCAGCCTGCGTAGCATACTGTTCATAAAATGGCTTGGAGCTCCCATAAACCCGTTGACTTGCTTTGGCCACGAGATCTTCCCAGTTCTGTGACGCCACACCTGCAATGGACTGAATGGATCCGGTCGGTGCACCGTAGAGGGCAACACTTACAGAACTTGTCGCCACGTCCAAAGAAGAAGAAGCGGCAGCGATAGCAGCATCATATTGGGATGAAAGATTGTCAAGGATACTCTGAGCGGGTGACTTCTCTTCAACCCCTACTGCAGAAGAGGCAGAGGACAGCAATGCAGCCAAGTTTGCAGCGGCAGCGGAAGATGCAATTCCATACTGAGAAGAGGCGGCATCCATAGCACTTTGATAGACTGGCGCAGGAGTGCCATAGACTGCGACACTGGCGGCAGATGAGGCTGAGGACAACGACAAAGTCGCGACATTCAAAGCACTGGAATACGCCACTTGGGCACTTTCCAACAAGCTCTGTGCTGGGTTTGCGGCCGAGTTGATTGAGGATCGATAAGAGTCCAAACTTGCAGATGCAGCAGATGAAGCTGCTGAGTATTGGGAAGCGGCAGCATCTACAAGGCTTTGGTAAGCAGGTTTCGGGGTTCCGTAGGCGGCAACAGATGCGGCGCTGGACAGACTGCTCAGGACTGGCTGAGGTTCACCATAGATGGCGGTGGAGGCCGCAGCGACAAAATCGGCATATTGCTCATGTGCCAGCCCAACAGCAGCATAATAGTTTTTGCGCGCATCTTGGAGATAACGCTCGTGTGCTGGGGCAGTGGTAATCCCAACAGCGGCCTTTGCTTTTGAGTATTGTGATGATGCGGCAGCCAGAGAATCCTTCAGAGCTGATGAAGCCAAGTATGTCACTGAATCGAGTGGGTATTGAGTTGGGAGAGCATTCGCAACAACCTGACCAAGCGAGCTATATTGATCTCCAGCCGCAGTTTGAGCGGCTTTGAGTCTGCTGCTTGCAATGTCTTGAGCGCCCGAATAAGCACTTTCGATAGACGAAAACATCTGCTCGTGAATGGGTTTGGGGCTCCCCGAGATTTGAAGAGATGCTACAGATTTAGCTGCGGAATACTGTTCCTGTGCGCGGGTGATAGCGTCACTGTACAGCGAGCTGGCTTGTTGCAGAATTGAATCGGTGACCGGAGCTGGTGTCCCAAAGATCACAGAGCTCGCTGCATCCACTGCCTTTTCATACGCATCAGAAGCCGCACCGATGATGCTCTCGCCAGTGCCTTGAGTGCTGCGGTACAGCGCACTTGAGGCTGCCTCAAGCGCCCTGGAGTATTGCTCGCTTGCCACAGACGTAGCACTCTCGATAGTTCCCTGTTGAGTGCCGTAGATGGCTTCCGAGACCGCACGAGTAACTTCTGCATAGCTGTCACCAGCATCATTGACCACTTGCTGGAGCTGATCCGAGAAGGTTGGGCCGTCGTTGTCAAATACATCGTCGAGAATGGGATGCGAGCCTTTCACTTCTTGGGCCATGACGCCCGTGAAGAACGAGGTGGAGGTATAGGAGCTGGCAGCATCTGCTTCGTGCAATGTTGATTGCAGGAAATCTTCACTGGAGTCGCTGGCAAGTGATGACGTTGTCTCAGAGGTTGAAGAGGCCTCGCCGGCAATTGAAGATCCCATGGATCCTATGGTACTGCCGGGGGACTCAGCTGCCGCCAAGGTTTTTTCGGTCAATGATAAACCTGCGCTAGATGCCTCGGAAGACAGTGACTCAACGACGTCGGTGCTGGTGCCAAGGATGGCCGAAGAAGCGGAAGAGACCAACCCTGATGTGGCACTACCCTCGGACAGTGGCGAGTCGGATGATGGTACACTCACGAAGGAAGAAGCCGATGCCATGATATCTGCGGCAAACTCGCTAACTTCTGATGCCACCAAATCAGCAGTACCAGTAGTTGAACCTGCAAGAATGGAGGACTCAGAGGAAAGGGCGGCAGCACCAGCACCAGTTGCTTGAGATACCAACGAGCTAGCGGAATCAATGACATCTGTCTGAGCACCCTGGAGCTCAGATGCCAGGCTCGAGGCGGCAGATTGTGCCTCAGCGGGGACAACACGGGTTTCGAAATCATCGGTTGCATCTCGTGCTTTGAGCTTCCACTGAGCGACGGATTTGAGCCTAATAAGCTCCTTGGCCGCGTCCTCTGTGATGGCCATACTTTCTTCCAAGATTTGTTCAGCCGTGAGGAGGGCTTGTTCCGCATCAGGATGGGCCAGCGCCACGCTGCTCACTTCTTGCCGCCATTCATCCAGCTGCACTCGAACAGCATGATACTTTTCCCAGTGCTTGTAAGTGACACCTTCCATCCAGGCCCACCGCAAGCCAACTTCCTGGAGGCCGAGGTCCTTGATACTGTCGAGAACTTCCAGGGTAGATTCGGAGGCTGTGGTCAGCCGTTGTATGAGACCTCTCACAAACATTTGTTGCCACTCGCGCACTTTCTTAGCCCGTTCTTTGATCTCGAACCCCGAAGTCCTAATGGTGGCCAGTATGTCTTCAGCGGCTTTTCGAATCTCGTCAGGCCCAGCGTCATCAGCTAGAGAAGTAATGACCGATTGTATCCTGGATTTGACATTTTCGATTTCATTGACGATGGTCTTGTTCAACGCGTTGGCGAGACCTCGACCCAGACCATCGAGATCGCTTTTGACCAGATTTGAGATTATTTCATCGGCTCTCTCCTTGAGGTCCTCGCTGGCCTTGTCAGCAGCCACGGCGACTTTCTTTTGCCAGCTGATGAGGTCTTCAGCAATGCGTTCCTCGGTAGCGGTCTCCATGGGGGGTCTGACGGGCTGTTGTGTGGTGGAGGTCTGCTCACTCTCGATGTCGGTCAAGTTGTCGTCTTCCTCTGACTCAAACAGAGCATAGACATCATCCAGGACACCCGTGGCGGCAGGAGCAACAGATGGGGTTGTTGTCGGTGTGACGGGTGTTGATGCATCGACCTGGTCGATGGCGGCCTTTATTTTGCGGCCCTGTTGGTACTTTGCGATCCTCTCGTTGATCATGACTAGTTGAGGTCTCACGTTGTGGATGTACAGGCCTTTGAGCAAGGGCCAGAGGGTGCCATCGAGGAAGATGACCACATCGGACCAAGCATGCCTCGCAAGGGGGTATGCAGTATTGAGAACAAATGCTTGGGAGGACGTGTATGCCTGGTCGAAATATGGTTTAGAGCGTTCGAAGGAAGGGAGGAGATACTGTTGATGGGCGTGGAGCACCGTATCCTTGGCCGTGGAATAGTGAGGGGCGAGCAAGTGGACGAGCTGATCAATATATGGAGCCAAGTTTGCGTCGTAGAGAGCGGTAGCCTGGTTCTGGGCCTGATGGAGCTGGGGAACCACTGACTTATCCCATTGAGCTTGACCATAGGATTTTGCGGTCTGGATCTGAGGAGCGGCGTACTTGTTATAGTTCAGACGTGCGACCATCGAGGCCGGGCGGACCACTCTGGTGTTGAGCAGCTCGACATAAGGACGAGCAGTTGCAACGTGAGGAGAAGCGTAGGTGTCGTAATAAGGTTGGAGATGGGGCTGCAGGTATTGTTTGGTGGTGAAGTAAGATTTGCAAACTTGTGGGGAGGAGAGGGTCAGGGCATCAGGAGTGGCCGGACATCGAAAGATGACGGTCAGAAGAGCATACCAGATGGACAATCTAAGAAAAAGTCAGTCACAGAAGAGGAAAGGGAGGACGTTGAGTTGGTTAAGACCTACCTGGCGAGGTTGCTGATAAGCCAGGAAGACCAACTCTTGCGAGGTTTGACAGCAGTGGACCGCTTAGGTAGCGAAGTGGAAGTGACTGCATGGCCATTGGCATTTCCATTCATGTATCCATTAGGTCTGTCCTTGACATTTTCAATCGGTCTGCCGTTCTCGGCGACTGCCATGGCAGCGAGCTGTCGTGGTTGAGAGCCGCGCAGTCGGTGGGTGACTGAAGAAACCACAGAGAGAGAGAGGGTGGGGCGGGGAAGAGTAGGGAGAAGAGAGAGGGTGAGAACGGGAGATAAGGAGCAAGTGGACGATGAACGGTTGATATTGTTGTCGACAGAGAGTTGCGGAGATGGATCGAAAAGTAGAGTTGATGATCAGGTATGGATGGAGTTGCAGTGGTTTGTCGGAGAACTTGAATGGATGGTGGATGACCTAACTAACTAGTTGGGGTTTTTTTTGTGGAGGAGGCACAAGCCTGAGGGAAGAAGGACAAGATCCAAGAATCGAGGTTGGCACGGTATCGAATTGTGGACCACCTACAAAGGACTACACAAAAGTTGTAGACTAAACACTGACTGCTGCATGAGACAACGGCCGAGGGGGATGCAGCACCTCTGACTACCCTATCAAAGTTAGATAAGTCGGGATGGCCACCCAGGCACTCTGGCTCAATAAACGACGGCGCCACTTCGTAAAGGACAGAGCAGGAATTGTGCAACAGCCACAACGTCACTGGCAGCATTTGGTGCCGTCAGACCTGCAGTAGTAGAAATCGAACTCGGAGTTCATCGAGGTCCCCTACTTGAAAACTTGGATTGTCGCAGGGTGATCCGACCCAGTCGCAAAGCGTCAATGATTATGTCCTCCAAGTTGTCACTGCACCTGAAACACTGGGCAGTGGAACTTGAAGGCGCACATGCAATTCCGGCGACCGCTCAGCGTCTCGATCGGAAAGGAACATCGTTGTTCCAGTCCGCGTCATCGTCACATGACCGCGACCCTCCATCTTTGGTTCTGTCTATACCACTTATTCAAATTGTTCATCACTTCGCAAAAGCACTTCAACTGGAATTGACTGGAGCATAGCCACTCTGTAATACCTACTCGCTCGGTTCTACTTTGTCGCTCCTTCCTTCCCCCACGCCACCTGCTGTCGATGGCCTAAACTCCTTCGTCATGCACCTAGTCTCCCCATCCCTCTGTTCTGCAACGGCATCCCTCTGCCTCGGCCATCAACATGGCCTCCGAATCGCGCCAGACTCATTCCACGTCCGATGATGATCTCCATAGAACCGCACCTCAGCACATCGAGGACACCCAAGAGTACTGTCGCATATGTCGGGGTGAGGCCTCGTCTCACCAACCCCTCTTCTATCCTTGCAAATGCAGTGGCAGCATCAAATTTGTTCATCAAGAGTGCCTCAAGGAGTGGCTCGCCCATTCTCAAAAGAAATACTGCGAACTATGCAAGACTTCCTTCCGCTTCACCAAACTCTATGACCGGTCCATGCCACAGACCCTACCATTCCCTCTCTTTCTGCGCCAACTCACCCGCCATGCCTTGGCTACCTTTCTTCGCTACAGTCGATATCTGCTCGTCCTACTGGTTTGGCTGTGCTGCTTGCCCTGGTGTATCAGACAAATATGGCGTGGTCTCTTTTGGTTGGCCGATGGAAACTGGTCCGATGAACAGAATATCGTCCCCGACCAAAATTCCACCCTTCTCCCCACCGGTTCGCCCCGTCTTCCACTAGATGTCCCCCAAGCATTTGAAAGCATCAAACTGGTTCTGCCTCCTATGCAGCTCTCTCTGGCCGATATCGCACGCGCCGTCTTTAGCCAAGGCTTGCTCGGATGGCTGCTTCAGCTCATCCTCGCCGTTTTTCTACCCAACTCGGCACCCAACCACGCGGACCTCAGCCCACCATCTTCAATCGCCCACCGGTCTTCTTCTCTTCTGTCTGATGTTCAATTCCTGGCCAATTGGTCCACAGTTCCTGCAATCAACAATACGACACTCGATGTGGTTGAGGGCCAGCTAATATGTATTTCCCTTGTCACCGCCTTCATTCTGATCTTCCTGATCCGTGAGTGGGTCATCAATCAACAGCCCTTAAACAACATGCCGGATCCCGATGCACAAGACAATCAATTGCCCCTCCCTCTTCCGGTAGGCCCACAAGATCCTCCCATCCCACAGCCTGGGGAGAATTTACACGGGGTTCGAGACCAGGATGCAGATCTCATCCAACAGAACCGGGCGTTGCGTCCTATTGCAATTCCGAGACTACGCAGAGCTCTCACCGACGATAATATACTCGCTGGCTTGCCCGTGAATGACCCTGAACGTCCCACCTTGCCCGCGAGAGCTGCAAGCGTCATTGCTGGCCCTTCAACTGCGCGTGGGGACACAAATCCCACCCACGACTTTGGAGAAACTGTCACTTCTGGAGACGAAGGAATTAGCGCTCCATACAATTCCATTCTGGTTCAAAGCGAACTCGAAATAGTTCCCGGCGGCAATGCAAACATCAGCGAGCATCAAACTTTTCCGTCCGACACAAGTGATGATGACCTCTTCAACCATTCCCCCTCTCAACGACGAGAGTCATCACTCTCTTACAATAGTCAAGAGTCACCTTCACAGGACGCAAATGCATCTTCGGACTATTCCCATGACTCAGACGGTGCGGACCACGATCAAGAAGAAATTTCAATTGTGCATCAGACTGCTGTCCCCAACATCAACCACACACCCACAGAGGCTGCTGAGCGAGAGCCCGATCTCATTGACTTGGCAACAACATATGGTGGCCAAATCGAAACCTCTCGTATCGAACCGACTGCCGCTGCTATCGATGTTGAAGAAACCCATTTTCAGAAAATCGCTGCCTGGATGTGGCATGTCGATAACCAGCAACGGACCCCTCAACGTCCTGAAGCGCGTGATGTTGAACGCCTGGTTCGAGATTTGAGAGATGAAGGCCCCTTCATTCCCATTCACCATCAAGAGCGACATGGCATTCGGCCACCAGTCGTGGAAGCCCCACCTCCTGCCCGCGAAGCCAACAACGTCTTCGGTCTAGATTTGAATGATGCCAACGCGGTCGAAGATGCCGAAGACATAGACGGAATTCTCGAGTTGCTCGGTATGGAAGGTCCCATGTTTGGGATGATACAGAATGTCATCTTTAGCCTCTTTCTCATCACCCTGACACTGGCCGCCAGTATTTGGTGTCCGTATATCTGGGGGAAAATCGCTCTCTTGTTTGTCTCCAACCCATTGGGTATGTTGATCAAGGCCCCTCTCTTTGTCCTGTCTCGCGCGGCAGACATTGTGGTTGATGTCATGTTCGTTGCCATTGGAATCGCTGGGATTATCCTCAACACTCCCTTCAGACTATTACAGACCACCGTCGCCCCACTATTCCCTGATCTGAGCAATCTCTTGGATCTGGATGCTGTACACGTCCTGACCCTTGACATGAGTCGAAGAAGTAGCAATCGATTGCAGAAGGTTCTCTTCGGGGCTGTGTTGAACCTAAAACCAGATCTTCCGACTTTCTCCATGGTATCTCACCACGCTCTGGTATCTTTGAGATCATCTGTTCACACTACATTGCTCGGCGTCACCTCTGCTATTGTTCGAACCCATAAACACGTTATTACGACTCCGATCTCTGCTACTTCACTTCTCTCCAGTTTCTTTGATCTGATCAAATTGGTCTCTGCCTCTTTGATGGCTGCGAACAACCATCTCCGCTCAACTCTGGAAGAATTTTATTCCTCCGGCATCACTTTCAGTTTAGATTCGTCGGTGGCTACTGGAGTTGTCGATGATTCCCTCACAACCTGGAGCACTGGGGACAGAGTCGTTACCATAATTATTGGTTATGTGTTTTTTGCAGCAGCGGGAATTATCTTTCTTGAGATAGCACATCTGGTTCTTGGCCTGGGACAAACCGAAAAGGTTGAAGGCTACTTTGCAGATTGCCTACGGCAAGCTGGTGGTGTCATGAAGGTCATTGTCATCATTGGTATCGAGATGCTTGTTTTTCCTCTATACTGCGGACTTCTTCTCGATGTTGCGCTTCTGCCACTCTTTGCGGACGCCACGATATTCAACCGCATCAACTTTTTGATCCACGCGCCTTTCACCGGAGTTTTCATTCACTGGTTCATCGGGACCTGCTACATGTTTCACTTTGCATTATTTGTCGGTATCTGTCGCAAAATTCTTCGAAAAGGGGTCTTGTATTTTATTCGCGACCCAGACGACCCCACGTTTCACCCGGTTCGTGATGTTCTTGAGCGGCCTGTTCCTACTCAGTTGGGGAAAATTGCATTCTCTGCGCTAGTCTATGGAGGCTTGGTCATGGTGTGCCTAGGCGGCGTGGTTTGGAGTCTGGAATGGTTTGGTGATATTTTTCCGATTCAATGGGCAACTTCGGAGCCAAAATTGGCTTTCCCAATTGATGTGATTTTCTACAACCTTATGTTACCTCTACTTTTGCGCAAGGCCGATCCTTCCAAAAGATTCACTGCCATGTATGAATGGTGGTTTCGACGATGCGCCAAAACATTGAGACTCACTGCATTTCTTTTTGGGGGTGATCCTGAAGAGGAAAAATCAGGAACGAGTTCAACACGGAGTGGTACCTTTGTGCGGGCACCGGCATCGGATTCTGTCCGGATTCCCAGAGGTCAAAACGTCTTCTTGGAGGTCAATGAGCGTAACGAGCGCATTGATGGACATATAGATCACACTATCGGGATTCATGGTAAGGGAGACAAACGATTTGTGCATGTCTACCTGCCTCCAAACTTCCGGTCCAGAATTGCTGCGTTCATACTGCTTTTGTGGTTCTACGCTGCTTCTACCGGTATTGTCTTTACCATCGGCCCTCTCTTGCTGGGTAGAGTCATCATGCAGTGGCTCTCAGCGTCGGACTTGCCACCCAATGACCTACACGCTTTCACACTCGGAGTTCATATCTTTGCTCTGATCGCCTTCTGCATGGTCTTTGCAAGATCGGCGGTGGATCATGTTAAGAACCGATCGCTCCACTTCTTTAATCACCACGGAGAAGCAGTCGTCCAAGCTATCAGCACTACCAAGTATGTTGTCGGGCTAACATATTTGACGACTTTTACCGCCATCGTTCTTCCATGTGTAGTGAGCACGATACTCGAGCTTTACTTATACATACCATTGTATACGTACCTAGCCACGGATCGTCAATCTGCAAGTACCAATTCCACTACCCCGGCAAATGGCCAAAAGGCGACAATTTTCATCCTTCAGACTTGGACTATCGGACTGTTATACCTCCGATTGTGCCTGAAGGCTTTCCTGAAGTATGTTGACGAAGCATCTCCAGCAGGCATTGCTCTCCGGGCTATTCTCCGACAGGGCATTTGGCGGCCCGATGTTGAGTTAGCAAGCCGAGCATTCGTGCTTCCCGCGACTGTTGTTTGCTTTACCGCATTGGCCTTTCCATTGGCTTGCGCGAAGTTAGTCATCAGTGTCTTGGGTGTTGAGAAATCCGCACAGACAAGAATATATCGTGTTGCCTACCCTACCATTCTAGGTCTATCCCTCGTCTGGTACGGGGCCTGGATGTTACAACGCCAGATCTCGACCTGGAGGGCCAAAATCAGGGATGAGGTATATCTTATTGGGGAGAGACTGCATAATTTTCATGAAGGGAAGCCTCACATCAAAGAACACTCATCAAGAGTGTCAAGAGTGCAGTAATAGACCGGACATAGGACCCAACTAAGGCGTATTTGTTCCCAATCACATTTTTCATGCGAAGCATTACTAGATGATGAATACCTGGGTTACCTTTTATGTGATATGGCAGTTGAGCTATCAATCTCGGCGAGGTCCGAAGCCTAAGCGAACTCGATTCGTGCGCTCTGCCAGTTGAGAGGGTGTTCTCAATTTGTGAGCGGCCTCCGTGCAGCTTGACTTGGTGGAAGAGGAATGCACAACCTTGCTTCAGGACAAGGTCTACTAGAAACCGGGATCTCATGGTGATGGCGAATTTAGATTCGGAGGACTGCTTGTTGTGGTCGCGCTTCCAACCGGATGTACGTACACAACCGCCCTCGACTACCCGATTCCTTGTATGTAAGTACAGACGCCGCGTGGGACGCAGCCAATGATAGCCTCAAGACAGCTTTACGAGCTTGTAACTAAAGCAATCCCAGCGTGAGGAGAGCCAAGGCTGATATCATATCTGACCCAATCACAATTGCACAGCTCCCTTGCCCCTCCAGATCCGTTGTCACCTGCCAAGTCTGATCTGCGGATTTCTAACGTCACTGATGACCAGGGCTCTAGCTGGCTAAAAGCCATGACTCCATTTTCTCCCATACTCCTCACCATCGATTGTCAATGGAGATTGTTGCTCCTGCCTCAATCGCACAAGCTGCGCAGCCGCCAAGGTACATGGCCTTTCGTGTCATGTCGAGCAGCTGCATGAGAAATGCTTATCTGCTGTTTCTATCATGTACCAAGAATGGTTGTCCACTTGTAGCAATGTCGAGCTGCCTAAAACAGGCTGGCCGAAGCCTCTGAGGTTACAATTCCAAGTATTTTTGTTCCACTGATGTGCACAGCAGCTCGTGATATTGTGTGCCAGTGGCAAGAGATTGAATCATAAATGAGAGCGATGGGTATCTTGAAGCTCTCAGATTTCTTGTCTCCTTTGCACGCTTGATCGCAACTATGCAGAGCACTTTACTTTTCGTGATCACTACGCTCGCAGTGGCCGTTTCCGGCCAAAATTTGGCTCCCGTAACGACAGAGGCATTGCAATCGCTCATCTCCCTTGATGTACTTCTAGCCGGGGCGAAGCAGCTACAGAGCTTTGCCGACGCCCATCCTGGAGGGAACCGGGTTTTTGGCAGTCCTGGACACAACGACACGGTCAATTTCCTGTACGAAACGCTTGCAGCGACTGGTTACTATGATGTGGAGTATCAGGAATTTGTCGAACTCTTCTCAGGTGGCAATGCCTCCCTGTCAACAAATGGCGAAGAGGAAGAGGCGAATCTATTGACATACACCCCGAGCGGTTCGGCAAGTGCGCCGCTTGTGGCTGCTCAAAACCTCGGGTGCCTGCCTGAAGATTTCCCTCCTGAGGTTGCGGATTGTGTGGTCCTCATTTCTCGTGGTGAGTGTACGTTTGCAGAGAAGGCTACCAACGCCGCAAGCGCGGGCGCGGTAGGGGCGGTCGTGTATAACAATGTTGAGGGTCCTTTGGCCGGCACCCTGGGAGGTGTTGGTGACTATACTCCCACAGTCGGCATCACCCAAGCGGCGGGAGAGGCACTTCTCGCATTGCTTGAAGCAGGTACAAATGTCACAGCAGATCTCCAAGTCAACTCCATTCTGGAGAATCGGACTACATACAACGTTATTGCGGAAACCAAAGGTGGCGATCACGACAATGTCATCGCTCTGGGAGCTCATACCGACTCGGTGGAACAGGGTCCAGGCATCAATGACGACGGCTCAGGCACCATCGGCATCCTTCATGTTGCCGTTGCACTGTCAAACTTCACAGTCACCAACGCTGTTCGCTTCTGCTTTTGGAGTGCGGAGGAGTTTGGGCTACTTGGATCGACATACTACGTGAGCCAGCTAAACCAGACCGCAAGCGAGATAGCAAAGATTCGAGCATACCTGAACTTCGACATGATTGCATCGCCCAACTACGTGTATGCAATCTATGATGGAGACGGGAGCAGCTTCAATCTGTCTGGGCCCCCCGGATCCGCCGAAATCGAATATGACTTCCAAGGATTCTACATTGCCAAAGGTGTCAATTACACGTCGACCGCGTTCGATGGACGATCCGACTACGGGCCATTCCTTGAAAACAACATCCCTGCAGGCGGTCTGTTCACCGGTGCGGAGGAAGTCAAGACCGAAGAAGAGGCGGTTGCATTCGGCGGCACCGCAGATGTCGCTTACGATGAAAACTACCATCAGGCCGGAGACACGATTGACAACCTAAACAGTGAGGCGTTCTTGCTCAACACACAAAGCATCGCCAACTCGATCGCCTTGTATGCAACTGGTGGAGGGCTGGACAGGATACCCTTGGTCACACCCCCGAGTGTTAAAAGGCACTGGCAGCCATCGGGGAGAAAGACCAAGCGGGAATTGGCGCATGCTGGACATTCTCATTGTAACTCCAGAGACACCCCAGCTGTCTGAGCGGTCACGGGACAAGCGGTGTTGTTGGAATGCGGTAGCTCTGTACGGCTATTAAGTTGAAGACCCCAAAAAATGAACTCTCACATTAGGCTGTTTAATCGTAATACGAGTAGAGATATCAAGGCCCATCAAAATACGACGAGGTTTTTCTCGTCGCTCTCGTGGTGAAGTCTTTGATTCGAATGACCCTTCCCCCAGTCGTCCCCGAATCGAGCATCTCCAGAATGACTCCAAGTTCCCCAAGGTGCCCCTCTCGCCCCTCCTTTGAGGATCTACAAGTTACTCCATTTGAGTGTAACCAAAGCGGAATTCGGGCGCATGACAGGTCTAGATAACGTCCTCGAGTGCGTGGGGGATTGCGAACAAAAGCTCGAGTACGACCCAAGACACGACAAGCTTTGTGAGGTGGCATTTTACGCCAATGGGATCCCTGTAGGCAAATTGCGGGCGCCAACCCCGTTTAATTCCGAAGCCACTCCCAAGGCAAGTGCAGGGCAGATAATAGCAGGTGCAGCCCGGATCGATAGCCACAACGGGTTAGTGCCAATCTTTGTTCAAATACTCCGCTTCACTGATTGTCAGTCATTCTCTTCCAAGACCCAAAACTTTTTTCATGTCAGATACCGACTCTTCCCGTCGACTTCCATCTCTGTGAGCTTTCCAAAGAAGCCATTCATTCCACGATGGCAACACAAGAAAAGCATGAGCCAGCCTCCCCAGGCCCGGCGCGCTCTGACAGCGTCTTGATCAGAGGTGCCCGAGTCGCCACCGAACAGGAACGTGGCATGTCCTTGATGCAAGGCGTCAGACTCTATCCGAAAGCCATCGGTTGGAGTATCCTCATCAGCACCTGTATCGCCATGGAAGGCTTCGATGTCTGCCTTCTGCCAAACTTCTACAACTTCCCCAGGTTCAAGGAAAAGTACGGCCATCAGCTTCCCAATGGCACCTGGGAGATTCCTGCGCCGTGGCAAGCAGGACTTCAGAACGGTTCGCAGATTGGTCAGATTATCGGCCTCTTCCTCAACGGATATGTTTCTGAGTGGATTGGTTATCGCTGGACAGTACTCGCATGTCTCACCCTCGTTGCTGCTTTCACGGCCATCCTATTCACTGCTCAGAGTGTTGAGGTTTTGCTGGTCGGTTATATCCTCTCAGGGCTTCCCTGGGGCGTTTTCCAAACCCTTACAATCACATACGCCTCCGAAGTCTGTCCTGTGGCTCTTCGTGGCTATCTGACAACCTATGTGAACTTCGTAAGTCTACCGCTCTCTCACCTGTGCCGTAAAGCTGGCACACGGCTGCACCCGCAACCGGCCTCAGGAGTCTTCTCAAACATCCTGTGTTTTCGCGTGTAAACCACTAACTTTTGGCTTAGTGCTGGGGCCTCGGACAAGTCATAGGAATTGGATCGATTAAAGGAAGCTTGAATCGTACTGATCAATGGTCCTATCGTATCCCGTATGCTTTGCAGTGGATGTGGCCACTACCTCTTGGTGTTGGCATATTCATGGCTCCTGAATCGCCATGGTGGTTGGTCAGAAAGGGAAGAGTTGCGGATGCCAAAGAGGCACTCCTTCGACTCACGAGTCTCAACAGAGAGACCGACTTTGATGCAGATGAGACCATCGCAATGATTGCTCATACCACAGCTTTGGAGCAAGAAATTACGCGTGGTAGTTCTTACCTCGACTGTTTCAAAGGCACAGATCTTCGCCGCACTGAAATTGTCTGCATGTGTTGGGCGATTCAAAATCTGTCTGGCAATTCCTTCAGCGGCTACTCTTCCTATTTCCTGACGCAGGCCGGTTTATCCCCATCGACATCGTACAGTTTCGCCCTGGGTCAATATAGTATCAACATGGTCGGTGTGTTTGGTGTTTGGTTGATCATGAGCTGGGGTGTCGGTCGCAGGACTCTCTTCCTCTACGGGTTGTGTGGTCTGTTCGTGATGCTAATGATCATGGGTTTTCTTGGCATCCCCAAAAACCGGGATGCGGCCGCTATGGCAACTGGGAGCATTATGATCATTTGGGCAGCTGTGTACCAACTCTCAGTGGGTACAGTGTGCTATTCATTGGTTGCCGAATTGTCCACACGACGGTTGCAGATCAAGACCGTTGTTCTTGGACGCAAACTTTATAACGTGGTTGGCATCATCTGTTCGGTCATCACGCCATACATGCTCAACCCAGGCGACTGGAATTGGGGCAACTACGCAGGATTCTTCTGGGCCGGCGCTTGTTTCCTCTGCATCATCTATACCTATTTCAGAGTTCCAGAACCGGCTGGTCGATCCTTTGCCGAACTGGACCTGCTATTCGAGCGCGGAGTTAGTGCGAGGAAGTTCGCAACAACCGAGGTGAATGTATTTGACCTCGAAGTACGTGGGGATGTCGTTGAGCAGGCAGAGAAGAGACTTAGCGTCGCTGCAGCACACCAGGAGGGGGTGAAGTCGGAGCATTCAATTGCTTGAGGACTCGAGCACTGAATCTGAGATTCTAGATCAAAGACTGGGACGTAGCAGTGTCAATGACAGACACCGCGTATGGGATGGCCGAGGCGGGACAATGAGTAGCACAGAGTGTACTTCATTCGGAAGCCACCAGATGCCTCTGCTTCGCCCCCGGCGATATGAAGAACATCAATTCGATGTATGCGCAAGTATGCCTAGCTTGGCTTCAAGGCATCGGCTCGACTTTCGGGCCAATGAATATTTGCAGTGCACGGAGCTCATCTCGAGTCTTAAGACAGACAGGCACATAGCATAATCAAGCATTAGTGGCCTGTGGAAGCTTGCTTTGCGGGCTGGAAGAGCCGCTGGGTTCGACATTGCAAAATGCGACGAGCTTCTCCATTAAATCTGGAACAAGCACTGAGGCACGCGTAGCTCGTATGACAGAGGAGGCGCGTAACGGACTACCTTTAAGCTTCCTCAGATTGTTGATCACTGCTTTGCTCAAACGTTTCATCCATGCCAAGGGAGCATAGCCAAAGGCTATTATTATTTGCTACGAAATTTAGGGAGAGATTTTACTTGCAAGTAGGCGATCGACGCTCCAAGGTTAGTACTCGACCGTTGAACCGATGCACCAATTTCGAGACCCTGGTCACGCTTGTTCATTACCCCTGGGTTGCGATTTTAGGATGGTGGCAAATCAAGTCTGACCGCTGCTGAGTTCCACACACGACCAAGTACGAGTAGCAGCCTACTTTCAACAAATGAACAGTGCTGGTCGGCTCGTCCTTCGTTGTTCGTCTCTCCAGTATCGATCTTTGGCTCTTCAAGATTGTTTTTGAATCGATCTAGAGTCTAAAAGTTAAGGAACGAGCCAATTACCCGTGCTCCAACAATTATGCACTGCCAGCAAGTTGGATCGCTCTGAATGGCTTAGACTTGCGTGGACCTTGATCTAGTGGCTGGCGGCCTAAGTGTTCGCTTCGAAAGCGGCCCATTGATACACATTGTGTGGAAATCTGTTAAGGCCCTCGTTTGAGAAGACCGAAATTTAATTGAACAGATTGATGCCCCCATGTGTCTATCCTAGCATGCTACATCATAGATTTCGAGAGGACGGGACAGCACTAGATCTTCAGCCGCTCATATCTGTCCCTTTTCACCTCCTCCAGTGTAGTATTTCATGTTAACAATCCGCATCTGCATAGCTGCTAGGAGTGTCAAATTCCCGCTTCACTCTTCCACTTTCGGTTGGAGCACCTGGGTCCGGCTTCGACATATTGGCTTTACCTAACTCCAGCGCCCGACACGGCACTCTGAGGGACATTTCCAAAAGGGAAGGGTAGAGATGATGGGTTGGCATCTGATCACCATCGCTTTGTTTGCAATCGCTCTATCTGCTGTCGCTCAGGAAATTTCTATAGATGGGAACTGTAGCAGCAACTCGAATATCAATGCAACATGTTTAGGTTCAACATTCGGCGACTGTTGCTCCGCTAACGGGTTTTGTGGGAGTACGGATGTCTACTGTGGTGCAGGTTGCCAGGAAACATCTGGAAACTGTGCCGCTAATGCATCTCTGATCAGTGTCGACGGGCGATGTGGTCAGCAGGATCCTGGCGCACATATCTGTCCTCAGAGTATATTTGGGCCATGTTGCAGCGTCAACGGTTTCTGTGGTAACAATTCTACCTACTGTGGAACGGGCTGTCAATCGGACTTCGGTGAATGTGGTACTGATGCAGCGACATCCGCAACAAGCATAACATCTGCTCCAAGCGTGCCACCAGCATCTACCACTGCGGTCCCAACAACATCTGCAACCAGCGACCCAACAACTACTGCTGCCTCCTCAAGTGGGTCGAAGACGACTGAAAGTACCGGATTCAAGGTCGGGATGGCTTTCGTTGGCATCGCTGCAGCAGGGATAGTAGGGGGCCTGGTCTTCTTCTTCCTGCGTCGGAGGCGGCGTTCGACGGCACATCAACAACAGCGCGAGACCGTTGCTATTGAAAAGGGACCAGATGACAACGACAAGGCACTTCCACCTCCACCTCCAGTTGCTGAACCGCAGGAACTTAATTCAAGTCCAGTGCAAGAAATGTCGACCGATTATAATCGAGCAAGGGATGAGAAAAAGCCTTTGCACGATAACCTGCATGAACTTCAATGAAAATCGCCCACACCGCACCCACTACCACGAAGACAGTCGAGATTCAAACATCTAGAGGATTCAAGGAATGGAATTGCTTCGCCAGAAACCAAGAAGCTTTGCTTTGTCTCGAGCATACTAGCAGGCATCCACAATATGTCAAGCCATTGGGGCGACCTCTGGCTTCAAAGTCTGTTGCAACCCAGCTCAATCCATGCGGCTGTGAAATTGGCTCTTGCAAGGGCATATCGACTCTCAACCCAGGTGCAGAGCAAAGCCCTTTCCGCCCTTTCCTCTGGCTGAACAAAATATCAATTGAATGATTGCTCGGGTTCTTGTTTGTTGATGCCAAGCGTTGGATCCAGTCTTAGACTTTGCTAGCAATTCCAGTCTCAATCCTTAGTAGACGAATCGTATAATCCACCACCTCGAGGGGTCGTGAAATTCTTTACAGGAGTCTTAGAACAAGAACATGTTGTCTTTCTGCGAACAAACCTCGATGCGAATATGCCTTCCACTGAACCGTGCTGCAATGATGGAGTCAACCTGTCAGACACCCGTTCTCATGGGAATCAGGTTGAGGTTAGAGTCGCACTACCGAGCTTTTTGCATGCTGGTATCCCCGCGCCTCCAAACGGGACACCAAAGCTGCTGCCAAAAACACCGATGTCACCCGTCCTCGGGGTGCTGAGCCGTTACACACCGATACTTGTTGGCGGGTTAGTGTTTCCACTTACTGATCAACCGTTTTGTGCAAATGCTTCAATATGCCGTACTCGAGTGGCTGATAAATCCATATGAATGCGAAGCATGACTACCATTTAGTCATTTGCCCTCCTGTTGGCAACGATAAACTTGGTGATTACTATCATTCCATCCGGGCAACTGTCGATGTGAGGTAGCTCTGCTTGGTAAACAGCATCTGCCTTTGACGGCTAAGGTTTCCACATTCTTGGCGCTGCATTGCCAATACGTTCAATCTCCAGAGCCAAGGGAGCCTTCTCCTCAGCCAAGGCTTGGGATTGCATTGAGATGGTCTTAGCCAAACGCCTCGGCATCATCGTAACAGAGATCAAGCCAATGAAGCATGCATGGCGTCTCGTATCTGTTGTGGCAAATGCTTGGACGATATGTTCTATCGCTTACGATCCTTCGATGGAACAATTCAAAGTTTGCCATTTGATGAAGTCAGCCCAAAAACATCATGGTTTTCCCCCACAAGTGAGATCTACCTGAAGAAGGTTGGGTGATCATTCGCTGGAGCCTCCGACTCCCCAGATGCCGTTGCTACCCCTCGCAAAGGGACCTGGTGGAAGCATGCAGGGTACAATACTAGGTATAAAGTCGGACTGTTCTGTTGATGAACTCCCCAGACCTTCGCACCACTCCATTTACATTTCCCGAGTACAATCTGCGCCACGCTTGGATCATGGCTACTCACCAACGAGATGTTGAAGTGCACGGTGGGGACAAAGAGAAGGAGCAAGAACAAGTCTTTCGGGAGCGATCCGAAAGTCTAGTCAGTCTACCGGATCCTGATGCTGGAAAATCGGAGGCTGAAAGAGCAAAAATCGTATGGTACACAACAGCTTATTGATAGTATTGTTGGCTGATGATTTCCAGGATCGAGCATTGATGTGGAAAGTCGACCGATGGCTGATCCCCTGGCTTTGTTTACTCTACCTCCTCAGTTTCTTGGACAGAACCAACATTGGAAATGCCCGACTGGCTGGTATGGAGCCTGACTTGAACATGAAAGGTCATGACTATAACAATTCTTTGACTATATTTTTTGTGAGTTTTAGACATAATCTGTGACGAAAGAGTTTCTGACAAGACCAGATCAGTTATGCCTTGGCTGAGCCCATCACCAACGTCTTACTCAAACGACTAACGCCAAGAATCTTCTTTACTGCCATCATTATTTCATGGGGTTTGATCATGACCTTGATGGGCCTTGTTACAAATTATGCCGGCCTTCTAGCGTGTCGATGGTTCCTCGGCCTCGCTGAAGCTGGCCTCTTCCCAGGTATGGAGTATGATCTCAAGTAAATGGTTATACTAATCTCGGTAGGTGTTAACTACTACCTCTCATGCTGGTATAAGAGAAGCGAACTTGGCCTACGAGCAGCAACCTTCTTCTCCGCTGCCGCCTTAGCAGGATCCTTTGGTGGCTTATTGGCGGCCGCGATAGCTCAGATGGACGGCATCGGTAAGCCAGGCTGGGCTTGAAATCTTATCATAGAGGGACTAATAGTTTGATACAGGTGGAAAACCGGGCTGGGCATGGATTTTCATAGTTGAGGGACTAGCCACCATGTTCGTCGGTGCCTTTTGCTGGTGGATGGTCTTCGACTGGCCTGATACCGCCCGATTCTTGACACCGGACGAGCGCATGCGAATCCGACGGCGTTTGGCAGAAGACAAGCAAAGCAGTACCGGCGAGGAGTACGATAAGCGACATATCTATGCTGCTCTGAAAGACTGGAAGACTTGGGGCTATGCCTTCATCTACATGGGATGCTTGTGCCCACTCTATGCCTTCTCTCTGTTCCTCCCGACGATACTCCGAGGCATGGGTTACACTGGCACTCGTGCCCAGCTATTGTCCGTACCTCCATACGCATGCGCTGCAACGATGACTATATTCATTGGATGGCTGGCCGATCGTACGCGTTGGAGAGGGTACTGCAACATGGCAGTGGTCACTTGTGCCATCGTTGGATTCATTATGCTTATAGCATCTCATACACCAAGGATTCAGTACGCTGGCACGTTTTTGGGTAAGTCCCGTCACCCGAATCTTATGCACTAACTGCTAACACTGGAGCAGGTGCCATAGGTATCTACCCCACCATTGCAAACACGCTTTCTTGGGCATCCAACAATATTGAGGGTGTCTACAAACGTGGCGTCGTGATTGGAATTGTTGTTGGGTGGGGTAACCTCAATGGAGTTGTCAGCTCAAACATCTATATTTCAACGGAAAGCCCCCGATTTTGGACTGGTCATGGCACTGTCCTGGCTTACCTGATCGTCTGCTTGCTGGGAGGTACCATCTTCATGCACGTCATGCTGCGAATGGAAAACGCTCGACGACTGAGCGGTAAGCGTGATAACATGCACGAAGGAATGACACGAGATCAAATTTGGGTTGCTGGTGACAATAGACCTGATTTCATCTATGTTACTTGAGCAGTCGGAGAGCTCTCTCAAATCCGCTACATGAACTCAGACCAACACGACGATGAATCACTTACGATGTCGAAACCCCATATCTGGTCTCATGCAGCACAATTGGATTGAGTAAAGGTTGGTATCTGGTGGACAATCTCTGATCGAGTAGAGTTCGGCAAGTCAATGTCTACAGGCAACATTCCAAGCACGAGCATGCAGGGACAGTGGTCAGTCTTAGATATGTTTCACCAGATAGTGCGGATGTGACAGAAATTGAAGCTATTCCTGCTGTGATGCAATAGACAACTTAGGACACAACCTAGCTAGCATTAACTTGTTCACCAGGCTCCCATTCATACAAGAGCATTTTCTTTCCCTCCTCAAAATCTGTAATTCTCCCACCATAACTATCCAACAACCCTGATTCATGTGCACGGAACCTAGCTTTTGTAATAGTTGGTAGGATTTTGCGTGAGAGTGTAGTTTCGTCTATTCTTCCGGCGTCTCAAACAACAAAACAAGATAAGTAGACCAAGAATCACAACAATTGCTGATCCGACACCGATAAGTAGTGCTTTATGCCTAACGAACCAGCTTCCGACGCTTGCACCTGACCCTCCAGACGAGGACGTGGAGCTTGTGCCTCCGCCTCCGCCTCCACCTCGCCTAGGTGATCTTTCTTGAATGGCAGGCAAGGCCGATGACAGTCCCACCCCGAAGAGCAGAAGCAGAGTCATCGGCGCAGTTGTCGAAGACTGTACCATTCTGGTGGACAAATAGGTTGAATACTGGCGAGCTTGGACAAGGAGAGGATATCCTCGGCGTTTTGCTTGGTATTGCTTAATTTGATCGACAGTCAGGAGGTTTAAGGTGATTTTGATATTTCCCTCCGTAGCTATGAAAGATAGGGGGTAATACTGCAATTATAGCGACGATTTTAGACATAAGAAGCTGCTGAATTCACTTTTATCACTTCGCTTCAGACCCGGAATCTATGCCACAGCTCATGTTCACGAGCAGCAGTTAGTCACAATCTCGTGTTGAGACTCATTCGCGGGAATTCACGAAGAATTCACGAACGCAAGGCAGAGCTGGCATTGAGCAGACTGCTGCTGTCTCAAGGACCTTCTGTCTTGCGCTGAAGTGCTCAAAGGATGATCTTTTGATAGAGGAAAGTGCTCTAGCAAATCACAGAATGGGAGGGCAGAAGCCACAAAGTCAATATTCATCAACTCGTGTTGCAGTCAAGTGTTTCTCAGCCTTCGTTCCATTAATGCAGGCAAAATTGCACAGAGACCGCGGTAACGTGTCTGCCTTGCTTCTTCAGACCTTTCTCGCAGCCTTCGATTCCAGTGAAGTCTGCCTTACTGAGTGCTCTAGGAGACATCATTGTTCCTCGCGAATAAAGCTGATTCCAGCCCTGTGACCCCGTATTCCTTCGGGGCATTGCCATATTGAGACAGCGCAAGTATAATCAGGCGAAAAATACACGCCAAAAAACGCAAGGAATGGAAATAGGAGTTAGGGGGCCGAAAATCGAGCCATGTTCCAACCTCCCGTATCCATGCTTTGAACTCCGGAAAATGAAATCCTCACTTGAGGAAATCATCATCAGCCAAAACATGTCGTATACTGCCGCTGGCCAAGAAGCATCTCATTGCTCGTGTGTCTGCAATATCAGATTCAGTGACTAATAATCGGAAGTTGTCTGAATTCTGAGTCCAATATTGACCGGGGAAGAACGCAAAGATGGGTATTTTATAGGGTGTATGTGGGCTGATTTATCTCAGCCATACCGACCGCCAGATACTGCGATTCATATATGTTACCACAATTCTGAGCATCATCGATTGCTAGATCTTGTTATACAGATCAAATTTTAGTTGCTCGATATCATCAATATGCACAAACTACCAATTCTGTTATCTTTCTCGCTGTCGACATTCAGTGTCGCCCTCCAACCCTTACCGTTCGCAAGGTTAAGATCAAATAGCTCTCCGAACCATCAGAAGCTTCATAGACTTCTAGGTCGACAAACAGGCTGTCAAGTGGATGAGGTCGAATGCGGATTCGGCTGTCTTGCGGCAAACAGCGATTGCTGTAGCTCCGGAGCCGACTATTACTATTACTGTGATCCAGGGGAGTTCTGCTGGCCAACCGCAGGAGATGGAGTCTGTTGTAAGCCTGGCTATCTCATGTGCGGACCAGGATGTATGCCGCCAGAGAATGTGTGCTGCGGCAATGGGGAGTCTTGCTATGCGGGCGAGTACTGTGTTGTATCCTCCGACAATTATGTTGGGTGTTGTGCTGTTGGCCAGGTTTGTGGCGGCAGCAACAATGCACGCTTGAGCACGACGTACTCGGCTGGATCCACCATCACAGGTCCTCCGCCATCAGGCTACACTCCGAGCATATCGGGGTCGACATCTGCAGTCACAAGCATCAGTGCTTCGCTCACCAAGACGGGTACAAATAGTGGTGGTAGCCGTACATCCACTGGAAGCACATTGAGATCTGCTACGACAAGTTCGGTGTTCACTGGCGCTGCGATGCCGAGTTATGAGCCCCAGCACGCCGGGTACGCAGCAGTGATTGCCCTCGCAATGGCGCAAGAACTGTTCTAGTTTTCGTGGGCATGATATGACCATGGCCGGTGAACTCTAGCCACCCTCAAAGTTCCTTCGCCCTGATTTATGATCTCATTTCTACCGGACGAGGCTGGACTACGTTCAAGCAGCTAGAACATCAATACGGCAAATTTTGGAGGTACGATACCAACGTGCTCGCATGTCATGTCTTTCACCACTTGTGACAACCTCTGTTTTTCCCTTCACTATTGCGTAGTTTCCGATATGACGTGGCGATAGGATTTCGGCTCGAAGCAAGTGATTGCAAGTACCAGTAGTAATATGGTAATAATTTCAGCGTATGGCGTCAGAATTTTAATTCCTCATTCTAGGAGATGACTGGTGTAGAGCTCAAGATACCCAGCTCCCTCGATAATCCATTCCAAGTTATGCTATATCAAGCTCAAACTGTTCATTTGATCGGGTCTTGACTCGAGGAATGGGCCACTGGTCAGATATATGTTTCAAACCGCTGCTGAGCGGACGTGAATACCAGAAGAAAACGCCAAAAAGCTATGCTATGCAATACCAACGCTAAGCACTATTTTGAAAGCCAACGAAACTCCTTATGCAAATGTGATCCCAGACCGATTGAGTCGGTGGCTAAGCACAATGGGCCCCCTCTTTGAAAACCAAAATGCCAATCCCGTCCTCGTCCTCGCTCGCTTTTTCTGTCAATGTTGCGAACACCCAGGTGTCGATAGTCGACGATCGCCATAGACGCGTGAGGGGAATCCTTCATTTCGCGATTAACCATCAGCCATGGCTTCGTGATTCATGTTCAAGAACTGTTCGGATGACGCTAGTCAAAATTTGCAGGTATCACCATTTCATTAGGAGTACACACGCAGCGACGAACATCTCAGAGTCCGGCACAGTGACAAACAACCCATCCAGGAGGGAAATTCAGGTTCGTGGCTGTCTGACAAGTGGTCCCAACCTCTGGTCAAAACCGACAAGCAAAGCTCAATCCATATCCTCATCATCGTCATAGTTGTCCTCATCTTCATCGTCAAGAGTTTCCATGGCGTCCTTGATATACTGAGCAGCCTGATAAATAGTTAGTATGACGATAAGCCATGACGAGTCGGTGAGATTAGTTACCTTTGGGTCCAGGTTGAGAGCCATGGTGAAGGCCCTGACAGCCTCTGCCTTCAGCCGCAGAGTTTTGTAGAGGCGGCCCATCAGAAACCACACGTTGGGTTCATCAGGGACCACGTCGCGCAATATCAGGAGTTCTTCCAGGGCTTCTCTTGGACGGGCCAGACTCATCAAGCATCGGGCCTTCTTGAAACGACTCAATGGATTCCCAGGTGCAAGACTGCAGGCTCGAGTGTACATGTGCAACGCTTGCTCTGGATCCTTGAGTTTCTCCAGCACCACTCCGATGCAGCAGACGAGCACGGCATGTGTTGGGTTGATCCTGGCCGCGGTTCGATAATGTTGTTCTGCAATGGTCCACTTACCCATCTTCTCGTAGACTTTTCCAAGACCATACCAGGCATTGTAATGTCGGCCGTCCACCGCAATGGCAGATCGATAGGCTTCGAGGGCTTTCTCGAATTCCTCGTTCTGGATGAATTCATGGCCCTGCAAAGTATATCCGTAGGCAAAGTTGGGGTCCAATTGGGTGGAGCGCTTGAAGCATTTGATGGCTTGCTCATGCTCGTTCTGCCGCGAAAAGGAGTTCCCAATGGCCGACCAGGCTTGCGGCGACAGTCTATCCACCTCAACAAGCTCATGGGCCAGATAGGCAAGCTCGGTCTCGGATTTCAGATGCCAGAGAACCGTGGAATAAATCTCCATATCTTCCAGACGATTGGGCGCGAGCTGTCTCACTCGAATGAAGAACTTTTCAGCCTCTGCATGTGAGCCTTGTTCGTAATATGCTTTGCCTATTTGGGAGAGAACGTAAGCGGTCTCGCGATGTGCGGACGGCAGAGCGTTGTAGGCTTGAATGGCGGCTTGGCAATCATAGTTGGACAGAGCCAGCTGAGCAGATGCCATCCTACCGAAAAGATCCAGAAGTGTAGAGACTGCGTCGATATCCTTGATTGCATTATGCTCGGCTCGAAGTTTAGGATTTGGGAGTGGTGGAACGGGTTGCAGTTGAGATATAGGTCTCTGCTCTTTCGCATCCACATCCATCGCGTCAGTTGAGCCGGTTCGTGTACGGTTCCCACTGACCACTCTACCCACGGTCGCAGCATTAGCAACTCGTCCTTTGACTACGGGAGCCTTGGCTCTCTTAATCTCACGACCCTCACGCAGTCCGAGCGTGTTGGCAATGGAGGAGATCTTGCTACCAGCGGTACTACTGGCGCTCGGGGGGCGAGTGGTGTTGAGTAACCTATTGCTACGCCTGGTGCCTTCAGCTGTACCAGGCAGCGGATGCTGAGAAGACGCGGGTTGGCCGGAGACTGTTCTCTTAGAGGGAGCGGCGGGCAGCGGTGGAACTGAGTCTTGCAGAATGTCGTCTGGTTTTGATTTTGTCTTTGTTCGTGTAGAGCCGGCTTTCCACCTAGGAGGTGCTTCTGAAGGCAGGTCTGCAGTTGGTTTCATTTTTCGGACGGGTGCGGATGGAGGATCGTGGAATTGAGTTTGCAGAACCACCTGGTCGAGATCATTATCCGGACCAGGAGTAGCGGAGGACTCTTCATCGAGGACTGCGCTCGCCGTGTTGACGCTGATTTTACTGCCATTGAGTTTCTCCCACAAGACCGAGTTACCGTGGTGGAGAGTCCCGTTTGCTTTTGAAGTGGATAGGAAAGGATCAGGAGGACCCTGGGGCTGGTGACTGGTCGGAGGAACATGAGTTGTGATTGTGGATTTCTCTGATGCTGTAGAATGATTTTCGGATTTCTGGGAAGCCTGTGCGACCGACTGGGTCAAAGAGAGGAGTTCGGGAGACATTTTGTAAACATTGGGGACGCTGACTTTGGCACCAGCATCGCACAGGCCGTTAAAGGCATCCCACATGAAAGGGTTCAGGCGCAGAGCGCTAGCCCAACATTCCACAGCCTGGTCGAGGTTTTTGTGTGCTTTTAACAACTTTGCTTTCAGACATAGAACCGCCGGAGCATCGGGGAGATGTTGGCGTCGAGACTCGTTATGTTGACCCCAGGTGTTGCGGTTCTGCCACAGGAGTTTGCTCTTTTCTAGGGCAGCCAGACCGTCGACGTGTCTGGACAATTCCAGCGAGGCCTGGGCGAAAACATAGCAGCATCCGAGATGGGCACCTCTGGAAGCGAAAGCTCGACTCGAGTCCCAGGCGGCCTTGACGTAACCACATTGGAATTGGCAATAGGACAGTAAATAAGCGGCTTCAGGGGATCTGGAATCGTAGGCGACGAGGCGAGTAGCCAGGAAGAGGGCATTTTTGATCAGGTTATTGTCGAGGTGGTAGTAGATGAGCTGGCGGAGTTGCTGAGCGATGTGGGTATTAGTGGGCGCCATGTGGGAATTATGCAGGACTAATAACGGAGTAAAGTTGAGGAATTATTCAGCGTCTGGACAGGCGACTTTTCGAAGGGTTGAAGGATGTGGAGGAGGCGGCGGCGGATATGGTGAGGGCGGTGGTGGCAGGCGCGTTGGTCATTGAAGAGCGGCACGACGGAAAGAAGCCAAACAAAAGCGCGGGATGGACATTTGAATTAATGCAATAGGGATGCGATAGTAACGAGTAGTGGGTAGAAGGAATAAGAGGAGGAGAGGAGGAGAGAAAGACAGTCGTGGGAGGAGTGATCGAGGAATTCAATCAACCACAGCATGAGGCAAGAAACGGAAGGTATGGTTGTTGTTGCTGCCGCTACTTGACTAGTTGGTCGTGACTGCCACAAGGCCACTGTTTGCGGATGTGGCTGGAACATGCAAGGTGGCTGACCCCCAAAAAGTGGCAGGAACGACCTTCCAGCGTTGGTGGGGAAGCCTTCCTACTCGTAATTCTCACTTACACACAACTTTCCTCTCTTCGGCTCGAGGTTGTGCATCTCCATCAAGACTCAACCTAGTCAACCAACATGGCACAGGTATGATCGCTATATCTATGCATGCCTCCTGTCAAGCCCAATACTAACATCCCCCCTCTAGAAAGCAGCCAAAACGCTAGCAGTGCGCAACACCTCACGCCTCAAGCAAACCCACCTGATCACCTTGGCCATGCACGCAATCTTCCTGTTCCTCCGCCTCACACTTCGCAGCTCACTGTCCCTTAAGCGTTACGTCCTACTCTCCGCCCCAGGGCTGCTCATCGAATTCTACCTCGAAAAGCTCGCCCGCCCCAGTTATAACCCCGACGGGTCTCTGCGTCGTGCCGGTGAGGATCTCGATGCTCCGGGTCTAACCGAGTTCATGTGGGATATCGTCTACTGGACTTGGATCAATCTGATTCTGGTCATGGTTTTGGGCAACCGCGCTTGGTGGCTGTATTTGGTCATTCCCGCCTATGCCATCTATGCCGCTGTCACAACTGCCACCGGAATCAAGTCTTCCTTTGCGGGACTCGCTGGAGGCGGTGGAGAGCCTTCTGCTGCCTCGCAAGGTCAAGGTCAAAGTAAACGGCAGCAGAAGATGGAGAAGCGAGGTGGTGCTCAGCGGGTCGCATATAGATGACACAAGTTACAAATCACTATCGTCATTGTCGCGCATGGAACATTGCAAGTTTGCCTTCCTTTGGTTTTCCTTTTTGCTGCTCCCGGTTCTGTTGCTCAATTCCACCAAGGCCAATCCATATCATACATCCCATTATTGTGTGTGTGCGCGTTGCCTCATGTCCCAACCATACCCATTTCGTCGCATCAATCCCTTCCACTATCAAGCCACCTCGCCAGGCCCGTGGTCCCGTACAAATCCCTCCATTCACCCGCCTCTTCCTCCACATACTCGCCCACGAACTCGGCAGTCTCATTGGCCTTTTGCTTCACCAAATTGCCCGCCTCTTCGATCCTCTCACTAGCCCGCGCCATGGCAAGGTTGTAGTATTCGACGCTACTCCTTGCCCTCTCGGCCATGCGCCTTGAGCCCAATTTCCGCTTATATCGCCCGGCAATGATGGAGATGATGTAGTACGCTTTCACCAGGAGTCGCTGAACCACCTGCTTGACCACCATGGTCATACCATGGCTGAAGAATGCTCGGATCAGTTCCACCTGCAACCCTTCATACAGTGCCGACACACCCTCGGTCTGTGCCACGGTCAGAACGGTGCTGAACACCGTCGCTCGTGCGGCTTTGCGGCCCTTCTCACTCGCCACGTCCCCACCGATGACCTCCTTCTCGTCATGATCCTCTCTTTTGGAGCCCGCTTGAAGACGTGCCTTGGCCAGACTGAACGGGTATGTGATGGAACTGGCACACGATTTGCTGAGCGCCGACAAGAGGAAGGTGACTGATGGCGGGGGGTGTTCCCTTCGATGGCGTGGGAGGATGGCTTTCTTCAACGTCTCGAAGAGAAAGAACGTCAGCGAAGGATTCAGCGTCAGTACCAGCGACGCAGAGTACCCTGACCAAAATCCGGCTAGTCCTTTTTCCTGCATGATATCTTGGGCGATTTCCCTGGCCGACGGTACTTTGATCTGGGCATTTCCACTGACATCACCACCGCTGTTGCCGTCCGTCTCAGTTGCTGCCATGAGTGCAGCAGCCTGTTTCCTCGTGACAATGTTTGAAATCGGAGTGGTAGCCAATTTGGTCAAGCTGCCAGCAACAAAGCCGACACCCAGTTCTTCGAGCGCCGGTAGTGATTTGGCATTCCCCCTGGCCGCGAGCCTCCTATCTCGCAAGAAACTGTAACTGAGAAAGAAGAGAAACGAATCGGCTACTGTCTTGCCCGTATCCTGCAGGAGCCCCGTGTAAAGGCCGGCGATACCACCTTCATTCTTGTAGATCTTCTCCACTGCGTCGAGAAACCCCTTGTATTCGCTCTCGCCTGGCTGCGACTGGTCGCGTCGGAGCTGGCGCTGCAACTGGAGCCGAGTGATGATCAGGTCGACAGGGTAGAGGGCGGCGTTGGACAGTGCGGCGCCTGCGGAGCCAGCGATGCCGTGGCCTAGTGCTTCGAGCGCAGACCCTTTTCCTGCTGGCGCATCCTGACCGGGCGAGGCTTCTTGAGCTTTGTGGTAGAGTTCGAACGCATCCTATATAGTCGGGTCAGAGTGAGTCCGGGGAGGGGATGATGGGACCATGGCACGGCAAGAACAGGAAACAGGGGACAGGGGACAGGGGACATACAAGTCGACTATCATAAGAGTTGGACATGGTTGTTGGGCGTGTGATGCATAGTCGCGTCCGAGCAGGACCGATGGGAGGTTGATAGAAGGATGAACTTCCGTTGAACCTGAAGCTGTCGTTGGAAGTGGGTGGGATTCCAAATCTGGGGAAACAGCACCACCGCCAAAACCATGACACCATCTACTCTCCCCTCGCATTTTAGTTACCGAGGCCCCCACACTTCAACTCGGGCGCTGATCAAGCTTGATTCCGTTGCCATCTAACACCCAACTTCAAATCTCTTTACTTTGTACATGCTACATACAGTGCAATGCAAGGTCGTAGCTATCGTCCTGTCCCCATCAGCTACTTCACCTGGCATTCCATCCACCTCAGCAGCCATCAAAGCACTCATTGTCAGGTGATATGGACCCTTGGCCTTGACTGGCTGGCACTCATCATAAAAAATCCATTCCATCCAGGCTCCCAATCGCCCTTGTAAAACATAACTCCAAAGCCAGTGCGCCATGCTCCCTTTTGGGTCTGTTCCTGAGGTCCCCAGTATCAAGTCCTTGTAACGCCCTCCTTGATCAATCTTCACCCTGTCCCCTTCCCGTCCCTTAACCCAGCCCGGCATACTATACTCTCATGCTGGTTCGACGCCTTAGACCGTTCTCCGATGCCTGCAGTTCTCGCGCAAATCGCTCGTCCGCTCCTAAATCACTCTCTCCGCCTGTGCTTTCCCGGCTGGCTCGATGCCGTGACTCTTCAACCGAGCCACCGCGTCGCCCTGCCATGCTTGCAATCTGATGAGTCGTTCCAGATGTGTTGCTGGAGGATCGTCGGCTCTTCCCACTCATCACACCGCTTTGTCCGCTCACAGCACTGGATCCTCGGTCATCTATCGGTGATTTCGCATGCCTTTTGCTAGGTGATTTCATTTCCTCGGACGTCATCCGTAGATTTCCTTTGGGCTGTCGAGATGAATGTCGTGACCTAGATTTGGTCGATGCTCCGGAGAGGTCTCCATTCACTGTAGCTTTGTTGCGTTTGGCCTTTGTCGGTGTCGACACCTCTCCATTCACCAACATTCCAGATACCGTCTCAAGAGTGCCACTGACTGCCATGTTATGGCTTTCAGTCGACTCCTGTTCCGTTTTGACCCATACTCCACTCGCTGCTTCGAGCGTAGGATCGATGGGGAACTGCTCGGCGTCGAGCTCCTTGATTAGTTGCAAGTTTGCGGCTTCCGTCTCCGACATCTTCGTCTCCTCTTGCGACAACCGAGATGGTAAGTCACTAGGATACTCTGGATCGTTGTGGTCTTCTATCGCCTGGTCTTGCATTTCAACATCAATTCCGTGGCCATTCAACAGCGCTGGATCAATCAAGTCATCAATAGCCTCCATATCATCCCCAATATGACCATTCTCATCGCTCAGCCGAGCCGGACGCTTACTGTTAGTAGATCCCCTCGGTTTCGAAGGCTCCGCAGCTTTAGCAGGATCAACACGACCGTGCTCGTCGTGTACACACCGTCGCTGTCCCTAGTTAGCATTTCACGTCGTTCATGCTCGATTCCTTGCGGGCTCTACATACCTTGCTTTTCCGGCATTCTTCGCATGCCTTGCTCCGGCTCTTCTTTGATGACGAGGATCCTGGCTCGGCCGGTGGTAACGACGGAAGTCTTTGGTCACTGCCCTCCCCAAAAACTTCTGCATATTTTGTTTCGGGTGAACTAATCGAGTCACCGCTCGCACCATTGGTCTGAGGAGTCTCCGCTGATGGCGCGTCCGTATTGGAAAAGCTTCGTGGGCGGATTTCGGGTGCTGCTCTGCTCGGAGTATCACTTCCTGCCTTGTGTCGACACTTGATTCGTCGTTTCCGGCAAGGCTCACAAGCAACTCGCATGCCACTTCCCTTAGAAGTGGATCTGGATAGTGGCTTGGGTGTAGAAACACTGGACTCCACCACAGGCGAGTTCCGCGCCTGACTCTGAGTCTGTGCCGCCCGCCGAGACGAGCTGCGTTCTCCCGGGAGCCGAAATGTCTCAGGCTTCTTCGTCTTGTCCGCCTTGTCACCCTCCAATGATGCATCTGAGTGAACCCAGTCTGGTGCTGGCACATTTCCAAGCTTCCAAGCACACCAGATAGCAAATACTTTGATCATCGTCAAGGGATTTCCATGGCCTTTTGGAATTGAGGCCCTGACAGAGTCGACTTGTTTTTTGGTGATATCCGAGACCGGGAGTCCAGCATCGATCCTGGCGGTTCGGTACAGATAGTCTCGCAGGGATGCCCAACCAGATGCCTCGGACCTTGGATAGAATCGTGCATGGTACTCTGGGGTACCAGGCTCGGCCACATTTTCCAGATCTCCCACCTCATGCCAAGGGTGATTGGCTCGTAGGTAGACATGGTCAGGATCTTGGCGAAATTCTTCTAGGAGCTCGTCGGGTAGCGGGTCATCTTCCAGGTATTTGAATAATGAATACCACATCACCTTCTGAAAATAGGGGTATCGGAACTTGGCTGCGACTTTGGTCACTTTTTCAATATTGGCGACCTTCAGTTGCATTTCAAGGTCAATTCGGGTCAAGAAGTTCCCTCCAATCACCAAACTATCCTCTGGAGTCCAGACTGAATGAATCCAACCGGCCGGGATAAATGCAGTGTCTCCTTCATGGAGATCGACGCGAATGCAATTGTTTTCACACTCTTTACCGAGCCAGGTCTCGTTCTGGGAATCAGAATTGCACCAGTTCTCGTACTTCTTGAGATATTTGTCCTCAGGTGGGATGAAGAAGAATGTTTTTGTGCCTTTGAGTATGTGATAATACACCGACGAGCCTCCAAAGTCAATGTGGAAATCCGTATAGCTGTCCGCCACCGACATGAGGACATAGAATTGAACCGGCCTCTTCTTGGTACGTGCCTCAATATCCGTGTTCCAGACCTGATCCTCGAGATCGAGATCTCGAACCACTTTCGGCCGTCGAATCAGCTTTCCCAAGGGGCTTTGTGATACTTCCAGGCTGATGACGTTTCTGATGGGCTTGTCACCCGGTTGTTCGTAGTAGTCGGCCCATTGTTGAAGCGTGAACTGCCCTTTGGTCTCTTGGGTTTTGACATCGATCACAGGGACGGGTTCGTCGAGGCCATACAGCTCCGCGACTCGTCGAACGGTCAAGTTGCGCGGTATCACCATATCTAGGAGGTCCTGCCCGCAGTCTACAACCTCTTCCATGGGAATGTCTGCGGGGTCTACCGTCGAAACAGTGACCGTGTTTCCACGCGCATCGACTCCTCTTTGCGGAGTTGCGTCTTGTATTTTGGTCTCCGATTGGCGTTCCGTTTCTTTGAAAGGCGTCTGAACACCAAAACGTGGATTCCACGCAGCTGGAACCACAAATGGTCTTTTCATACCATTGGAGTTTTGCATAAAATCCACAGTCAGCATTTCGGGCCGGACGCGCGCGAAATCGTCGGGTAACAGTGTGAATTTGCCTTCTTTGAAAGGCTGGATATAGTGATGGGTGGAAGTCTCGACGGAGGATTTGACAAGGCCTTGGTTGAGGGCATCATAGTCGATATTGGGTCGGGCACGGGACGACTTGCGCACATATGTGGTCTTCCCGTGCACTGGCTCACAGTTCATACAGACGTATGCATTGACGGCTTCGACATCGGCCTTCGTACTATAGCCAGCACAGTGAGCGTGGTACCAACGCTTGCAAGGGCCGCACTGAATCCACAAGGTTCTTTCGTCGTCATCGACTCGGTCGGGTTCAACGCGTTGGCAAGCTGCACATCGTACATCATCTTCCGGATCTTCTTGTTCAAGCTTCAGCTTTTTCGTAGGTGGCGATATTGGATCAAGGATGGCAGCTCTTCGTTTGGATGGCTGTAAAGTCTTGGAACTGAGCTCGGGGGCTTTGGAGTGCTTTCTCTTGCTAGGCTCACCAGTGACGGTGGTGCTTTGTTGACTCTGAACCTCATCAGCCACCAAGTGAGCTTGCGATGTTCCATTACGCTGGCGTGACATGGCCACACCATCAAGTGTGTCAGAAGGTAGGCTCCCAAGTGCAGATGGTCCTGATGGTTGGAAATGATTATGAACATCCCCGGGCTGTGTCGGCGGCGAGAGAGCTGGGAGGTGGCTGGAATTGAATATGCTTGTGGAAGCGCGTCTCGGGGTAGTGTTCTTGAAGTTGGTCTCATTCCGTAGTCCGAGCAATAACAAAGCATCCTTCATGGTGGTGGGATCTTCATTTCCGCTCGTCTTTGGTCGCTCCAGACTCGAGGACCACTCTTGAGGGGCGATGCGCTCGGATTTGATCCGCTTTGCTGGCGGCCCATCTGTACCATCTTGTTGGGGGTAGCGGTAGAGATAGGATGTGGAAGGCCGGGAGGCCGACTGTGAAGCTTCTCTCCACTGAGAGTAGGGACTTGCAATTGCAGGGGCTGGACTCGTAGCAATAGCAGCATTTGCCAAATCAGCGATGGTGGAGCCGCTGCGTGTATGGCCTTTGGTTCGAGTGTTCTGATAGCTCCGCGAGGCTTGAAAGATGGTTTCGAAGGCAATGGGGGATTGGGGAACAACCGAGTCAGAAGCATCCCTGGGGCCGACATGGGCTGCGCCATTTTGATCGAGGAAGAGACGGTCTGGATGGGTTGTAATTGCGGCGGAGTCGGAGAATCCAGCATCAGAGAGGCCGAGACCCCGGAGTGCATACCCATCCTCTTGAACGGATATAGAATGCGAATCGGACAAGGAGAGGTCGAGTAGGGGCGCGGTCGCGGGTATGGGAGTGTGTGTGGTTGGGGTTGTGGGCGACAGCGGTTCGATCTCGTAGGAAGAAGGGCGCGGAGGAGTGGAGGTTCGCACAGGGCCAGGATGCCCAGCATTCCGCCAGAGGGTTGAAGTAGGCATGACCGAGTCTGATGGGGAAGAGATTGGTGGTCAGGACTGGGTGAGCGGTTGTGGTTTGTGGTTGCGGTTGCGGTTGCGGAGCGGGGCTTTTGAAGGGGAACCGTGAGAGAAGAAGTCGGAGGTGACAACGGGCAACGCGGACTACATTGGTGATGTAGATATGATGACCTCCATGCGGAGGCCAGGAGAAACGGTGTAGAGAAACCGAGGGAGAGGGAGCTGTGGGATTGTGGTGAGTGAACGAGTGAGTGTTGTAGACTGTGGTTGAAGTTGCGTTCAAGTTGCAGTGGATTGTATGTGTATCTGAAAGGGAAGTCACGATACACGGAGAAACACTTGTTCCTTTCCAAACCAAAAACTGCTGCCCTGCGCCCTTCACCGTTGAAGCCTCATCTATGCGGTTGCACTATCCAACACTTGTTCATCCAATTCCTTGCATCTCTAACTCTACTCAGATTGTGTTGAATCTTTCAATCTGTCAGCGTGGGCGTCGTCACAGCCACCGGCAGCAAATCCATCTTTACGCAGCGGTCGTATCACTCGTATTGCCTCGTTTTCATCTTCGCCGCAGCCAACACCAGACCTCTCCAGCGAGCCATCTCTCTCTTCGACCACGCTCATCAACTCTCAACATGTCTCGCAGTAATAAGCTGGCTCCGGAGGCCAACCGCATCCTTTTTGTCAAGAACCTCGCTTACAACATCGACTCTCCCGCTCTGTTCGACCTCTTTGGCAAGTTCGGTCCCATTCGACAGATCCGTGCTGGGACCTCCAACACCACCAAAGGAACCGCCTTTGTTGTCTATGAGGATGTCTTGGACGCAAAACAGGCCTGTGACAAGCTCAATGGCTTCAACTTTATGAACCGCTACCTCGTCGTCCTTTACCATCAACCGGAAAAGATGAAGGTGGAGGCCAAGGAGGACATTGCCGCCCGGCAGGAAAATCTCCAACGTGTCAAGAAAGAGCATGGGATTGAATAAAAGAGTCATCGGAAATACTGCATACATTCATGATTTCATAGTACCATCTGGATCTCTGTACGGGGAACATCTACTCATCGCCAGTCTCAATTTGAGGCGTGGGGTCTCAACCCTTCAAGGCACCGATCTGTGAACTCTCGTCTCTTGACCGCCTAAAAGCGTGCATTTTTCACAGATGCCCGCTTCTGGCAACAAAGATACATTGGGTCAAATGGGCAGGGACAGAAACAGGGGAGAAGAGCTCAAAGCGACAGACCATATCGTTCAAAGCGTCCAGGATTCTGACGTCCGTTGAGTGGGAGGAGAATGCTTGAAGGAAGCAAGACTAGTTAATCGCGTTGCGTTATGGTTGCGAAGCCGTCCAAGAGATGAAAGACAGCCTCAAGGGCAGGCACCGGGTGGTTAGAGACCAGAAGTTGAAGATTCCACAGCCAGTTTCGTCGTTTACCGGAGAATGAAAGACTGTCGATTCCGAGGTCAGCCATACCAGGACATTATTTCTGTCTAGAAACGAAATGAAAGTACGTTTTTAGTCAGCGCAGGTTGAGTTGGAGGTTAAATCTGCAGTTCATCACAGAATACTAGACAAGACAAGGGCAATTTGCTGTTCCTCTATCATTCATTGCTGTTGAAACACTGTGCGTGGAAGATACATGTCCAGCACTCCACCCAAGCGAGGGTCAGATACGTCAGACGAGACAAAATCCAACTGTAGAGTGTACACAGGAAATCATAATTCGCAGCGCGACAAGAAACCAGGGCGAAGCAACCACTCGGCGTAGTTAGACTTAACATCAGGCTGAGATCGAAGTACAGAGACAGCTAACCTCCAACGCGGTATGAGCATTGCGTACCGTCGAGGATTCGCCCATCGCCAATGCACGTACACTCGGTCGGTTGTATGATGATCCATTGTTACCAAGTACTCGGTACTTGAGACGGGGGGATCCCCAGACCAAGCAGTGAGACTCGGAACTTGAGAGGGGGGTAGACGATGTGATGAGCATCAGGCCAGCTTCCCTGTATTCTCTGGCGAGCCACTGGAGAAATGTACGGAATATGGATGGTTGTTCAACGAGAATCTCTTGATCGACTTCGTATTCGGTCCAGAGAGGTTTTGGGCAAATCAACTGCTCCTCGACCGGAGTGCACTTTAAGATGATGTGGCATTTCAGGCATCAACAATTATACCGTATCTTACAGGAAACTTCTGGCCCATCACTCGATCCGAATTCGTAGTACCGGACAGTTAGGCATGAACATGAAGCGGTTTGAAGTCAGCTTCCCATCCAGGCTTTAAATCGTGGAATCAGGGGATGCGAGTTTATCCGTAGGGGGTACTCGTATGTTCTCATTTATTAAATATTGAATCCTGAACCATGATGCCGTGGGCCACTAACTCCTGGCCGAGCCTTAACCGGGCCACCCGCCTTCCGCCCGCATTACCCGCTTTCCAACGTATCCGGAGCACAAACGACAGGGGATGCACCCCCATATTCCGTCCCTTTCTGACCAGGGCTAGGGGGTTTTGAGGCTGCTCCGTAGATTCCGCGTGTCCACAGCATTGCTACTTTGTCCCAAGCAGGGGTGGCTCATGGGTCAAACACCAGGTGCCGACCTTCTGGTGACTTCTGGCGTGGAAGCGAAAGCAGACGCCGGAAGCGGGGGCCAGCTTGGGCTAGTTTTTCTAGTTTCAAGAGTGATGCCACTCGTACATGCTACTCCATACAGGTTCTGGAGATTTGGGCTGACGTGGGTGGACACTGGACAATTATGTTGGGGCTTGGGGAATGAAGCTCCCAAAAAGAAGTTGAGCCAGGGCTTGGGAACGGGGCGACCCAAGAACCAAGAATCAAGGATCAAGATACCCCCATGCTACTGATCCTTGTTGGGATTGGGGAAGCCCAATCGATAGGCGTTTGGATGGCAGAAGGGACATGACAGAAAGGGCGATCAATCAATTGACCAGGACCATGATGGCGCATTCCACTGGGCAAACGTTTGTGTTTGAGCCTGAGCCTGAGCCTGGGAATAAGAATGAGGAATGGCCAACACATACCAACTGGGTCGTGAAATCAGGCCGAACCAGGCCAGGTAAGAATGGAACTGGAAGGGGGAAGTGGGAAGAGGACCCGATGGGTTAATTAGGAGTGCCTCGTCGCTCGTGGCTCCGGGGAAACAGAAAAAGTGAACCATACTCTGATGGCCTGGGGTCTTGAATGGTGGAATCGAATCATCACCGACAAGGCGACCTTGGAAAGCGAATAATCCCACGTCTCCTTGACCGCCAGATTTCTGAACGACACATTTTCCCACTCCGAGTCCGACTCGAGTCTCCAGTCTCCAGTCTCCAGTCTCCAAGGGGGTATTATTATTTAGTTTGACATCGTCTCCTTACAAAGTCCCCGATCTCTGCTCCTTGTTTCTTCGTCTCTCTTCTTTCCTCTGCAGAATAAAAAGGTCTCCAGTTTTCTCACCGATCGACTCTCGCTCCCCCAAAGACATTATCTACGAGTACCGTGCCTGCAGCAGCCGCCGATCACCGCCATCTCCACTCTGCGGCTTAATTCCAACCCCAACCGCAACCGCAACCACAACCACACTGGTGAATCTGTCTGCCTCATCACCAAGGCTTCCGCTTCTAACCATGGAGTAGTTACACATCAGAAAGCAACTCCAAGTCCCTCGACCTTCCGCAACAGCGACACACCATTTTTAATCACCATCACCATGCAGCGCTCATCCTACCGCTCCACCGTCCTTTCCAGTGAAAATTCCAGCCGAGACATGCATCGAGCACTGGAAGCATCACCCCGACCCAAGTACGCATATTTGGATCGAAGACAATTGTCCGAGCAACAACCCCCTCCACCACCGCCATCTCCGGTCTCGTGGAACCGTGACAAGCCACAGAGCAGATGAGACGGCAAAGTCTCGGGCTCTCGACATTTCCTTTGTGGGGAGGATTTCCAGAAAAGTTGTAGCACAATAGAGTGATTTTGTTTCATGGACTTGACTTGACTTCTCCAATTGTCTATTAGCAGCACGGGCAGGGCATAACTTGCGGGTTCTGGCGTTTGATCTTTGGAGCACTGGAACTCTGGGGCATCAGAGTGGTTTTCAAACGGCTTGCATATTCTCTGTCGGACTTGGACCGACCTCACCGACCTCATGGCTTGGTTCCATAGCAGCATTATTACCATGATCTCCGTCATCTTCCTCTAATTGAGAATAGATTTTTTGAAGTCTCTCCAGTGCTGCACCGTCACCTCGTACCACCCGTCGGTTCAATTCGTCAATCTCGATGGATTGAGCTTGGCTGAATTGGGGTGATTCTTTGGCCGCAGTTTTCTCATCCACATAAGTCCGAACCATGTCCTGGTGGCCACGCTGACTCTTGATGTCCATAAGCTTCTCCAAAAAAGTCGCTTGGTTTTTGATCTGGACATTTTTGGCCGCACTGTTATGGGTGAGTTCACCCAGGCTTCGACCGGCGAGGTGGCCTTCCTCGTCGTCTTCTGCTCTGGCCCTCTTCTTGGGATTCTTCTTCATGATGGTCCGATGGCCAAGCAATTTGATGGTGGACACGCCAAGTAGGTCACAGTCGTCCGTCGAGAGGGCAGGTTGGATATCCTCGGATGCGCCTGGTTGGGTAAAAAACATGTTGGTTCCAATCATATCAACCCATGTACAGCTGTATACCTGGTCCTGATACGAAATAATGGGGTTGGTGGAATGCAAGCCTAGAGCCTGGAAACTGACGGGGATGGTTGTTTGGACATCGTTCTGCTCCCTCACATCATCATTGACCGGCGTCTGTTGGGCAGATCCAGGACTTGCAGTACCATGTGGGTTTTGAGGTTCATCGGGTTCGGGGTCTGGGTCTGGGTCCGGGTCCGGAGTTGGAGTCTTTGTATTTTGATCGACTTTTCTCGACCTGGGCTTTGGTTTCTTTTTGCCCTTGGCTGTCACGGCAATGCTGGATTTGATGGCGGTATTTAGAGATGAGACGTCGAGGTCCACGAGAAAAGTCTACCGCAAAAAGTATGAGAGAATGTGATGTGGAATTGGACAAGGTACAATTTGATCGCAGCACGGTTCCTACCTCGGTTTCATTGTCATCATATTCGTACTCGTATTCATTTTCCGCAACCACAGGGTTGTTGGTCATGATGGCATGCAAGGCTGTTGGCCGATTGAGGCAAGGCCAGGCAAGCAGTAGAACAATTCCTGGGGGAGATTCCAATGAAACTCACGTGACAGAAATGGTTCACGTGATCGTGTCGGAGGGTTCCAAGGTTGTTGGGTTTGTACGTGGCCCAATCAACTCGTGCTCGTGATCGAGGTTGTGGTTGACAGTGTTCCTCGTCTATCACGTATACTGTAAAGGAGGAGTGAATCCTCAATCCTGAAGGACAAGAGTGAAACCTGGAATGAAACAACCAGTCAGGTGTGAGGGCGAAAAGAGGTGCAAGATTGTCAAGATTCGAGAGGAGGATCGTCCAGTCCTCCCGGAAATCCTTTGCCCAGTACGACTCCTACCGAGGACTAGTAGTTGGTCACCACCGAGTCGAGGGCTGAGACTTGAGTCTTGACAGTTCTGGCACCACACGCAACCCGCAACACGCAAACTCCGGATAAGACTCCCCTCGCTCCGTCATCATCACCTCGAGAACTCCATCGGTCATCTGCATAAACATACATAATCCAGCATTTCCTGTTTCTCTTCACCGACCGCTACCGCCACCGCTGCCTTTCTGCTTCAATTTATGGATCCTGTTTCTTTCTCTCAGATCTTCTCTACAAAGAGATAGCCACTTATCTCCGCGCTATGAGTGAGGCCAATGGTCGTCTCTAGGACCGCCCGTTGATTGCCAGTAAGTCCCTCATCTTTGCCCTTCTCGTTCCATCCCACTCCCACCCACACGGCATCCACGGATGTGGGCGGAAGTTCTAATTATTCATCGCCATCTTCCACTGGATCCCCGTTATCTGCCAGCGGAGCCTGATCTTATGTGATGCTGCCCGTATCTGGCCCACCCCTCTATCACCATAAGCCTCGTGTGCATTATTCAAGGACCCAAGCACCGGCCGACCCATCAACCCGAGTTCCGCCCTTGCCTTGACCGTCACATTCTTGTGGGGAGATGATGACAGCCCATGTCATTCAATGCACATCCTCTCGCTTTGTACAAGAGCCTCTCCAATGAAATCTTATGGCTAATCCTTTCGGGCTTTCGCTCTTACAGTGTCTTTGATATCCCATCATGGCGGCCAGTTACCGCTTACACATCAAATATATCCTTCTCCGTTCACCACCATTACCACCACCTCGCCCTTGATATCTACTCCTTCCTCGACTTTGTTCGCTGGCCTACACGACTATCCCCCTCTCCCGATTGCCCAGGCGCAGGCGCATTCCGAACAAGGTTATCCCTCGACACCAATAGAGGTACTGGTAGACACCACTGGAGCCGAGCCAGGGCGAGGGTGCCGTGCTTATGAGAAAGATACGAACATCCACTTGGAGGAGGAGGAGATGAAGGCCGTCAAGACCAAAGCCACAATCGGTGTGCTGTCCACCATCATCTCTTACATGTCCCTGAACAGTATCTATCGAGCAAGACACCCCGAAGCATTCATCTGGCAAGATGAAGACCGAGAAGAGGCGACCTGGATGGCAACCTCCAAGTATTGGTTGGACCGCAAGGCATGCCGTTGGCTCGGAGTGTGTGGGGGTTTGCACATCCACCTGACCAACGAAATGGACGATTTCGGTCATATGCCCATGATTAAGCAGAAGCAACAAAAATCAGTCGGTTCGGAGCCAGACTGGGACTGGCAAACCGCATGGACTGAAGGCAAACATCGACCAGAGGACTGGACCGATGACGAGCGAGTTCTCCGAGAGATTCCAGCCTATGTGCTCGAGTATGCCCCACTGGTTCATCTCTATTCTGGAGAACAGTTTTGGCCGTGTGACATTGCGGAGCACCTATATCACATCACACCCGCCCTCAACTACACCCCCGTCGCAGCCGAGGACAGCCATCCTACCTTGGAGAGCTTGGACAAGCTCAACCGGTGGCAGAAAGGTCGGTGGGTTTTCTTGACCAGTGACGACAATGTTGAAGAACGACCCGAGTGGCTCGCCGGGGAGAAGAACATCCCCAACAACCCAGTCAATCCGGATGACCCTTTTCTGGATAATGATGGCTGGGTGCATCACCCGGGTCGGACATACCTGCAAGGGGTCAAGGATGCATTGGCGGATTTGAAGGACTGGTTTGCCCCGGAGCTGAACGATGAGCAAGTAACCAAGGACTTCCGGACCACCCGCTTTGGCAAGACCAACAATGCTGAAGCCGTCTCCAAGATGCACTCGGAGCTGAAGCGCTCCGAGGGCGTTGGCAGGATCCGTGGCGGGCGGAGTGACGCACCGGCCGTCTTGATCACGGTCAACAAAGGTCATGGCATCGTGGATGCGTTTTGGTTCTTCTTCTACAGCTTCAACTTGGGCAATGTGGTCCTCAACGTTCGGTTTGGAAACCACGTCGGTGATTGGGAACACACGGCGATCCGCTTCCAACACGGCGAGCCCAAAGCCGTCTTCTTCAGTGAGCACAACTTTGGCTCCGCCTACAGCTACGAGGCGGTTGAAAAGCTGGGGAAGCGACCGGTGATCTACTCGGCGTATGGAACCCACGCCATGTACGCCACACCAGCCACGCACCCTTATATTCTACCATGGGGGATACTCCATGATCTCACGGACCGCGGCCCGCTTTGGGACCCGGCCCTGAACTCGCATGCTTACACATACGACCACGTGAACGACAAGCTGCGATCATCCAACGTCACCCCCGAAGCACCCACTGAGTGGTTTGACTTTGCCGGACACTGGGGTGACAAGTTTTACCCATTGAATGATAGACGACAATATCGGTTTGCGGGACAATACCACTATGTGAATGGACCTCTTGGACCCAAGTTCAAGGAATTAGACCGGAAGAAGATATGCCCTGGGCCGGACTCGGCGCCGTGCGTGATCAAGAACTGGCTATCTGGATCTGAGAAGATTGGACGGATTCACGTGTCGAATGAAGAAGGGGAAGATGTTTTGTGACGGACCAGACGAGACGAGTATAGAGACACATTCTTTTACGACGATTGCTTCATCGTGTTTGGTGAACAGCATCATGATACCCCCGGTTGAACGTGTTATGGATATGATTGACGGCGTTTGGATGCGGGGCATTTGACTTTTAAGGGGGACTCTTGACGGCCATGATGGTTGCAGATGTAACATGTCTTCACTATGATAGAGCAGACCAAGTATATATTCTACTATGCTGGTGCCACACCTAACCCGAGTTGGAGTGCAAGCTATGACGTGCATGGGCATTCAACCAGCAGGTCACGCGGTAAGCGAATCCCCGCTTCTGCCACTGGAATGTGTGGCGCGCCTGTGCTCCGTGTCTCATATCACTTGGTACTGACTTCGCCTGATGACCTTTGCATCCAACGTTTACCACTGCGCTGCCGCCTTGTCCATCAGCCCCAATTCTTTGTCTTTGTTTTTACACTTTCTGACTCGAGCAAGATCTGGTTTATCTTGTCCACCTCGGTGCCTAATTAAGTTCAGCTTATCACCATTAGCCTACACGCATGGATCGATGACGATAACCTCCACTCACCTTTGGCCCTCCATCATCCTAATCAAATCATCAAATGCACCCTCCCGACCTTCCATTTTCCTCCTCTGTCATCAACAATGAGACCATCACCTCCAGTATGATTCCCCTATCCCCCATAACAGGGCTCGCAACCACCGGCGTGTCATTCCTCGCCACTATCACCGCTGCTGGGGTTGCCCAAGCCACCGGAACGCCCAACACATTCAAATCCAAGCCCGACGATGAGAACAATGGGGAGTGCAAATTACTGGGATCATTTGCGGTTTTTGTTCAGGGAGCGCTTGGTGCCCTCGCCTTGTTGACACTGGTGTTCAAGAGATGGAGGGAGCGACCGCAACGACCAGTCAAAGTCTGGGCATTCGACGTATCCAAGCAGGTGGTCGGGTCTATACTACTTCACCTGGCCAATGTGGTCATGGCCATGTTCTCGGCCGGTCAGATCCAGGCAACGATTGCAAAGTCCGCCGCGAGCGCAGCGGGAGTGGATACCGAAGACAAATACCAGCCGAATCCATGCTCGTGGTACCTGCTCAACCTGGCCGTTGACACGACGGTGGGCATCGTCATCCTGATCGCCATCCTCAAAATTTTGACCATTGGAGCCAGCTACACAGCTCTGGCCCGACCACTCGAATCCATCGAATCTGGTCACTACGGCACACCACCCAAAACCACATGGTGGCTGAAGCAGTGTCTGATATATTTTGTGGGATTGATCGGGATGAAGTCGTGCGTTTTCTTGCTTTTCCAACTTTGTCCATGGCTGGGCCGGGTCGGAGACTGGGCGCTCCGCTGGACAGAGGGTAATGAGGCGGTGCAGATCGCATTTGTCATGTTTATTTTCCCACTCATCATGAACGGCATGCAATACTACATCATCGACACCTTTATCAAGAACAACAAGAACAAGGAGGATGCGGCCTCTGGGAGAGCCGATGGAGCACAAGACGACGAGCAAGGAGGACTCCTTGGGCCAGACGGTGATCACGATCAATCAGTGGATGGGGATGCAGTTGGAGCTGGCGCAAGACCGCAGAAACCCCAGTTCCAGCATCATCATGTGGCGTCGTATGATCCGGACAAGGACGGTGAAACACTTTTGGCAACGAGTCGAGATGGAGAAAGCAGTAGCAGTAACAGTGCCATGCTGGCAGAACAGGCGGAGGAAGAGGCGGTCGAGAATCGACCTCGTGTGTGACAGGAATAGGAAATTGATAGCGGAGGATAGGATAGGAAAGGATAGGACATGAAATCTCTGTTTTGGCGCCTTGTCCATTCCATTGATCCCGTGTTGTGTCTTGTTTCTCCATGGATCGCGATGCTGGTGTTGATGATGATGAAATGCGAAAGTCACATTAGGCCATCTACTACGACCACCACATCACGTCTTGGATCGGGAAGGGTCAAACGCACATGGCTGGAGTATTGGGTAATGTTAAAGCACCAGATTGGAGCGGTTTGGTCAAGTTGAGTAACTAGGTTACTCTGCATCAAGACACTTGAAGCCATTGTGGTTTTTTCCTTGTAAATTTTCCAAACCCCAGACTCTGCTTGGCTGGTGGGCGTCCGGCTTTACCCTAGGCTAAGCGTTGGGGGGTTGGAGGCGCCCACACATGATCCAGGGGGCACGGGAATGAGGACCGAAGAGGCGCCACTGGACAAATCTCACGAGTTTCTGGGGTGATTCGGGTCCCGGTGGCCGATGCGGTCCCTGGTCCCTGGATCTGATGTCTTAAGAGTGATCATTACGACGCTTCTTGCTGAGAGGACCATCTGATGGCAACACTAAAGAGGTTTTCCATTCGACTAGTGGCATGCATATCCAATTGCGGGGATGCTTGGGGGGCACTGCTTCCATCATCTACAACTTGAAGTGACTAAAGTTACATAATTTGACTCCTTGTTCTTGGGCCATGTGATGCATCAGAGATGAAAATGGAAATGGAAATCAGAATTTTGCTAATTGCTAAATCTCTCACCGGCACCCGGAGGTGGAGGCGGGCACTGCCAATATAAATAACAATTAGGAATCCGGCCCGCCATCAACCAGGTAGTCTCCGGATAGAGTCAACAACATACTAGACTTCAGCTTCAGCTTCACGTCCCTTATCATTGATAAAGAAAGGGCCCCTTCTCTGTCTCTGCCCCGTCTGTCATCCTCCACACAACTGGTCTACTCCGGTCAGATTGCGGCTGACTCTCATATGAAAGCACTCCCTTCCCTCGTTTCCAGCTGAGACACTCTCCTTTCTTCCCTTTCTTCTCGTTCCCCGTCTACCTCATTTTGTCCTTCTCTCTCTTCCAAACACAATCATGGCTGCCCCAACAACAAATGGCGACCAGCTGCTCAATCCAGCAAAGCACAAGCTGGTCGAACAAGTCATCCGAACCCCGGGCAGACAGCCATCTCCACAACCCACCATGCTGGGAGTCCCAGGAGCCTCTCAGTCAAACCAGTCTCTTCATCGCATTCTGTCCGATCACGGCTCGGGCTATGTGGCTCCCAAATTCGAGGGCAAACAAGCCCAGATGGGCGAAGGCAAGTTCGATCCCATTCCTCTTGGGGTGGAACTTCACTAACTGGAGACCCGCAACAGTCATGGATTTAATCGAAGAGAAGGGTTTCCTCCCCACCGAATTTGTGGCCTCCGAGACCGAGTGGTTCTACAATGCCCTTGGAATCGACGACATGTACTTCTCCACCGAACGAGCCGAAGCAGTAGCCGCCAACATCCTTTCTCTCTACGCTGCCAAATTGGCCGCCTATGCCCGCGATGACAAGAAGTTGGAAATCCGACTGGCAAAGGAAGCCGCCGATCATGCCGTCTATATTGACACCAGCGCACCGGGAATCAGCGTCATTGACGGTCCAAGATATGAACAGAGAATGGACGAGAAATACATCGATGGCTCCGTTCCGAGTCGCAGTTACAGAGTCGAGTCTTTCCGATCCACAAATGCCCTGCCAGAGAATCCCGGCCAGTCGCTGCGTTGCTACTTCGTCTACGAATGCCGCTTCGACAACCCCAATCCGAGCCCAGACGAGACAGACCTAGAAGTGATTGGCGAGAAGACCTTCCTGCAAAAGGCTACACCAAACACAAAGGCTGTCTACCAAGAGATCATCAACTATGCCGTCCAACGGACAGGTCCCGTCATCGAGATGTTTGAAATGGAGGGCACTCGCGAGAAGCGTCTTGTCATTGCCTACCGGCAAGGTTCTGCCCTCGGAGTCTTCAGTGCTCTTTCAGATCTATACCACTACTACGGCGTAACGAGCTCGCGGAAGTACGTCGAACAGTTTTCCAACGGCATCACCGTCATCTCTCTATATCTCAAGCCCGCCTCGGTCGAGATCGCCAAGCAAAGAAATCCCCCCATCGAAGCAGCCATCCACCAAATCATCAAAGAGGTGTCTCTTCTCTTCTGCATCCCCCAGAACAAACTCCAGGGCCAGTTTGCTAGCGGCAACTTGAGTTTACAGGAATCCATTTACGCCCACTGCGTCCACGTTTTCGTACAACAATTCCTCAACCGTCTTGGTTCCGAATATACTTCCCTGGTGGCGGCACTCAAGGGTGACACCAATGCAAATGCTGAACTATTGTCCAAGATCAAGAAGCGTCTTAGAACAGAAACCTTCACTTCAGAGTATATTCTTGAGATCATCAACCGCTATCCCGAGCTCATCAGATCGCTCTATCTCTCTTTCGCCAATACTCACTACGTCCAGACACGTGGTGAACAGGATGACTTCATCCCTACCCTGAGTTATCTGCGCCTCAATGTGGATAAGGTGCTCGATGACAAGAGTTTGTCTGAGATCATCTCACGAACCGTGGGAAACCAGCATGATGAGATGGTCATGCAATATTTCTTGACCTTCAATAAGGCCGTCCTGAAGACCAACTTCTATACGCCTACCAAAGTGGCCCTCAGCTTCAGGCTCAAGCCCAGCACGGATTTCCTTCCAGAACACGAATACCCTCAGCCATTATACGGTATGTTCTTGGTGATTGGATCCGAATTCCGAGGCTTCCACCTCCGCTTCAGGGATATTGCCCGTGGTGGTATCCGAATCGTCAAGTCACGAAACCGAGAAGCTTACAGCATCAATGCCCGAACTCAATTCGATGAAAACTACAATCTTGCGAATACTCAACAACGCAAGAACAAGGACATTCCCGAAGGCGGATCCAAGGGTGTCATTCTTCTTGACTTCAATCACCAAGACAAGGCTCGTGGTGCTTTTGAGAAATATATCGATAGCATTATGGATCTCCTCTTACCTCCTACCAGCCCTGGTATCAAGGATCCCATTGTGGATCTGCATGGCAAACCGGAGATTCTCTTCATGGGTCCTGACGAGAATACGGCCGATCTGGTGAACTGGGCAACGGAACATGCCCGTATGCGTGGTGCTCCATGGTGGAAGTCTTTCTTCACCGGAAAGAGCCCCAAGCTTGGTGGCATTCCTCACGATGCTTACGGCATGACTACTTTGTCAGTCCGAGAGTATGTCAACGGCATCTACCGTAAACTCAACCTCGATCCTAGCAAGATTCGAAAGATGCAAACCGGAGGCCCTGACGGTGACCTAGGCTCCAACGAGATCTTGCTCAGTAATGAGAAATACGTTGCCATCGTCGATGGCGCTGGTGTATTGGTTGACCCTCAAGGTCTTGATAAAACCGAACTCCTGAGATTGGCCAAGAATCGTGTCATGATCCACGAGTATGACATTTCTAAGCTTTCAGCAGACGGTTATCGTGTTCTGGTCGAGGAGTCCAATATTACATTGCCATCGGGCGAAAAGGTCAACAACGGAATGACCTTCCGAAACACCTTCCATCTCCGCGATGGCAGTAACTACGACATGTTTGTCCCTTGTGGTGGTCGTCCTGAGTCTATTGACTTGTCGTCAGCCAACAAGCTGATTGTCGATGGAAAAGCTACCATTCCCTACATTGTAGAGGGCGCCAATCTGTTCATCACATCAGACGCCAAACTTCGATTGGAGAAGGCCGGATGTATTGTGTACAAAGACGCCTCGGCAAACAAGGGAGGAGTCACCTCATCGTCACTTGAAGTACTGGCCAGTTTGTCATTCGACGACCAGAGCTTCATTGAGAACATGTGCGTAGGCACCGACGGAACGGTCCCCGCATTCTACCAGTCATATGTGAAAGAAGTGCAGGAGACCATCCAGCGAAACGCACGTCTCGAGTTCGAGGCCATCTGGCGCGAAAACGAGAGCAGCGGAATCGCTCGATCCACACTTTCCGACCAATTATCCCTCGCCATTACCAAGCTCGACGAAGAACTCCAAAATTTCGGCGAGCTCTGGGACAACAAGCCGTTGCGTGTGGCCGTGTTCAAGGAAGCGCTGCCGCAAACTCTCCAGGCGAAGGTCGGCCTCGACAAGATCTTGGAGCGCGTGCCGGAGAATTACCTCAAGGCGATTTTTGGCAGTTACATGGCCAGTCGCTTCGTGTACGAGTATGGTGCTACGCCCAGTCAGTTTGCTTTCTTTGATTTCATGCGAAAGCGTATGGCGGGTGCTATTGTCAACGGGCAGTAAATCTGCGCCCACTGAAGTTGTTTGTCTTTGTGATTTATTTCCCTTTGGTTCTATTCGGTCCTCGGGCTATGCATGATTTGGAAAGCGGGGCGGGAAAGGGACAAGAAACGCAATACGGTCGTCTTGGGAACGGACATGGACAAAGCTTTTGTAGCTCCTGAAGGTTGGAATGGCCCATGGAACACGAGGAATAGGATGAGAGACAAAGTTTTCTCTCTTGCTTCCTGGAGCAATGGCGTTGATCTATCTATGTATGACGCTACGCGATGCGACGCAAAGCAAGTGGAAAGACAAAAGTTGGCTACCTAGGTAGTGTGGTAAAGCACCAAATATTGGACCCTGAATTACCTGTGCTCATGATTACGTGAAATTTCACAGTCGACGGTACGATCTGTCAGGTCTTGGTGTCAAAGAATATTTTATGGTATCTGTAGTATAGCTTCACAAAAAACACATTGATGTTCTATCATTGCTCGTATTCATTCCGTCATCTCGGAACACTCACCTTCGATCACTCCGAATCAGTACCAGAACCCGAATGAGCACCACCTCCACCATCAGTGGTCCCCATCTCCGCCTTCTTCCTCTTCTCCCTCTCCTTCCGCTTGACCTTCTTCTCGCGATTCCTCCTCGTCCGCTTCTCCCGCTCCGCCGCGTCCGTCACCGTCGCGCGCTGCGCCGCTTCGGCTTTGGCTGCCAGTTGCCGGCGGAGGTGGATGCGGCGTTTCTTGGAGGGGCGGGGCCGGGGTTGGGGGTGCAGTGCTTTAGGCGTGGAGGTTGTTGCTTGGGTCTTGGACGAGCGTGAAAAAGGGGATTTCTTGGTTGTCGATGTCGATGTTGACGGCAGAGTGATGGTGATGACACGCCAGGGGACAGCGGTGCCGGGCCATTTTGACGTGGCGTTGGAAAGCACGTCGTGCGACGACATGGCGGTCTCCAAGTACTGGGATTGTCGCTGGAGTTGGGTCGCCGGAGGGAGCGCGGATGTGAAGTGATAGGTGTCTGGACGCCGGGGACGGATGAACCGTGCAGACTCCAGAGAATATTCGGTGATTCCTGGTTCGGGGGTCGTGGAGAGGCGGATTGCTTGGTGGTGTTGGGTTGGTAGTTGGGAGCTCTGCGGGTTCGACGTAGAGCCTGAGGTCGTTGTGGGTTGGTTGAAGAGCCGGAATTGGTAGGTTGGTTCTTCGTTCTCTTGATCTTGATCCTCTGCATTTTCTTGATTGCCGGGTTTGGCTACAGATGCTGGAATGGGATCTTGAGCGGCTTGTTGTTGAGGAGTGACGAAGTCGTACTGGAAGCCATAGTCTACCTCCACAATCTGATGCTCTTCTTCTGGTTGAGATGGAGAGACCTGTCTTGAAGAACGCCTAGATCCATCTGAGCTGTTTTCGTCGCTGTTCCCAGCGAGAAATGTCGAGCGCTTGATTCTTTTTGCCTTGGGTACTTCAAACATCATCTTCGTGATGGGTGTTGAAATGATGCCACACTCGAGATTGACAGAAAATGATTATTGAAGCACCAGTTGTGCTCTTGTCATTATTGCCTGTTGATGGATGTCTTGCTGAGTCAAACTCCAAAAAAAACCTCTGGAAAATCTTTGTGGTAAGGCTTAGACGTGTTAGTTCAGCCTCACCTCAATAACAGCCCTATCAAAAAAGACGTTAAGGTTCAAGAAGGTTGTCCCCTGTCGAGACGAAAACCAGACCGTGAAGCAAGATCTCTTATCTCTCTTGGGGGCTGAGAGCTGCAATTCTAGGCGGTCAATTGGTGGGTGGTGCTTACCGAGGTTCGTGTGTCTTGGCCCTTGGGGGCGATGAAGGTCACCCATGGGCTTTTTACTCGTTCGGCATTGGGGGGCATTTCAGACCCTAAACCCAAAGGCAAAAGGGTGCCCACCCGCCGATTCTCCAGGGAGCCCTAGGGCCCAATGATTAAGTATCCCAAGGATGTGCTTAGATTGCTCGTGGCTGCCACGTTCCATCGATCGATTCAAGTTCCTGCCTCAGGGATGAATATGCAATGGGAATTCAGGACTTTTTTTAAGCAATATACAATTATTTCATAAAGTCAAGTGATAATTCTGCAACATGATCTCCCCATCTTGAACCACCCACAGTGCATCTGAGCGCCCCCGCTTAAGCTGCCTACCTGGAGGTTCTCACTGGCACCCCCCCTAAACACAAACTAAACACCACCCGTCACCTCCACCATTGGTTCAAATAACAACTCATCTGCATAGTGGCTTTCCGCTAAAGTACCAAGCAGCAATGCACCACCATCGACCACATGCAGAAGCTGGCTGTAGTGAGGCGCAGCCTTGTTCAATCATCATGTCGACTCATCCTGCATTCCCCCTTGCTTCTTCAATCTGTCTCCATCACTACTGTAAGGTCTATACCGTTGATCATCAACAAACACTCGCAACCAGTTCCACAGGCACGAGCACAAGCCCGAGCACGACCGCATCAATCACCAGATCATGTCTGGGGTGGGTGAAGTTCTAGCCATCGTCAGTTGTGTGGCCGGACTCATCCAAGCCTATGATTCTGGCACCCGCATCGTCCGACAAATCAAAGCGAGGCGCCAGGCCCATGGCGCCCTCCCACCCTCTGACCTACTCGAGCAATCTATCGAGCAAGGTAAGAGGGAAATCCAGAAGGTAGTCGAAAACGGAAAGCAGCGCTTCGGCCCATCTTTCGAAGAAGGCGATGGTGAGTACCTGGAACCACCAAACAGCATATATCAATCACTAACGTCGCAAACAGCCACCGCACAAAACGCTCTCTTCCGCATCACCATTGCGACACAGCAGGCTCTTTTGGATGGCCTCACTCAGGCTCGAGAAGACGATGGTATCATCGATTTCGAATATTGTGTCAACACCTCGGACAAGGGTCGCAATGATGCCCTCATCGCACTCCATCAACTTTTCCAGCGCAAACTCGAGGAAGAGATGGAGAGAAAGAGATTACAACCCCCAACATTGTCCACGGCGGCCCCTGCATCACCTATCGCACCTCCACCATATCAGCATCATCCTGTCCAATCTGCAACTGCCAAACAAGACCAGCAGCCTCCATCGCCATTACCGAAGATCAAGAAATCCCGAACATTTGGTGAAGCGATTGGCTTCCGACGGAAGTCAAAGGATAACAAAGACCTGTCCCCGACAGTATCAAATGTCCCAGACTCAGACAAATTGGCCGAACTGTCACCCAGATTGTCACAACACGAAATCCAACCCTCGGTAAACCGGCGAAACACGAATTCTTCTATGCGTTCAAACGCCACCTGGTCCAGTGGTTCTACCGACTCTACTGTTGGTCAACCGAGACCAATTACTCGAGCAGACACCTCCGCATCTTCCATCACCATGGTCTCCCGGCGTGATACCAATTTCTCAACCATCTCTGGCATGTCTTCAATGTCTGCCGTCTCATCCATCTCACCCATCACAAAATATGGTGCTTGTTGCAAGTATGCCTACGAATTACGAGACGGCAATGTCAAGAAAGGCCTGATGCTGCAGTTGGCTGGCTTCTACAGCGATCATGCCTTTTATGGCTGCGCCAGCACCAAATGCGAATTTCAATGTCCAGCCTACAAGGACAAGAGTGGATTCAGGATGGACACAAGGGTTTTCAACACTCCTGGAGGAATCAAGTATCGATGGCTGTTTCTTGCGAAATCGCATGTTCAGCAGAAGGATTCTCGTTTTGCTTCATTTCGATGCTTGGTTTGCATCCTCCTAAAGGACGAGTCGGCCGTCTACTCAAACCGAGATTCACTATTTGCACATCTAGCAGATCATCAGGGTGCATTCCTGGGCGATACCTTGATTGAAGGTCAATTGTCCTTTGACAATCATGGAGCAAAATCCGGCGGTGATCTAGATTTTGATATCCGGTTTCCAGAAGCTGCACCAATCGAGCCGTCCAGAGAGGATCAAGGAGTGGCCGTGGTCGTTTCTGCGACACTGCCACTGGATACTCATCAGTTTTCCCAGAGCATACCTATTAAAACCCCAGCCGTGAATGCATATCCTCATGAGCCGGATTACAACCCTTGGGCAACCACTTGATGTACCGATACTCTTCGACATTCTCGTTTCCCAAGGTGCCCAAGGTTGTTCATCTGACTGTCTAGAGGGTGGATGTCTGACGCAGACCCGGATGCGAACGTTTTGACGATTGATGGTTTCTTATCTGTTATATACCTTGATGCTATGCTTTTGATTGGAAACATGTGGATGGATGGCGCAATTTGGTTGGAAAGCGGGTCATTCTCGGATAAACTTGATCCGATGCACATTTTCTAACTTGCGTCTCTCCGATGGCGATCGACAGCAATGTGGTTTTGCTCTCACCTTTGATTCATAGAAGTATCATCATAGGACTACGAGACGATCAATGAGACTAGCAATACTGTGATTTAATCCAAAACTTCCCATAGTTCGTGGGTCCAGATACCTCAAGTGGCGTGGAAGCAACCATCAACCGTTACCTGGATTCTGAAATTTATATTCCCCCACAATTACACTGATATCAGATTCACAAAACGACCACCAATTCTCAACCAGTTATTTTATAACTGAGATAGATCCAAAATGGCCGAGAAAAAGCTGCCGACCACATATCCAAGTTTGTACCTTGTTCCCCATTCGCGCCTTCACACCGCGCCTCCTATCAATGGAATTCCTTCCAGGGCTTCCTGACGAATCTATCTATGCTGACTTGAGCCTCGTTGGGAAGACCCCGTCCACATCGCGGTGATCGGCGGCACAGGACTCAACACACTCGAGCACTTCACCGAAGCGGCCGTCATCGACATCGACACGCCATGGGGCAAGCCATCGTCGCCGATCACGATCCTCGAACACCCATCCCCGACCACCGGCAAACCCATCCCGATCGCCTTCCTGGCCCGCCACGGCGTGCACCACCAGTACAACCCCTCTGAGATCCCCGTGCGCGCCAACATCGCAGCGCTGCGGAAGCTGGGCGTTCGGAGCATCATTGCCTTCTCGGCGGCCGGCTCGTTGGCCGAAGAGGTCAAGCCGCGTGATTTCGTCGTCCCGGATCAGGTCATCGATCGCACCAAGGGCGTCAGGCCGTATACCTTCTTCGAGGACGGCTTTGTCGCCCATGTGCCTTTTGCCGATCCGTTTGATAAGTATGTTGGGGCGGTCGTCAGGAAGTGTGGGCATAGTCTGGAGGGTGACGGGGTTGTCTTGCATGATACGGGAACTTTGATCGTCATGGGTGAGTTTTGTCTTGCATTGGATTAGATAGATGTTGTTTTCCCCTTCGCTGTGGGTTGGTTGGCTGACTTCCGTTGGTGTCTACAGAGGGTCCTCAGTTCAGTACCAGGGCAGAGTCAAACATGTACCGGTCTTGGGGCGGAACCATTATCAACATGTCTACGTTGCCTGAAGCCAAACTCGCCGCCGAGGCCGAGATCGCTTATCAGGTCATCATCATGAGTACCGACTACGATGTGAGTTTCTATCAGGCTGAAGATTATGACCCATCCTTCCTTTCTACGTTGAACTTCTCCTGTTCAGCACTAACATTTCAAATCAAAACCAGTGCTGGCACGACTCCGGCGACGTCTCGGTCGAGATGGTCATGGGCCACATGCGCGCCAACGCAGTCAACGCACGACGCTTCATCGCCGCGGTGCTTGACGAGCTGTCCAAGGAAGAGCATGCGGAGCTCGTACAGGGAAAGCACCTCGCTGGTGGCAGGAAGTTCGGAATCAGCACCTATCCTGAAGGGAGGAGCAAGAAGGCTGTGGAGAAGCTCAATTGGCTGTTCGAGGGCTATTTCTAGATAGCTAATCACTCGAGAGGGCATGGTGGCACTCGTGCCTTGATGGAGAGAAATGCTCTAGTCATCTCCTGAGCAAATGATATGCTTTTTGTCCGATGGATATAGAACCTGTCGAAATCCTAGCCTCAACGCTGGACTTTTCGTTTTGCACAGGCATGGGGCAGAGTGTAACAAGCCCACACAATGTAGAGTGCTTGGCTGTCGGCCAGGGAAAGACATAGATTCTGAAATACTCTGTCCAATCTCCTGAAAGCGGATTTTGTAGGCCTCATATAACATGCGCTCTTGCAGTACATTCAATGCCGCCAATCCTGAGACTTAGCCGATGGGGACAATAATAGATTGCACTTACCCACATGGATGTGGCCTCCAAGGCCGTGATTGTCCGAATTGCCACGAAGGTATAGCCTTGTGTCGATTACGTGGGTAATACTCAAACATTACCGCAGCGTACACCAACAATTGGCAAAAATGTCATTCCGGAGATTTGCTAAAGCATGCGGGCTGCAGATTGTAGTCATATCAGACCGTGAGACATTGCCATTGATACTCCTATTCCTCCACTATCGAGTGGTGTTTACGGGATATGCCAATCTGGTAAATTAGTGTTGGTTCCAAGCATCAGCGATTTCCTCACGGCCTGCAAGGTCTGAACTAGGGAAACAACGTAAGGAGTCCGGACGCTATTTTGGACATTCAATACTTTGATATAAGCTTTGGGAAAGTTCCCAGTCTTGACGAAATCCTGGTCCATTGATCTTCATAATAGAGTGAAATGTGAAATCCCCTGGTCCATGTTGGTAGAAAAGAAGCCGATCGGGAAGCGATGGAAGTTTCTTGATAGGCATGGTTAACCCGGTCAATGTTCAAATTGCTTAGGTAAAGAAACGTCGATCTTCATGTTGCCGCTCGATGGGCATGTTCTTTGTTTCTGGTTGAGGCTTCCGTGACGCGTGCTAGAGGTTTGCAATGACGACCTTTTCCACGCCCCGTGCCGGTTGTTGGAAGTGGATGCGGATTGCGGGCTACACCCAAGCCTGAACGTCGAACTATTTCGAGATGCACTGTTTGCAACCGTGCAATATTGCAAGCCCCGAGGAAATGGGCCGGATAGATGTCAATACAGGACTGACGCGAGCGTTGACAGATATCGTTGTCAGTGCACAGTGCAATGTCCGTCTATTGAGCCACCGAGGTAAGAGGCGTGAATATCCTCCGACGGTGATTGATAAATGTTGATGGCCATTTGGCAGAGATCTCCAAGAGATTGAATTGCAGTGGGAGATGGAGCTACGTCAGTGGTCTGGGAAAAGCCCAATCGGACACAAGTCACGTGTGTTCGTGATCTCGACGCGTTCATTATTTGTTTACCATTTTGGAGCAGTCACGAATCACGATATCCGTGCGGAGCTGAGAAGAACAACCACCAACAATCCTACCCACCACAATCTCAAAATGAATAGCTCAAATTCAATTGATTCCGAGCAGTCGTTTCTCCGCACTTTCATACACGATAAGCACATGCACATGTAATCGTCATGGCAGGGGGCAGACCATCATCCCTGTACCCGAGTCGCATGATCCAACACATGATGCTGCGAACGCGTCCTTTGGGGTCGAAAAGCCTACTGGGGATGGCCCTTGCTCAGGAAGGAGTCGCACCAGGAGATCCTCCGGGATTTTGTCTGAGCAAATGGGTGATGTTGAATGGGCAGTGCTTGATCCTTTGGATTGATTGTGATATCAACTAGTCCATGAGTAGATGGTGCACTCGTACGAAGCAAGCAATGGGGTACAACTCCGAGCACATCTCTTCAAGGCTACCTTGCTCAACACCGTGACCGTTGTAACACCATTAAGCGAGAATGAGAAAATTGGTCCGTTTCCAGCACATGACGAATGACACTGCATCTCGATCCAGCCCGTCTTCAAAACGGTCAGATCGGGATGCTGTGATGAATTCATGGAACTTGTAGGTCATATTGACCGTAAAACTTGGTTGTATGACGTACGGATTGAGATTGTTGGCCCGAGTCGCGTCTGTTGAGAACTTGAGACGACTCGAGAGGGGATGAAATCCGCGTCCAAGACTCAGATTGTCAAGGAGCTCAGATAGTTCGTCTTCAACGTGGGGGGGCATGACGCCTCAGCCGAGAATCAAATGGTGTATTAGTGTGAAACAAGAGATGCCGATGACAGAGCCTGTCCTCGGCAATGGTGATTTATCACGAACGTGGTAATCCTTCTCTGATCTCATCGGAAACAAACTACGACTGCTAGAACGGAGCATGGACGTTGGATGACCAGACTTTCATACCTTGGAGAGCAGAACATGGTTTACTAGGTAGAAATCCCAGGTTCTTGACAAATTGAAGGTGTTGAAACTGTGAGATCCTATGAAGAAAGTCGGTACGACGGTGTCACCGTGGATAAAAACAGCCACCACCAAGTAGCTGAAGCACCTTGGGCCTTAGGCTAGACCTGATCAAGAGGCTCCACGTTTGGTCATCATCGATAACAATTCCAAGGTTGTGGATGGCGCAATCATTAAAAGGCCGAAACAAGTTGGTTGTTATTGCTTTTCGTGAAAGTATGAAGTACACCATGTGACAAAAGCCCCAAGGAACTATCGTTGGTAGCGCGTATCTACGAAGCCAGTCTCAACGAGTGAGTATCAGGATTCAGGTTGAGCTCAAGCCGTACAGAGTTCTCCTTTTGTACTCGGTGTTCCTTCTTGTTTGTCGAATTCGGATCTGATGGCTGTGTTGGAATTGACAAGTACGAGATACTATTCATGTCGAATGATTAATTTCGGCGCATGGCAAGGAGCTTGAACCACAAGTTGTGAGTATTTGGATCTAGACTTTGATCCTTTGGTTCTGTGCTCAAGGGTCTTTGACAGAACATTCCTCAAGTGTGAGAACGTGCCACAAGCTGATTTCCGCACGCGCCGCATGCTTGAGTTTGGTCTACACCGTGACATAGACACACGAGAAAGGCCAGAGCCAAGAGAGCAGATCAAAACTTAAGCATTACCCTCCTTGACTTAGCGGGCTGCAATTGTGATAGGGGAGGAAAAGGTCGGTTATCGCACAGGGCAACCTCGTGCCACGGCGCCAAACTCTGTTGAGCTGGCTTCAGGAACGGATCGAAGCTGATTGAAGAGGTTGAAGAGATGTTTAGCCTACCGAAGACGGCGTTAGTTTGACAGAAATGTTTCGTGCTGACTGCTGAGCCTCAGAGAGGTCCACCTGGACAGAAATTGACAAGCGAAGCAATGGATGGCATGGGGCAGTCGAAGCGCCACGGGTTGGAGCTTTGGAGGAGGAGGATGATTAACATCGGGATCTGAGATGGGTCCTAGCCATGGTCCACAAGGACATTGACCGACCTGGCCGACGCCCGTAGATCTGGGCTTTTGGGGATGATCAGAAAAAAGAACTGGAGAAGTGCGAAACAAGAGTTCGATGACGGGGAACTCTGTACTCGGTACTCATATCCATACAATGTGAAGATAGCAATTCGTCTTTCACAAAGCACGCCGGATACACGGCAGAAACACGTAAACAAAGGCCAGCTAAGCTAGGCATGAAACCTGGGCGTATCCGTTTGAAAGACCGTGACTGAAAGAGAAGACTGTCTCTGTCTCCTGCAGCGGTGCCGATGGGCTTGCATGGAAACGATCAGTGGTGGCTTGCTGAGTGGACAGGCCTCGATTGTCAGACCCAGCGACCTTGAAGCTCTGGCAGACTGGCAGGGCCGAAAAGGCGCTCTGGTTGGCAGGTAGGTAGCGGGGAATCGCTGGAAAGGAATGGTCTAATCGTTGGCCCTGAGCCCATTGGGGGTCATTGGAACCATTCCCCCAGGCAATGCACATCGGGTCTGTGTGACACTGGCATTTCGCCAATGCAGGTGCCAGGTGCAGTGGGTGTCGCCCACTTTTCACCGCCTTGTAATGGTACCAACGAGTAATGACCTGACCTCCAGCTTCCGGGGCGGTAGGCGGTACGCCGACTTGTACGTAACTGCCCCAGGCGACATATTACTGGCAGTTTGGCAGTTCTTTAGCTGTTGGCGCCCATGCCCGCCCATGCCCACTCTGTCGACTGCCCTCCCCACTATCTCTCGTAACCGGGCCTGGCAACGGCTAAAACTCGTCCTTGGACCTTGGTACCTCGTCAGAGTTCTGCGTTTGGCTCGGGCTCCCACTCCACCCAGAAGCTGCCTTGGAGTCGGCACTCGCGGTCTACTAGCACCACCTGCAAGTTGCAACCTCGCAGGTGCAGGTGCAGGTTCTGTTCGAGTTCGACTACGGATATGCTGCCCAGCAACAACAAGTCCCTACTGCTGCTTCCATCTTAAAGTCGTCTTCCTTCCTTCTCTTCAGCCACCGAGCTGCAGGTCAAGGTCAATTCTCTTTCCCGTTGTCTTGAGGCTTACTGGCAGCGAGTCGAGAAAGAGACCTTCACTTCTGGTCCCGGTGGTCCACGCCCTCCCTCACAACTCACCACCCCGTCGTCGAGCCACCCTCACTCACGTCCACGTCCACCTCACCCTTCCACCGGACCAACGAGATCAGACCATCAGGGGAGTCATGTTAGTTTGACAAGTCCTCTTCCTCGAGAAGTCATCGACACGTTCGAATCTGCCATACAGGTCTTTCATTCAACGGGTCGACTTTGTGGCATTTTCCAACCGACTTCAACTTGTCCTCCAACGTCCTTGTGGAACGAAGCCCTTCTCGAACACCCAAAGGTCTCTTTCATTCCTTCGAGGTCTTGACCAACCCCAATCACCACCATGATTGAGGCTTCTTCTCCACTTGCTGCTATGCAGCCTCCGTCCTTCATGGGTCGTTGTGGCGGTGGTTTTAGAGCAGATGCTCCGCCATTATATGCCTCTCTGGCTGCTGCCAAAGGCTTTGGTGTTAACAGCTTCAACTTCCGAGATCTCTCCATGAAGAGACCTACACACAAGTCTCATCCAGACTACTTCAGCATGAAGCCTGTCCGCGGCTCATCCCCCACCGCCAGTCTCGCCGCCGACCTATCTCAGAACTTCCATATCGACCAAAGGTATGTTGAACACCGGGAGGCTATTCCAGGAGGGCACTGCATGTACTGATATACCCCTAGTCCACAACAGCCGACGCCTCGGAGAGCGCTCTTCGCGAGCAATTTGGATAGCCACCCGCATCTTACCACACCACCTGTTCCCTCATCCTCGCCTGGAGGGGACGACTGCATGGACATGGACTTTTCCCCCCTACCACACAAGGTGCCATTTACCACAGTGGAACTTCAGCTACAGTCACCAACACCGGAACTGACACCAGCTGATTCTTCCTCTTTGTCGTTACCGTCCCCACCCGACCTGATCATGGAACCCATGCAGATAACAATACCGTCAGAGCGAAGGAAATCCATGAGTCTACGACCTAGTTTGTCAAGAGCCAAGGGCTATAGTACTGGAACCCTTCCTCAGAGGCCAGTGCCAGAGGCTCAGCTCCCACCATTCAAATTCGGCAACTATTCTACCAAGCCGACCACTTCCTCGTCTTTGTCACTCTCCGAGATCTTTGCCGACTCGCCTTCGCAAGACCAGCCGTCTCCTCGGTTGCCAGTTCAGACTTTCCTGCCTCCAAGGCCTCGGTCAGGAATTTCTTTGGCCTCTCATTCGTCAAGAAATGGCTCACCGCTTGGTGTACATATGCGTAAAAACTCCAATCCACTGGTTAGACCACGGAAACAATTTCGACGTTCTTTAAGCATGTTCGAGCACCCCGAAGATGTAATGAAGCAAGAAAAGGAGCGCCTGAGCCCTCCTCCACCTCTACTGCCTTCGATCATGGATGTGGAGGCTCCACATGTTCCTCAACTTCCACACTTTGATCTCGATGGTGATGCCGGTGCCCTACCCAGAATCACCAAGGAGACGATGGTCGAAATTCTGGAAGGAAACTATAACCATTTGTACGAGAAACTGGTGATCATTGACTGCCGGTTCGAGTATGAGTATGAAGGTGGCCATATCACTGGTGCTGTAAACTTCAACGACAAAGAGACATTGTCAGCACAGTTGTTTGATGTGGAGCCCACATCAAAAGCCCTCTTGGTGTTCCATTGCGAGTATTCTGCTCATCGTGCCCCTTTGATGGCCAAGTTCATCCGGAATAAAGATCGTGCAGTCAACGCCGATCGCTATCCTGGCTTGACATACCCAGAAGCATATATCTTAGATGGTGGCTATAGCACATTCTTCAAGGATCATCGAGATCGTTGTTATCCTCAGAACTATGTCGAGATGGACGCAAAGGAGTATGCGATGGACTGTGAACGAGGTCTCGGGAAAGTGAAACAACGATCGAAACTTGTCCGAGCCCAGACCTTTGCATTCGGCCAACACTCACCTCAGATTGACTCTAGTCCCACTGCCATGGGTCGAAGTCGTCTTGACAGTGACATGGATTTTGAGATGGGTCTCGATTATACCCCGGTTCCAGCTGTGAAGTCGGGGTTTGATGTTCTTCGTTGCCGAAACCAACGAATGCTTTCTTATTGATGGGTTCTTCTCACTCATCCTCTTGAATTTTAGCCTGGCGTTTGGAGCGGTATCATCCTTCCCCATTTTGGGCGGTCGGCACATTTGGCGCTTCCTTTACATCAACAGCAAGCGGCCCTTGGACGTCTCACCAAACTACCAGGACTTTTTTGTTTCTTGCACGCCCACAATTGTGTTGGCGTGACCCATTACCGGAACTTTTACGCTGAATCCATGACGTGGTTCAGCTGTTTACCTTAACCCATGAATGATCATGCGGCATTTGGCACGTTGATCGTGTTGGCAATGCTATGACTGAGACCAGTTTGAAAATGGTCAGACACATAAACTTTTCCTCTTTCTCAACTTCTATCTCCCTCGGCTTGCAGCTCAGGGGCGATCTTGCCATCTGCAATCCATGAGAACCTGCACACAACTTTCAAAATCACAAACTACTCAACACCATTGCTTGATCTCTCGCTTCAGCAAACCTTCTCTGGCGCCAAACACTACCTCGACTTTTAATCAGCGTGATTTACATTGCACTTGATTCTGCTTTCTCCCTCGTCCTTCCGACCTTTGGAAGTCCATCACTACATTGTACAGACAAAACATCGTTGCAAACCAATAACACTCTATTTCGGTCCAGACGTTTGAAAGGGTATAAGAGTGCGGCCACAGACGTATCTTTTCACCATACAGGGTGGAAAAGGAAATCATTGGGAATGGAGCAATAAGGGTTTCAATTCAAAATACATTGTTTGCATGGGCGCTCAGGGTCACGGTCATGGTCGTGTTGTACAGTGCTCGTTTGGTATCGGTTGAATTGTGTATTGATTGAGCGGATGCCTCATTGTTCTTTAGCATAGCGATTGCGCTCACATTTGGCGCTTGGTTGGCATCGTTAAGCCCTGTGCTTCTTTGCATGCATGGAAAGGGCCTAACCTGTTTAACAAGCAGGATCGGGTGTCCATGCACCTTGAGATTGCAATACTCAATTGATTGTCGAGACAGTCTGACTCATTCGCTCCGTATCAAGACAAAGCTTACCTGTCATGATTTTTGGTGGAAGAGTAGCTAATATCCTCCTTACGGCGCGTGGATGTCTTTTCGTCATACTGCACCCCTCGCAAAAGTCATGAGACCAGAGTGGATGCTACATACAAATCCCAGACAAATTAGCAATTTCTATTTCCGCCACAAGTTTTCACCACAACCTCTTCGAATACCAAAATTCCACTGAGACCGGGAAGTATTACTTCTCTACATCTTTTCTATATAAGACTTGTGATAATGGCCAAGCGTAAATGAATGTAAATGGGCATTCCACACCTTTAGGACATTCCATTCATTTACTTGTACCTGCCAACTGATGTTGAGTTACCATTTGCTTGCCGAAAGGCTATACCATAATATCAATGATGAACCACAGCAGGTTGCACCTTAAGGTATCACCAGGAAGGAAGTTTGCTCAAATCGTCATTATAACTCTAGAGATCTCCGAGGGTCTGGCTCCATCCTCGTACGTGGAGAAGATACGTGCCACATGTGTATCATGACTACACTACAGATGCTCCCTGCGTGCAAACTACTTTTCGCCGTAGAATCCATCCTTAGAACTGCAAATGTGGTAGGACTGGCATCTGTGAAACTCGACCTACCCTGGCATACCGGGCAAGTCAACTCCGCGACAAAAAGCGGGAATTCGTGTTGAAGCACTCAATCTTTCAAGAGTCAAGCTTCTTGTACACCTTCCAGCCCTCCCTCCCCAGCCGTTCACCCTTGGCCATGTTCTCGTCGTCCATCCTCTGCAGATGTTGTTGAACCCATTGTTGCACTCGTTTGTCACTCGTGCCCACGATTCGAGCAGCCAACAATGCGGCATTGATGCTGTTTCCAATACTCACGGTCGCCACTGGAATACCTCGCGGCATCTGAACAATACTGAGTAAGCTGTCAAGGCCGTCCAAGCTGCTGGCCTTGACTGGAACTCCGATCACGGGCACAGGTGTTACCGAGGCCATCATCCCCGGCAAATGCGCCGCGCCGCCGGCGGCTGCAATAATGGCTTTCAGTCCCCGGGCAGCCGCGGCCTTGCCGAAGTCGAGCATATATTGTGGAGTGCGATGGGCAGATGTGATGGTCACTTCGTATGGGATGTCCATCTCGTCCAAGAGAGTGAGGCCCGGCTTCAGGGTGGCCAGGTCGGTGTCAGAGCCCATGACCACAGCGATGATGGAGCTTGGTGCAGGGGCAGGGTTGGACTTTTGGAGTGCGCTGGCAGTCGTTTTGATGTCGGCGGCAGTCGATCCGGATGCGTCTTTCCGATGGGCTCGAACCGCATCCGCCAACTGAATCAGGGAGTGCATTTTGGTTTCGCATTCTGACATGGAAGACCCTACTAGGGTTATATGTCCCATCTTCCGACCGGGGCGGCCATCTCCCTTCCCGTACAGGTGAACTTTGGCCCCTGCAACATCGAGAGCGGCATCAGCGATCAGCAAGTGAGAAGTTGGCTCTGGACCACCCAAAATATTTAGCATGACGACAGCAGGGACTGCCAGATCAGTGCAGCCCTCGGGAAACCTGGATGCTAGATTCGGGAGGACAGCACGTATCTGTGCTTCATACTGGGACATGTGGCAGGCTTCGATAGTATAATGACCCGAATTATGTGGACGTGGTGCGATCTCGTTGATCACCAAGCTATCGTCCTCGAGCAAGAATAGCTCCACACCGAAGACACCAGTGCCAGCAAATGTAGAGACTGCACGCCGCGCCAGATTTTGCGCCGCTTGAGCGATCTGTGACGAGATACCACGAGCTGGCACATAAACCAGTTTGCAGATGCTGTCCTCGTGTATGGTTTCCGCGGCGGGATAGGCGATGGTAGCCGACTCCCAGGAATCCGCGGAGGCGTCTTGACTTTTCTTGATGACCATGACTGCCAGTTCCATGCGAAAGTTTGCCCATTGCTCTGCATAAAGAGGTCGATTGTCCAATGCGGCCAATGCAGGTTCAACTTCCGACACCGACTTGACCGGATAGTTGCCCCTTCCATCATAGGCTTCCGTGCGAGACTTTAGCATGAATGGATAACCAATCTGATCGGCGATCTCCTTGAGGCCCTGTGGATGAGACGTGCCGACTGCGATGGATTTGGCAGTGGCAATACCAAACTTTGCGAAATGTTGCTTTTGAGCAAACTTGTCCTGAATGGTCCTAACCGTTCTCCAGCTGGGTTGAATTCGTGACCATTTCGTGCCTTGGACATGAGGCTTTTCCTGGTCGAGCTCCTCTAAGACTTTGGTGTCAACGTGCTCGATTTCATAAGTTAGAACGTCACAGTTGCTGGCAAGAGCCTTGACGTCCGAGGCGTTGGCAAACGACCCGGTGACGTGCTTGTCGGAGGCTACGAGGTTGATCTGCTTCGCCGGGGTGTTGTCACCGTCCAGAATGGCAACCTGGATGTTGAGTCTGTGGGCAGCCTCGACCAACATCCGGCCTAGCTGTCCACCACCCAGAACGCCCACGACCTGAGAATCCATCGAGCTCTGTTTGGTCACAATCTTTGGTGTCTGAGGGAATCGCTTGAAAGGTAAATGCACAGAGAACACAGAGATATGATATTGACTGTTGATGGCTCAAGGAGTGGTGACACAAAAAGTTGAGGTTTGAAAAATCCCTGTCTTGGGCATACTGGTAAGTTCCAAAGTTTTTATGGGGCTTGGCACTTTTTCGCCATAGTTACCTAGGTACATAAAGGTACGGATTGCCAAATTTTAAATCTGTATAAATCTTTTCGTAGAGTAGATTTCTTGCGAGACAACGATATAGGCATTATTCTCATACGAGAGATATGAAGATTTTGATGGAATACAATGATGCCCGCAGTAGATACGCGGGAAAACGCCTCTGTAATCTTACTGTTTGGCTGTAAGGCGAGTTTGTCCCATGACTTTTGCGGGGGCGCCTCAAGGCCCAAGAGTACCTGGCCACGCCTGAGAAGCCCTGGGCCCTGATCGACCGATTGTGGGGACCCTCTACACAAGGCTCCAGCTGTCCACCACAAGAAGTTTCGGGAAAGTTCTGTCCAACTCCGATTCACCATTCGTACTCATGCCCCGTGCCAACACGAGGGACTTGTAGAAGCAACCTGCAATCGACTTGGTTGGTTTTGAGAAAGAATGTTCTTCTCTTTTCGATGATGTCGATCAATGAGTTGTGTGATACGAGACGCTCGTTGGCACCACCAGGCTGAAGATGGTTGGAAAGACCCCGCCTGCTGGAGAGCAGTTGAGGAGATCCGGCAAGGGTTCATCCCCAGGCCACGTATCATCTCAAAGAAAAATCATCTGGAAATTTCCACCGCTGAATCTGGACCGTCGTGAACGCCCACATGATCCCAGACCATGGAGAGAAACCATTGACGGGATCAGGTGATGGAATTTTCAGGAACCTCCCAGTTGACCACACTGGCCATGGCATCATGTCTAGAAATTTCGATGCCTGGCCTGTCTGTCAGGTATAAAGATAGGCCGTCTACCCAGCCATAATGTTCAACCAAGGTCAACAGAAAACATCAACAGAATCACCCGCTCAGCAAAAGTCGATTTCGAGAACCAAGCTACAAGACGACCATCGAGACTACAGCAACCAAAAAATTATACCAACACCACAAACTCACAAAACATGGCACTCCTACCACGTCTAGCACATTCCTTCGGAGGACCAACACCACACGAATTCCGGCCGTTCCTGAGTCTGTTTAACGACACATTCAACGAGCTGCAGAAGATCTCGGACACGGCAGGCAAGACCTTTGCGCCGAAATTCGACGTGCGTGAGCTCGAAGACAGATATCTCCTCGAAGGCGAGCTGCCCGGGATTGCGCAGAAGGATATTGCAATTGAGTTCCTCGACGGCCAGACTCTAACCATCAAGGGTCGCACAGAGCATTACAGGAAGGAAGGTCCAGAATCGTCCGGCGGCGAAAACGGTGGTGTAACTCAGGCTGCTTCGAGTGATAATGCGGGCACCGAGGGTTCCTCGACCAAAGCCGATAGCAAGCAAGTCGCAGCAACGAACGGTGGGTCCCAGGAGGTTTCGAAGCGCGACCCCAAACACACCTACTGGATTACGGAGCGCAGTGTGGGTGAGTTCGCGCGTAGCTTTGCTTTCCCGAACCGTGTCGACCAGGATCAGGTGAAAGCAAGCTTGAAAGATGGCATTCTCAGTGTGGTGGTGCCGAAGCTGCAGAAGAACAAAGAGACCAGGAAGATCCAGATTGAATAGTGGACGCTCAGGCACGGATTCGGTGATTTTCAGTATGCAAGCATTCAGGAGCCGTGTTTCTCACCCATTTTGATTGCAGCAAGGACTAGGAGTTGGTGATGTTGGCATTCATTACACAGCGCTGTTCTTCACTCGTTATTCTGCATACCTAAATAAGTGGGTAATATTTGTGGAGTACTACATGAAGCAGATGAAGATGGAAGAAAAAGAACTATGCGGTGACACTGAGCCCCTATCTTTACCATAGATACACTCCTTACAGTAGTGTCTCATAATCATAAATTGTCTTCATCCTTAACCTCTCTTTTCCCATTCTAGATTGTAATTATAATAAGAGCCTTAGACATAAATGGCTAATAGGATCTTACCTAGTGCGACTGTAGTAATTAGGATACGTAAACCCAACTTGAAGCTCCTTTTACTCCTACCACGGCGACATTAGGGTAGTTTACACTTGAGGTCAGGGCTAAGTTCGCACTCACAAATGCGCTCTCGTCCTCAAGTACCCACATGTTTAGCCCGAACGTGCAGAAGAACAGGGGCGACACTCCTCACGTAACAGCGTTCTTATCTTGCCTCGAGACCACGACTGCATGACTTACTGGTGCTAGGCTGCCCTGTACTAGCAACGTCGACCTTCGTATCAGGGAAATCAGTCGCCCAGAGGGGGCAAGACCATGATTTACAAAACAAGGGCGTTTGTCAGCGGATTGGTGACATCCCTGCTGGTCCTTCCAGAGAGTCAATTAAACTACTACCAGTACGCCACAAAATTGTGGCCCAACCAGTCGACCACTCTCCCCACAAGCTTGCGTAAAGCTTGGTTGAGGCTTAGTCGTCTATAAAGAAGGCGACCCTCGGTTTTCATTGGAACTGGCACCTTTGTGCTTTGTTCCGAAGGCAAGGGCTAAAAGCTACCTGTGCAAGTGATTATCAGGCTCTCTTCATCCGTGCTACTAACACTTGAGGCACTGGATGATCAAAAATGGTTCGCACAGCTCGTTCTGTCCTTATACATATCTCTTGGCTGGTCATCATTCCCTCTGTTGCTTGCATAACTGCGCCGACATGTTATACTACCAATGGCTCACTGGCAGGAAGTGACTTACAGCCCTGCAACGACAACCTCACCAGCGGTACTCACAGTGCCTGTTGTAATCCTGCATTGGGCGATATCTGTCTATCCTCTGGCCTCTGTATATCCTCCAACCCCAATCCAAATAACAGGCTGCTTTGGGCGAGCGGTTGCACGGATCGGACTGGAAAGGATCAGAGCTGCCAGCAATACTGTACAGGTAAGTCATGAAGCTTTCGATTAGACTTTGCACAGTTGCGCATGGGTGTAAGTAAATAACCTGTATTGCAGGCCGAGCAGCGGAGGTATATGCGCTTCAGCCATGCAGCGATGGTGGATGGTGTTGTTACGACGGAGAAACCTACACGACAGACTGCTGCAGCAATGCCTCCAGCGTGTTTCAACTGACCCCTGGCAATGCCATAGATCAGCCAGCATCATCCTCGACTGTGTCGCCTGAGCCACTTTCATGCCCAACGGATCGGAGTACAATAGTTGGCGCATGCGTGGGTGCAATATTAGGGAGCTTCCTTCTGGCTTCTCTCGGAGCCATAATATTCCTGTTGGGCAGACTACGAGCTAAAGTCCAAGCAGCCCCGGAGGTAGTACGTGCTACCACCATGAACGATAAAGGACCACAATTGTATATTAAGCCAGAGCTTGATGGGTCACAGCCCATTAGGCAAGAGTTAGATGGAAGGCACACTGGATAGCCTGACTTATATAAGAATCAATCGAATGAAAGGAGAGCTCTGAGGGACTCGCATTCATAATTTGACTGGGCTGTTACTGTGAGTCCTGTCCAGCGTGTATCTAACTTTTGCATCAGTTAAGGAGAACTGGAGATGGGCCGGGAGAACCGTACCCAGCACAACAGCGCAAACGGGCTCCCTGCTGCCAGAAATTCGTCTTGGAGCAGCATGCGGGCTATTCTGATCCTCACACCTATACGGAGTAGAGATGCAGGCCTACGCCGGGACGCTCTCCAATTTGCAACAGCTCTGAGAAAAGGGACAAAGCTTCATGTGAATGTTGTCTTCGTTTCGTCTTATTCAGGTACAATGAAGGTATTTGCAACCACATCCAGCATAATATAAACTCCCAGGCATTGTTGTTTTCCACACCCCCGGCTTTTCGTGCTTGGGAGCCAATCCCCTTGATTGTTCTGTACAACTGCTTCGATAAAGTTAACATGGGATTTCTAGCCTCCCCAAGCAAGTGAATGTATCAATAGTTACTAGACCTTTAACTGTGGCTTGCACAAAATTCGTAGATCTCACTTCCTCAATCGAGGTTCCAAAAGTGTAGTTTCCCACATGTTTTCCAGCTCTTTGCACAGGTCAATGAAACCTGGTTGCATTATCGATTCACACACAAAATCTCTCAAAACAGGATTGCGGATCTCAGGTGGCAAGGCCGCCCAGGCTGCGAGGTTGGCATTGGTACTAGTGGAATCTGAGCCTGGGACCAGCTGATTTTCCACATTTGTCGCTCCATGGGGCACGGATGGCGATTTTTGACGAGAGCTTCCATAACTGATGGTGGCGAGCAGCCCAAATGGGGTGTTCTGGCCCTGCTCCTCTTGTAGGTGTATCTGTTTCTCTGGTGAACTTGAACCGGATGGTGCTGTAGGGAGCCTCGGCGTGTGAGTTTGAATGATCTGATCGGCTGGGGTACAGGGATAAGTGTCTCTCGTGTCTACCGGTGTCTCCTCTATCTCGGGCTGTGCACGTTGTTCGTCCCTGTCGCGTGGTGGTAAAATTTGAGAAACCTGATCTCCTCGTGTAATATCCTCCACTTGCACATCACCCTGTTGTTGAGTCCTCTGCTCTGGTAATTGCTTTTGTGTCGCCAGTAAACTGCGTGAACGCGTCCAGCGACTTGGCTCTGACCGATTGAGCAGGTCCTCCACAGACGGGACAGGAGTCTCCTTTTTGGAAGCCTTTTTTGGTGCAGGTTTTTTGCGGGTAGTAGTCGCCCGGGGCTTCTTTGCTGCTGGTGGCTTGGCCGGTGTTTTGATGGCCGCGCGTTTGGGTCTGCCTCTGGCAGTGTGGGATGATTGATCATTTTCTATGGTACTAGTTGTGCATGGCTCGTCGGCTCTGCTAGTTGCGAGCGTAGGTATGTGTGAAGACTTTGTATTAGTCGCGGATTTTGCTTTGATGAAGGGAAGCTCGCGCCTTGGAGGCAATAGGAGACCGGACGTTGGGCCTTTCAAGTCATCCCTCTCATGCCGATGCGTATCATGTTCATTAGGTTGGCTTGGAGACGGGACAATGATCTTCACCTCCGGACGTGTTGCGATGATTCTGTGTTGTGCGGTGGCATCAGGCGGTAGAGCTTGGAATGTATGAATGCCTGGAACAAGGGTAGTACCCGTGGTCATGGATAGAGTGGAATGATTTCCAACGGTGAAGTTGGTAGAATCTTTCATGGTGGGCGGTTGACCAAGAGGGTGAATGCTTGGACGCAAGATTGGCGGCGGCATATTGCGAGCAGTGGCAATAGCAGAGCCCCCTGATATGAGCATTGAATGCGTCGCTCTATTGACGTCGGAACCAAGATCGGCACTCATTCCATATGACTGCGGTAACGGGTGGAAACCGCCAATTTGTGAAGCCGAGTCCTCAGGAAGAATATTGGTAGGTGCCTGAATCTGAACAGGCTGGCGTGGCTTATTCTGGGGGAGCGAACCAGCTTCGACAGCAGGGACATTGGCACGGGAGAGGAGTTTCATGGCGTCATAAAAGTACTCGTTGGAAGCGAAACGCATCTGGAATCTTCTGATCTAGGAAAACTGTGAGTAATGAAGGTACATGGTAGGAAGATTGTCACCTGTCCGTTGGTCATTGGATACTTGATGGCAATATTGGGCAGTTTGACCATGATGGTGACTTGGGCTTCGTTGGGGGATTTGGAGGTGATATCCATAGAACGATGAGCTTCCAAAGACAACAGATGAAGGTCGATATCTTCCTAAGAGTAGGTGAGTGTGGCCAGGAATGAAAGAACCTTGATCGAGGAATACCATGACCTCAGGATCTCTCAAGACCTTAAGCTTCTGGCGATTTTCAAGTTGGCCATTTTCCAGTTGAGTTGGGCTTGCTTCGAAGATTGCAAACAGACCACTCTTGCTTGAGAGATGAATCCACGGAATGGGCGCAATGTGCTCACTGGAGACCGTAGCATAGGAAAACTTGTTCAATGGGAGACATGAAGGGGAGGGGAAAGGTGGAGAAAATGTAGAGAGAGGTTGGGATGGCATTTTGAGACTCGTTAAGATTCAAGGCTATGGACAGATCCTGGGTTAAATACTAGAGACGGCGGTCCATTTGGTTGAGAGATGGGCTGAGAGATGTTTTCACTGAGATAATAAGTGTAAGACGGTGAGAGACGAGGAGGACGGAGGGGAGAGAATATCAACGTGATCTGTTAGTGTTCACTAGTTGGACATTAGTGCAGACTAGAAGGGTTAGTGGGCAGATTTAGTCTGGCACGGAGGAATTTATCCGAAGCTTGAAGGAAGCGACGACTACTAGGAGGCGAGTAGTATCCCTGCTGTAAATTTAGGGCGTGTTCGTGACTGCCCTTGCCCTTGCCGTGCCTCGAAAAACGTCCTCGCATCTTCGCTTGATCGCCTGCGGTGCACGTCCGTCACTTCATGGATCAACATTAACGACCAATTTGATTGCGTCTCTTTTGCTTCTTCTCATATCTCCCCGTCACCACTCCCTCTCGCGACCCGACCTTACGAAATGAGGACTGATCTCAACACCTTTCCATCCCCAAAACACGCTCCGTCATAAACTCCATCATGGCCTCTCCACCCAAAAAGATGATTGAGGATGAGGCCGAATTCTTGGAAGATGTTGCTGCTTTTCATGAGAAACGAGGGTGAGTCCTCTCCAACGCCCATACTGCTCCACATAGTTTCCTTCATGCTGAACGACTTTTTTCTTCCGTTAGGACTTCCTTCGATCGCGAGGGCAAGGTCAGCGGCCGCGCCATTTCTCTGCACAAGCTGTACAGCTTGGTTATGGAGCGCGGTGGCTACGATGCCTTGTCTGCTGAACGCATGCAATGGAGAACCCTCGTCAAAGAGTTTGGCTTTGGGAAAACACACGAAGCAGTCATGACATTTCAACTCAAAACCGTTTATTACAAGAACCTGGCGTACGTGGTCCAATTCTCTCCTTGCGACCATCACTGACCTAACCTCAAACCACAGCGCATACGAAATCGAGACTTACTGGGGTGAAGTTCCTCCTCCCAAGGAAATCCTCGAAAACATCAGTGCCAAGGGCGGCGACTTGCGCTCACGAACTCTCGAGTCCTTTCCACTCCCCGCTGGTACACCTGCACGCGTCCACGCCAGCGAGACAGTCGATGTAGAACCCCAGGAATCGGCCGATGAGGAAAAACTGGCCACTCCAAAACGTGAGAAGACGGAACCCGAAGACTTGGGAAGTGCTGGTAGATATCCTACCCGTGTGTTATCCCCCTCTGCTGTCGCACAACAGCCTGACTAACTCGAAAGATATAGGCCAACTCAGACAAGATCCTAAGCGTACCCAAATGTATCAACCAGACACTCTCCCCGCCAGGGCTCGGAACCTGCGCGCCACGGATTCTCCCTCTACGCCCACCGCACCTCAACAGCCTCAAGCCCAACCTAGTAGGGGTTTGGAAGATCCTAGGCATCCTGGCTTTGACTGGTACGAAAATTACAAACCCAAAACCTCAATCGCATTAACACTGCGACCTCATCTCACACCGGGCAACAATCCGACCGAATTTCATTCTCGCAAAGCCCTACTCAAAGCCCAGACTCAACCACGCGCCCCCGAGAACCAGCAACAACACCTGCGCCCTTTCCTGCAGAATCAGATGAATGGCCCAAACATATATCAGAGATGTTTGCTGGGGTTGCGCTCTGGAATCGAAGACGAACAGACGTTTGCCCTCCACCATTTGGTCAAAGTCTCACATGAGCGTGGGGATAAATACAAATTCGAAGGTTTCATATTGCTTGCTGAAGCTCTTTTGGAAAAGGCCCTGGAAATCACCAAGCTAGTTTATGGCGTCAAATGGGACATTACGTACAACGAAGAGGATGAGAATGCCGCTCTAAATACCTTGAATGGCGCTTTTGGGACATCCAACCTCATGGAACGAATCCGGTCCTTCAAACCACTTGTCGACGACGAGCTGCTCGAGACCAATGATTCGATAGAACAATTGGAGAGACTAAAAGAGGCTGCATTAGTCTTGCGCAATATGGTCATTCTCGAGGAAAATGCACTCTTCATCTCCAAGATGCCCTTATTCAAGGACTTCCTGGCCATTGCTATCTCGCTTCCAGACCAACCAAGACTGGCAGAATTCCGACATTCGGCGCTCGAGGTAGCCCAGTACGTGACACAGCACTGGCCTATACTGCCTACTGACCCACTCTATCAATCTCTAATCCCACACCTCGAATCTAGTGATCGAGGGATACTTCTTCTCGCCTTGAGGTCTATCAACAGAATGGGCATGGCAACCCACGATTTCCATCGGTTGTATGACATCCCACTCTCGACAATCGAACGCCTCTTTTCACTCCTCACTCTCGACACCGATGTCGAGCTACTCGGTACTACCTTGACTTTTCTTTATGAATTCACAGCCACACCGGAAAACAACAGCGAATTGCTCTCTTCTCGCCCCCATCTTATCCCTTCCATGATTCCACGTTTGATCAACTTACTGTCACATCAAGCCTCGGTCACCACGGAAAACGTTTTGGCCGCACCTCAACCTGAGAAAATGCCTATTCCTGCACTGATACCCGTAATTCCTCCAGATCTACTTGCTCAGCTATTGTTGTTGCCAGAGCCCGAGCGTTCCTCGAAATGGCTTCGATGTTGTTTTGAGGAATCACCTGCTGATGATATCACTCAAATTGCTATCTGGCAGGCATACCAGCAGAGGTTCTCAGCAAGCAATCCGATTCCCGCTGCAGAGTTCATTAAGAATGTGTCTAGCACTTTCAGCACGGCGCAGGCCCAAGTCATCAATGGTCCAACACCCCGATTTATCATCAAGGGTATTAAGCCCAGGAGGGTGTTGGTTGATACAGAGAAGAGGCTCCGTTACTTCAAATGTCTGTGGAAATTCGGTCATTTAGATGCGACACATCCTGCCGCTCGGAACACCGCTAAGAGTGATGTGTGTGGACAATGGTGCTCGAGTCGTGAGAGTCTTTGGTTACACGTATTGGGTGAGCACTTGCACTTGCCACGAGGCGAGAATGGCGGATATGTCACCAATGCGCCGGGCTCCTGGACTTGCCGTTGGGACCGTTGTGGCAGAGATCGCCCCTTGACCAAAGCTATTGAGATGAGTTCACATATCCGTGTCCACATTCCAAAGTCGCCAGAAGATGTGGCTGAGATTGTTCACGAAATGGACAATGTGGGAAAGAAGCCCGAGCGCATCGGCGCAAAACACGCATATCAGTACACCTTGATGGATCAGACCAATCAGCCTACTGGCCCTCCTTGGATGAGTGTTCTGATACTCCGGAATCTAGCACGGTATGCAAACAAGCCTGATGGGAAGCAGTTCGAAAAGAACGGGATTCGCCTTGCTGATCAGCTCTTCGGAGGCCACAAATATGCACTTTTCAACATTGTGGGTGTTAGCCGTACACTCCGCGAGTCTGTCGTGGATCTCATCTACATGATCGAAGAAGGTGAACGAGCGGAGAAAAGAGGCGTCAAGAGGGATCATGAATCAGATGACAGAGAGGCGGCGGCGTATTGAGCCTCCTTCAAATGAATGACTGTGTCTCCGCGACAGAAGTTTGTCATTGTACGAATAGAGTGCGTGGATGTTTCTGTCATCTCATGCCTGGGTTATTATGTTTTTCATTGCTGCTTGAGAGCAAAGCATGGCGCTTCTATAGGGGTCTATGGATGGAAAACCAGAGACAGTGAATCCTGGAGGAGTCCTTGCCAGTTGGTGAAAGTTGGAAGGGATCAAACGAATGATAGGAAGAAATCGCACGAAAGGGTCAAAAACCCACGACCAAAACCCTCTCGCGCCGCTGGCGTGGCTGTTGGATTTAGTAATAGCTTGTCGTGTTTGCCGTTTCATTCGATCTAGAACTGGGACATTATTATAGTCTTCCAGCACACATCCAAGCGAAGCGACTTGTGACTTGTAGACTTTTTCCACTCGGACTAGACAACTCATCTCGTTGGCCACGAATATTGACGTCGCTAGGTATCTTGTCGATCTCACTCAGATGGCTTGTCTTCCCTTGCGTGGTCTAAACTCATGTCAAATTATCCAGAATCAATTGAACTTCCTCATCGATTGTGTCCAAAATGTGATGGGGTGGATATTCCGGTTTCCAGCCAAGTGATCGACCGTGTGCTGCTGTGAAAGTACATCTTGTGCCGTCAGTAAATATGCTTCAGAAAGCTCGAGAACGAAGAGGACTCTTTTGACCTGGCGACGTACCTTCCACCGAGTGAGAAAGCCACAAAGTCCTTTGGAACTCCCAAGGCCGCCGCCATCTTCTGCAAAGCAGAGTCATCGGCGAGTGGAACCTCATCGTTATCAATGACCCCTTTTTCAGCCAGAGATTTTGCGACCCCAGAGTAAAGGTCTTCCCACACGACACTCCCAGATGATGCTAAGTAATATCCCTGTTTACCGTGATCAACACTCTCGCCTTCCAAGATCTTGGATAAGAGCGCAATATAAAGTGTTGCATTATCGACCACATGGCATACCGGCCACGAAGGCTTGTTAGCATCAACTTTGTACACACGACCCGTGGCCTTCGCAGCCTTGACAATCGCAACCGTCTGGATCGATATGGGATTCCCAAACCCTTCACCTTTCCCATAAACAATGCACGGCACAAACACGTAGGTCTTGACACCATGCAGCTCACCCTGCTCAATGACCGTATTGTTCGTTGCCACCGCCGTTAGGGGCCCATCCAGCGTCGCCTTCTGGCTCTTCTGGATCTCATACAGTCCAGGTTCCGAGTCCAGGAGCGGCCGATCGGTCGGTGCTCCCGTATGACTGGAGAACAACTTCGCGCCACTCGTGTGCAGGAAGTGTACATCCTGGCCAGTGGACGCTCCCACCTCTGCGAGCGCCCTAATGAAGTAGACCTGGCTGTCGGCTTTGAAGGCGTCGATCAGGAAGAAGACAATCGTGATACCCTGCTTGACCACATTTTCGCGCACCGCGTGCTCATCGCGAGGTGAGAAAGTAAGTGGCTCGGCGCCATACTGCTTCACTGACTCTGCTTGGCTATCACTTCTTACCAATGCGTACAATTTCTCGTATGCGGGTAGTTTTGTCTGGGCCAGGCGTGCAAGGAGCGTCCCGCCCAGATAGCCGGAGCCGCCTGTGATGAGGACTTTGTGCGGCATTGCTTGTGAGATATTGCGCTTGGTGTAGACTCGACAGTCTTTTAGGTCTGGCTCTTCCATGAAACGCAGTATCCGTGCTACAATAGCAAGGTCAATCAATCGAAAGCATTTCGCATTTGTCAGCACTACTGGGCAGGGAGTTGAACGACGTGCAAATTCCCTACCGAGGGTGTAGTAGTTTCGATTTAACGCGAGAAGTCAGGTAGAGCTAAGAGTGCATTGAAAGAGCTACAGCAAATCACTTCGACGGAGAATAAGACCATTAAACACAAGCATTAAAGAAAGTTGTCCACCGAGTTTCGATAGAGATAGACCCGGGATAGCTCTACCCCAGAGTGCTCTATAACTATGCTTGGGGTAGTTGATATGGAGAGATATGAGAGGGGGAAGGTAAAAGGTGCTTGGGGATTCTTGCGTCTTCCGGAATCGGCTTCCCTGATTAGGGTCATCCGAGCTTCTTCCCCCAAATCCCTAAAGCCCGACCTGACAACTCAAGCTTACTGACCTGGACAGAACCTGATAACCATGAGGATCCATCAGCATCTCCTAGGGCGCTATGCCGGTGATATCGGTGATCACGCCCGAGCCTGGATATGTACTGACATATGATCAAGAAACACGCTGGATATATGCTGACCCACTGACTGCAACGCTGTTGCCTCTCAATTGTCGATCCCAACTCAAACCGTACGCAAGCTTTCGCCAAAGACCGTTGCAGCACAAGCAATGACAAGCCATGTGGCCCCGCGTAAAAGTGAGCTTCGTGGGTAAATCCCCGTGGAGATGAAATCTCGAGATATCCATTCACGTTGCGACCAACTATACCATGACCTCATGAAATACCCGGGATGCCCAATCATGCCGGCTATCCTCAGAAGGTGGTCAAGGAAACGTACAGCCTTGCACATCGGATGCCGTCACAGCCGTCCTTGACGTCGAGATGCCCCATATGATCATTCCATCCAGCCCAGATCCAGAGTTGCGTACGACATGGCAGATCGGCTTAACGTCCGGGATGACAATCCCTTAAAGCCCAGTAGGGACTGCTTGCAGCAGCCATTGCGCAAAGACCTCGACGACTTTGAGGATTGTATCTTTGCAATCATCTTTGATCATGGCTGCAATCAACGGACACATCCATGATCCTGAGCATAACGGACGACTTGACGATGCCGAGCTCCTCGCTTCCAAGGCGGATGCTTCCCATGAGGAGCGTATGCACTGGGCGGCTCTGACGGACGAGGAGAAGATCACCGAGAAGAAACTCCGCATCAAAATCGACTGTCTGATTATGCCGCTTGTTATTTTGATCTATTTGATGAATTACATAGATCGGTAGGTGCTGTTTGCCATTATCGCACAATTTCTGGCTGTGATGATTGACACTGGTGTTTCAGCAACAACTATGCCGCTGCACGACTTCAGGGCTTGGAGAGAGACTTGAAACTCACTGGTGATCAATACCAAGTCGGATTGAGTGAGTACACTATCTCCCATATCAGACACTGTCCCAGGACTAACGAGTACTTCTTCAGGCATTCTTTTCGTCGGATATGTCAGTTTTCATTCTTCGATACCTCCCCGTAACAAAATGCTAAATCTGGGAAATTAGGTCTTGATGCAAGTCCCATCGAATCTCCTTCTCAACTATACCGGCCGACCATCACTATACATCGGATTCTTCACTATTGCATGGGGACTGGTTAGTGCATGCACAAGCCAAGTCAAGACATACGGAGAAATCGTGGCTTGCCGCTTCATACTGGGTCTTGTTGGTATGTCATTATACTTTAGTCTACGTTTTTCTACAACTGTGGCTTTGCTAATTCTTGAACAGAGGCCCCATTCTTTGCCGGGGTACTGTTCTTCCTCTCCAAATGGTATAAGAAGGAAGAACTATCATTGCGCATGGCTATTTTCTACTCTGGCTCGCTCATTTCAGGAGCTTTCGGCAACCTTATTGCAGCAGGAATACTCTCCGGCCTCGACGGAGCCAGAGGGCTTAGCGCTTGGCAATGGCTCTATATCGTCGAAGGCGCTATCACTTGTTTCTTTGGCCTGTTGGTTTGCCTAGTACTGCCGGATTTCCCAGATACCTGGAAAGCACTATCCCCAGAGATGAAACGAGTCGCCAACAGGAGACTCGCGATCGATGCCGCAGAGGCCGATGTTGATGACGCAGGTGCGATGAGTCAAATCCGTGGCATGAAGCTCGCATTCCTCGATCCCAAAACCTACGTCCTCGCCCTCGCGTACCACGCCATCACCGGCGCCGCTGGGTTTCAAAACTTCTTTCCAACGCTGACGCAGACTCTGGGCTACTCCCGGACTATTTCTCTCCTCCTGGTTGCTCCGCCATATATCTTCATCGTATTCTGGTCGCTGTCTCACAGCTTTATGTCTGACCGCCTTGGCAACAGGTTTTGGTTCTTCATGTATCCGGTACCTGTGACGATCGTGGGATTCGTGATCTTTATGACCACGAATTCGTTCGGACCTCGGTACTTCAGCTTCTTTTTGATGAATTTCGTGTTCACAATGAACGGGACGTGCTATGCCTGGATCAGTAACGCCATTCCACGCCCTCCAGCAAAGCGAGCGGCCGCGCTAGCATTTATCAATGCCTTTGGAAATGCTGCATCCATCTGGACACCGTTTACATACTACACAGGGCAAGGGAACCATTACCCGGTGGCTTTGGGTATCTGTATTGGACTGCAGGTACTCGCCGCTTGCATGGGCCTTCTGCTGCGTTTTATCCTTCAGCGTCAAAATAAACGTCTGGAGAGGCTGGAGGACGAGAATGCCCAGTTGAGTGATCGAGAGATGGCCAAGTTACGGAAGACGGCAGAGTTTGAGGGGATCGACATTGCGACAGCTAGGAAGATGCAGAAGGGCTATCGTTTCATGATCTGAGTTGTGCTGGGAGTGCGAGGTTGCAAGTGGGCGCACAAGATAAGCCTCGACATGGCTCGGTGATGGAAAATTGGGCTGGTTCTAACCCCTGATTTTTCAATCCCAAGGACTTCGAGCAGTCTCACGGCGGACTCGAAGGTGCAGAATCTTCATGACTGAGTGAAGGAAGCTTGGGTTTCCCATGAAGATATGTCTGGATTGTTGTGAAACCCTACCAGAGAAATTTGAGAACCATATTATCCCCATTCCCATCAGCCGCGCGCACTATTACAGCTCTACAGAAAAACTGTATTTCGGAAGGTCATATTTTGGATTGTTTCAATTCCTTTCGCAATCGACCATAGGATGGGGAGAACAGGGCTTCCCGTTCGCTCAGCCGTACTTAAGCCCCATGCCGGTCAGGTAGTAATGGAGTCGGTGACGATCCGTGAATGCTGGCTGTCGATTGTTTTTTGCATTTTTGTATTGTAGTGAGTGAATTAAGGGAAAGGTCATCACAGGTGTAGGACTGGAAAGAGGTTAACCTCGACCTTTTTGGACCTCAGAAGAAATGCGCAATCTCATTTGGACTCTTGCCGTGAATTCATATCACATGCGGTACAGGGAATGTTCCCTTCATCTCCTGTTGATAACGGTGCCGCATTCTTCTGATATTTGAAGCATGCGATAGTAGCCACGCTTAGCAGAATAGCCGGCGAGCGCAAATGACATAGCGAACCATCCCTCCAGAAAGGTACTCGAAATCATATTGTTCGCGAAGGACGTCAACGAGACACAAATAAATGAGCCTCCGCGTGCCGTCGGCTGCCATGATGCGACTCCGACGGCACCCACACGGCTTCCTCTACCGATGCCCAAGACCTACCTAATTCTATTCTCCAATCACCTCCAACTTGATGACCATCCGCCTGGGAAATATGATATTCAGAGCATCTCATGAGGTGACTATGTGAGGTTATGTGAGTTGTTTCTATATCAAGGAGCGAGTGCGGACAACAGCAAGAATCGGTATGGCCTCAAATAATGAAGCCACAGGCTCCGAAATCCCAGACAGGACGGTCGACGCTGCGATATCGAAGGACTACGACCTCTCACATCCCATCAACTCGACATCGGGACTCCGGCAAGGCCTAACATCATACGGCGATGCACATTTCTCGCTATTTCTTCGAAAAGTCTTCATCAAGGCATTGGGATACTCCGACTCGGCGTTATCGTCACCCATCATCGGCATCATCAACACCTACTCGTCGTTCAACCCGTGCCACTCGAATGTGCCGCAGCTGATCGAGTCCGTCAAGCGCGGGGTGCTCGCTTCAGGGGGCTTACCGGTTGATTTCCCGACCATCAGTATCCATGAGAGTTTCTCCAGTCCGACGAGCATGTACCTGAGGAACCTGATGAGCATGGACACGGAGGAGATGATCAAGGCGCAGCCGGTCGACGCGGTCATCATGATCGGTGGATGTGATAAGACTGTGCCGGCACAGCTGATGGGTGGGATCAGTGCAAACAAGCCGATTCTACCGTTGATCACGGGGCCGATGATGCCCGGGTCGGTGAAAGGTGAGCGCGTTGGCGCATGCACGGATTGTCGAAGCAATTGGGCGAAATACCGTGCTGGCGCTATCGATGTGGAGGACATTATGGATGTCAATGAGGAATTGGCACCCACTGGTGGGACGTGTGGTGTGATGGGCACTGCATCGACGATGGCGTGTATCACTGCTGGTCTAGGCCTGCTCGAACTGAGGGGCGGAGCGACCGCGGCAGCAGTGAGCTCAGCGAGACTGAGAGTTGCTGAACAAGCGGGTAGGAATGCAATTGCTCTACTGAAGTTGGGAAACAATAAGCCGCAGGAACTGCTGACACGAGAGAGCTTTCTGAACGCCATCATAGTCCTTCAAGCAATCGGAGGAAGCACGAATGCTGTGGTTCACTTGATGGCAATCATCAACAGACACCCAAAGGTGGCGGGAACCATTGATCTCAAGACATTTGATGAGATTGGTAGAAAAACGCCCCTTCTGGTTGATTTGAAGCCTAGTGGTGATAATTATATGACCGACTTTCATAATGCTGGTGGTATGCTAGCGCTGCTGCATACGCTGCGGCCCTTACTGCACCTCAATGCTACGACTTATTGTGGCAAGACTTTGGGGGAACTTCTGGACACGACCCCATTCAAGTCATTCGAGTACTCTAGGCAAATTGTCCGATCACTAGACAATCCTCTCCATCCAAGTTCAAGCTTGGTTGTTCTTTATGGAAATATTTGTCCCAACGGCGCAGTCATGAAAGCATCAGCGTCCAAGAATCGAACTCTACTGCATCATCGAGGCACGGTCTGCGTTTTTGAGAATTCCGCCGACATGGCTAAGCGGATCGATGACCCCGATCTCGATGTGACGGAGAACTCGATCCTCGTGCTCAAGAGTATCGGCCCCGTGGGTAATCCAGGCATGCCAGAAGCCGGGTTAATCCCCATTCCGCAGAAACTAGGACGGCAGGGTGTCCTTGATATGTTGAGAATCAGTGATGGACGAATGAGTGGGACTGCTGGAGGCACGATAATACTCCATATATCGCCAGAATCTGCAGACCTTGACTCTGTGTTTGGAGTCGTGGAGAATGGGGACAGAATAGTATGTGACGTCGAAAACAGGAAGCTTTCCTTGGAAGTTGAAGACTCAGTTCTTGCGGAAAGGATCGCGGAACGTAAACGGCGAGCTCATTCAGTATCATCTCATGGTGAGCAAGGTACGGTAAAAGAGCCATGGTTGGAGAGGTCGAATCGCAGAGGCTATCGTGGACTTTATGAACGGGAGGTGAATCAGTCTCACTTAGGCTGCGATTTTGGATTCCTTACCGCTGAGGGTCCTGAACCTTCCAAATGAACAGGAAGTCAAAATCAAATCGTGCCTTTGCCATTCGATAGAGAGTCTCTAGCAGGGTCGGTCCTTGATGAGGGTGTCTGCTCGAAGATCGAAGCCTGTCATTGAGCTCAATTGGTATTGGAGGCCGCAAGGCTGATCAGAGAGCGGTCGCTGGGTAGAGAGTACCATGGCAAAGCTTCTTACCTGCATCATTGAAACGTCATGCCAGCGTGCTTTGTACCGAGTACATCCACCCATCATTGTGTCGTTCCCAAGGTCCTCTCTTGCCTTGGGGTGCCGAGCTGGGCTTACCTCGTATGTTGTGGCAAAAGATATTGTCCGAGTACGACAGCATTTAGCTAGTTTGGGATAGTAGTCGGAAAGGTGATCCGCCTGGGATAGGCCCAGCAAAGTCGGATTGCTAGGATGAATACGAAACTATTGTCAATAAGTTTTGTGAGCAGCTGACGTTCGTGATTTCTTTACTGGACTGGGTTCTTTCATGGCCGTGTTTGTCGATTGAGAACAACTTCATGAACCAACAACTCGCAGCTGTTTCCAATTTAGGAAGTGTTTGTGAGTAACCTCAGCATGGGCTCTTCAAGAAACATGTTCTGGATTTGGCAATACGTACGTGCGCCATGCATTAGGGCTTTGTTGCTGTTGCTGGGTGGCTGCCAGGGCATGGCTTGGGCTTTTCGGTCGTTAAGATCTGGTCTCCCTACTTGATGGAGTGATTGGCAGTGTACAACTACCTTATTCGGGTGCTGATCGATTTGCTCAAGGTCAGTGGCAAGCTCAGTCATTGGCCGAGCCAAGATCGAATCCTAAATGGGTATCTACTTAAAGAGTCCGAAACAGGGAGCACTTCAGTCTGAAAGCGAACAATCCTCAGTTACTGCTCGATGGAGTAATCAGGGAAAGGTTATCGAATGGTAGAAGAGGACGGTTCGCACTCGAGGCCAAGGGTGCCCCAAGGTGTGGTCTGGGAAGAGAAAATGATTACACTCTCTGCAGGCCATGCGGGACAGAACACGAAGTCAAACGAGTTGAAACTCCGCATCCGGACAGCAAGCATGGGCGTCTGCAACGCGTCTGGACATGCTTAAAAGGGAGATGGTTTGTTTGCCGCTAGTGGGGTGCATAAAGACAAGAGATTTCACAACAGGGATGGAGATATTCAGACCTCGATCAAGGTAGGGAAAAGAGTCGACCGAGGAGGTCCTCGCATAAGTTGGCGAGAGATTATTTCTTTGAGGTTGATTGACTTGGTGATTGTTAAACGAGGCCTCAAGTGCGCCGAGTTCGTATTGAATCTTGGAGAGCAGGGAGTGATGCTCAGATTTGCCCGAACAGGAATATGGTAGGGAAGTACCATGGCCACCAAGAGAAAACTCGGACACGTCAACACAGATCCCTTACATCCCGAGCATGTGTTCGACGCACAATCATTAAAGAAGAGGACAAATGCCGAGGTTGTTGGGTTTGGCAAGTAATCCTCCATCTTTTCGACAATTGCTTTGCGTCAGGTAGACCACTGAGGTAATCGTCCAAGCGTGGTAAGCATTGCACACTCAACTGGGGACGTTACCAGCCTGGTCAAGTCATGTTTCGAATTGTCACACTAACCTAACGTGGTACATGCTGGGAATATTGGTGTGGCTCAAGTTTAAGCGAGGAGAGAGGAGGTCAAGGCGGTCGGGATGCGTACGTCCAGTGATTGTATTTATATGATATATTTAGCAGATGAACATTGAAGCGGCTAGATGCCAAATGAAAGGAAGGCTGCTTCGGGCCGACCCAATTGCGCTCCTGATGATCCTTTGACACAATGGCAAAACGGTTGCTGATGGGCATGGATGGCTCTGGATTTACCAGTCAGTGGTCTTCTTCAGCTTCTCATTTTGTATCACTTCAATCCAATAATCATCGGGGTCGAGAACAAAAGCCACGTTCTTCATTCTTCCGTCCGTCAGCCGTTTCTTCCAGTTCACCTTCTTTTCTTCAAGGAATGCACAAGCCTTGTCCAAGTCATCCACACTCACACAGATATGTCCAAATCCTTGGGGTTGATCGTTACCGTTGTGGTAGACTTTTCCTTCTTCCTTCTCTGTGCCGTAGTTCCAGGTCAACTCGAGGAGGCCTTCCTTCTTTGCCAGAGGATTTACTCCGTTCGCGGTGTCGGATTCCTTGGGCATACCATAATCACCAGGGTAACCTAGGAAGTACAACGTGAAGCCCGCTTCCTTTTGCTCCGAGGTCCGCATTAGGCTCATACCCATGACTTCCTTGTAAAAGGTCAAGCTTTTCTCCGGGTCCTTGACGCGGATCATCGTGTGGTTGAAGCGGTACGAAGAGGTATCAGTGGTGGTAATGTCTTGGGTGTCGTCGACCGGCTTCTGGCCAATGATTTCGACCCAATATCCGTCAGGATCCAGGGCGAAGGCAATACTCCGCATGCGCCCGTCTGTCAGTTTCTTCTGAAACTTGTATCCCGCATCTTCAATGCGTTTGCATGCAGCCTGAATATTGTCGACACTTACACAAACATGACCGAAGCCTTTATGGGGGTCTTTATTGCCATTGTTGATTGAGTACGAATCGTCAGACTCGGTGCCGTAGTTGTGGGTCAGTTCGAGGATCCCTTCACGATCGGTCCAGTGTGCGCCTGTTGAGGCCGATGAGGGGCCGTCATATGCTGGGAGGGAATCAACATTAGGACCAGTTCCTGGATATGATAGAATGGAATTTTCAACTCCTACCAAGAAAGTACAGGTCGAATTTAGCATCGGGGAACTTGAGTTCATTGACGACGGACAAGCCCAAGAGTTTGTAATAGTCGATGGACTTTTTGGGATCTTTGATCCGCAGCATGGTATGATTGAACTTCCATTTTGAATGGTCGGTCATGGTTGCGAATGGGCGAGAAGTGGTGGGCGGGTGATGGGGTAAGGGTGACCTGGATTGCAGCTGTTGGCTAAGTTGCTGAAGTCTCGGACGAGGAGTGGTTGCAAGTCGAGATGGGATCATGGATCGAGTGAGGTCTGGTAGTGGTGATGAAGATGAAGAAGAAGCACCTCCGTACCTCGAAATATTTTATTGGTGCTTCGTGCACTGGACATGATCAAGACTGTCATCGGTTGCTCATCGTTGGAGTCTTACCCCTCTATTGCTTTTTTAAATGCCAGTGCCACCAAGAACGTGACGTCGCTGGTGATGGAGAGGAGAGGGACCCGGAACAGTTCCGCATTCCGGACCTGCGGGCCCCATTTCCAGGGACCTCACCAAATGCTTAACTAGAGGCTCCCCGGGGCTCGCTTAGCTTCGGGTACCTAAGGTAGGTACTCCGTACTGTACGGATACCCCGGTACCTAGGTAGGTAGTTAACTGGAAGTAGTACTTGTTATCGACTTCAGGAATGCATTCCATTTCACCAATGATACAGATACTGAGCCATTTCAAGGTGAAGTCAGTTCCCAGAGCAACTTAGACACACTCTGTCCAGAATCCAGCTTGGTTGGTTGATCATGATCCAGGCACCCGACAACCTCGTACTCTCAACAGCCTCAAAAGCTCAGCAGGACGCTGACATGGAACTATTGACGACCTCTGCAGCACACTATTGCTCACCTTGCTGCCATCATGACAATGCCTGACTTATTTCGAGGTATTCAGCCAAGTCATCGCCCGCCACTTCTCGCCAGGACTTGCACAAACTCGCCGTCCCTTATCACTGGCTCTTCGCCTGGCTGTCACAAGGCAGAACCTAGGGAAAGCTGCGCCTTGACGGGCTTTTTCAACAGTGCCGAGTACACCTGCACCAAGTTGTCCTGGCAGCTGGCTGTCTCTCCGTACATTTTCCTCGTCACAAGGCAACCATGGCTTGCACAGGTACAGCCGACTTCCACATAATCACCTGTGCCCCCTTCATCTGGTACCTCAACGAGCTCTTCCTTCTTATGTCAACTCGAACGCACAGCTATAATTCACGTCTGGATACTGTCAGATCACCCAAGAGCCGCCCAGGCACAGGGGGGCCCTTTGATCTCAACGTGCACCCAGAGAACACTCCCAGGCAACTTTCTAGCAATCCTCAGCCTGATAGCAGTTGAGATCGGATCTTGTCTCGCCTCCTCGGTCATGGCCCTCCTCGAGCATTTCAAGCCCCTTGCACTGATCATGGCAGTCTTGCACCTTGCCCTTGCTGTCAACATCGAGTCCATTACTCTGGTTGAGGCCCCTGGCTATACTAACCTTCGCGGGTGCGCCAAATACTGTTTCCAGAGCAATGACAATGGTAACGTCCAGTCTGCGCTGTCCTGCGACATGAATTCATGTCTGGTCAGTTGGCATTCCCACATCTATCCTGCCGAGAAACACATGTGCTAAATAGATTGCTCTGATAGTGCCGTTCAGATCTGGCCACCGATGCTCACAGCATTATTTCCTCCTGTATATACACACAACAATGCAAGACAACCAACGAAGTCGATCTCAGCCTGGGGCTATCTTTCTTCGATGGCTATTGCTCTTCTTACCAATATGCTTTTACTGCGCCAGCGACAGCAACAGTCATCCAGACTGAAAGCAGTGGCCCCAGTAATAACCCGCCAAATACCGCCCAACCTGGATCGTCGCCCTCCACAAAATCCACCGTGACAGTGACCATCACTTCGACTCCGACCAGCCGTGCCTCATATAGTAAGTCCACCATACCAGCACTTGCTGGTTTATTGCTTGCTTCTGCTCTGCATTGCATGGCAGTGATATTCTAGGCACAGAGCATACCTCAGGTATGTGGAAACCTGATCAATCTTGAAAATCTCAACAAATGCCTTGGGAAGGTTCCACAAGCTCACAAATATCTGGTCTCGTGTACAGCGACGTTCACAACGACCTCCACACTCCAATCCACAAAGCTATCTTCGCCTTCCTCGACCACCACAGGCAGCTCAAGCATCTCAAGCACCAACGACCAAGGATCCTCAAACTCCAACGGCAGCAGCAAAGATCCTGGCCGGCAAGACACCCTGACCATCGTCTTTGGCTTACTCGGTGTGGCAGTCGCAATCATCGTCGCCATCTGGCAGGGTCGCAACAAGAACACCTGGACCAGACAGAAAGTCCGCGAGGTGCGCGAATGGAATCATGAACGTCGACATCACCATTTCTCGGCGAGGAATAGTACGACCTTGACGAACTTTGAAGCGCCTTCTGCGAGGAGTTGACATGGCTCGTTTGTATATACCCAGTTGTCTCATAGAAAGAAGAACACTCTACCTCACATATATATCGTGTACACTTGAGATGGAAATAGAAATATGGCCAGGAGCAAAATGAGCATGGATGGCCAGTCTCCTTCGCGCCACCTTGGAGGAGCTTGTCTCGGCATAGATCCTTCATACCTACAATTCGGAGCTGGCTTTGAGTGACAATCTACCCAACTTGGATGTATAACAAAACTGGTCGAATGGGATGATTGAGACTGACATCGACGCTTTACACAGCAGGCTGCGAACGACGGGGGTAAAATGAATCACGGGTAAAAACTCCACTTCCGCCGATGATGTAGACACTCACCTCATGGTCTTGTCTCATTTTATCATTTAACGCTACGAAGCTTGCCTATAATTAGATGTTATAGCATGCAATCTGCCGGCGTTATGTCGTCCATGACTCTCATTGTACTTCCATATCGTGACCATAGGCTGTTCGTCAATGAGTGCGACCGACCATAGAACGTGAGTACAGCGTAGCGCTGAGCACTGGTGGTCATGCAAAAGCGTTGATCAATACTCGAAATCATCATCAACTCCTCCTTTCCCTTTCCCATCCCTCGCAACAACCTCCTGATTGCGATACATCTCCGCCACAGCACTGGTGGTCGTTGCATCCTCAGGTTTCTTGTCATCTCGGTTTTGGATATATCGGGGGAATCGCAAACTGATGCCATTCTTTCCACCCATTTCATCGATAGCAGCTCGGTATCGAGGACTCAATGTGAGATCAGCCGTCTTGACTTCCCACACATAACGAGGTTCGAACCAAACATCGGGCTGATCATTCTTGACCGTACTGTGGCTGTAGAAAGGTTTGGGGCCCTCAATCAGATGCTGCGAAAGCTCCTTGTGAATATCCGCCAAGTTGACCTCGGTAAAGCCTGTACCGATATTACAGACAGTCTCGAATGTCTGGGTCTCTGCGTTGTATGCTGCTAGGAGGAATGCGCCATACCAAGAAGTTCGCTTCCCCTTGCCATAGTATGCACCCAAGACGACAAGATCTAGCGAGTCGCCCACCCCTGAGAGATAATCCTTCTTCACTTTCAACCAATTTCGTGAGCGCTTACTTGGTTCGTAGCCAGACTCCTCGGTGTCAAGCATTTTGACCATGAGACCTTCGCAGGATGCCTTCACCGATTCATCCAATAACTTCTGAATTTCTTCGATATCTTTGCTATTGCCGTATTGAGCAAAGGTAAACTCTCCTTCCACTGGTTCAAAGGCTGCATGAAGCAATTCTCTTCTTTCTCGAAGTGACTTCTTTACCAGGGCCTCACCATTGTAGAACAGCATGTCGAATGCATATACACACACTTTCACTGTAACGTCAGAAGTTTTGACGTCCTTGCGTTTGCGGGTCATCAGCTGCTGAAATGGAAGAACCTTCTTGTTCTGAGGGTCCCATGCCACAGTCTCGCAATCCAAAACAAAGCTTTTGGTAGAAGGTTTGATCCAGGTGTCCAGCTTTTCCAGAATGTCTGGGTATTTCTTGGAAAGATCTTCCGAATTTCTTGAGAAGATAGAGGCTAGCCCTTTGAATGCTTTGGAATCTTTGACCAAAGTGTTCGACGCCGCTGGAAATTCACTCACTGATTCTGGTGCAACATAATGGATCTGTGCTCTTTCTCCATCGTACTTGTACTCGCACGTAAAATCTTTACCCTCGAATCTGTCAAGAACTTCCGTGATTGATTTTGTCGGCTTGGCCAGCATAGGTTTGAGAGGGACTCCTGGTTGAAGTTTGCAGCTCTCATGTAGTTTGAAAATGCCGTGCTCCAGCATGGCAGGGATGATGACTTCGTATGATGGCAATTCACTGTACACGGTTTTGAGGGCAGCTTCTCCCTCCACCAATTTGTCGGTGCTGACAGTCTTTCCTTTCTCAGCAGCTTCGTATGTGACGACTGCCTGGGCAAGAGCAATGATGACGGTCCTCTCAGCTAAACCAAGTCTGAGTTTTCCTTCTAGGAATCTGACGAGGAATTTTGCCTCAGAGGGCCCGCCCTTGTCTTTTTCGATGTCGATACTTTTGCTAGCCGACGACACATCCGCAGAAGCCATCAATTTGTTGATTGCCCGCACCTTTTGATCCTGCGAACCATGACCTTCCATCTTGGCAATGTCGAGAAGACCTTGATGAACCCCACGGACGGTCAGAGCTTTGGGCTTGAACATTTGACCCTGCTTGGACTTGCTCTTTGCAGCAACCAGCCCCAAGTCACCAATTTTCTGGTGGTCAGCTTTGATAATTGCCAACGAGCGACCAGAACTCTCTCCAATGGCCTTCATAATAAGAGACTCCCCTATACCAAGCTCGATGCCCGCGTAATCGGCAGCGAGCTTATTGAGCATGAGCTGAACTGTGGGAAGCAGGTCCTGTGGTGTGAGACGCAGGACTTGTTGCAGGAATGCTGAGCAGTATGCGGTGATTTGTAGTCTTTTCGTTGTGAGCTCGATCAGAGAGAATGTGGTACATAAAGCTGCGTATGGCACAGGCTCTCCAGCCTTCCAGTCAGGATATGGGTCTTTGGCAGATGACTTGAGAGTAGCCTGGACCTTGGAGGCCTTCTTTTTGGTGACCTTCGGCTTTTCCTTCTCGCTCGCTGATTCTGGTTCTTCAGGTTCTGGAGAGGGATCGTCCTGCTCCGAAGAAGCAGAGTCCTCCGGGATGGATCTTGTTACTTTGGAAGACTTCTGAGTGACCTTGGCACTTGCTTTAGTGCCATTTGTCGTGGTTGGCGTTTGTGACCTTGATGTCCTCCTTCGTTTTCTCACGACCGGCTCATCATCACTGCCTCCTCCATCTTCTTCTACATCACCATTTGGTTTCTTGTGCTTCCGTGTCGGAGATCGGCTTGTGTCTTCACGGGTTGAAGCTCCAGGGGTTGCACCATCTGAATTGTCATGTGGCGGGGTCGCTCCATCATCTGTAGCATCTGTCTTTGCACTCTCTCCGTTGGTTGCAGATTTCCGGTTGAAGGACAGCGTTGACTGAGATTTGGGCTTGGGATCAGCAGCTTTTTTTCCAAGGAAGCCGCTACGCTTTGTGTCAGCACTGGATGGAGAAATATTATCCCTTTGAGCACTTACCCAAGAGTGGCTTGCTTTGATGGTGGCATGATGCGGGCTCTGCTCGACCTGTTCAAGGAGGTGTAGTGATGGCCGTCGACATGCAAGAAGGTTGGATTTGAAGGAGGGGTGCAACTTGAAAGGTCGAGGCGCCGGTTTATATGGGAGAGATTGGACAAGGCAGCAGGGCCTAAGCCTGGGGCCGAAGTGAGAACCTGAAGTGGTTTCGAACGACAGGAGTGGTAAACAATCCGCATTCGCTATACTGTCGCAATTGCTGTTCACCGGAGGCAACACTCAGTGCGGAGTGGAAAGTCGCGTTCGTGACGTGACGCGTGAGATTTAGAAAAACCACTCTAACTTGAAGCGTGTTGCAGCCGACACGTGAGTTGCGTGTGGTGCCTAACAATGCCAGGCAACAAGAACCAGACAAAACTCCACATCACTTAACCACAGAGCCTTTTACTTCGCTCTGTTGTTACGCGTAATGATCCATTAATGTTGATAAAGAATTCTAGGACACTTCTTTTAGTGTAGCTAAACCATTCTCGTCCTGATGGTTATCCACAGGATCTCGCCAGAGGCCAAGGGCTAGATTGCATGCGGATCCTTCGGAATGCTGAGGCACAGCAAGGGGCCAGAAATGCAACTACAAAGAAAGGCGGCTACCACCGTTGTTCGCCTTTTCCTCAGTTTTGAATTTTCATCAAGATGTATTAGCTATCAGTCGATTTTATGACCTATTACCGCAACCACGTGTCTGCCTGCAACGGCTATGCTGGGTTGATAAAACATGAAATCCATAACGCATCAATGCATCCCTGCCATGCCGCAACCAATGGTTCGACTCCGTAATAGTCATTTTGGCAGTCCACTTGGAAGTAAGTCATGAAGCATGGGAACGCCCTTTCGGAAATCGGGGTATCAACAGTGATTTGGGAAAAAATTGGAAACGCTCGTCGTCACCTCTCGCCACTTTGCAACAGCCCGGGACCCTTACAACAACATGATCGCGGCGAGACCAGCAACGCCAGCAATATTTTGAGCAGCAAATGTCATTTGAGGAGCAGCGGCACCACCTGATGTGGCGGAAGAAGCTGCGGCACCGGCAGAGCTGGTTGCACTTCCAATTCTGGAGCTCACAGAGCTTGCAACAGATGCGGCAGATTCGGAGGCTGAGCTTGCAGCACCAGAGGCACTGGAACCGATAGAGCTGGCGGCAGCAGATGCGCTGGATGCGGCAGATGCGGCAGATTCACTGGCTCCAGAAGCGGCAGAGCTGGCGGCTCCACTGACCTAAAGGTTGGGAATAAGCAGCCGCAGGAAATTGATCAAAGGGTGAGGGACTTACTTCGCTGAACAAGGTAGTGCTGCCAATGGTGCTTGTAATGGTGCTTCCATCAGTGGTAATGGTGGTCAAAACAGCCTCGGTGGTGACAGGGACTGAAGAACCGGCTGCTCCACCAGCGCCACCGAAGATGGTTGTGCTGCCGACAGTGCTGGTGATTGTGCTGCCATCGGTGGTGATAGTGGTAAGGACCGGTGCAGTGCTGATGGCTGAGCGACTGGCCTCACTGCCAGTTGCCGTAGAGCCAGAACCACTGCCACTGCCACTGGCGCCACCAGCTGCAGTTCCGGTAACTTCTCCAGATTGTGTCAAGGCTTGGGTTGCGCTGAGGGTGACGGATGACGAGGCACCTGAGGCGGCTGGGATGGTATAAGCCAAGGAATTCAGAGTGATTGGGAGGAATTCGAAGGAAGCTTACCAGAGGCGCAATAGGTCAAACCGAAGGTGATGATTGAAGCAGTATCAGTGCCAGCTGGGCAGGCCTGACTGACGCAATCCCGAATACCATAACCGAAGTTGACGTTGGAGCAAAGACAGGTAACATCAGGTTGGCCGTTGACGTTAGGGCAGCCAAGAGGGCCGGCCTGGCCGAGCATGTTGTTGATACAGGTTTGCTAAGATCAACAGGTTAGTGACTGAGGAGGTCATGTCGGGAAGTTCTGGAGACCTACACCGCATGCTGGCAAGTCGGAGAGGGATTGGGCGAGAGCCAGGCCCGCGAAGGTGGCAGCGACAATGACGGACTTCATGGTGATTGAGAGTTACGCAACGTAAAGGGTGTTGGTAGTAAGAGAATGCACGGCTACTCTGCGAGGGTAAGGCGGTGGAAGAGGTGGAAGGGATCAAGCAGTGTTGAATGGTGAGGTGGAGGATGAAGTGAAAGGAAGAAGTGAAGAGGTCGATGCGCTGGGAGGGAGGATTTATTGGTCTGTGTGGCCGAAGGTCGAGGTGAACTTGAAGTGGTAAGAGCAATCGAGTGGGCGTGGCCGTGGCAGTAATAGTGGAGCGAGGGAGCAAGCGCAAACTTGAAGGTGAATGGTAACCAGCAAGGCAGGTGAAAGAAAGCCGAAGAGAGTGATCACAGTACGAGGTAGCTCGTCCTCGAGCTAGTTTTACTCGATCGTGAGTCTTGAAAAGAAAGGATCGAAGGGTGGAGACGCGGAGGGAAGGAAGCAAACGAGTCAAGGCCGGCAGAAGTCACGATCGAGGCACAAAACAAGCTGGAAGGCTGGGTAGATTTGGTTTTGGCTTTGACCTGGAAGTGATTGCAGGTGATTTACCTGCAGCCTCAGCCTGTAGTAGGGAGTATCCGTAGTCGGTCCCTGTACATACGCGCTTGTGCATCTCCGAACTCTATCAATTTCTAGCTTGAATGGCGGAAAGTTGGACAAAAACAAAAGGCCGGGAAGCCTTTAACTGGCTCTCGCCCTGGATCCCCTCCCAGTCCCATCCCTGCTTAGCTTGGTCGCCTCCCCACATCAGCCACGATCTGCGCTGGCACCCAGCTCACTTGGTGTGGCAATATCTAGTAGCTTTTTAGTGTCTGGCTAGCACGGGCTCATTCAAGCTGAACATCGAGGCCTACGGAGTCATCTCAGTCAACTTCTCATCCTCACAAACCTGACCGAGAACGGTCGACGTTTTGAGGTGACACCAACAGTCAGTAAGTCCTACTTCGAACCTCACTCTAACCTGGGAGGCTGGAGGCTGGATGCTATCGCTCAGCGTCATGCAGCAACCCAGGAAAGCTGTGCTACTATCACCATCGTCTACCATCGTCGTCCAGCCCGTTCAGCTGATGTCGGATTGACGTACGCGTCGAGCTACTCGTACACCGCCGTCTCTTTACTCATGCTCATAGTCGCCCAGCAAGCCAGATAAGGTGTGCCCTGGGCTAGAGAGAATAATAATCGCTTGCATCGGTCCTCGTAGCAACCCCAGGCTAGGTGACTAGAGCCCTCCAAAAACGTAATAATGCATAACAGACTGTCGCTTTCGGGCATCACGGCCAACAAGACGCGTCGATCCAAGATGTGGGAAAGTGGGAAGCGAACCGGTAGGAAACAAGCATTGAAGACCTGTTATGTCACTCCCGCAATCCAACATTGCTTGGTCGAAGCGTTGCCCCTGGTACCTAGGTAGCCTGCGCCACAGCCTCCACACCCTCTGGTGCGATTAAGTGCCTGCAGGTCCAGGGCTGGCAAGCGAACGGGATCTGGTGCCTCGCTCAACTATTAGGTCCAGTACCCATCGAAGGCACAGTGACGTCTGCCACTCGTCTGAGAATGCATCCGTGCGACACAGACATCAGGTTTTTTGTTCTGTTCGTCGCCCCAAGGTCGTAAACCTTTTCCACAAGAGCATGCATGAGAACCATTCGTTGTCATTCCATGCTGGCATGGCCTTTGACGATTGTCCTGCATCAGGTTACTCGGTACAAGGCCGTGTCTCGGAGGTGATTGCACTTTCCAGTGGCTTTTGAGCCTCTCCCGTCTCAATTTGGGAGTTTGATTACTCGCCAAGGTTGGCCAACCACCTCCCGTCGAAGATTCTCTCATGGCTTGGAGGCTTCAAGTGCCATGAAACAGTCTCTGGTACCCCTTAACTTGGCGACGTCTAATTAACTTTCTTCAATCCCATTTCTTCAATATGCCAGAGTAGACGTACCTCGATAAATGTCAATGCTGCTGACGTCGTGGTGGCAGATCCCCACTCCAAGCACCTGCACTGATCTGAGCTTGCTGCATGACACGCGGGCGGAGTTGCTCCCCAATATTATCGATTAACTGATAGCACTGACCCCAATATATGAGGTTTATTTTGGACTACATTATCCTTCTCATGCTGATATCATGGGTCGATGAATTAGGCATACAACAGTTCCAATTGCAAGCAATGCTGCTGAGCACTAACTAACCTTTCCGTTTCCCCTCAGCAGAAACCGGAGGTCTGACTAAGCAATATTCACATCACGTGTCATCCCTACAATGATCCGCCGTAGACGATTTCGATATCCAAAGGAATTCAACATCAGGTCACTGGCATCCAGATTACCGAAGGACTACCACTGTAAGAGTCTTCATAGCATCGAGTTCTTGAGCGCGATACGCGTTACTCCGATGCATCCATATCCTTTAACTTCCAGATAAATCATGCAGTTTTCTGCAGCATCAATCCCTCACTTCTCTCAAACTGGTGCATGTCATCATGAACCAGAGGCAAGAGGCCTTCCAGCAGGTATGCCCCTCTTGAATTGCCCTTCGATCTAATCTCGGAAAGACTTGTTCTGATGATGACAGTTGCGTTCACCATGCGTTGAACTCAGCTCGGTTGTGTTGAAATTCAAGACGAACCAAGTTGCCTCCAAGGCGGTTCTTCTTGCTCTTGAGCCCGTCCATCATGCACTAGATACTCTTGGGCAACAGGGTTCTCTTGACCACAAGCTAGCAGAATACGCCTTTTTCCCTCTCACTCAAATTCTCAACCAGTCCAAGCAATTGCCGTCCCAGGTCCTTGAACTCACCCTGAAATGTATTCAAATTCTCGTCTCCAAAGGATGGAAGGACCAACTTGCCCCGCAAATGGCAAAGCAGCTCTTGATTCTTATGAGCTTGCTTACCTCCTCCGAGTCAACGTCAAGTGCAGAGCCACCTACTGACGACCTGAAAGTTGCAGCGTTCGGTTGCATGCATGCTCTGCTTCATCAAGTCGCCCAGCGTGATGATTCAGCCTCCTCTTTGGACGAGATCATCGCCACGAGCCTTTTAGACCGCCTTGTCTATCAACTGCTAGAAGATATGAGCATCACAACCTCTGAATCAGTACAGTTGAGCGCGGCAAAAGTGCTCTTGGAATTACAGGGCGCTCTAGCCAATCCCGTCACGCTCGCTAGTCTCCTGCCTCGCACCGTGTCAATGCTTGTAAAGGTTCTTCGCCCAAGCACGAAGGCACGTCGTACACAGAAAGTGCTTGTCACGTATTTGCAACTTCTCACCGAGGCGCTGAGGCGTGTCCTCTCTGACAATGTGCTCTCCGAAAGAAGTAGTGGCCTGTTTTACGGTAAGACTGCAGTCACAGATGATGACAAGAGACCCGTACTTGATAAATCCTGGCTTGACGCCACAGCACCTCAGATAGACATTGCTCTAACTCAGGTAATCAAATTGAGAAGTCAGAGAAGCCCTGCCATTGATGAAGCACTTCTCCAACTCTGTCTTGTGGTTATCGAAGATTGTTCGCAATCCTTACACAAGTCACTGCCATTGATGGTGGAGACCCTCACGGTTTTATGTCGCTCCAATGACTCATCAAAAGCCGTCGCTGCTTTGAATCATTTAATGCTCTCCCGTCCGATTATCAGCGACGTTGTGTCTGCAAAGTTCTTCGCGTTGTCTCAGGCTCTTCCGAGAGTAATGCAGGGAAATGATGAAAGACCAAAAGAGCACATCCTTGGTCAACTTGCGACATCCTTCACTGCATTATCTGAGACCACAGGAGCCCCTGAAGAGACCACTTCCAGAATAGCATCTGTCTTGATTGACAGTGTTGCAGTCGGTATCGAGTCAAGTTCTCAGCGTCTCTCTACCATTAATGGTCCCAACGAATTGCTACACCATGAATTTACCCTCTCCCACCGGAAGCCGCTTGAATTCGAACCACTTTTGCTCAGCCATCAAAGCCAGCAATCCTCGACGGGCGAGCTGAATGCTTTCATTCACTCATTGAGTTCCCATGGCGCAAATTATAAAATCACTAGGAATCTCATTAACCAAATGTGGGACCCAGATCTCAAAAGGCGGGTTTCAGCGATTTGGCTCGCTTTACGCTTCCTTGAACCCAGTGCTCAACAAACTCTTGACCTTGATGATTATATTCAAGTCGATCATGATGATGGAGATTGGTCACTTACTCGACCTTATCTCGTATCAGATCTTTATGCACAAACTATACCATACCTCCTTCAATATGCTGATCAGCCAGCTGATCAGCCAGCTGATTCAGCATCAGATTGGCGGTTGGTAGGTTTGGCACTTGAGTCCCTTGTCCTGCAGGCAAATCAATTGCGAGATACCTATCGACCTGAGCTAATGGAGACTTTGTTCCCTCTGCTTGTAGTTTTCGGCTCTCCTCACACCGCGCTACAACGTCACGCCACGACTGCACTCGATTTACTCGCCCGAGCCTGCAATTATGCTAGTGCAATGGAGATGTTGATCGAAAATGTTGACTACCTTATCAATTCTGTTGCGATGCGCTTAAACTCGTTTGATGTTTCGCAAGCAGGTCTACAAGTTCTTGCGATGATGATTCGTCTGTGTGGAGCAGATCTGCTACCTCACCTGGACGATGTTATTGGCAGCATTTTCAGCACCCTCGACAGCTACCATGGTTATCCGAAGCTCGTCGAGTACTTGTTTTTGGTGCTCAAGTTGGTTGTAGATGAGAGCTCGAAGAATCCCACGAACCTTGCCATTGAAGAGGGTTCTGATTTGCAGACTCATTCAAAACGTACTACATTTGTATCTACGATTTCGGATATCGTTCTTGATTTGAATTCAAGAAGGACTAGAACGAGCAAAATGGAAGAGGAGCCGGAACAATCGATTCCTACGCCTCATCAACCGTGGAAATCCAACCTTGAGCATCCGCGTACTTCGACGAACGAAGACGCAGCTAAGGATGAGGACGATGGAGATTTGGCGCCGAACTCAAATTCTCGCAAGGACGAAGAAAAGAAGCTCTCAAAATCACACCAGTTGCTTATTCAAATCGTGGAGGCAACAATACCACACATGTCGTCGCCATCGGCCAAAGTCCGGCATACCTTGTTGGAAATCCTGCGAAAGATATGTCCTGTGTTAGCCGCCCATGAAACCTCTTTTCTTCCCCTGATCAACTCTATCTGGCCATCGTTGGCCTCGAGAGTTCTCGGACAACAGGATAAAGAATCGCCGGAATTACCTTACAATGTCCAGGCTGCCGTAGAGACAGTAACCATCATATGCGAATATGCTGGTGATTTTATGGCTTCACGGGTTGATGAACTACTCACTGGCTTGGAGGCTCTATTCAAGAGGATTACTGTGCCAGCAAAAATATCAGCACGTGCCCAATCGTCTATTCAAGGACAAGGATCAAATGTTTCCACCAATGGCCCGCCATCCCTCTATGTTATTGAGCAAGAAAAGACAAACAATGGCCGAGGCGTCCTAGATCAAAGACATATCCGGCCATCGGAACAACAGATACTAAGTTCTCTTGTCACTTTGTTCGGTACGATTCTCCGTTGCGTCCGTATTTCAGAGGACAACGTGGACAAACTTTTTGATCTGTTGGGACCTTATTTGAGAGGAAGCGGAAATTTACAAGTTTGGGACGCTTTGGAACAGTATAACAGCGACTTTGTATGGCTACTTAGACTTCGATGGAGTCAATGAGCCATTTCTCCTCCTTCTCAATCATGGCCATAGAGATAACCCAGAAAGGAAAAGCCCCGGAGATTGGCAACCTGCTCTACCAGAACAAATCGACGCTAAGCTGTTTGCGGAGAATCTAAACGCCGCATCGAATCTTGGTGATGGAAACAACTGAGTCCAGATCGAGTTTGGTCATGACAAGTCGCGACTGGAAAGAGTATGTATGAATGCAATACCAACATTCCCCCGGAGATTGTAAAGATCCCGCTACGTGATCAGGCTGCCCTATTCGAATATGCCTCACGAGCAAGACAGGTATTTAATGTCACCAGGCACCACCAGAATGACAATCTCAGAAGCGATCGATCACCCTAACAAGTGTTCCCATCAACTACCTCTACTGCCTTACTTCTAACCAAACCAAAACAATTCACTGCTAATACTCCACCATGCCCGGCAATATTCAATTCCTCACTGGCCAGCTGAGGACACCCCCTATGCCGACAGATGATTTAACAGGACGAACGATTCTAGTGACTGGTGCCAATTCTGGCCTGGGCCTGGACGCAGCAAAGTTATTGATCAAATTGAACTGCAGTACAATCGTCATCGCTTGTCGGGATGTCTCCAAAGGGAAAGCCACCGAGGATTTGCTCAGAGCCTTCTCCAGCCAGAATGGCAAGAAATCAACCATCATCCCATTTGAGCTTGAAATGACCTCCTTTGCAAGTGTCGTCTCGTTCACCACACGATGCAAAGATCTGCCACGACTTGACGCGGTCATTCTTAACGCTGGTATCGCCGAGGTTGAGTTCAAGCTGGCTGAGGGATATGAGAAGACCATCACGGTGAATGTGATCTCGACTTTCCTGCTGGCTACTCTTCTCTTACCAATCCTGCGGGCATCTGCAAGGAAGTACAGCATCACTCCCAACATTGCCATTGTTGGCTCGGCGGTACATTTCTGGACCGACCCCAAGCAGTTGACGAAACCAGCCTCGGGTCAAATTTTGAAAGCTGTTTCGGATCGACAGTCTGCAGATATGAAAGGCCGATATTTCCTCAGCAAGCTCCCAGTGATGCTGCTGGTCAAGTATCTCGGATCAGTTCTGGAGAAATCTGCCCAACAGGATTCTTCGGGCAAGCCTCTTGTGGTTCTGAACAATGTGGCGCCTGGATTCTGTGTTTCCAGTAAGTCTCCCCCTCAGATCAACCGCAACTAGCTCTCCGTGTTATATGCTCTGTAGTCTCCTGCAGGACAAAGATCCAATTCCACAACATGGCCTTTGTGCAGTCTTGGTAGCTTTGTTCTGCGAAAGCTGTGTTCGAACTATGGCTAATTGTGCTCTCTCTCCCAGACCTGCTCCGAGAATCTAGCGCGATCGAGCAATTCATGCAGAGAAGGCTTGCAAGATCAACCGAACATGGAGCTCGAACACTGGTCCATGGTGCAGTGGCGGGCACTAAAACCAACGGCCAATATCTTAGCGAATGTGAAATTAAGCCCGCCAGTCCATTTGTTAGGAGTGCAGAGGGCGATAGGACTGCCCAAAACCTCTGGTCAGAGCTTGCCGATATTTACGAAATGGTCAGCCCGGGCTGTACCAAAGAGTGGTGAGGATTATGATAGCCTGGTGTACGCCTGTGTTCATGCGCACTATATAATAAATAATCTGTTTCGAGTGGCTGGGTACCGGCCATGCCATGCCAGTAAATTCCCAGTGTTTGGATCTTCACCAGGAATAGAGTGTTTCAGCTCTCCATACTCGCTGAGCACTCCATGTGAGTGTTGCGTAGCTTAGCGGGACCCCGGACACCGGCATTTTGGAGGTTCCTCCAATAATGCACACGACAGGCTTTGGAGCCTAACAATCGACGACATTCTAGCCATTGCATCTGCTTGTTTATTTATTCCACATATCAACCCATTTACCACTCAGTCGCAACATGTCTGACTTCTCTTCGCTGACTCATAAATTTCGAGCGAATGTTGATAACCAAGTGACTGGCACCAACAAGATCAGCAAACGGAACCGCCAACCTCTCTCGTGCGCACCTTGCAGAGTCAAGAAATTGAAATGTGACCGTGGTCATCCATGCGAAACGTGCATCAAACGTGGTGATCCCACGATTTGCACTTATGGCAAGAACGTGTCAGCATCAACCAATTCATCCTCAAAGCCCGAGACAAACGGTACAAATTCAAAGGGAAAGGCACAGGAACGGTTGCGCCACCTCGAGCATCTGATTATGCAAATGGTTGATCAGAATGGTCATGGTCTCGTTCTAGGATCGCAGCCGCCAGCTTCAACAAACGCTCCAGGTTCGGGCTCGCAAGGTGGCCTTGTCGAGTCGGAGTCCGGCTCAGAGGCACCCAATGCCGCAGGGCGCCTTCAATTGGCTTCGTCAGGAGCCCAGTACGTGGGCTCGACTCACTGGTCTGCGATCTTGGATAATATCCAAGAAATCAAGGCTGCTTTGGGAACCGAAAACACACCGAACGCTGATCTTGAGGACACAGAAGACAGTGAAACTGCCGAAGTCGTGACACTGTTTGATTCTGGCAACGGTCTATCTCTTGCTCAGATATTGTCTCAAGCACTTCCTTCAAGGTTACAAGTCGACCGGCGGCTCTCGACATATTTCAAAAACCACTATCTGGTCATTCAATTTATCCATACTGGCCAGTTCCAACGTCAGTATGAAGAGTTCTGGCGTAATCCACTTGAAACCTCTCCACTTTGGATCTCGATCCTCTTCGCCATCTGCTGCATGTCTGCAACACTCAACCATGTCCAAGGTTCTGAAGATCCAACACCGGAAGATCGACTCAGTCCTCGCATGAGCTTTCTCCAGGCTGCATGTCTCTGCATAAAACTCGGCGGCTACGTGCGACCTAAAAAGTGGCTTCTCGAAGCTCTCGGCCTGTACGCCCAATGCCAGTACATGGCCACCATGGATCCTTCCAAAGAGGTTGGGGTCGTCTTCTCCATGGTGGTTCGCCTGGCATACCAAAGTGGCTATCACAGAGAACCTTCAAACTTCCCACATCTTAGTGTTTTTGAGGGTGAGATGCGACGCCGCTGTTGGGCCATGTGCCGCCAGTTCGATCTAATGGTATCCTTCCAGCTTGGCTTGCCGAACCTCATTACTCCTGACAGCTGGGACACCAAAGCTCCTAGCAACCTCTTAGATGCAGACTTTGATGAAAACTCAGCGGTTCTGCCGCCATCACGACCAGAAACGGACCCAACCCAGATTCTTTACTTCATTGTCAAGCTGCGTTTGATGACTGCGTTCGGAAGAATATGCAATCACGCGTTATCATTTCGAGAAGCGCCGAGGCAGGAGATCATGGACTTGGATGCTGAAGTACGTGCCGTGTACAAGACCGTACCTGATATTCTGCACGTGAGACCGTTATCAAAGTCTTTCGCAGATCCAAGTTACCTCATTATGGTGCGCTTGAATTGCGAATTTCTCTACCAAAAATGCCTTCTCGTACTTCATCGGAAATATATGACACAAGGAGGCCACCCGGACTCTTCAGAGGCAGCAATTACTGCAGCAACCACCATAGTGACATACATGCTTGATATATATAAGGAGTTCAAGCCGGGAGGTCAATTATATGCTGACCGCTGGATGTTGAGCAGTTTCACCATGAATGACTTTTACCTCGCGACCATGGTGCTATGTCTTTCCTTGTCCATTTGGAGGAAATCACATCCCGAGAAAAATGTCGGCGAAGATGAGAAGGTTAGATCTCGGATCGAACTCCTTTCAAAAGCATATGGAGTCTGTGAGGAATCAAGCGCTGCCAGCAAAGAGGCCAAGCGTATCACCGGAGTCCTGAAGATCATACTGGGAGAGTACGTCCTCGCCGCTGGCTCTGGTCTCCAAACAAGATCTGCTGGAATATCACCAGAAGACATCTTGGAAAGACGAGACATGTTCCGAATACAGCCCATCGCTTTCTTCCCGAGCTCTTCAGACTTCAATCTTGCACCACTCTCACTTTCCGACTCGCAAGCGACAGTCAACCCGCCACACACGATGCAAGCCCACCAGACCACTGCTAACAATAGCGTTGACTTTGAACAATTCTCCTATCCTCAAACCGAAACTCGGGATTCAAACCAGATAGATGCCAGTATGTCACCCAACCCATTCACCCCATTCATGTCCTTCAACAATTCCACCTACGGCTATTCGCCCGTGCCGACCACCTCCAACGGCATGACAAATTCAGCATCCAACCCTCTCACCACATCGATACCAGCAATACAATCCCCATTTCTCCCCAGCGGTCTTGCAAACGGCCAGGGCGCGAACACGAACATGGGCATCGACTGGGCACTCCTGGACCAATGGATGGCGATCCCCGACGCGGATTTCATGCAAACACTGTCTCCCAACGCGACCATGCCATCATCCCGACCCGACGGCCCTGGCAGCAACATCCCTACAACCGCACCTATGCACGACGACGACAACGACGACTGGACAAGCACGCCGATCCGCTTCCTGGGCACGACGACGCTCTTGCAGAACCAGGAGACGCCAAACACGACGGCGGCGGGGTTCTTGTCGTCCGCGGTCGGCGCAAAGCCTTCGACGACCAGCAGTGGCAGTAATAACAACACGGACAATTTCTCGCCCGGGACCGATAGCTTGGGGTACAGCACTTCAACCTCTAGCGGCCGCACGCAGGCGCTCGATCAGTATCCGCAGTATTGAGTGGGCGCTACAGATGACTGGGGCCTGGCGGAATGATTGTATGACCTTTCTTGATGTGAGTGACACATAGAAACCGCCTAAATCACATCTACGTTGTATAATTTTTGGCAGACTGGAAAGGGAATGTTGGTATACAATGACACAAGTAGATTCCTACCTCATCAATACGCATAACATTAGGGGGTATTCTGTTCTCGAAACCGAAAGAAGTGTTTGATCAATTCAACCCATTGCGCTCATTCATCCGTAACCCCCTTCCTGTTCAAGACTGTTTTCCAAGGTTCCGTCCTTCCCATCCAAAAGACGCCCCTCAAGTTGCTCACCATGGACTAGATTATTCTTCCCATGAGAAGTCATGACGGCGCTCGCTACCACACATCAATCTTGGAGTGGCCCGTTCCCAGATCCCGAAATCCCTAAACGCCCTGGAAACTCCTTGCAAACAGACCAATCCGGACCGCATGTCATGTGAAGAGTTGTTTTTAGCACTCATTGCTTAGCGCCCACAGACCGCTTCTGCCTCGCAGCGGCATCCCTTATCTTCCAAGCCGAGCGGATTCCTTCTGCATTTGCGAGCAGATCTTCTTCCGTGACGTGATCATGAATCGACTGGATGACGCTCTCATACGTACTAATATGATTTGCATCAGTCTTGTCGTCTCGGAAACGATGGAAACGCCAACGCCGAGTATTGCCGGATGAATAGGCTGCATCACCGTTCGTAGTCGTGCCGTTCAAGGGAGACTTGTCTCTCAGAACATCCTCTTGGAAACATTCGACGATTGAGTCCTGAAGGGGCCGGTTGAGGGACTTCCACTCCTCCCACTCTTCGGGCGTCACGAACATATCGTCAATGTACGCGTACTTGTCGTTACCGTGGTTGATGTAAAGGCCGAATTGGGATGGGAAGGCGTGGTAGTCGGGCTGTCGAGATTGGTCTGGATCATCGGGATCAGGAACGTACAGTGGCCAATCAATGTGCATGAGAAAGTCGACAGTATTCTCGGACGGCGGTTTCCACTTAAGTATGTGCTCGTCGGTGCCCGACTTGTAGGGCGTGTTCTTGCAGGTAAAGATCAGTCCGTCATTGCCGTGGAGTTGTTTGACGCGCGGTATGATCTCCTTAAACATTTTTTCCAGGCCATAGCTAAACTCGGTGGATTTATCTTCAACCACAAATGGGCGTTTGTGTGGATCGGGGAGGGACTTGAAATAGGCATTGTAAGGTTCAAGGACATGGGCTTTGAAATAACCTAAGCGTTTGTCGAGGGGTCGCTGTAGAAGGGTGTTATTATCCAGAACTAGACAGTCGAAAACCAGGTACTTTGTGACTGAGTCTCGATCGGGGAACTTGTCTTCTACCAACTCGCCATCAAGGATTGTGCCAGTGTGGAATTTGTTGGGAGCCTTGTCATCGTGGTGGGGAAAATAGAGGTTGGGCACATAATAGTAGTCGTTTTTGCGATCGATGAGATAGTGTATGCCGTGGCCCTTATCCTCGGTGAGATACATCAAGTAGCGCAACCCATCGGTTTTTTCACAGACATAGTAATCCTGCTTTTTCAACTCTTGAAGATGCTTGCCAGCAAAGGAGACGGGTTGAGCGCCGGGAAAGGAACGGTTGCTGCGACCGAGGAGGGCGGCGACTTCATTCTGAAAAGTGTGCTGAAGTTCTGCACCAGCCCAGATGCCTCCTACACGGGCGATGAGGGATTGAGGGTCATAGGCAGGCTCCCGATGATGATTCATTGCGCCAGCGCCATGCGAGATCAAACAATCGAGGGCATGAAGTGAAGTTCTGGATCAGTGAGGATTCGAGGTACGGCAGTCACCTACTACGTCTAAAAGCGATGAAGGAAATGCCTTTGACCGTGTTCAGTGTCAGTGGGTGAGTTTATCCATGAACTTGAGGCCGATCCATTGCCCCATGTATGCCAAGCTTTGACTTCCTGCTATGGCTTAGTCTGAGTTACCGAGTCAGGATGACACTTAGGTAAGTAATCCTTTGAGTAGGTAGTGAATTGGCTGGGGGGAAGTTGAATGGATTTACGACTACCAGACTCAAGCCAGAGAGGAGCATTTTCGAGGAAGCGACAATCACAGGACTCAGGCTACCTGATCATCGCCACGAGGTAAAGACACCGATTTGGGGACAGTCATGACGGACTGAACCTTCTGACACTTCATATTGCTGTGTTCGCCCAGGGTAACTTCTCAGCAAGGGCTTGCCCAGGTCAGCAATGGCAATGGAGATATTGCTGGAGAAACCTATTAATTGTGCTTATTGGACTTGCTGGGGATTGCATGACATGCTGTGTACAAAACTAGTTGTTCATGAATCCCTGATCATTAGGCGGTGATATTTATCCACAGCTGACGAATGTAATTTGACGACTACCATCATCGGTAAGATTCTGGCATGGCCAGTAACCGATCCAAGAGGAGATGGGCTTAGATCATGGTCGACGCCATGGTGCGTGACTTCGTCAACATTGACTACCAAGTGCTCAACCACTTCCTGCTTGTCCAGGATATCAAGTATCCCAAAACCCTATTGAGCGTGACACTTGCTGGTGTGCGGAAGCTGCTGTTGTTGTCAGCCCCTATCTGGTCAGTTATCCTGGGTACCCAGCATGTGCACCTACCTCTCAGCGAATGCTGATCACTGAAAGGGTGATGGAACCGCGGCGCTTTTACTGAAACTTTTATTGAAACATGTAGCAGGGTTGTACAACTTTTGGCGAGACAGTGTTGAGGATCGCGGTTCGTCCGGATTATCCAGCGATTAGAAACACTATATATCCAACCGACATTGAACATGTTTGCCTTGAAGGAAACAAGCATTCCGCTCTGTTGTTCAAGAATAGCTAGGATTAATCGAGATTCTCTCCGTCTACGAAATTGTGCCCAGGAAACCAAATCAGACAGAAACCGATTGCCACGTTCGCAAGACAACCAAAAAGTTGGCGTACTGAAATGGAACATAACATTCACAATGAGAGTACGTATAATCAACTTTACTAGCTAGAGGAATTCATGTGATCACAAATTGAGGAACCAGCCTTGTGTCTGAATGCATGTCTGACTTCATTTTTGTCCTTCCATGAGTCGCAAATGCCACCTATGAGGCTTTCGCCTCCAAGCAGCTTGGACGTGGCTCACTTACTCAAGAAAATGAACTTGGGTTCCTGGATGTTTATCGCTGTGCTTGGTCACTCGCAGACTGAGAAGGTCCGGTCTGGAATAATGGCCGACAGTATCCAAATTATGCTTGGCCAGGGCTCGGGTACTCAAGTCCACATCGGCATACAAGATACCCTCCTCGCCCGGGTCGAGAGGTTTGACCAACTCTTTACCATCCGGACCAAAGATCATACTGAAACCACCGCCAGGGGTACGAGCATATGGATAGTTCTCGACGAGACATCTCTTCCTATTCTTCTCGGTCAGAATCTGGGTGGCAGTCATAACGAAGCACTCGCCTTCCATGGCCATAACCTGCGAGAAACGATTGGACGCATCGGGCGTAATGTGCCACTGCCACGGACTGCCATCGGCGGGCTCGTCCCAAATAAGCGGCCAACTGGCCACGTGAATGTCTGTGTCTTGCCAGTAGGTGTAGTATCGGAGCAAGAGTTGGGAATGTTCCCAGCAGTTGAGGCCTGACACCTTGCCAAAGGGGGTCTCGACCGTTGTTTTCAGACTTTCGCTCTGTCCGTCACCATAATATGCGCGTTCAACGTGAGTTGGTTTGATTTTGCGGCGATGGTGTACAATGGTTCCAGTAGGGTCGATGAAGGACTAGTTGGTTTCAAGACGTGTGTGAGTGTCTATTCAAACAGAGCCAATTCATGTAAATGCTTGAGGGAAGACTACACGTACTTGGGCAATGTAGATACTGCCATTGTAGCGCTCGCTATAGCCGAGGACAACGGAGATGCCAGACTCACGCACGGCGTCCCGGATGCGGTCCATCTCAGGCGACTCCCTTACAAGAGAGTTGCGGAAATACTCATCCATAAAGGCGGCGCAATCGTTGACAGACTGCGACCAGATGGCCCTGCTAGATGTTTTAGTACATGTAGTCAAGTCACATTGCCTTGGGACGGCGTGGATGTTGTCTGGGCCCTGCACCCTACGTACCATGGGTAGCCTGGGATGAAAACTTCAGGAAAGCCGAGAACATTCGCACCATTGCTCCCAGCCTCCTTGATCAATGCGATGGCCTTGTTGACGCCGCCCTGAAGATCGTTCCAAGCAGGCTCGGCTTGAATAGTAGCGATCTTGACTGTTTGCTTGATTGAAGTCGGCATGCTTACTGCCGGACGATGATGTTCTGATGTTGTCGAAATTTCAGAAGCTGGTCTTGCTGGGAGAGAGATGACTGAGAGGTCTGAGGTCGAAGAACTAGACTCCTGATCTGTCATAATCGTGCGAGCTTGCTTCTCAACAGTGCTCATTGCTACAGAGGTTCCATCTTTCTTATAGAACACAACCTGTTCTCCTGATTGAACGATTCTGCCTGGATATCCGTTATCCGGGCATAGAAACGCGTGATTCGAGCAACAGGACCACAACCTGTTTCCCTAAATGAACGATTCTACCTGGATATCTGTTATCCGGTCATAGAGGCGCGTGATTCGAGCGACACGACCAGGGGCGCCCTGGATCGCAGGAGTGGGTCATAATCCGGATACCTGGCATCCAGGGCGGCGTTGAGCGGATTTTCGGCCCTTGCAGCAAGACCATGCAAACATCGCTGATTAAAGTATTTACTGAAGTGAGGACTATCCTGAAAGCGATCCAGGCTCTTGACGTGTTGGAAGTGTTTGAAGTGTTTGAAATGTTAGCATTAATGCTGATCCCTCAATATTTTGATCCGACTCGGATTGAGGATCCGATGCGAAGTAGTGTTGGCCAGGTTGATAGAAGCAGCTTAATTGTGCTCGTTGGTGGGGTATTGAGAGCGATTCTGCGACCCAAGACACCCACCACCAAAGCCGTGAGCGTACTCCGTAGCTGTCATTATCCTTATCGTGCCTGATCTCCAACGCAGGGACCAGTAGGTACCGAGTACCCCTCATAGATCGAGTGCTTCTTAGGCCGTCTCCATTGCAACTGACTCTGACCTCTAGCTATTCTGGAATATGCCTGGAGGAATTTCTCAACTCTCCAAGACTTCGATTTCAATAGAGATACCCTATCCCGGAGGCTAGTACCTGGACGGGTAAGTGTGACCCCCTGGGCGTTACCTAGCACGAGGAACCGGAAGCCGTGGAAAGCCCATGAGCGCTTCTGAATTGATCCAACACAACCCCAGACTTGATCAGGCCTCGCTCCACGTCTCTTCCCCGCAATTGTGGACGTATCGAACGACACAATCATTGAAGGTGCGTACACCCAAGTGTTCCCATCATTCGCCAGAGATCGAAGTTAGTTCAGTTTCTCATGGTTGAGCTGGCACAGATAAGACGACACCACCTCTTTCCATCCGGAACTGGATTGTGTTAAGCTACTCCAGTTTCAGCCATACAGTTTTCAATTGCGAAATGAACGGAATCAAAACTGACACTCCTGCACGCAAGAGGATATTACTGGCTTGCAACGGCTGTCGGACCAAACGGACAAAGGTAAGACTCTGCGAAGCTCGTGGTCCAGTTCTCGGGCCCGCCGATACTAACGCAAATGAATTCCTCAGTGCGATGGACAACAGCCCCAATGCGGTGCGTGCAAGTATCGTGGAGATATGTGCGAGTATAGTGTGGCTGAAAGCAGGCGGAAGTATACAAACCCAAGTATTGCAGCTGAAATACGATATTGATCACAGCTCAGACGCCCGAGTAATGCATATATAACTGGCCTTGAGGCACGAATTGCAAGCCTGGAGAAAATGCTCGCTCTTGCCACGAGCGGCTCCGACACCTCTGCACTTGACAAAAGAGGCAACCAAGAACGTAACTGGAGTGTCGTGGATTTTACAGATGTCGAACCATGCTCCCCTCTGAAGGAGACTAGATGTTTCGAAGCCCCAAGTGAAAAAACTGTCGACGAACTTGTTGACGCTCTCGGCTGTTTTACATTGGGAGATACTGGCGAGTTACGTTTCTTCGGAGCTTCCAGTAATTTCAGTATTATCCACAACCACCCTCTGAGAGTCGCATCTTCAGGCGATGCACGAAAACGCGGCATAGCTGCAGCACGCCAAATGCCAGGCTTTTTTGAACCATCTGATGAGCTTCGTGACCATCTTCTGGAGCTTTACTGGCAGTGGCAGAACTCCTGGCAGTATATTGTTGCTCGAGAGTCCTTCGTCCTGGACCTTTATGTCCACAAGACCGGCAGATTTTGCACTCCGCTGCTGCTTACGGCCATGCTTGCACTTGCTTCTCGATATTCTTCTAGACCAGAGGTCCGAACGAGCCCTGAAGATGCAAACACTGCTGGTGAAATGCTCACCGCTCAAGCACGAACAATGCTTCACCATGAATATGAAGCTCCAACAACATCAACTGTTCAAGCAGCAGGGCTGCTTGGCTTGTACTGGGCTGCGTTGGACAGAGAAGGCCTTGGATTCATGTATATCGGCATGGCTTCACGAATGGCGATGAATCTAGGGCTGCATTCGGACTGTTCCGCATATATTTCTCGTGGATTCATCACTGAGGAGGATGTTGAGGCACGCAACATCGCCTTCTGGGGTATTTATGTCCTGGACAAGTCTGTTCCACCCCTGTTCATATTATGGCACCGAGCTAACTGCAAATTTCAAGGCTGTACTGTGTCGGAATGGGAAGACCTGCTGGTATTCAGGAATTCAACATTACCACGGCCAAGCCTAAGGCCCAGGATCGTGTCCTTATCGGTTTGACCGAAGAGCAGCTTAAAATCTCCCAACCATGGGCGACGTCACATATCACCATAAACGCGATGCAGATGTGCGAGATATTCATCATAACGTCTGAGGTGGTCGACCAACTGTAAGTTGTCAAGAGACCCCTGCGTCTCTACGGTTCCCTCACGCGAATGCAGATACGCCCAAAAGCCAACGTGGGATGAGCGTGGAAAAGTCAACAGGATCACGGAAACGCACCTACGACTGGTGAAATGGTTCGATCGGCTGCCAAAGAGTCTCAAGATCTCAGAATCGAGCCTTCAACAGTCCCCACCATATGTTTACCAGCTTCAGTAAGTGGCCCAATGCCAAACTGTAGCAAAATCGTTCACGTGTCTGACCAATAAGCCTCCAATATCACACTTCCATCATCCTCTTGCATCGACCTTTCTTTGAGGTTTTGTACCGTGGCCCAAGCACTGGCGAGTATGACACAGAAGGCGGAGATATACACTCTAGATCTTGTCAAACCTCAGCGGCCAAGATCTCGAGCATCCTTCGTATCTACGAGGGAAATTTCACCAATGTGAGTTGCTCTACTGTTTCTTTCCTACCCACATGTGATACTCCCAGCTCACATCAGAAAATCCTAATGAATGAGCGTCGATATAGCGATGTATGCCGATATCAGCAGTCCACCCTGCCTTCACGGCCGCCATCATCCACCTCCTCGACCTCAAGACCCCAGATCCAGTCCGGCGGAGAAAAGCCATGCGACGGTTCGAGGTTTGCCTTCGATGCTTGTACGAAATGAACTCGAACTGGGAATGGGCCAATCGATCCATCCGAGCCATTCAGTCCCTGGCCACACAGTGGCAGATTGATATTTGGTCGCTGTCTCTCCGTTTACACGAGATCAGTCAAGAAAATCGAAGGCAATATCAGGTTTACGAGAACTCGTGCCAGCAAGAATCTCCAAAAGTGAATTCTGGCGATCTGAATTCTGCTATTATCGACCAATCGCGGCTTGCTGACCCGTTTGACGAGTTTTTTAATGCTTGGACTTATGATCAATCGTTCATGGATGGAACGTTCGACTTCTTCGACGACACCTGATTTCTCGCCGTGAGCTTTCCGTGAATGTCAGTCTCCTGACTGAAGACAACACTTCGATGTTGCCGCTGGTGCATCCCTTACAAACACCACACACAAACACATCAACTTTCCACCGACCAGTGCATGCGTTCGCGATGTCCAGATGACTTTGCTCATCTGAGAAGTTTCATACTGGTAGTAGTGTCATATAGGGATCGGACCCCTCCGTTTCAATTTAAAATCACGTACCAAAATGGTGAAAACCTAACAATGGGACCAACATGGTCTCTAGCACCAGTGAGGAGTCGGACAGGGACGGTATCGGTTCACTATTTCGAGTACTCGCGAGGTCATGCTTCCAAGTCTCATTCTCCTCCTGCACATCACAAGGGTATACATTCTCCAACCGATCCACCAGCAGATGGTTGTCACTATCAAATTTCTAAGTCCTTGATCAGTAAATTATCCACCACTCAGTACAACGCTTATAGGCTAGGCTTTGAAAGGTTTCTCGGACACGGAAGACTCCTCAGAAGCCGTCGGCAGAGCCTGGCCATTTGTAACACATACCTCCCCAAGTATACGAGCGTCGAGAACACGTTTCTCCTGCTCGCTGAGGTGGCTCAAGCGGCCAGCCACTTCATCGTCGAACAAAGTGTTGATTTCTTCCAGTGAGTGGCCTTTGGCCTAGCGACAAATGTATCATGTCAGTATAGGCGCACTCACATCGGACATGCTCACCCAAAGCATAGACGCGCTCATGGCTTGGAAGAATTTCACCTCGGGGCAGAACATCCACAAAAGAACCACGTTAATAGAGGGGAGAATGAGAAAGAAAAGGTAATATCTCCAGCCAATGGTGGCAAACCGGGTCGCAGAGGACTCGAGGAAGGGCAAGGCCGACAAGAAGAAGATTGAGATGCTCTCGCCCATTCCTTTTGCACGAATGTGGGTGGGGAATATCTCGGAGCAGTAGACGTAAAGCGTGGTATCGACAAAGCCAGCATGACTATGTGATAAGGGATTACATGTCAACATGATCTTGAACATTACGCGTAGGCCACTCGGAACTCACAAGCAGATGTAGATGAATAGCACAGCCATACTAGCCGCGGAGGCAGACTTGTTGTCAGATGCTCCGTAGTGAAGAACGAGAATCTGTGAGCATTTGAGATAAGTCTCTTTAGCAGCCGCAGCTTGGAGAAGTTATGTCAAGTCAGTCAATAGGGACAAATACAATAATTGCACCACATCGGGGGAGGGTTCCAATCCACGGAAAAGCACTCGCCGCTGTAGCTGTATGGTTCCAGCGCAGGGTCTTCGAGGGACGAAGTGTTCTGCTGGAGACTATTGGATTCGAACCGAACACCCTCAGCAGCATCATAATTCAAAAAACCAGGATTTTTCCGGCGATCGTAGCAGCATAGCTGTAAAGCGATTTCGGTCCTGCAACCACTCACCTTCGCGGCATCAATGTGTAAAATAAGCTGCATGCTCATACCCACTCTCCAAGCTGCGCAAGAGAAAAGTTTCAGGGCTTTGGCCAGGGTAGTCTTCGAGTTTGATCCGTAGAAGAAATGGATGGTATCTGGAACTGTCATAAGTGGGGTTTCGATAAAACCTGTGTGCAGAGCACCCCGAGACTAACGATATACAATAACAATGGTGGAACAGCGTTCGTGAGAATACAATTTCTGCCAAATCTGACTGGTCAATCCGTCCGTTGACTGCAAAATTCTGGAGGACTACCTGCTCGAGGGGGCTCTGTTGGGGAAGCGACGGTTCGAGGTATGTCAAATTTGACTGCATGGCGACCAGCTCCGACCTATGATCCCACTGGGATACACTGTCATTGTAGACTCCTCCTTGTACCATAAAAGGTGCAACTTTACCCAGCAGCTTTGCAAATAACAATATCGTGGTGAAATTCCTAGAAGGTGAAAAGGACTGCTGCCGTGACATCTGGGCCAGGGGCGCCGTGACACAAGGAGTTCCCTCTTTCCACGAAGCGTCGTCGCAGGGTAACTGCAGGTGGCAAGAGGACTCCAGGATACTGACCGGACGTCCACGACCACACGAAGCAAGCTGATCAAGGAGATAAAGCGACCAGAAGACTCGACGTCGCTCTTCCTGGACTTCGAATGCTAATTCGCTGGGAGGTTGAAGCATGAGCTTCATATCCTGAGCCAGCCGAGTAGTTGCACTGTACCTAGCCCAAGTTCCTTAAACCCGGGGCCGGATATTGGGTATCCTGATATCCGTAGAAGTACTATTCGCCATGGACGAACCACAACTTCTCCTTTATGTGCACGCTATCTCCCTCCCGAAGCTCAAGCTGATGATAATCCAGAGAATCGCCATGACCAGTAGTTAATGACAGAAGGATAGATAAATCTCACTAACATCTCTTCGTTCAAGGTGAGATGATCTCAAAGCCCCGGCGTAGCAGGATTGCCTTTCCTGACTAAGGTTTCGTTTAAGTAGGCCCAGTGATGACTCGGACAATGACAACGTTGCTACCTATGTATCAGTAGCAGGCGTGTAACGACAAGCAGTTTTGTCCCCTGGCTCCCTACGATGACCTGGATGCATCTGGAACGGAGGGATCATTTGCACCGATGTTTACGATGGAAACAAGCCGATATATGGTCGGCCACTGCAACAAGAAGTATTTGAGGATGACAATGAACATATCGCTTTGGGAACTCGGCAACCCTGCGACATCAACCTAGTCAACCACAAAGTTAGAATACTTATTCGCCATGTTGCTTCACAGTTCCGGTCCGGGCGCCGTCACCAATGCTCGACAGCCATTCAATCTGTCTGGTGAACAGTTCGATGAAAGAGCTCGTCATTGCAGCGCTGGTGGTGGTACGTGATGGCGTGCTTGAAGCATCGAATTGTGAAATATGCCCAAGTCGCATCAGCCTCGCCAAGCATCCAACCCCCGAGCACAAAAATGTGCAACCTACCAATAACATTCTCGAGATACGGTCGTTATCTACATCTTTCATCTCTTGATCATGATATCGTGTCATGCTCGGGGAAGAGAGTGCTTCTATCATCATCCGAGCAGTAGCCTCCTGCCTCGTTGGGCTAGGTTTGAGCCGATTTCGAATACGCGAATGGTGATTGACGAATTGATTGGAAGACTGCACGACCCAAGGACCTCCAGACCACTGCGAACACCATGACCGAAAGGAATGCAAAGACACGCCATTTTTCGTCAAGCAAATTTGGCTTTCCACAAGCAACGACTTAGGGTTCTAGACTTCAAGCAATCAAGCTCAAGTCTTGTCATTTGCTTCTGAAAGGCCAAGGAGGCTTGTCATTCTCACATGAGAGTACGCGAGAAACGCATAGTTGTGGCTTCGGCGTCAGCAGTAAGTTGCATCTAGATTTGTATTTCTCAGATGGTGTCATTGTAGGATGATGGCGATCGAAGCACCACCTGCAATCACGCAATCAATCAACAATTTTCGGTGCTGGTCTATTTCTTGAATCCTGATCTTACTGGTCAGTGTCCAGTCGTTTGGGGAGAACAAGCGAACACATCATTTCTTTTTTGGATGGCATGGATAGAAAACTCTTCTCCAATGCCGGTGGCCATACGCCTCGGTAGCTGCATAGCGGAAGAAAATACTACTTATATCTGAACAAGTCTGCCCCTTTCGTCTGCCCAACTTTTCCGATCTGACCATCGTCGCGTTGAAGTCTCGGTCTGAAGAGACCCACTGACCATGTCGAAATCAGCAGCTCTTGAAGCTTATCCCACTGAAGGCCTTTCTGAGCGCAAGGGAAGACAGCCTCAGAAGTGGTGGCGCCTGGGCGGGAAAGATGTCAGCCATGTCTCTGTGAATGACGGTTATATCGACTCGGATGCGTCCTCCTTTGACGAAGATGGCGAGGTCGTGAAGAACGTCAACAACGTCTTTGACGCACCTGAAGCTGCAGAGATCTATAAGCCAGTCGAAGGGTTTGAGGGCACTCATCGCTTTGATCCATCAGCGACTTGGACGCAAGAAGAGGAGAAGGCTCTGATCAGGAAGGTATGAACATGAGTTTCTCTACACAAAGCCATGGTCTGACAGGAATCCAGCTGGATTGGCGCATCGCCCTTCCCGCCTGTATCATGTTCTTCGCGCTCCAGTTGGATCGTGGCAACATTACTCAAGCGCTTTCAGACAACATGCTGAGTAAGTAACCAAGTCACCGCTGCCAGCGATATGATCATTCTAACGCAACTCACAGAGGACTTGGGATTGACCACCGACGACTACAATAACGGCCAGACTATCTTCTACTGCAGTTTCTTGTTCGCCGAGCTCCCCTCCCAACTCATCAGCAAGAAACTTGGCCCGGACACATGGATTCCCATCCAAATGGTATCATGGAGTATTGTTGCCGCATCGCAGGCCGCATTGTCCGGTAAAGCCAGCTTTTACATATGCCGTTCCTTGCTCGGCTTGATCGAAGGTGAGTTGTCCTCACTGTCACTGGATATCATTATCTTGGCGGGAGCGAGGCTGTGACGACAGGACCAGTGTGCTTGCGCGCCTCCGTCTCTTCACGCCCACCTTTCTATACAAGTCCTCAATGTCTATGCCTACTCTTATACATAATTATCCAACCATTATAGCCTACTGACTGCGTATACAGGAGGGTTCATACCTGACACTATTCTATACCTCTCCTATTTTTTCAAGAACTCAGAGTTACCCCGCCGCTTAAGTTGGTTCTGGACCTCTTATCAATCTACGCAAGTCGTGGGCGCTTTTCTAGCCTACGGTATTCTCCACTTGCGAGGGCACAGTGGTTTGAAGCAAGGATGGCGATATCTCTTCGCTATTGAAGGCTCCTTCACCGGCCTCATTGGTATTCTGACATGGCTATATCTACCCGCCTCACCAACCCAAACCGCACGACACGGAATCAAGGGTCTTCTCCGCCCAAAGAAAGGCTGGTTCAACGAGCGTGAGGAGACCATCATGGTGACACGAATCCTTCGGGATGATCCGGGCAAAGCGACCATGCACAACCGACAGGGTATCACTTGGTCACTGTTCAAGGATGCTCTCACAGACTACGATCTCTGGCCACTCTACCTAATCGGACTATCGTGGACCATCCCATCCACTCCTCCACAAGCATATATCACGCTCACCTGCAAGGCATTGGGCTTCGACACCTTCGAGACCAATCTACTCACGATCCCAGCATATGTGCTCTTCATCCTTCAACTCCTCTTCTGGACCTGGGTATCCGAGAAGATCAACCAGCGCGTGCTGCTAGGTGTCGTGAACCAGTTCTGGTGCCTCCCATTACTCATCGCCCTAGTGACCCTGCCACCGACGTTCCATAATTCCAACTGGTCGAAATGGGTTATATCGACCCTCCTTGTCGGATATCCCTACGTGCACGCCATCCTGGTGGCGCTGACATCTCGCAATTCTGGCACCGTGCGGACACGTACGGTCGGCTCGTCTCTGTACAACATGGCGGTCCAGACGTCGAACATCATCTCGTCGCAGATCTATCGCGCCGACGATAAGCCTTACTACTACCGCGGCAACAAGGTGTTGTTGGGGATTGTGGCATGGAATTTCGTGGTCTTCATCTTCGCCAAGGTCTACTATGTGCGTAAGAATAATCAGCGTGATCGGATCTGGGGTAGCATGTCTCGAGAGGAAAGGATTCATTACTTGGCCACTACCACCGACAAGGGTAACAAAAGGCTGGATTTCAGATTCGCGTCTTGAGAAGGCTCTGGTTCTCAGGAGATGGCAAGCCTTGGATTCGATCTCACATTGATTGAGCCAACAGACACTCGTAGCCAGAAGCTTGGTATTTGCAAAATTTCAATATACCGCAGATAGAGGATCGCGTAGAACACCACCTTTATGATACAATAGTAGCTGGAACATTGACATTTCCCTATTCCACCTTTTGATTTCGACGCTTGCGCGGTCGCTCTCATCAGACTGATCGCAATCGAATATCATGCGACTAGCCTGTTCGATATTGATCCAAGCAAATAGTGATAGTCAAGGTATTATCCCCGTCAAGAAAGGAGATACATCGGGTGGTAGCTCTAGGTGTTTTATCCGGTAAAGTTGATTACCGTCGTCGAGGTTGAGTGTTGTCCCTTGGGGCTCGTATGAGGTACTGTCGAGATCTTGCAAGAAGACTTGCGACTGCCGCCACAACATTAACTGTGTGCAATGCTGCAGCACCTGTCTTCTAGCTCGCATAAAGTCTTCTTGCTGTACGTCTCTAACGTGGTTGCCCATAGTATCCACCAGGACTCTGATATGCTCTTTGAGGATGTTCTCTTGTTCACCTTCGTGCACGGCCCAGGAGTAGACTCCTGTGACTGCGCCGGTGTACTGCAACAATGCCCAATGCATCGCACCAAGATTCATCACAGGGTGCTCAGCCGAGCTAGAAGTCATCATACGTTCGAGTTCGGTGGCCAGAGAAGGAGAGATTCCGCTAATTGAAACCTCGCTGCAGTCTCGAAGCGACAGAAACTGGCGGAAAAGAGCGTCTCTCAGCCGGGGATCTTCATATGGGGGACCTTCGTAGAGTTTAACAGGATCTATCTTGAGCTTAAGCGTTAAATGCTTCCAATTGCTTACGTGCAATACGTCGATAAATTCCTCGAGCACATCCTGGAAGTACGAATAGGTTTCTTCTCCACCCATCTCGCCAGAAAATGTCACAACCTCGATATACGCTCTCCGCATTTTCTTCAGCACTGACTCAGGGAGGTCCAATTCATATTCGGATGATGGACCGTACCGCTCTGCAAGATGATGCATGGTGATAAACGGGGACGAAAAGTCATCGGACTCGTTGCCAACCTCACACTTGACAGAATTATCATAGAGTATGGGGGAGCCTTCTTCGTAGAGCTGCTTGCAGACAGCCAAAACTTCGGGGTAGAACTTGCGGGCTCCTTCGCCTTTATTCTCTCTAATGTTTGTCCAATAATCTTCGTATCCTGGGTCGTCAACAGTTCGCATTGCAGCAGAACCCGTATATTGTGTTTCATCAGAATGAAAGTAAACAGGTTCCGGCAGCCAAAGGAGATCTCGGAGAATGATCTGACGAATCTCCCAAGGGAGCTCCAGCAGCTTGAAGCCTTGAGCGCCAGGGAACCTTCTGGACCGACGTACCCCTTTCCGTAGCCGGTATCGTGGAGGGTCGGGAGTTGGGGAAGCTTCACCTGAATCCCTTCTAAGCTGTAGTCGAGTAACAACCATAGTAGGGATTGAGAATTACTGATAGAGATCACAATAGAGGAGATAGAGGAGTCGTTGACCACTCTTGGCTGGCCGTGGTATGGAGCTTGAACCTATTGAACATGAGGCGAGCACCGAGCCAAAGTAAAGGATTCGTTTGCGGGGAGACGCGTCTGACACGCGTCGTACGGCAAGCAATGACGTCACCAGCTACCAGAGGTATCAACCGCCAGATTCATCTTAAAGTAGGCATCATTGTTAGACTACAGATGACACTCCTGAGAAGGCTACTTAATCAATTCGATCACGTTGATATTGTGAACTTTGTGAGGACTAACCTGGAACTCTCAGGGATCATCCGTCCGACATAATCATTATCAAAGCTGTTGTTGTTGGGTCCGTGCAGCGCACAAGATACACCTTTTACTTGGAATCTTGAGCTTCAACCCAGCCCATGAGTTCACGCCTATCGTCACTCACTCTGGCATATTCAAGAATCAGGCGGTAAACATAGGCAAGCATATCCTCCTTACGCAAGAGTGTCTCAGCGGCCTCTCGGCCCATGGATCCGATCCAACTGGCTAGCTCATCATGACTGAACAGATACTCAAGAATGGCCCACAAATCGACGAATGTGTTGTCCATAGGTAGAAAATGCATCCATGGCATTAACCTATCATCATGCCACTCACTGTAAATCGTAGCCTTGATTGGGACACTATTACTCTGGAGGAAAGCCCTAAATCTTCCTGAGAAGGAGTTTCCATCCACGTCCGGAAGATATTTGGCGTAGAACATGCGGTCAAAGGGCATCTTAAACCCCTTGCGATAGTATTGGCCTGTGTAGGAACACCCAAAGCTTTTGGTCCCTGGAAAGCAGGCAAGCCATGTGAAAGCAACATTTGACACGACCTGAATCCATTCTGGTAGTAGGCCGAGTGCGCTCGATTGCAGTGGATAAAGATCTTGATCTGGGAGTGGAAATATGACAGGTAATTTCTCAGTGCCGTTCAAGAGGCCTGTGTCTAGCTCGTCCTGCTGTCTGAGAGCCATTCGGATCTGGGTACCATTCAAAATGGAGACCAGTCGATGCCGCTGAAACCGAGTCCAGTTCTCTGCTCTATTGCGGCCCCCAGATGCTGTGCCTCTCCAAAGAACCTCATTGCGCTTCGAGTTCCATGAGATTCGGCGACTCTGGAGTGCGAATCGCTCCTCGTCATGCCAATATAAAGCAGCGGGGAGGAGAATGTCGTTACTCATGGGTAGCTTCGAGCCTCCAAACATAGGCAGCATCTTGGTAGTGGTCGAGATAGATATTGGCTCCACGAAACTTCCGTGTAGGTATCGAAGATGTGCATGTATACATGGGTCTCTGGCAGAAGTCCAGTTGCTAACGTAGCCTAGATGTGATCCTTCAGGCCAAGTGCTCGAAAACTCGGGCGGGCTGGAGAAATTGGTGTCGCTCAGTGCTTGTCTTCCAGGGGAATTCGGTGGGCACCCGACTCTGACAGCATCCCAATATGGCACGAGTGCTGACCAGGCAGTTTCGTCATCGGGGGTTTGTGGGTCGCCTTCAATGGTAGAGTACTGGTGAACAAGAGGTGTTATGAACATATCTTGGGTTGTGTGACTCGAACCAAGAAGCTTGCCCACCTCCTCCCATGGGACTATAATACGAGATTCGTCCATGACATTGATCGGTATGTCGACATCTGGTAGATATTTTTCAATGGTCTTGAACATGTCGAAGTAGTGTCTGATAAAATGCCATTCATCTGTACTCTGAGAAGCAGTTCCATTGCGAATGCTGATCTTCTTTGATGACGAAGAAGCAGACCGTCGTATGTCCTCCGCCGGCACACCCCAGAATGGCTCGATATCTCGATATATCTGGTCAAAGAAATCCTCAACAATAACGCAGCCATGTGCTTGTGCATATTGCACCCATTTATCAAAATGTGGCGGCGGATGTCTACCTCTTCTGGCCCGGTAGGCTGAAGCTGCTTGTGTTTGGGTGTAAGAGCGCTTGGCGAGTAACGATTGCCATGATCCAATCGAGCGATTGAGCAAGGTATCGATGGGATGGGGATGTATGGAGGAGCCGTTGGACTGGAATATGTCGAAAGGCGAGCGCAGTTGAGAAGTAGATTGGGGATCAGACCAGGAGTTGTGCCAGCGATCGACAGATTCTCTGAGGTCTTCCTTGTAGGTCGAGGTAAGGAGGAAGACTGAGAACAACAATGTAACGAAGAGGGCACAGATAACCCGACGACCTCTGAAGTGTGCTAACATCGTGAATTACACACGAAAGAAACAGGCCTCATCCGATGATTTGTGGTCCACGGTTTTCTCTAGCGAGTACATGACACTGCAGCAGCTGAAAGATGGAAGCAAAATGGTGGAGGGTGGAGGGCGGAGGGCGGAGAGTGGGAAGAACCCTGCAGTTTTGGACTGAGGCAGCGTGAGTAGCGTGACAACGGCAATGGCAGTGATACATACCCTTCACGCGTTGCACCATGAAGAAGAGGGATTGACAAATTCACCACCTACCTGTGGTCTACCGAAGCAGATTAAGCGGGAGGAGGACCTCATGTCCATTGTGGTGTCGATTCCAAGTTACACCTCAGTCGAGCACTGTGTTCCCTTGATATGTTTCTCTAGAAACCATGGCAAAGATCATTAGTCATGCCAATACTCAACCTCGTATGTCCATGAGACTCATTCATCCAAAGTGTTTGGGTCCAGTCCTAATAGGAGTTCACTATGACACGCCTTATACCCGGATTTGGCCATGCTAGGGAACACGCCGATTTCCTTTAGTCTAGTCCAGACCCGTATTCGACGTATCGGACATTTGTCTATACTTAGTACGCGCTTCCTGAATCAGGAGTACCCCTATCGATACAGGACCTCATGAAAAAACACGATCAACCTGAACATTCTGGTGGAAGGTGAAAAGTGTCTTTCGTGTTTTTCAAGAGCGCCATATCTGGATCTGTCCAGTCTGGTACTAGATGCCTTGATATATACTTTCATGATTTCCGTCCTCTCTCTACAATCTTCCGAGGGAGTCCAGGAACCAGGGTAGTTGTTATTTTCGTCAGCTTATGCTCTGAAGCTTCATAATAATGGAGACCTCAGGAAATTTAAAGATTTACCTAGGTCTCTAGTTACGTATGTACGAACATTCCAGGCCTTTGCTTGAATGCCAAGAACATTGATACACGTGATGTACCTCCGATACACGTGACTGTGGTCGGATGACATAAGCCGATCTTGGCATACTTGGCCGCATCTGATTGCGGGTGAGGCTTCGAGATCGAGGGTGATAGCGATCAGGCGCAACGTACGGACTTTTGTATCTCGCCAACGGAGATATCGCGATGGGCGGTATGAGTCCATCCTGGCACAGTTATAGACTTGACGACGCTTGAGACCCGAGTTCTTCAAATCCATCGCATCTCCATTTGCCCAATTCCTCGTAACCAGTCATGGCTTCCAACGGGTCAAAATGTATGCGCCATCTCTCTATTCGAGACAGGAATGGAACTAATCAAGAGCATGACAGCCTCACACGAACTCAGCCTGTTGGCCGCGTCTGGGTTCAAGTTCAGCAAGGAAGATAGGAAGGCGGGCAAAGTCAAACTCAAGAGACTCCCCTTCCAAGTCAAGAAGAATGGTACACACTCGTCACCTACTTGGGAATGCAATCAGTAACATCATTTATAGGAGCCAAAAATGGCGCCGCTTCTACTGTCCTGTCCCCAGTCACACCGCTCTTCGATAAAGATACTATGGAGAACTTTCCCGAAGGAAAGCAAGAACCCCTCGAGACTCTCATCTGCAAGCATTGCAAGAAGGTGGTCCTGAAACGAACGGCGAAGGAGCACGTCGCCCTCTGTCTCAAGTCGAAGCAAGAGAAGGCGCGCAAGAAGAAAGAGGCTCGTGAAGCAGCACAACGGGCTAAGGAACGTGCAGAAAGGGCCGACGATGATGACGACGACGATGATGATCCGAAAGACGGTAAGGCCAGAAAGGGCGCAGCCAACGGTGAAGGCGACGATTACACCAAGAAGGGCAAGAAGCGCAAGGCTGATGCTGAAGATGACAAAGAGCCCAAGAAGAAAAAGAACAAGAAGGAAGAGCAGAAGCCCAAGGCCCCGAAACCAAAAGGACCTGTTGACGTTGAGAAGCAGTGCGGAGTCACGCTCCCCAATGGTGCTCAGTGTGCCAGGAGCTTGACGTGCAAGAGTCATTCAATGGGAGCCAAGCGTGCGGTTCCTGGTAGAAGTCTACCATACGATATGTTGTTGGCCGCATACCAGAAGAAGAACCAGGCAAGGCAGCAAAGTAGGTCGAACCCCGTTGTATATATTGTGAATCGTGTGCTCATGTTATTTTCCTAACAGAAGCTGCAATCGACGCCAATGCCCCGGCTCTTCTTGACGACGATCTCGACGGCGCTCTGTCTGGACCGGTCGACTCGGATGAAGAAAAAGATTCGATCATGACTGCGATTTCTCGAAGTCTGTCTCGGCCCCAACCACTGATCACACGTACACTATTTCCTACGAGACGGAAATATCAGCTCGTCCGGCTGAAAGAATCGCTCTCCAATGCCTTGAGCGGTAACAGGAGCGGGGGACTATTCAGTGTCCCGCCAGATAGCGCCAAAATGGCAGTCCCTCCCTCTGCGACAAACGAGACCTTCTCACTACTCTCCGCAACTTCCGCGCCGACCGGTGTTGGCATGGCCCAGCCAGGACTGAAGGTCCCTATGCGAAAGACATCGATCGACGCAACTTGAAAAAGGCAACCTGTTGCCAAATCTATGATCAAGCCTCCTCACCCCAGGCACCAGGGCAGGTTTCGCACATGTGTTTTCAGCCCTCACCCAACCGAAGACTCATCGAGACCATTCGCCACCACTTCAGAAATTAAGACCTTGTCCACAAGGCCATGCAGTTTAAGATTCCCCTGCAGTAGCGAACCTGTCACCAAATGGGAATATAGCCATTGATTCATAATTTATATGATTATGAACAGGACCTATGAAGCACAGGCCTCATCCTGATAAACACCGAGACGCAATGGATCTGGTGTATTTCTTGACAACATCTCAATCGGTGCCTCGCACAGTTGCTTTGGATTGTGCGTGGGGCTACTTCGAACGCGGTATGGGCATGTCGTTCCACATCACGCTTTACCATCTCTGGTAAATAACACGCAGAGCCAGACCACCAGCTCCCGGACCCTTTACGGCCAGCGAGTCGGCTCACATGGAGGCTCACTCGAGCTTGGTGAAGCATAGACTCGCATTTGTGCCACCAAAGCCGAAACTATTGCTAAGGACCACTCTGGATTTCCGCTGTTGCGCAGTGTTTGCAACATAATTGCAATCGAACTCAGAGTCCATGGACCCGAGATTGATGGTTGGAGGCAGAACATTCTGTAAATGATGATTAGTCTTAAAATGACCCACGAATCACATAGGTTTTCTTCGATGCAGATACACACCTCGTGGATAGCCAAAATACCAATCACGGCCTCTATCGCGCCTGCAGCGCCCAAGAGATGCCCGATTGCACCTTTGGTGCTACTGACGTTGATTTCGCTCGCTTTCGCTTTTCCGTGCTCACCTAGTAGCAGCGATTTGATGGCTTGATTCTCCGCTGCGTCCCCGAGGGGAGTAGATGTAGCGTGTGCGTTGATGTAATCGACTTCGGAAGGCGAGACCTTCGCCTCTCGCAGAGCTTTCTTCATAGCTTGATATGCACCACTTCCATCCTCCCGCGGCGCAGTCAGATGGAAAGCGTCAGCCGAGTTCCCATAGCCAGCTAGCTCTGCGTAGATGGTGGCGCCTCGGGCTTTGGCATGTTCGAGTTCCTGGTCGAGCGGTTCAGTGCATGGTACGCGGCCTATCAAAACAAGCTGCTCACCTCCAGCACAACACACGCGGCGCCTTCTCCAATGACAAACCCAGCTCGATCCTTGTCGAACGGTCTAGATGCCATAGAAGGATTGTCGTTCCACTTCGTCGCCAGGCTTCGCGATCTCGCAAACCCACCGATCGCGAGTGGGTGGATGCAGGATTCGGCTCCACCGGCGATCATGATGTCTGCTTCGCCGGCTTTGATGAATCGAGCTGCGTCGCCCAGCGAGTGAGCGCCTGTTGTGCATGCAGTTGTGACTGCATGATTTGGACCCTAGACATGGTTAGAAGCCACACGATAAGGTCCTTGTAGAATGGTGTTCACCCGCAAACCATATCTCATGGATATGTGGCCGGCACCGAGGTTGATGAGAAGCCGTGGGACGAATAATGGATGGATTTTACGATAGTTATTGCCCTGGCAGTGGTATGTTCGTTAACCTCTGATTTCACTGGGACCGGTCGTTGTCAAAGGAATCTTACAGATTGATGGTAGGCAATAGAGGTGTCGTAGAGTTCCTCGAGGTTTCCAATGCCTGATCCAAGACATACTCCCTTCGGTGAGATGTCAGTCTATGATGAACAAGGTCACCTGGTACACCTGCTCGTACCGTCATTTCAGGATCGAGGCCCTTCCCACCCTCGAAGCCGGCATCTTTCAATGCCTCTTCCGAAGCTGCAAGAGCGTACTGGGCAAATCTAGCGGTCTGCCGGAGTTCCTGAACATCCGATATCCAAGTCAGCTGGGCATGTCTTTAGACGTCAGAAGATTAAAATTCGACTCATACTCCAGGAGAGACATGATCTTTGGCGACCCATGCGCCAGCATCTTCACCGGAACTCACAGGCACAATGCCCGCGACCTGACTAGGGAGGGCCGCGAATTCAGGGCCGAGATGTTTAGTAGAGACGATGCCACATTTGCCTTTGAGGACACGGGTCCATGTTGTTCGAATTCCTGGTTATTATTTGATTTAGTGGCTGAAAACATCACGTTAGAGATCATATCTTCAACTTACCCACTCCCAAAGGCGTCACAGCCCCTAAACCAGTCACCACGACTCTCCGCATATCATATCATTTCATTCTTCTGAGTTCATGTGCAGTGTTTGGTGATCTTCCCGGAAGAACGTTACTGGTTGGCCCCGGGTCCAAGCTAAGCTCCAAACCGGCATGAGCAGGCGATTGAATTCTTTATCGCTTATCGCCGCTCGGCTGTTTGAAAAGAGAATCAGGATGGAGTTGTCCGACCACAAGACTGTCTCGCTGACGCTTTCCATTCCATCATCCGCTGGCCGTCGAGAGCCTCCACGCCCTGTGCTTCAATTACTCAATCGATATCCGCATTCTATTTCCTCCCAGTGTCTGTTTCTCTCGGTAAATACTCTGCTTCGAAAGTGGATTATGAGTTCTGTGTAAGTTCTGATTTCTTTTCAAAGTCTTCACTCTGCTGCTAGTAGGCAGAAATATATTCTGTCCGTTCTACTGTCTATTTCCCATATATTCGAGGATCGACTTGAATATGTGGTGCCCTCATCTCTCAGTGATTGCGTCGACGCTCTTCGTGCCTTTGGCACTCTGCAATTTTTATGATAATCCAGAGTTTGATCTTCCGCCACCGACTGGCACGCCGTTGGAGGAACTGCAAGCAAAATGGGATTTCGATGTGAGTAGCTCGCCATCAAACCTCTGGTTTGCTTCGCGGTACTGGCACCTCAAGTGTTGACTATGAACGAACAAACAGTGGGGATTCAGTGGCATATCAACATTCGCACATCTCAAGCATGTCAAATGTCTCACTACACCATATGAACCATTTGATATTGGCATTCTCGGGGCGCCGTTTGATACGGCTGTCAGCTATCGGCCTGGTAAGTGAATATGCTCCATGGCAATGATCGGGAATCCCTCTCCGAGAATTTGAGATCCAGAGAACAAAACGCTTCCATCTGGTATCGAAGCAAAGCATGGTCTCAACCAGGCACCCCATCCCATCCACAACGACATCAATAACTCCATTCAAACCACACACTGACTCCCTGCAAGGCGCCCGCTTCGGACCACGCGCCATCCGGGCCGCAAGCTCACGCCAGACCACCTTCCGAGGCTTCAACCACCGAGCAGGACTAAACCCCTACCGCTCATGGCCCTCGGTGCTCGACTGTGGCGACATCCCCGTAACACCATTTGACAACGCACTCGCCCTGCACCAAATGACCTCCGCATACCTGGAACTCGTGTCGCGCCGGCCCTTATCCCACGGCAACCCACCGTCGCACACCCACCCCAAGATCATCTCTCTCGGCGGCGACCACAGCATCGCGCTACCGGCCCTGCGCGCTCTCCAGAAGATCCACGACCGACCCATCGCCCTGCTCCACTTCGATGCGCATCTCGACACATGGCACCCGGGCGCCTACCCGTCAGCGTGGGCGTCGCACCCGACACAGGCGGACTTCACGCACGGGACCATGTTCTGGATTGCGAGCGAGGAGGGCCTGATCGCCAACGGCTCCTCGGTGCACGCCGGGCTGCGCACGCGGCTCGGCGGGCTCGACTACGCCGACTACGACAACGACGACCGGCAAGGATTTCTGCGCATCGAGGCCGACGACATCGACGCGTTCGGCGTCTCCGGCATCATCGACCTCATCATGCAGCAGATGGGCACCGAGACCCCCGTCTACCTGTCCGTCGACATCGACGTGCTCGACCCGGGCATTGCGCCAGGCACGGGCACGCCCGAGCCCGGCGGCTGGACCACGCGCGAGCTGATCCAGATTCTCAGGGGCATTGAGGATTTGAACCTCGTGGGCGCCGATGTTGTCGAGGTCAGCCCCGCGTATGACGGGAACGATGAAGGCACTGCGCTTGCGGGCGCGCAGGTCGTCTATGAGCTCATCACTAGTATGGTGGTGAGGGGCCTCAAGGACCGTGGCGAGTATGTTGCCCGCAAGAAGCCTGGGGTCGAGAAATTGAAATTGAAGCCCAAGGCTCCGACGAAACAGAAAATTCCCGTTGAGGGTCTTGTGGTTGAAGAGCCGCTTAGGGATGAGTTGTGATCTGTGAGTTGTTGAACCCAAGTCATGGCAATGGCGTTCAAGTAAATCCGCTGGAGCAGAGAGATGGAAAATGGAAGCAGTTTGATGTCTCTCGAAATCGTCGGAGGGCAACACACAAGCACGTGTCATTGTGTTGTAGTCTGTGAAGCCACAGATAACTATGATTACTTTGATGCAGCAATAGTTCTGTGTGCTGCGTGTATGACCTGCTAGCTATGCGATCCCACTCATTCCCAGTTGTAAACCTTCCCCAAACCGACATAATGCTCAGCAGAGTGCCCTTATCATCATAATACACCTGCTGGATATACTCCATCATCTTCATGCGCCTTCGAGAATCATCCCATGATTGTGGTTGAGCAAGAAGCTTCTGATACCGAAAGAGCTATGACTTCCGCAAGGCCAGAGAACAGTGACCAACCCTCCATCACATAGCAGTCAAACACCAGCGTAAAAATGACCATCTCTCCCTCCATAATTCATGCACGATGGTCTCGACTCCTTGCGCCTTGCTTTGCCGTACCTATACTCAATCCTCTATGACTTTTCGGGGGCATGAATTCGTTGTTGACTTTTATCGCAAAATTGTACATGTTGCATCTCAAATTTCAGAACAATGATCAATCAACCTAAAATGCATACCGTGTCCCCTGTCTTGTGACTGGTTTTCCCTGCCGATTCAGGACAGACCCGGTTCCATTTCGTGTCGATGTGGTTTCGTCGTTGGTCACGTTCTTCTTCCCTCGTGCTCGGGGCTTTGGTGGTGGGTCGATATGGCGGTGTCCCAGCTCTCCCAATGCCGTCGTATTTTGCCACTGAAGACATCGAAGAGACTTGTCGCTTGCATATGTCTTTGTCCTTGTCGACATCCTCGTCGGGGGCTCTTCCTCTTCCTCCTTCTCCCGAGGCAAGAGATACGCTGCTCGCTTTTCCATATGCTTGATGATAATATCTCGATGAAGATTGAGCTCCTTTTTAAGCTTCAGTTCCCGATTGCCACGAGAGTCAAGCCAGCCGATCAGCATGTCGAGTTCCTCGGCTGTTTCGAAGAAAGCCCACTCTTGTGCATTCCGCAAGCTTGTTGAGCCCTCCTCCATTTTCTTGCGCTCGGCTGGGCTCATTTGAAATCTTCGATAATAAGCAGACTTTTCGTCAGCATTGACATCAATGAATCCTTTGTACTCCATATCGTCAGGTCCTTGAACCCAGATTCGGCCATTAGCGTAGCCCGCATCAGCAGTCGAGCTGTCCGGCAGGCCTCCATATGGCATAGCATTTCTTTCAAACCACCAATAGCGATTGCAGAATCGGTCCTTTCCCAGCGAACGGGTTCTGGGGCAGTCTGCTTCACGCAGGTCTCCATCAACAACCAAAATCTGGTCCTCATGTTCTGCAATGATTTCTCGCTGCTTTTCGATCTGCTTCAGAACTTTCTGATACTCTTTGCTTCCTTTGTTCTGCTTTGCTTCGGCCGCCTTTTCTTTGCGTTCCTGTTCTTCTTCACGCTTCCTCTTACGCTCCGCTGCTCGATCGTTGCCACGACGTAAGGATCTCGTGGTCATGGGTGGCTCATCTTCAGAATCAGGAATTGAGACGTCACCATCTTCGGGCTCTGTCTTTTCGGCCTCAATTGCCGACTCCAGTTCTGGGATTGGAGACGGGGATTTTTCCGGTTCTGGTGCTAGCAATCTTCGTTCGACTTGTAGTTCTTTCAGTCTCGATAATGCTTCTTTACGTGCACGCTGGTGCTCAATTTTGAGCTTGCGATAATTGGTCATTGTGTTACTCATCTCCTCTAGGAAATTCTTGACTGTCTTAGTCTCCAAGAAGAGCTGGCAGATCACTTCAAGAGCTTGAGTCCGCAAATTGATATCCATTGTTGAGTACTGTATTCGAGCAGTCTCAATGTTGGCATCCGCATCGAGTGGGGCCAGATGTGTAAGAATCTCGTTGCAGACATTGGTGAGTCGGGGTCGTCCAGCGACTTGATGAAGTAAGCCAACCATGATCAGCTCCCAGCCTCCATTTTTAAAGTCTCGCTTTTGCAATCGTTCGATCCAACCATATTCGTCAAACATCTCAGCTGCTCGGTGAGTAACTGCATCTTCGTCTTCCTCCTCCTCTGGTGGTGGAGGTGGCTCGGCAAATTGCACCTTGTTGAGGCTGCTTCGAGTTCTCTTCGCAGGATATTCTGGCTCCGGAGTTGGTGTCGGCGGCTTGCTTTCTTCTTCTTCAGATTCCTCGTCTTCGTCGTCCGAATCTGGAAGGTCAGGTAAAGATATCTGGACAGCGCCTTCATCATCATTTGTTGCATTGACCAGTTGTTTGAGGATAGCACAGTGACTTTCGACGAAGAGCTCACAGTCACCGTCAACAGATGAGAATTGCATTGCCTCAACAAAGTCGTCAAAGGTGAATGAATCGAGTTTGATGACTTGACAGTAGACATTCAAAGTATTCCATGTTTCAAGAAGAAGACCAACTGTCTGCTCCTTCAAACCTGGTACCACATAAGCGGCAGAGGTGTCTCCCTTGCACTGGTTCTTGCTGATGAACTTCAAATTAGGTCGGTGCGTTCCATCACGTACAGGTTCAACATCCATATCATCAATGGGGTATTTAATTGGTGGGGGCGGTGGAGGAGGCTGCGGAATATACTTCTGAGGAATATGTTGCGGTGGAGGGGGATGAGGAGGATAATAATGGCCATTCGGTGGTGGCATTGCTTGAGGTAGGAAGCCATAGTATGGATCGTAATGAGGTGGCGGAGGTCGTTGTGGTGGTGGATGCATATGACCCCACGGTTGAGGATGGTATGCGTGGTCTGCCTGGACTGCTCCGTGGTATTGATCATAGTAGCCTTTGTGTTGTTGAACGGCAAGGTGTTGGGATGCGTGGGATTGGCCCTTTTTCCCTTTGGGCGCAGGCTGAAGTTCCGGGAGTCTATGAGAATGCCAGGTGCCGAACATACCATCCTGCTCTGGTTCTTCATTGCTTGCTTGATTTTTCTTGTCTGCCTTCTTCGCAGCAGTCTTACGGCTGTGTAATAGGTGTGGTGGGACCGTAGTGTCAATTCTGAAGCGCTCTGCGATCTCAGGTTTGACAATCCAAGGTGCGCCGTTCCAACCCTCACGAGATACGGTATTTTTGATGAAGGAGCGGAGCATTTGCTTGGTGAAGACTTTACGATCTCTGTAGATGTGGTTGTCGTCTACCAATGCTTCTTCGCGGTTACGATCAACCAGTCTGACAAAATATCTGGAGAAAGCATCTCTGACCATGGTTCCACCAGGACTTCTGATCTCTGCGAAGCGTGCCTTGTCTCTGACTCGGCCATTGAATTTGGTACCATCCTCTAGAAATATGGTAACCAGCTCTCCAGGGTAGAAGTCGCTTTTGAATTCATTGTAGACCTCTTCCACCAGGTTGTCGATGCGGGAGGTGGTGGAGAACTGGACTCGGCGCAAGACAGGTTCTCGTAAAGCCTGGGGAAAGGCTTCGTCAATCTCTCTCGATCCAGCCTGTTCACTTCTGAGCGCATCGAAAAAACTCAGACCGGAACGACCAGAGACTTCGCATGTAAATCTTTTGGACTTGAAGAAGTCCATACGTTCCAGATATGCATCGTAGGACGTGAAGATCTCGTTGGACTCGGATATGACCCAGACATCACACTCTTGGTCCCTGATCTGAGGATGCGCCAGGAAGCGGATGGGTTTTCTCTTGAACAGAACCATGCCTGCGAATTTGGAGAAGGGCCGTGAGATGTTTTGTGAGCGATGCGGCAACCGGCGAGAGGTGGCAGTCGAATCTAAGAGTAGGCCGACCTGGTTTGAGAAGAAATGTTAGCCGTGACCAGGGGGACGCGGCGCACCCTGGTGTTTGCGACGGAGGTGTATGCGGCGGAGGGAGCAGAATGTCAAGGTAGACTTACATTTGCAGGAGGGGACGCGTCGGAGGGGGGAAATCGGGGAGAGTGAATGAAAGTGAAGGGAGTTGGGATGAAATGGCGCGGTGGTGGTAGAAAATGAGTCGTGAAAACAAAGAATCAAACATGGTGAGGAGGAAACGGGGAGGGAGGAACAGTAGTAGTGGCCCTCCAGTGGTTAGTACGAGAGAAGATGATCCGGAGCGGTCATGATACATGGGACTGGCTGAGGATCAGAGTGCCCAGGAAGGCTATCCACATCCACGCTTGCATATCCACACGACCACACGAGAGGACAGGACGAGGCGACGGTGGACGAAGTTGCATTGATTGTGTGACTATAAATTGATGGGCGTGATGATAGCATGCATATGTGCCTTCCTTCTCAATTGCAATCATCCTAACACAATAACCAGCTGTTCCTTCCTCTTTCCCGGCTGGCCGTCAAATGGAAAGAGCGATGCTGGAAATGCGTTCATACTTCAAATCGTTCTTACCCGCTTTGCTTTCCGCCACTCGTGTCTTCTGGCGGCGCGATCCGCTTGCACTAATCTGGTTAGAGCGTACCGCCAACTCGCCACACTTTCCATTCCTGAATTAATTGTCTCCCTCAAATGATCCAATTACATCCGACTTGCTACCCTTAGGTGACCAGACATTTGCCATTTCCACCCCAGAATGCTGTTGGCATCAATAATTGGACTCGTTCGAGTCGTAACGATGTGCTGGATACAAAGGAATGGATATCTCGGGTATATAACCTGATTTAGGAGAATTGTCGCCCACTATCAAGTATTTTCCTCCCTAGACCCCAGGCTGAGCACCCCATCAGCAAGCTGTAGACCCGCCTGGGCTGCCCGAACACAAGTGACCAGGTACTGGAATACTTACCAGTTATCTACCATGATTCCACAAAATTGATTTGAAGGAAGTGGGAAGTGTTATCGAAATCTGTGACTACCAATTGATGGAAGCTACCATCATATTTGGCATTTTGAGTGACTATCATGTACCGGTTTTGCCTACGAGCACCGGGCATATATCATGTTCCCTCCAGAACCACCAGCTGAGTTCTCAAAGACCAAAGTAACAAACCATGAATCCCAACCATGACCCAAGAACTCCAACCGCAGAGTAAGTGCTGATGAACATCAGGGGTAAGAATTCATACTGTTCACCAAAAACAATACCATGAACCACTGAGCAGTAGATCATCAACGGCACCGATATCGCAATGTAGAGTAAAGCAAATCGATCCAACAAGAACACTCTGCGTCTTGCTGGCGCGGGCGCCAGTTGGTCAAAGGTATACAAAAAGATGATCAACCACGAGATGGTATAAGCCACCTTGATGGGGAACTCGGCCAGGGTAAACAGCAGCGGAAACAGCGATACATGTCCCGCCACAGCTAAAGGTCGGAAGCTGGCCAAGAATGATCGATCCTTGATGGCCAACAAGCTGAACGGAATCATGACCAGTAGAATAGCTTTTTCATGTACATGCCAACCAAATAGGAAAGAGGCATAGCCACAAAATGTGACTGCTCCCACAAAGCTATCCCAGCTCGGTTTCAGCCATAGCTTGGTCAGTCCAATGATCTGGAATGCCAATGTCAGACCAAAGCAATGCTGAGCTGTGATCGTCGGCAATACTGCGAACGAGGTGTCGCCAACCAATCCTCTAGTGACGCTGTTGACGGCCGCGGAGTCAATCTTCAACCCTATATATGGAGCCGCGACGATCGACACTCTGTCCAAGAAGGAGTAAACAGCCCAGAAATTGGGTGCCCAATAAGCATGACATAGCCCTCTGGAGAACGGGAACAGTCGGGCCTTGATCTGCTCCAACTGACCCCATGCGACAAATGGTCCGAAAGTGGCGCCAAAAATTCCGACCATACAAATCCCAAGCTTGAGAACGTTGGCGAATTGAGGTCGAAACACATTCTTTGGATGCAGGCAATATACCCTTAAAAGGTAGACAAAGTAGGCCGGCGCCAAATAGAGATAGATATGCTTCAAGCACAGGAGGACTGCAAAGAGGATCCCACTGAGTAACATGGTTGAATCCTTCCTCGCGAACACCATTGAGAGAATGAGTACGCCATAAAGAAATCCGTTGTATTGGAAATGGATGTGGTCAATAATCAACAAGCCGGGCGATAGGAGGATTGATAACGCCACCGCATGGCTTTGTTTGCGTGTCGATGAAGGTGATGTTGTCGTGTACCTAAGAAATCAGCAACTGTGGCATCTCAAGCCATCGCAATGGTTGACTTACTTGTGCAGAGCATAGACCAGCAAAAGTTCGGTAATGATCACAGTGCTTCTCTGGAAGCAGATGGTTGCCCATGAATCATACCTCAGATTTTTGATCTGAAGCATGGCTGGGTCGATGAGACTTGCGGGTTGAGAAAGAAACCATTCAAAGGCCGCAAACGCCGGAGGGTAGTCCAACGTCCATTCTGAGGTAGCCTAAGGCGGGATCAGCATCATGTACATTCGGGTGAGCATCAAACTGTGGTGACTGACCTCATAATACCACTTCTGGACCGGCAAGGAATTGGTGATGGCTAGCCAGTTACGATGTACCTCAAAGTCAGTCGACTTATAAGCAGGAAACAACAGTATTTTGAATGCTGTTGCAACAACAGCTGTCTGGAATAACGAAGGCCATTGCTCTTCCCCAGGTGATTTCCGTTGCTTGGGCGTCCTTTTTTCCTAGCAAGGGGGGACCATCAGCTCACTGTTCATCCCATCTCAAGCCTGGGCGGCTTCTTGAACTTACTGGAATAATGGGGCCTCTGTCTCTCAGCTGACCCAAGGTCTGCGACACAGCTGAAGCCGACATTATATCCTGACGAGTCTAGGATCTTGCTCAGCGAGGATTACATTCGAAATTGAGGTCATTTACTCACGTCCAAAGCGGGTTGAATACTCCGCCCTATTTATACGGCGCAGCAGGTGCTCCCCTTTCAGGGGGCCCCCTGCCAACCACATCATCATTCTGTAACCAAAGTCGCCCGTTATGTCGCAGGACAAGCAAAGTACCGGACACGATTTCTACCTTGAGTTACAACCACCTCAGGCTTCTTATTCTTCCCTTCTTCTTTCGTGTTGATGGACCTTATTGACGGTCTCAAACATCATGTCACTTCCGGCGTTGTAAACCATCGACTACTTATTCGTACACGCCCCATTATTGTCGACGTCGGTCGCGAAATCCGCTGGTGTGTGATTTCGGTTTGCATAGCTTGGGTCACCACTTCGGTTTTCCGCTCTTGGAGAGAAAGTCAGAGAAGGGCTGGCTGATACATCCTTGCTCGATATCTTCGAAGAAGGTATAACTGATCAGAGCCCTTACCAGCCCGCTCAAAACTGACGTAACACTCAGCCACCTGTTCTTTCCATCATGCTCCTTTCAGTCCAACCCGCTTTGCTCTGCATAGCATGGGCAGTCGCTGCCTTTGCTCAAGATGTTGTCGACGACATGTCCTTTGGTCACAAGCAGGGCATATCCCCAAATTCTTTCGCTATTCCCGGCTGGTCGATGCTGGGTGAAGGGCACGTGCCTCAACTGCTATCCGACAAAGTTATACTTACACCTCCCTACGGAGGCCATAAAAGAGGATGTCTGTGGACGGAGAGGGCCAACTCATTGGAGAACTGGTCGATCGACTTCAAGTTCAGAGCAGGTGCACCTGATCGAGGAGGTGGCAACTTACAGCTATGGTATGCCGCAAATGGAGAAAAACAAATCAGCACCTCGAGCATATATACCGCTGGCAAGTGGGAAGGCCTGGCTATTGTCATTGATGTTGTGGGAGGCACCCAGAAGATTCGAGGGTTTCTCAATGATGGCTCCAGGGATTACAAAACTCATACAAATGTCGACAGTCTGGCGTTTGGCCACTGCGACGCCATTTACCGCAATCTGGGTCGTCCTTCTATTCTCAAGCTCAAATATACGACTAATGGAGGTCTTGAGGTCCTCATCGACGGTTCGACATGTTTCTCGACTAATAAAATCACCCTTCCCACCAACTATTACTTTGGTGTGGCAGCCTCTTCCTTCGATCCCCCTGATTCGTTCGAAGTCTTTCAATTTGCGTTGTCTTCGGCCACAAACGCACCTGCGATTGAACAACAGCAGCAACAGCAACAGCAACAGCAACAATTTCAAGAACAAACTCCACCTCCAGTACACGAGCATTCCTCTTCACCGTCAACTTCACAGTTGACCACTTCCGAAGCACAATTCGCCGATTTACACAATCGGCTAAATCAACTTTCAAAATCCATACAAAACATGTTCACAGAAATCAACCGGCACACAGCGGCCGAGGAAGCGCGGTATAAGGAGATCCTGTCGAAGCTTCCTAACACAGCGCTGGTCAATGGCTTGGACTCGAAAATGGCCAATCTCGATCGGATAGTGTCGAATTTAGAGCGCGAGCTCAAATCCTCTGACCACTCGACCCAATTCCGCAAGCTCAGCGAACAGATCACCAAAACCCATGTGGGAGTGACTGAGCATGTGCCTGAGCGACTTCGGGAATACGTGCAGGCCCATACGCCACGCATTGGATTTATTCTCTATAGCTTTATGGGGTTCCAGACATGTTGTATAGGAGCATTTGTCTGGTACAAGTGGCGGAAGAGTACGATGCCAAAGAAATATCTGTGAGGTGGATTGGAAACAAAATTTTGTAGTATAAGCCAGGTGGCACTGATGCGGGAATTGTAATATGCTTGTGATGATAAGACTAGGATGTTGCATTGGGCTGGTATACAGGAAATCATCGTCGCAAAATCGGATAGCTGCACACCATGGTAGTCGAATGTGATGTCGTCTCTCCAACAACATTGTACGATTCTCACGGCAGCACATGTTGAACAAAACTGTGATTTCTCCTCTTTATTCCGGAATCATGCGTGGAAACCTTCTGGCTTGTGGAGAAACTTGAAATCGCTCGACTGTCTTTTCTTGGATTTTCTTCCGTCTAGCTAATCATTTCTATGCTCATACACAGCAGTCGTCATCAAGATTGTTGACCCATTCCCCAAAGCTGTGAAGCTGGTCCCCTTCATGCTTTCTCCATGTCCATCATTCCATGCCATGTCCACATCCAATTGCAGAATCATCACCACGACCTCTCATTCATTCATTCGCTCGCTCGCTGGCGCCCCATCCACTCAAGGGGTACATCTGTACGCAAAGCGGGGGTACAGCGCACACTCTCTGACGGTCCAGCGACCACACATCCATGCGAGGAAGCGCTCGAGGCCAAGGCCGTATCCACCGTGCGGCGTGGCACCGTAGCGTCTCTGATCGGTATACCAGTAGTAGGGCTTAGGATCGATGCCCTCACGCTTATAGCCGGCCAACAGCTCGTCATAGTCGTAGATGCGCATGCTGCCGCCGACGATCTCGCCGACGCCGGGCATCAACATGTCGACGCTCTCGGTGACGCGAGGGTCCGCGGCGTCTTTTGGCATGTAGAAGGCCTTGATCTCGACGGGGAAGTGGGTGAGGAAGATGGGCACGTTGAGCATGTCGGTCATTTTGCGCTCGGCGGCCTCGGCGATGTCGTCGCCGAACTTGTGGGGTTCGCCGTCTTCGTTGGGGATCGAGTGCTCGACCAGCCAGTCGATGGCGTCGGTGTAGCGCATGCGTTTGAAGGGGCGTGATGGCGGCTTGAAGTCCGGGTTGAGCGATTTGATGTGTGCTGCGATGATGGGGTCGGCCAGCGTGAGCTCGATCACTCGGCAGATGACGTGTTCGAGATGTGTGAGCAGGCCGTCGAACGTGATGAAGTTGAGTTCGCCTTCGATGTGCGTGTATTCCGACAAGTGGCGGCGGGTGAGGGACTTCTCGGCGCGAAAAGACGGGCTGATGGTGTAGACGTCGCCGAGGGACGCGAGGCAGGTTTCCAGGTACAGCTGTGAGGACTGGGTGAGGTAGGCTTTTTCGCCGTAGTAGTCGAATTCAAAGAGTGTGGCGCCGCCTTCAACCTGGGTTTGCACCATAGCTGGAGGGGTGACGAATCGCATTCGCAGTTCGCGGAACGTCTGCCGGAAGGCAAAGTCGACGGCATCACGCACGATCATGACGGCAGATGCGGTGTCGCCTCGTAGGACGAGATGGCGGTTGTCGAGGAGGGTTTGGGCGTCACCGTCCTGTTGGACTTTGTTGGTGATGGCTTCTTTATCGCCTATGGCGGCGCCAATGACGGTGTAGAAGTCGGCGTGGAGCTCGCGGTCCAGGGGAGCATGAGCTTTGGGTGGGAGAGCTTTCAGTTCACCGCGGATGGTCATGGATGTTTCGAGGGTCAAGGTCATGGCGGCGTAGGTTTTGATCAGGTTGCCGCTCAGGACGACTTGCATGTGGCCGTAGCCGTCCTTGAGGGTGATGAAAATGACATCTTTCTGGGATCGGAGGTGGTGGACATAGCCAGATACCTGGACACGGGTTCCTGGGGAGTCGGCTGACCCCAACTTGATCTTGGTAGAGTCGGCATCGTCAAGACGGATGGAGACTGGGGCGGGCAGGCTTTTGTCCTCTTCGAGGACGACCTTTTTCGCATCTTCGAGCGTCTGCTGTCGTTTGGCAGCCTCGGCGTTTTCTCGAATGGCGAGTTCTGAAGCCTTGGCTTGCTTCTTTTTATGTTGTTCGTAGAGGTTGGAGACTTTCTTCAAAGCGGATTTAGAGGCTGGTTTCCACTCCAGACGAGAAGCAGGATCACCATTGCCGTCAACGGGACCAGTCTCGGATTTTCGGGTTTGGTATGTTGGGCCATCACTTGCATGTTTGATCATGGCATGTAGCAGAGATTTGTATGGGGCGGTCTCTGTGCCAGTGGCCGAGTCGTCATCGCGACCGACGTCCTCATCAATGTAGATGGTTGACGCCATGTTGAGAGACGATGCTAAGATATTGTGTAGAGTTGAAGGGACCAACCGTGAATTCGTTGGTGGGTGATTATTAAATAGGGATTGAAACACACAATTTGTGAGTCAGGCTGGGAGTCAGTCATTATTCTTGCTGATAAGAATCTCTCGGTTAATTTTTTTGAGACGTCAGTGATACGGCGGGTGTTCTGGTTTGAGGCAAAATACACCGTCATCCCAAGACCCAAGAGTGGTAGCGACGATGTCATTACAATCTGTTACGTCTGGCATTTCACATGTGGGTGAAGGCCGTTGACATCACAGCTCGAATTGGAACGATTCATGGTGAATAGGATTACTGATCATCCAATGGCTTGATATCTCTGATGGAAAGTAAGGATTAATCGACATTCAGCATTTCGAAATTGAGATTCAAAGGGCGAAAAATGAGACGACTTAAGCGCGAGCGAAGAACAGAGACTGAGGCTGAATTGAAACAGCCGCCATGAAGGAAGCTAAATTAACTCAGGTACGCCTCCCAATCAAAATCCGGAAGCGAACAAAGAGCAATCAAACTTGCCATGCATGGTTGGGCCACTGGCATCCTCCTCGCTTGTTTGTGATGGACTCGAAAGTGAAGCGAAACCAGACGAGAACTACAGAGTGCGAGGTATTGAGTCACTGTAGGTCGAACTTGATCGTATTGAGCAATGCATAGCAGGGGCAACATGATCATGATGGTGCCGGTTTGAATGGACTCGAGTTGAACTGAATCAAAGAGCTACCTAGCCAAGGCAGGCCAATAGTGTACGCGATCCCTGCCCCTAGTTGTCCAAAAGAATAAGATTGTAAGCCAACCAATACCAATACCTCGTAGGAGTTGCTGCAGAATGACTGGATTGAAAGTGGCACTGGCATGCTGCCAATCCGTCTCTGGGGTACCTGCTGTGCTTATTGCTGACTCGTACTGCTGTACCTCGTACCAGTCTGAACCGTAAACCTGGGTTCTCCTGTGTCAGGTTCACGGACAATCTGTTGGGTGACTACGAGTAAGTCTAGTTAAAGACCCGCCTGTATCAAAATACCGAATAAGGGGAGAAGCGTACCGACTACCGAGTGAAGGGGAATGTCAGGTAAGAATGGTGGTCTATTAGGTAGTTACGGGTATGGGCTCCGCTCATTTAATATTAATCAATGCTGTATCCCCCCCGGCGTTCCCCCTAAACTTTAGGGAGTCGTTGGTAGTGCATACCCTGGTCTCTCCACTCGCTTCCCATCCACTAACCCCCAAGGCACGGTTGCTGGTAGGCTGCATCTGCAAGCTTGGGACTGCTAGAGCCTAACAGAGGGATAGTCTTACACTCTCAGGGCAGGCCAAACCCTGGCTGGCCTTGCATTCATTTCTTTTCACTATTCTATCTCCCCCATCTTCATCATCCTCGCCGGCCTCCCTTTGCTGTGCTCTTTCTTTATCCATTGTCTTGCTATCGTGTATTCTGCTTCTTTTCATTCCTTTTCGTTCCATTCACTCATTCCATTCCCATTCGCTCTTTACTCGACACTCGCTATCGTTCAGCAACAGAGTGTATTTCTACCCACCATATTCGATACCCCTTCATCTGTACAGTACAGCTCTAGATCTTCGATTCAATTCCTTTTCAAGATACACCCTGTAATCCTCATTGTCCCTCGTCGCCTTGACTGACCCTCAAGTGTCCTTTCCAACCAGAGACTGTGTCCTAAACCATCCCTCGGTGTAGTCCTTGGACATCGTCCTGGGGACGCCATCTACCATCATTCCCATATGCTTGCCGCAATGCAGACTCAAGACGTGTTTGGAGGAGTTGGAGGTCGATATGGGCAGTCCAAGTTTGCCCCGGAAAACACTGGTTTCAGTCACGGTGCATACAATACAAATCACGCTCCTTTCCACCCTTTCCCTGACCGGAATGGTCGAAAGCCTACCATTCCCTCAATAGCCACCGCAGGCAAGGACCAGCACATCTACCTCCCCAACGAGCAGACCCCGAGTGGAGATTACAGCATGAACTTTACACCATTGCTGCCTTCTCAGCTGCTTCTCGGCAGCCCTTTTCAACCTGGCTCCCCAGGTTCTTTTGCTTCTCCTCAATTCCCAAGCTTCAATCGTTTCACGCCTGGTACCAATGCCTTGCATCACCAGACTCAGCAATATCAACAGAACCAGCAGGCCCAGCTGGCCAGTCCTACCCAAGCCAATGCAAACCCAATGTCCCCTCAGACGTATCAAGCCGTCATGTCACCTGATACATACACGGCAGCTTCTCCTACAGGCTTTTCAGGTCTCGGCGGTGCTGCCTTTGGACACTATCAGCCTATGGTGGGCATGCAAGGCACGTGGATGGGCAGCACGAGTCGTACGGTCTACTTGGGCAACATTCCTGCTGATACTCCTGCCGAGGAGATTCTCAACCATGTTCGCAGTGGCCAGATCGAATCTGTCCGCCTCCTTCCCGAGAAGAACTGCGCCTTTATTTCCTTCCTTGACAGCAGCTCTGCCACCCATTTTCATTCCGATGCGATTTTGAAAAAGCTCGCGATCAAGGGAAACGATATCAAGATTGGTTGGGGGAAACCATCCCAGGTACCCACTTCTGTTGCTCTCGCTGTTCAACAGTCGGGTGCTTCCCGCAATGTTTACCTAGGAAACCTCCCTGAAGAGACAGGAGAGCAGGAGCTGAGAGAGGAGCTGGGCAAGTTCGGCCCGGTTGACACCATCAAATTGGTCCGTGAAAAGGCGATTGCGTTTGTCCATTTCCTCTCCATCGGACATGCTGTCAAGGCGGTGTCTCAGCTCCCACAAGACCCCAAATGGGGACCACCTCGTCGCGTGTATTATGGCAAGGATCGATGTGCCTATGTTTCCAAGACTCAGCAACAGAATGCCGCACAGTACCTGGGAATCGCCCCTGGTTATGCCCATGTTCTCAACGGAGCTGATCGGGATTTGATATCCAACGCTCTGGCCCAGCAATCAGTAGCTGCCGCTGCCGTGGCTACAACTGCTGGCGGAGTCAACAATCTCGGGAATCGTACTGTGTACTTGGGCAACATCCACCCCGAGACGACCATTGAGGAGATCTGCAATGTTGTTCGAGGCGGACTCCTCCACCACATTCGCTACATTCCCGACAAGCATATCTGCTTTGTGACGTTCATTGACCCCACCTCGGCGGCATCGTTCTACGCCCTCAGCAATCTTCAAGGCCTGATGATTCACAACCGAAGATTGAAAATTGGATGGGGCAAACATTCGGGTGCTTTGCCACCTGCCATTGCTTTGGCTGTGAGTGGAGGAGCCTCGCGCAATGTGTACGTGGGTAACCTTGACGAAAGTTGGACCGAGGAGAGACTCAGGCAAGACTTTTCCGAATATGGTGAGATTGAGTTGGTCAACACTTTACGAGAGAAAAGCTGTGCCTTTGTCAACTTCACCAACATTGCGAATGCTATCAAGGCCATTGAAGCGGTACGTTCACGGGACGAGTATAAGCGATTCAAGATCAATTTTGGCAAGGATCGATGTGGCAATCCCCCGCGTCAAAACTTGAATACAGCCAACGGAAACAATGGACGCATGCCTGGTACTCTCGACGGTGCTGGCTCTCCCGTCACCATGAATGGGTTTGAACATGCTGTGTCTCAGACTGGCTCTAGTCCAACCAGATCGACCATTCCTTTGGGACCCAAAGCCGCCATGAATGGACAACCCCAACCTCTTCGTCAACAGACCATGCCGACCACTCCTTCGGCCATTCTGAATGCTGGGAACAACAATCCATTGACCATGTATTTGACCCATGTGTCTCAACAGCAACAAGCCCAGGCCGAGCAGGATCTACGTGACGACAACATGTCGTTTGCTACACTGCAACAGCAACAGAACCAGGCGTTGGCCAATCAGCAAGCGGCACTTTACGGAGAGATGCCCAATGGCCACAGTGGATTGGACAGCGCAACTCACACTCATGTGCCCCGCCAAAGCAGCATCAGTGGTGGATTTGGAACCGGGCAATTGAGCAATGGTGCATCCACGACGGTGGGAGGCCTTTTGGCCCCTACCAATACCGGTCTAGGTGCGAGCAGAAGTGCACATTCTCGAGCAGTGTCCCTACCTGCCTTCTCACAAGAGTTGTTCGGTACTGGACAGTCGACACAACCTGGACCATCGTCATCTCGAGCATTTGGTGGACACGCCTCGCAGGGAAGCTTTGGCGGGTTTGGGTCAGCGTTTGGCACTGGATTTGGTACCAGTGGCTACAACGGATTGGGGCTCTCGAGTGACAGCCGAGGTGGGCTGTCTGGATGGGCAGAAGAGGAAATTGGCGCCAAATAAATTGATTGTAATCGTGGCTTTCTTTTGATGTTTGATGGGATTTGTTCGCCGGACTGAGAGGTGATTTTTGGGTACTGGCAATTGTTCTAATATCTCGAATTTTGAAAGGGGCACAAGATGATGGGTGGCTGTATTTGCCAGCTGTTGCAGGGCGGACTGCATCATCTTGTCCTATTACTATGACATTGCTGTGGACGGGAGTGGGGACAACGAGGTACCTTTGCGTGTCCTGTTGTCATCTATGCCATGGAATGTACATATATGCAGCTGAATGATAGGAGGGGGCACGAGCATGACATGCAATTTGAGCTCGAGGAGCATATTCACCGTTGATACTGCAATGGAGGGGAGAGGAGTGGAGCGGCAGTAGTGACTGGTGAGAACCAAATCTCGAATATACTCATGTCTGTTTACTACGTGAAGATGATGGTGTCGTCCGCGTCCTTTGTCCTGTACGAGTAAAAGGCAGATGTGAGTGCAACTGACAGAGCGGTGGCGTGGGGTGTAGAAGGGGCCCAGAATCTTGGGTGTACGCTTAAGGTTCTTTGATGGCTGCTACTAACTGCATATGTCGTGCCAGTGGCTGATATAGACAAATATCTGTGACATGGCGCTCGTGCCGTGAGAGCACGGGGGCCGAAGGACGAGGGTTGAAGCCTGAAGGTCGCGGTGGTGGAATTGCAGTACCCACGACGGAGCCAGTACAGTACTACGTAGAGGCCCAAGCAGAACCAAAATGGAGGAGAATGTTGGCCCTAGAAGAACAGATTGAAAGTCTGCAACTGGCCAGCAGGAGTACTGCTCTCAAATAACAGACGAGGTTGATTACAAGTAACTCCTGAACATTTATTTGGGACAGGCTACGCCCAAACGGTCGCTCGTGTTTACGATGAGGTACAAGGTATCCGTAATTGATAGTCGGAACGCACGTGAGAAGATCCGTAGCCTCGAACAAGGCACGCCCCTTCCAGATTGGGAAGGGCCAGAAGAAGCTCGAAGCTGGAGGAACAGGAACTTGACGAGACAGGGCGTTTAGCGTTCGGGGAAGTTGAAGAATGAGAATGCACCTATGACCTGAAGGGGCCAATATTTGATGATAGCATCCAGAAGGGAAGATGATCTGGTGGTTGACTCGTTGCACACGCTTAGCGCTTAGCCGAGTTCATACGAATACATACCTAGGTGCTTACCTGGGTAGGTAGTGCTTTGAGCGGTGACCGTGGCCGAGAATCGAGCACGTCTTCCAAGCGATAAGTGCGGTTAAGTTGGGTACCTGGGTATCAACAGCCAGGCTTCAAGCACCAACGGACTCCTCCGTCTGCAAGACCGCAGCTAACCACCCGGGAGAAACGTGACTCGGCTTGCATGTCCTTGAGCCTTTGGGGCTCTCATGTTAGGTTAGCCCCCGCGCCTAGACCCATTAACTAGCATACCCAAATGCACTCCTAGAGTCCTGGGCCGCGGGCCTTTGCATCTCCAATTCCACCCCCATCAGGGCCTATCCGTTACAATCCACTTCCACTTCCACTTCCACCAGGCCATCGCCCATCTCATCTTATCCCAATTCTGGGTTTCCATTCCTTCGACTTCCAAGTTGATTTCACCTTTCTCCCTCATCACCAACATTTCCGGCAAATGCACACATCCTCTTCGATTAGCTAGACTTTTCTCAACCTCTTTCTTCGGTTAGACTGGACATAGCATCCCTTCTTGCTGGTCAATTCACTTCGACTTTCAATCTTCACTCGATCCGAGCTGCCATTGTCATTGCCATTGCCATTGCTCTACCTGTGCCCAACCCTGTTCTGCCGTACCCCGTTGACCGCTCGCCTACCACTCCTCCTCCTGCTCCTCCTGCTCCTTGGTTGGGTACGAGTACTCCATACAATTCCTCAACTCTCTCGTACTGCCAACTGAATCTGCACTGCCCGCAGCCTGCAACTCCCTCCCTTCGCTTGTCCTCCTTCATCCCTATCACTGTGAGTTGCCTGAATATTTCGTGTTCAAGAGCATGGACTGATCATATCTTCATAGTCACCTTTCTCGGACTGTCAATCTTTTACTTCTATCCCCGAGACTGTCCCTCTTCGATACGTCCGACCACAGGAGTGAATTCAACAACGTGAAGTCGTGACTACCAAACCGAGCCTTGTCATTTCACTACTCTCACTGGGAATTAATCCTTCCGCGCGACTACTCTCTGTTCACTGCAAGTCTCTACTCTTTGTAAGTGGTCACCATGTCGTCGCGGATTCTATCCCTCGCGCGTCGCTCCCAGAAACTTACTGTTCGCGTGCTCAGGCCCACCAAACCTTCCCCTCCTCGATCTCTAAACATCAACCAACTCCCCACAGATAAAATCGGAATGGTTGTCGCCACGATCAAGTATGTTATACGTCCACCGATCTTGACAATGCAACACCTTCAACCCAAAGCGCAGATGCTAACCAGCCACGCAGATGTGTTGTTGTTGGTGATGGTGCAGTTGGAAAGACGTGCTTGCTCATCTCTTACACCACCAACAAATTCCCCTCAGAATATGTCCCCACAGTCTTTGACAACTATGCAGTGACGGTAATGTATGTACTTCCCTCTCATCTACTCTACCAACGCTTCTACTATCGGTCATACCCTCACAAACCACGTCACCGCCCCAGTCATGGGATGCTTGCCGATCTTGTCTCACATCTTTCTCGCCTCGCTTGTGGCGCAATCCAACCCCTTGAAACACGACCTGGGAAGCACGTGCACTGACATGGGTTCATTAGGATTGGTGATGAGCCTTACACCCTCGGACTTTTCGATACTGCCGGACAAGAAGATTATGATCGATTGAGACCTCTGTCTTATCCTCAAACTGATGTCTTCCTTGTTTGCTTCTCCGTCACTTCTCCAGCTTCATTTGAAAACGTTCGAGAGAAATGGTTCCCCGAAGTTCACCACCATTGCCCTGGAGTTCCATGTCTGATTGTTGGTACTCAAACCGATCTTCGAGATGACCCTTCCGTACGAGAGAAATTATCCAAGCAAAAGATGCAACCGGTTCGAAAAGAAGACGGAGAGAGAATGGCCAAGGACTTGGGAGCAATCAAATATGTCGAATGCAGCGCACTGACACAGTACAAACTGAAAGACGTGTTTGATGAAGCCATTGTTGCTGCATTAGAACCTCCCCCAAAGAAGAGTTCGAAGAAATGCACGATACTCTGACCGGTCCGGAATTTTGGCATGTGCAAATGGGGTTTAGAAGGTTGGTGACACACAAATCGTCTCACCATCAAACCCTCAACTGACCTAGTCCTAGTCAGCATTTCTATTCTCGTCTATCTTCAATCCAGTGGGAGACTGGACTTTATCTTGGAAAATGGAACACATTGACGACGGGCATTTCTCCCTGAAATAAATCTCTTTTTATTCCAGTTCCGCCAGACGAAAGATCAATCACCCTTGCCCTCTTTTATTCCAATCATGACACAACCTGTGTTTTCTTTATTTCCAAGCGAAATCCTATCCGTTTCGAGGGGCGTTTTTTCCGTTGATTGAATGGGGAAAGGGGGAGTGTGGGAGTGATGGACTGGGGGAGTTGAATGTGACTGGGCAAAGTAAAGGGCAAATCCTTCTTCTATCCCTCTCTTCGTTCTTTCGTCCGGAAGATTGGCCTGGCATCTATGGCGTTACACCCTCAGAATCACCAATTGCCACCAAATCATTCCAGGACAGATACAAAGACAGGAGGCTACGCCTGGCCTGTTCCCTCGACACTAGAGAGGGATGAGATCCAGATTGTTCGACTCACTCTCGATGGCAGAACCGGCCTTGTTCTTTACCCCTTCCATGCCCAGCGGCGGGAAGTGGTCTGCAGTCCTATTATAACGCAGATCTGGGGTTTGGGCCATGAATTCTTCTACAGATGAATCGATTCCCCCTGGGTTTTTCTCCTTTTCTGAACATTGCAGAATCAATGAATTCCGGCGTGACTTGTCCCATCCGATATACGTTCTGGTTTTTCCTTCACAATACATGGATATGCTTTTCTATTTTGTTTAGCCAGCTTGACTGTCTTCTTTTCTGGCCCCTTGCTGCCTTGTCTTAATTGCACCCAATGCAACGCTTGATTTGGTGAGACATTACACGCATGGGTCGCGTGGCGGAATCAATTTGCGCGAGAGATTCAACACTTATATCAGCAAGGCAAGTCATACACACACATGTTCTTGTGTACCTATCATGCTTATCAACAATATCGGCCGAGCCACGCTTCGAACACGACGCGGCAAACAGGTGAGAGATAAAGCGTGGCGCTCTATCTCCTAGGCCGGGGAATACCTGCACTTCGAAAAGAAAGGCGCGTGAACTTCATGTTGGCCGAATTCTTGTCTAGAAGGCTTTCTTGGTGGAGTCATGCCAGCGAGGTCGTGTGTCATACGGCATGCTGTGGGAATTTATGCTTTGGTCATATCCTCGAAGGCTTATTATGCTTGGGTCGCTGTACGGTGAGATCCAAATGATCTTGAACCGGCTGCTTTCGCTTCCACTTCCACCAGGAAGACTTGGTCTTGGCCTCCAGCAGCGACGTCTTCTTCTGCGAAAAGGCCGGGACGAGCCGACTGTAATGTGCGATCTTTCCGAGGTCGATGTCGTCCACCGTCGCGCCACGGTCCAGAAAGATCTGGATGAGATGAGTGCTGGGGTTCTGATCCACCAGAGTCTGCCAGATTGTCCGTTTGTCCAGCCCAACCTCCCTCTGTTTCACGAAACGGGCATTGGGATCCGCGCCGAGTTTGAGAAACGCTTCAATCATGGCCTCGTCCACCGGTCGACCAGATAGCGATTCGAGTTTCGCGTCGACACTGAATCTCGCCCAGTAGCAGGTGACGGCAATGTCGAGCAACTTGGTTGCATCGACGGCAGATACTTGGATCACCGCCAAATGTCGTTGGACATATGGTCCAAGCTGCAACCCGGTGGCGATGCCCAGAAACGACGGCGGTCGATGAATACGGTTGGGAAGACTGGCCCAGTAGGAATTGCCGATCAATCTTGTTCGACATTCCGCCTCCACAAAATTATGCCCGTCGGACCTTGGAGCAGCGGCCAGAAGACTCGTGGTTTTGTCAATCTCGTCGAAGAGCTGGAATTGCAGGTCGGATCCTGATGGCCACGTACGGACGGCGTACTCGATGGAGAAAGTCGTTTGGTCCCAGACGAATTGCGATGTGAGGTCGTCTAGACTAGAAGCCTTCAATTTCATGATGTGAGTGTTGCAGAGCCGAGGATTGGGGTCAAAGGAACCTCCAGCGGCCGTGCAGATCTTCGCCCAGTTATGATCCTGATTGAGCCAATCATTCACGGTCCTGTGAAGGAAGGAGATAGGCGCTGACGCTAGGATTGGCTTCGACTGGGAGTTTGGTTCGACGAGGCCTCTGCAACAAGCATTCAGACGGCGTCGCATGCTTTCGACTCTCCCTGCCGTGCTCTCGCTCTCCAGCGGTGCAGTCGGCATCTTGAGAGCAGCCTCGGGGTCTTCTTCGTCGGCAAATGCCAGTTCCAAGACCGTGAGTCTCGTCAGAGCAGCCCTGATAATTTGGAATATTTGAGACGCTCTCGCAAGATGGAATCCATCAAGACTGTCCAGAATATTAGTAAACAGGTCCTCCAAGTCGCCCGGAAGGGAGTCCAAGTGTCTTTGGAGGTCTGAAAGTCGCTCTCCTTCTGTCAGACCTTGCAGCAGTGAAGCGGTGACGAGATGGACCCACAGGAAAACGCCCGAGGATTTCAATGCAACGTTTTCGATGAGCTGAGCAGCGTATTCGGGATTCGTGGCAGAAAGTGCGGGGAATCCGGGATTTTCGTGAAATCTCGACCGAACGTAATGTTCAATATCCCCCGTGGTCAGGTTTTCTATGGTGAGGCTGGGGCGATGCTTGAAGGCATCTTCAAAATCCACCCAGGGCCGACTGGAGATGCAAATCTTGATGTTTGGGGCAAGAAGAGTCCGGACAAGATTAATCACATCGATTGGGTTCCCCGAGAATTCATCAAGTCCGTCGATAAAGAAGATGGTCTTGACTCTGGTACTGAGGGCGCGTATAAGTCTTTGAAGCGAGCGGTGTAGTTCCGGCCACGACCAGTCTTCTATCGCACCATCGGACGGTCCGAAAATCATCCAGGCCTCAAGAAGGTGAGGGTAAATTCGCGGCAACAGGTGAGGCAACCTTTGCAAAACAGTGTGGAGTAGTGTTCGCGCAAGGCCTTCGAGAGACATCTGGATTGGCTTCCCCGAGTTCCAGAAGTAGAATGAGGCTTTCACCAATTCCTTACCTTGAGCCCACTCTTGCACTGACAATTCGGTTTGTGGGTTTTCAAAAATAAACTTCATTAGAGTGGATTTGCCGGCTCCCGGTTTCCCAGTGATCCAGTAGAGCTGTTGCTCGTCATCCTTGAGCCAGTCAGTAAAGCAAGAGGAATATTCGCTGGAGCACGATGGATGGAAGATCCATTGGTATGTTTCCTGGTAGGCCTCAGGAATGGCGTCCGAGCGATCTTGTATCTCGGCAAAGTGTAACCTATGAAGTAGGGTTCGACTAAGTCTAGTCTCATCCAGTGTTGTCAAGTACTTCAGCATCGTATTAGCTAAAGCCTCGTTCTCGTTGTCAGCGAACTCCATGCGATGAGAATCATGGGTCCGTCGTATGGCGTCTATAAGTCCGGCATGCATGGTGTGGTTCCTGTCCACCTTCAGCAGAATATTTCGAGACAGCTCCTCGGACCTTTGGAGAACACTTCGAGTGTGTTCTTGGAAGTGCACACGGTCGGCCTGGGCCAACCCATTCTTCTTTTGAACGGCATCCAATTCCTCTCTGAACGCGTTAGTCCGTCAAGACAGCACTTGGCTTCCAATGGGCTTCATACCGAAGGACAAACAGCAAATGCATAGAAATTTGCTGGCGAAAGGAGTCCAAGCGCTTTTGAAGATTTTCGATCTGAGGTTGACTCCATAATGTTCGCAATGCCTGTCGGAAGCTGCTCCATAAGTCGCACTGGGCTTGTGAGCCAAGATGCTCGAGCGCCGAAAGCAGTTCGCTTGCCAGTGAGTTGCACTCGTTGCAAAGGTTCTTCAACTCAGCATGTCGTGGAGTTGTCTGTGGTGAAGAAGAGTCCGGCGTGCTGAGAGACTTCGTCAAGGCATTATTCAAACCCACTAAATCATTAGTTAAACTCTCGACATCGTTAACCGAATGCTCGCGCTTGCGCTTGTAAATCGCGTATGTGCTCGCAACAAGATTTCCGGCAAAGTCCAAGAATTGGATCAGGCTAGTCGTCACTGTGAGCACAGAAAAGGGCTCCATGTTCAGCGTCCTACCGCAATGACATAGATATCTGAGCCTGAGAAATCAGGCTGTGCTCAAGTAGAAGATGTTGGGCTGGCCGCAGAACCCATTTAGTGTATGTTGATATATCAGCACGTGATGCGCTAGCAATTCGAAGTCACTAAAACGGAACAGTAATTAGAGCAGGCAAGTAGGAGATGAACTGCATCCTAATAGAACTCTAGGGACTTTCTCTTCCCTCGATATTGACTGCGCATGCGGTTTTGTTCGCAAAGGAGTGCTGTTCTTATGCTGGAAGACCCCATTGATATGGTGATATCACTGGTGCCTTGATGTTTCTTGATGGAATGAAAGCTCTGAATAATCAGCTCGTATTGTGTAGGAACAAGTTTGAAATGCAAGAAGGGGAAATCTAATGACAGCAAGTGGCTTTTTATTATTTGCAAAACTTGAACTTGTTGATGGAACATGGGGACTGATTCATTCTTCCTATCGTACTGCGTGCGAGAAGGATATCTACCTAGGTACGATTCAATGGTAATAATAATAGCATGGTAGTGATACTTGTGCCAGAAGTTTACACGAGCGGTATCATCCCTCTTTCACTGCCGCTTCTTGTTATTTTCCCTGGTTGTCCTTCACTCTGGAAACCTGCCTCATCCTTTCTGATCATACAACGACATGCTTTGCTGTAGCCTTACTTTGGCTACTTAGGTAAGTCCAAACCTCTTCCGTTAGTAAGGTTCACTAAAATACTGCTGAATGGCGCCTCGAGTTGTTATCAAGGAGTAAATCTCAGGCGTCATCGGAATGAGGTCTGCATCACCAAACCTGGTGTGATATGCAAGCCGGGAACATATTTACCACCCTGTTCCCTCATACTCCAAGTAGTTGGTACAAAAGAAGGGGACAATCGTCGGTATTGTCAAGACGAAAGCGTGAAAGGTCAGCTGTACACATGATTTTGGCTCATGGGAATGAGGTGACGACGGATTTGTTCCAACCAGTCTGTGAACTGTCGAAGGTCCGTTGTTTTGTGATTGAATTTCGACGAGACATGTTATTCGGTCTCATTAACAAATTTGATCCGTCTGAGCAAATATTATCTGTCTGACGAACTAGACAGATTCAAGATTGGAGTCAAATCTGACAGTCTTCAAGGACTGAGATGCATTTCATTGTCTGCTTCATTCCCTGAGGCATAGGATTTTGGTGAATCACCATTGACATATAGTTCTTCGGTAGGAGGCTCAACAGGCTTCGTCTTGGGTGAAACGGCATCATTTACACTGGCGACTGAGCCTCGATTACTAGTGCTTGGGGCAGAGACAGATCCATGGTTCAGAAGATTGAGTCTCCGATTGATGAGCTCTTGTAATTGAAGCAATTTGTCGACCTCATCTTGTTCCGCGGATTCTGTAACCTCGGGTGGTGCTTCACTGACAAGTTGATTTGTTAGTTCCGCCAAAGCATCACCAGAGTAACCATCGATGCCTTTCTGAGACATTTCTGCCAGATGGAGAACAGCTTGCTGTTCTTTGATGGATCGATTTCGTAACATAGCATTGGCCCTGGCAGTTTCAGTGACAGCAAGAGCGTGCGTCCCCGTCCAAAATTCAGGTTCCTGAGTTTTGATCAATGTGACATTAGGTGGATGGTGAAGTACGACACCATCTGGACGATACTTCTTGCTGCGGATTATTTTCGGACCACCCAACTGTTGTGGGAATGAATGGTCTTCATACCAGCTGCGTTTGACTCTATCGATGAAGTCCAATCTGATGGCTTTCTCGGGGATACGATAGATTTTGCCTTCCATTCGTACTTCTTTCGTCTTATCGAAACTGATTTCGTCTGGCATAAGCTCAACATCGATGATGCCGTTATTTCTGTGGCCTCGTGCGAACTCGACGTCCAGAGGTACAGCATTTTTGGGCTTGCGAAGCTTTGGAATGCGTCCCAATGCGCCAGGAACAGCTTCCACTTGACGGCTGATCGCTGCGAGATCGTGTTCTGTATGCAGTGGACACCTCCAAGATGAGCTCGGTTTGTCGTCCCCACGACGACGAGGTGGAACCGCGAGCGGTGGGTCTGTGCAATCCAAATGCCACTTGGCTGGACAGAAGTCACAAGGTATGATATCGCGACCATTGGTGGTGAGACCACAGCGATAGCATAGTCTGAGATTGCCCTTGCTGTCTCTGGTTTCCTTGTAGTTGGGTTCTTCGAAAAAGCCAGCTCGATTCATTTTGAGTGCATTGTTCTGAGTACGTGGTTGACCAAATTCTTCGTATTCGCCTTCGTCACCAGTCCGGACACCTTCAAAATATTGTCGAACGTCGGATGGTAAAGAGAAGGCTTTAGGAATTGTATCATCCACACGACGAACAACCCAACCAAGAAGTCCAGATGGATGTGGCACGCCTTTGGTCTGTCTTGCAACACATTGCGGGCAGTACCATTCGCCATCAACTTCTTCATCAGGGTTCAAAGGCGGCTCTAGGCAGTTGTGGTGGAAAGAGTTCGTGCAGCCATCACAGCACAGAAGCTTGCCTTCGCCACCACAAGAGGCGCAAAACTCGTCATTATCCTGATGCCACGAGTTAGCAACTGGTGGATTGTACATCAATCATGTCATGAGCATGCACGGGGGAAAGGACCAGACTGTCGAAATGAGGGAAAAACAAAGAAAATGAACACCAAGAGGTGGAGAGATGGAAACAGGGTACCAAGACTCGAGAGCATACGCGGGAGTGAAAGTGGGAATCGGAGGGTGGAACACAGTCCAAGCCGATTTTGGAAGGGGGTAGAATTACGGAGAGAATAGGCTGGCTTACCTCTGCGCTTGAGTCTGCCCCTTCGCCAATCCTCCCATCACGCCGAGGCCCCGCACGTGAAATGCCAGCAGTGACGCCGCCATTTTTTGGTTTATTCGGTCTATAGTAAATGGGAGTTAGTCTAGATTCGTGAACGAGCGGCTGATGGAGGGATATTTGTTGTGGGAATAGGACAGAGGATTGGCCGTGATTGTGTAAGTGACAATTTGCCCCTGCCACAGGCCACGAAACCCCAAGTGGCCGCGCTAAGCATCTCCAGGCAAACACATGCATTGACATCAGAATGGGGAGTAAACTTACGATACCATGACTCGAGCTGATTTTCGTGTTCTCGTAGTAGGCGGAAATCTTGCACCTCGAGGAGTGGCTCCCCTTGAAATAGTGTTTGCCAAACCTGGTGGAGGAGGTGGTACAAGCAGAGGTGATGGTGACAGTGAAGATCCGAGTTCCAGATCATCCGCATCAAGTTCATCATAAGCTCTCTTTCTTCCATTGCCATTCGTGAGTATAGTATCTCGAGGGGCATGAGAACTGACAGGGGAAGACAAGGCTGCGTTCGAGGACATGAGACGATTGGGATGAATGACAGGTGGAGGAGGGTTTTCAGTCAGTAGATAATCCGGCTCGGGGTGGCCATGAGAAATGTCTCGTTCATCGCTCTCTGGGCGTGGGATTGTGTTGTAATCATGGAAACTGTCGTCCAAGTAGTGGCGCTTCCGCCGAGATAACTCGTCAATGTCAAATTCCGGATCACCTTGAGTCTTCTTGAACTTCTTTGTTGTCGATTTGGAAGCAGGTTGAGTATCTGCTTGTTTTGCTAGAGATTGATGCGATATTCCACCCCCCGCCGAGCGAAGTCTGTTTCCAGCTCGATGTGTGGCTTGGCGCTGTCCCACCGATCTGGAGCGACTGATTGCTGATTGATCATTTTGATGAGTACTCGATACGAAATCATCGGGAATTGATTGAGCGGATGACAAAGAAGAGTCGCTTGCAGCACTCAGAGATCTCTTACGCTTGTTGGGCGATGCAACTGGAGTTGGCGCAGCACCAACGAGAGCCGGATCCAGGTTCGGAAGAGCTGATGCGGCCAAAGCTGAAGCAGACATGTTTGGGGCAAAAGAAGCACGAGTTGGTTCCTTCCGCGCCTGTCCAAAGAACAAAGCAATTCGACGATTTCCTTCATCAGTGAATCCAGTTGATGTAACCCGTTGATGGGTTGACTGGTTGAGATTAGTTTGTCGAGGAGAGGCAAAAGTACTGTTGATCTCGGCAAGAGAAGATGGACGCTGGGAACCATCAGAAACTTGACTTTGACTAGAGCGCCGAAAGTCTTTGACACCAGATTTGATGTAGCGTTTGAATGTTCTGAACTGTTTATGTGTCGGTGACTGTTGAATGATGGCTTCGATAACATTGTACAACTCAGGTATCAGTTGGGCATCTTCACGTAGCCTCTCTAATCCTGGGATGAGGTTGGGTGTACCTTTGTCCTGGGCTTCCTGCAGAGCAAGCTCTAGATGATTGTTGAGCCGGTCTTGCCGGAGGTGTTCCTGGATTGATGCTGGTTTTGAGTGAGTGCCTGGAGTGAAAGACAACCGTACGCCAGAAGGCGAAACATTTGACGCCTGCGACATCTCTGCAACCTCTCTCCTCGAAGGACGGCCACGAGGAGGACTAGTAATGACAATGGTGTCGGAGTGTCGAGGAGGTTCAGGAGAAAGCTCTCGTAATATCTCAGGCTCCAAGGGTGAAGCTAAATCCGACTTTTCTTGCTCAGGCAGCGGAGTGACGACTTCCTCAGTTTGGGCAGGGGTCGCGCGTGGTGAAGGACGTGTGTAATTCAGTTTCAGTTTCTGCAGCAGTCGATGTGAAGGAGGGACGCCGAGAGGTTGCATGTTCTCCAGGACGCCGACTCTTTCCAGCCCTTTTGTGTCTTCGAAACTCGGGACCGCAGTCCGCACATTTGGTTCCACCCATTTGTCCAAACTGGTCTGCTGGCCATTTCTCGAGGTCGAATGAAGATGAGCCTGAGC